TGTTTCTATGAAGAGAGCCTTGATTATTCCTGACACCAAGGATGGGATCGAAGTCTCTTTATCCATGACACCTACTGAAGGATCATCCGAATCAAAAATATGGCATCGCTTCCAAATCAGCTCCTACAATGCTTCGAGTGACGAGTGGACAGAACATTGTACTGGCAATATCAAAGTTGACTTTCAGTTATCCCCTGATCCGGTTGACAATGGCCGCGAAGACGAAGAGGAACGTCTTGCCTGGAAATCCGATCTCAAGAGAGCGGAAGAGACATGTTCACGGGTCATGAACTTTCAAACAATATACAGCAACCTTCAAACGTCTGGACTCGCCTTTGGTCCACTGTTCCAGAATCTCGGAGACGTCCGATCCAGTGGACAGAAGCAAGGCGCGGCCATTGGGTCAGTCACCGTTCCAGATATTGCGCCGTCGATGCCAAAGCGGTACATGCATCCTCACCTCATCCACCCGACCACCATGGACAGCATGATCCATATGATCATTGCGGCGGTACTGGATTTCTCGGGAAAGCCGAATCTTGAAATGATTAGGTTACCTACTTTCATTCGCGACGTTTGGGTATCAGCAGAACTTACTTCTGCGCCGTCCCATAAGTACACGGGGCATGCATCGGTCTCCGTGGCAGCATGTGACAAATTCGAGGGTCAAATTCGGATTCTGGATGAGGCCTCACACGAGCCTTGCATCCGCATGGATGGAATCGAGCTGACACCTCTGGGGCCGGGACTTGTGGAGAATAACAAACGTCAATTGTGCAGCTCCATAAAATGGAGTTCAGATGTACATTTCCTCAATTCTCAGACTGCTTGCAGTTTGACAATCCCCAATGAGATTGACAGTGAGAAGGCTCGTGATTCTGTCAAAATGTTTCAACTGGCTACGATGTTGTACACGACCGACGCCCTGGACGAGCTCGGTGATCTTGACATGATGAAGCTCGACTTGCATCTGCGCAAATTCTACGAATGGATGCTCCATATGCGTGACCAGCTTGTTTCCAACGCGATCATCCATCTCCCATACAGAGAGTTCCAGGAGGTGGCGAGCAATAAAGCTCTCAAACAAGCCATTTGGGATAAAGTTGAATTTGGCAGTGCGGAGGGCGCCCTCACTACCCGAATGGGCCGCAATATTGTTCGTGTGATGCAGCAGGAAGTTGAACCCCTTGATCTCATGTTTGGACAAGATTCCATGATGGAGGAAGTTTACAAAGAGAGTCTTCGCCTCTATAACCTGCCGAAGCATCTACATTCTTATCTGTCCTTGCTCCGTCATCAACATTCGGCATTAAAAGTACTCGAGGTCGGCAGTGGAACGGGCAGTTTTACGGCAGAGGTTCTCGACGTTCTGTCCCCAGATCCCAAAACCAACACCGGGAGCATTGCCAGCTATAAATTCACAGACATTTCCTCCAGGTTCTTTGAGAAAGCCAAGCAACGGTTTCAGCCGTGGGGAGATATCATATCATTCCAATCCCTCAACATCGAAAGAAACCCGGTCGATCAGGGATTCCAACCGGGCACCTACGACTTGATCTTCGCGGGCAATGTCATCCACGCCACAGCCAGCCTGCACACGACGTTGCGCAACTTGCGATTGCTGCTCCGTCCCGGCGGCAAATTGATCATGCAAGAGGGAACGCGGCAAGACTTCCTTTGGTATCCACTCATTTTCGGCCAGTTGCCTGGCTGGTGGCTGGCTAATGAACCTATCCGGCAATGGTGTCCATATATTCCTGGATCGGAATGGGACACGATCCTAAAGGAGTCCGGGTTCTCAGGCGTTGACATTGAATATCCCAGCTCGACGGAGGAAGACTTGTCGTGGCAGAGTATTTTGGTTGCGTCTGCTATTGCCCCGGTCAAGGAAAAGTTACCACAGAACGTTTTCATTCTTACTTCCGGCGCATCAAGGATTACAAAAGTTGCCACGGCCCTTCAAGAGCGTTTGACAACGGAGTGTTCCAATGTGCTGGTTGTGGGGCTTTCAGATCTCGGCGAACTCAACTCTTCGAATGCTCTCTGCATATCTTTGATCGACCTAGAACAGCCTCTTCTCGCGGAAATCGAGGAGAAAGAGTTTATAGCACTGAGAAAAATGTTGACTGAGTGCCACGGTCTGCTATGGGTCACCCCAGAGGCGCGCAGCGAGCCTTTCTCCAGCATGAGTTTAGGTCTCCTTCGGACCGTTCGCTGGGAACGAGATACGGATGGCTGGAACTGTGTGACTCTGACCGTTAGCGAGTCCGAGAACATATCTTCACAAAATCTTGTCGTCAACATGCACAACATCCTAGAGAAGCAATTCGTGGAGCAGCCCGAAAATGAGCGCCATGCAGAGTACCTCCTGCAGAACGACATCATTCATGTCGGTCGTCTGTGCGAATGGGATAATGCAGATGACTTTTTGGCTGCACAGTCATCAAATGCTGCCCCCAAGATTCAGAGTCTTGCGGATATTGACCGTCCGGTTGAATTGAATACCTCTTCTGCAACCGGTCAACTTCACTGGGTGTCCGACTCTCGACATGGAACCCCACTAAACGATACAGAAGTTGAAATCAATGTTCATGCTGTTGGTCTTCCGTCAAGTTGTGCGGGTGGCAGTCTTTTGAACGAGGCTGCCGGAGTCATAACGAAAACAGGGTCGGCCGTGGATGGCCTGGCTCCTGGAGATCATGTTGTTTACTTGACAGCGAATGATCGAGCTGGCTGTATCCACACTGTGGACCGAGTCTCTCAGGATCTAGCTATCAAAATTCCCGAGACAATTCCCTTCGATATTGCTGCTAGTTTGCCTTCCATATACACTACCGCAATGTACGGACTCGGCGAGGTAGCGAGGCTTTGCGAAGAGGATACAATCCTCATCCATAGTGGCGCCTCCCCCGTCGGCCAAGCAGCCATCCAATATGCCAAGCTCGTCAAAGCAGAGATCTACACTACTGTGTCAACAGCAGAAGAGCGCGTGCTCCTGGTCTCGGAGTGCGGCATACCCGAAGACCACGTCTTCTCAAACAGGGACCTCAGCTTCGCAAAGGGAGTCATGCGGTGCTCGCAAGGTACAGGTGTCGATGTCATTTTCAATACTCTCTCCGGCGAAGCTCTTCAGGAGTCATTGACATGTATCGCTCCCTTCGGGCGCTTTGTCGAAGCTTCCAATAAAGATCTCTATTCCAATGCATCGATTGAACTTGCGTCTTTACTTCGCAATGTGACTCTGACCGCCATCGACATGACCCTTCTCGTCCAGCGTCGACCAAAGATTCTCTCTCGTTTGCTGCAAGAGACAGTGAATTTATATGCCGAAGGAAAAATCAGCCAGATTAGAGGTGTGAAGATTCTAAACTTTACCCAGATCAAGGAAGGGCTGCAAGCTGCGCAGAACGAAAAGGTCGTCTTTGCTCCTAGTCCATCTGATCTCATCCCAGTCGTGCCTGAACCGATAACACCCTACCGGTTCGAATCAGACGCTTCTTATGTCCTAGCCGGCGGCCTGGGTGGTCTAGGACGAAGTCTGGCACGATGGATGGTTTCGCGTGGCGCTAAGAACTTGATCTTGCTGTCTCGCAGTGGCCGTGCCACGAAGCCTGTGGAGAAACTGGTTGCAGAGCTGAAGAATAGCGGGTGCAACTCTCATATATTCAGATGCGATGTCGCGGATGAAGGGCGGCTGAGGGACGTTTTCACGGAATGCTCGAAGTCTTTGCCACCTATTAGGGGATGTATCCAATGCTCGATGGTACTGCGGGTATGTTTTGTTGCTATTCCCACTAAATAAAAAAAAGGAAAGACAGAGAACTAAACAGCGCAATAGGACGGCGCATTCGCCCGAATGTCTTTCGAAGACTGGCAAGCCGCCATAGCCCCTAAGGTTCAGGGCTCATGGAACCTGCATGAGGCATTGCCCTGTGACATGGCCTTCTTCGTCATGCTATCTTCTGTAGCAGGGGTCTTCGGCAACAGGGGGCAATCCAATTACGCCGCCGGCAACACCTTCCAAGACGCGTTAGCCGCCTACCGCACCGCGAAAGGCATGCAAGCATCAAGCATCAATCTAGGCAGTGTCTCAAATGTGGGGTGGGTAGCCGAGAACCGTGGCTCGATGCGCACGCACACGGCACCGCTATTCGAGGTCCTGCGCGAAGACGAAGTCCACGCAGCGATAGAGTATCTGATTGACCCGCGGCTCAAAAAATATACCACCCAGAACGATCTCCCGGAGTCGCAACTCGTCCTGGGTCTTCCGAGCGCAGAAATGTGTTCTCAGAATGGCATCCCCCCGCCTACATTTTTAGAGTATTCGCTCTTTACACATTTCAAGGCTACGTTTGTTGCGAAACATAGCGAGAGGCATGAACAGAAGACCGTTAGCACTGCTGCACTTTTGACAGCGGCAGTCAACTTTGAGGACGCGGTGGTTGTGGTCTCGGACGGTATTGTCGAGAGACTCTCGTCACTACTGGCCATTCCAGCGTCTGAGTTCGATGCACAGCGATTCGGCTTCGGGGGTATTGACTCATTGGTCGCGATGGAGTTTCGCTCATGGATTGTTAAGGAGTTGAAGGCGGAGGTGTCGTTGTTGGATATTATGGGGGCACAGAATATCAGGGCGCTGAGTGAGAAGGTTGTGGGGAGTCGGTTTGGGGAGAGGATTGACGGCGGCGGTGGTGGAAGTGGGTGATGGATGAGTGGCCGTGGTGCGATGATATGATGCCGATTATGATCACGATGGTATGAGTATGATGTTCACGAAGTTTTCTTTGTCTTGTATTGTTTATTTGGAGCGATGTTTATTCCTCGGCATTGGCGGCTGCTCTCGCTATATATAGTTCTGGATGTTTTTTTTTTTTGGAACTTGTTAATGTTGTTACATAATTTGATTCGTAGTCATTACAATCCGCATGTGCGTAGTGACTATTAGCCTATCTGAATCCATCGTAAAAGTCATAAGAAATACTCGAGAAGGACGCATGTCCCTACAAATTCGTTCCAGCAACATCAAAGATGTCATTCCTCCACGTCCGTCCCAGACCATGACTCTCATCCCCATCCTCGATAGCTTCTTGAGCCCGAGTGGCCTCCTCATGCCACGTCTTAACAATACTTCCAGGAGCATAAACCCCCTTAAATACACCAGTTTGGGGCGCATCAATCCCCACTCTGGCTTCTATATCCAGATTTGGCGCCGGCTTCAGTCGTGCCAGCACAGCTCTGACGAAAGTAGCCAGATCCTGGGGGTTTGCAATGCGGACAGCGCGAAGACGCTCGCGAGCAAAAACCAGTTCCCGATTCAGGGCGAAGGCCGCAGCCACGATCTCCTCGGCGATCTTCTTCTCCAGAACGCGACGGACGAAGTGTTTCAGGAACGGCTTGGTCAGCCACAGAAGGAACTTCCACTTGCTACGCTGGACTTTGTAGTCAAGCTTGTGGATGCAGACCCGCACTCCACGCAATGTGAAGATCTGCTCCAAGCCGCCACGACCGACTTCTACGTCGAGGGAAATGTCAACGCCGCGACGGTCGAGGTAGAAGCTGGCAATGCCTTCGTCTTTGAGGTGGAAGATTAAACCTGCGCGCGTGCGGAGCCAGAACCCGAAATCCTGAGCGCTGATGTTCAGACCTTGGACTGTTACTGTGAATGCTGTTTTGATGCCTGTCTCTGTGCGTTTCGAATGTTTCTTGACAATCTCAATGTCGTTGCGAGTCCCGATGTGCATGCGATAAGGAAGGAATGAAGAGTAATTGACTGTGCGACCCGGCTCCAGGATTAAATTCTCAACAAGCAGGTCCAGCTCCGGCGCGGAAACCTCCAGTCGGGGGATGGGGATATATTGGATGCTTCGTAAGAAAATAGGTAGGAAAACATTGACCAGGTCTGCTGGAAGGTCGGTTTTTTTGTCATTGTAGGCATCCCACGCATCGTGATAGAGCTTCTTGGTTGCGCCAATGACCTTGGACACAGCTGGATCATCAGGAACCATTCGCAAAGTCCGTTTGGTTTGTGCTAGGAAGTCGTCTACATCTCTGCGTAGGTTGGTCTCCGAGCCCACCTTTTCAGATTGCTCTTTCAGCTCGTCGAGTTTCTGCGGCGCAGCATCAAAAAATCCCGGGTCAGTAAGCATGTCTCGCAATGAGGCACCCACTTCGTCCATCAGTTTTTCAAATTCAGGGTCCTTGTTGGCATGGCGCAGGACATTGTGGAACTTTTGTCGCAGTCGGTCCCATTCCTCTGAACGTCCGAACAGCCTGAGCAGCTCCCAGAATTGATCCACGGCTTGCTTCAAGTCGGCATTGACATCGATGTCTTCCTGTGCGGCGCTCGCTGTCTCTTCAGCGGCAGTTGAATAGAGCTTGGCATAGCGTTGAACCAATTGTGAGATTGTTGAAACAGAGTCTGAGTAGTCGGACCTCTCACGCAGTTTCTGAACGGACTGTTTCAACCGGTAGAGCAACGTGTCCCTCTCTTGGCCCGATAGATGCTCCTTTGCGCTCTCCAATGCCTGGCGGCTGGTGCGAGCGACTCCTTCACCGGCTACCTCCGCTACGTGGGCAGCTTCCTCCCTGATCTCTTCCCCCGACACGGCACGACCCTGATCGGCCCCGGCACCTTGAACTGCTGCTTGTTCCTGCTCTGAAGGTTGAACCTGTTCGGCGACTAGCTTGGACGATTCGGACAGGGAAAAAGCAGTGTCAGCGAAGATTTGGCGGCCAATTGTAGCAACATCGTCGACGAAAAGACGGAAATCGGCGTTCGTCAGCAGCAAGGATCCCACTGTGCGGAAACTGTCGTACGCTAGTAGTTGAGACCCGTTAGTCTATACTCGGGATGCCGAAGGGAGTAACTAGTGGGACCCACCAGCTTTAGTATCCGCGCGCGCCTTGATCTTGCCTGCCTGCTGGGACACTCGGGAGCTATCCAGCGAGGCTCTAGACCGGGCCAGATGCCATAGAAATTCCTGTAGCTGATCCTGATTGTTCTTGTCCAGCACAAACTCGATGAACACCTGGATCCACAGGCGACAGTCGCGCACGAGCTGTCGCCCCACACTGCCGATGTCCTGGTTACGGATATTGAGTATGTCGGAAGCTAGCAGGGTGCGCAGATTGGCGATGGTCTGTTCGGTGGATGGCATGTACCCCTCGGACAGGGCGCGGAGCATCTGGTAGGAGTGCAGCTTCTGGTGGAGCTGTCGCTGACGGGAGGTATCATCCTCATAACGAGGGAGGAGGGGTTCTGTTTCGCCCGGCATGACGATGGACGTGGTGGTGGCTAAGTTGTCATGGATTGGGTCTGTTTATGAGGTGTTGGGAGGCAGAAAATGTAAGACGCGCCCAGCCTGTTTATGGTCATGATGACGACACCGCGTTGCGCAAGTATATTTCAACTACACGCTCAACGATAACTACTGGTGCCCGCAACTGGATTGCCCTTATTCCCTCGCACTGGCGCTTGGATGCTCACGGAGGCCCTCTGATTTTTAATTCCCTGCTAGGCACCCTCCCCAGCCCTGGCCTTAGACGGAAGGGAGGCACAAAACCTCCCTCCTGCGCTGAGACGAGATTATAGGCCTGCCAGAAACCAAGGACCTCAGCTGGGTGAAGCAGGACGACGCGCAGGTCGCAGCACGGGCGCGAGGCCGTACAGTAGCGACCATTATGCACGCCGCGACAATTGTCGAGACCGCGCGGGGGAATCCGGACTGCCCTGCAACTCAATTCACCGGACATGATGTCTCCGACCTACGGAAACACCATCCTTTACCAGCAATGGCAATTGTACCTCAGCGCAGAGTTTAATAAGGCGTATTAGTAGGCTGATTTCGTGGAGACGTTTTTGCAGGTTGTGAAGGGAAATGTGATGGAGCATCTGGGTATTGGACAGACGGCATAAAGCAGAACTTTGGGAGGATAATATGAATGCCCGGGGGTGAATAATAATAACAATACCAAAATATCTTCATCGCCTACCGTACTACGTACCATCCGCCCTGCGTGGATCGACGATCTCTGGGGAAGCTGAATTTAGCCAGCCATTTAGACAGACCGGATGGAGAGCGTCCCACTGGATTCCTGTTCCTTATTTGGATTTGAATTTCGATTTGTCCTAAAATTATCGTGTGCCAGACGTCTTTGAAAGTTAAAAAGCTTCAATCCGGAGGAACGATCCAGTTCTGGTCCCGACTGGGAATCATTCCACCTGGGGACGGGTCCAAAATTCGCTCGTTCAGTGCCACCGGTGCTCGCAAGGGGGTCACACATTCCATGCCGCCTTGCCCGCTTCCCGAGCCCTTTCCCGACAACTGAGGTGTACGGTGTACTCTTCAGCATGGACTGCAGAAAAAAAATTCCCTCAGGGGGTTTGTTGGGGCTGGAGGATATAATCCCCTTTCCCCTCGGCGAGGGAGGCCATTCAGAAGCCAGAATGACATCGCCAACGCGGCCAACGCGAAACCACCCAACTCCAAAACCGACGTGGGAACCGGCCGTAGCATTTTTCCCTATCTCGGCCGGCAGACTCCGCACGCCGAAATCCGTGCCCCTCAGGCTTCCAGAACAGCGTCCGTCTTTGCTGACGGGTCCACTTCGGCACTACTCTGCGGCTCTGGGAGCTCCCTGGTGTGGAGACGGATGTGCGCCAGGGACCCAGTCGCCTTCTCCCCGGCCTCGATGGCCAGTCATCGTGCCCGCGCAGACTCCACGCGAAGGCGGGAACGAAAATGCCCTGTCGGCGTTCGAGTTCGAGGTGTACCGTGTAGAATGCCTCCCTCTTCCCGCCAGGACGGACTGTACGGTGTAGTTTCTAGATGGATCATCGCTGCAGCATGCACACCGTCTCCTTGGGTCTGGTTAATCGTCTAGGTTCTGGTGGTAGAGGAGCATACCATGCCCGAATTGCAGACTGCGCGAGATTGAGGATTCTCCGCATTGGCGAGTCGGCGCCGCCCGTCTCCACCAGGACCTCCCCTTGCTGCTTGGATCTGATGCCCGAAAAAGAAAGAAGCTTCTGATGGATCCAGATTCCGCCAGCCCCAGCGCCCCCCGAGCGCAACGGTTCGCTGCCATCACCGAATATCCACTGGGCCTGCCCCATCCCTTTGTACCATCCCCGACTCTTCCCGACTCACCGCGATGTCGATTTTTTGCTGGCTGAAGCGCCCCTCGACACGCGGTCCCGGCTAATTATCTGGGTGCGAATCCGCTGCCAGTCGGAACGTCGTGGACGATGTGCGCTCGAACCCAGGGGATATTAACTAGCATGCTAGCTCCACGCCGGGTACATAAAATCAGACTGGACACTGCTCCCCGATTCTTTCTCTCTTCTTTCTATCATTCCTGCCCTCCTTCCTGGTCGAACTCGAGTAAGCCAGTTCGTTCACAGCCTGACACAATGGCTCGATTTCCTTCTCAACAGCAAAGCCGGCCGGTGCATGCCACCTCGTTCATGAACCAACCTGCCCCGTCGCCGTAAGTGATTTCGCACTCGATTGAGTCAATGCCTGGAAGAAGAAGAAGATGAAGAGGAGGAGGAAAGCTAATTGTGTGTGCTATAGTGACGCCGCCAACTATGACACTGCCAACCCTTCCTACATCCGCAAGTACCTGCGCACCTACGGCCTCACTCCTCCTCGCGCCGAGAGCTACGAGACCCAGAAGACCCGATGCCTGGCCCAACTGGGACTGAAGAACACCGAAATCGACAAGTTCCTCTACCTCAGCACTCTTCGCAAGAACAACGTGCACCTGTTCTACCGTCTGGTGACTGACCACCTCAGAGTATGCTCTCCCACGATGATGCTCGAATCAGCAATCATACTAACACATATCCCCGCAGGAGCTCACCCCTCTGATCTACACCCCGGTGGTCGGCGAGGCTTGCCAACGGTGGTCGGAGATCTACCAGCAGCCTGAAGGTAAAAACAAGCCACCGATCTTCCCCGGGAGAGACCGGAACGCTAACGAGTTTCATCAGGCATGTATCTCAGCTGGGAAGACAAAGGCAATCTGGCCGCAGTGATCGCCAATTGGCCTCAGTCGCATGTGGAGATCACATGTATCACCGATGGCTCCCGAATCCTCGGACTGGGAGACCTGGGCATCAACGGCATGGGCATCCCCATTGGCAAGCTGGCCCTGTACACGGCCTGTGCGGGTATTCGTCCCGAGGCCACCCTGCCTCTGACGCTGGATCTGGGTACTAGCAACAAGACCCTCCGGGAAGACCCGCTGTACATGGGCAGCCGCCGCGACAAGCTCCGTCCCGAGGAGGAGCTGGAGTTTATGGACGAGCTGATGGCTGCTCTCACCGAGCGCTGGCCGGGGTAAGTGGTTTTGACTCAATCCACACGCACCCCCACGGGTGATCGACGACGGCTAACGGGAGCTTATTAGTATCGTCATCCAATTCGAGGATTTCAAGAACCCCTTCCCTGCGCTCGAGCGGTATCAGGGTCTGTACACCTGCTTCAATGATGACATCCAGGGCACCGGCGCCGTCATCCTGGGTGGTGTTATCAACGCCGTCAAGCGTTCGGGTCTCCCCTGCAAGGATCACCGCGCTGTGTTCCTGGGTGCCGGCAGTGCTGGCGTGGGTGTCGCCAAGCAGATCGTTGACTTCTTCATGCGTGAGGGCATGAGCGAGGATGAGGCCCGTGGCTGTTTCTATCTGGTCGACACCAAGGGTCTAGTGACCGCTGACCGCGGTGACAAGCTAGCCGACCACAAGGTGTACTTTGCCCGCCAGGACAACAAGGGCGAGCAGTTCAAGACTCTCGAGGAGGTCATTGACCATGTCAAGCCCACCATCCTGATGGGTCTGTCGACTCTGGGCGGTGTTTTCACTCCCGAGATCCTGCGCAAGATGGCCGACTGGAACAAGGCCCCGATCATCTTCCCCCTGTCCAACCCCTCGTCCAAGTCCGAGTGCGACTACGAGGCTGCGGTCAAAAACACCGACGGCCGCTGCCTCTTCGCTTCCGGCTCGCCCTTCCCCACCATGTCCTTCACTAACTCCGCCGGCGAGACCTCCACCTACTACCCCGGCCAAGGCAACAACATGTACGTCTTCCCGGGCATCGGTCTGGGCAGCATCCTCTCCAAGGCCGTCCGCGTCACCGACAACATGATCTATGCCTCCGGCGAGGCCCTCTCCAAGGCCCTGACCGCCGAGGAGATCGAGCGTGGTCTCCTGTATCCCGATGTCACCCGCATCCGCAGCGTTAGCATGGTCGTCACCCGCGAGGTGATGCGTGCTGCCCAGAAGGACGGTGTCGACCGCGAGACCGCCCTGCGCAATATGACCGACGCCGACTTGGACTCTTGGATCAAGGCCCGCATGTACGACCCGCACACTGAAGTCCGTGCCTTGGAGCGTGAGGTCGGCCACCTGCTCTCCAGCCTGGGCACGGTCTCCCCGCCGTCGAGCAATGGCTCCCCCGTTGACGAGAAGAATGCGAAGCTGTAAGATCTCGACCTTCATTACTTATCTGCCTGCCTGCCTGCCTGCCTCGTTATGTGTCAGGTCTTTCATTTCCGGCGCTTCACCCTCTCGTCCTGAAATCTGTTCTAATCGCCGTCCCTGCTTAGGATCACTGCGTGATGACGGACTCACCATGTTTCCCCTTTTCCTCTCTCTGCCTCATCTGGAATTCGAGCGCTCTCATTTTCGATTTATGTTCTGCGGGATGGGCCCCGGGCACTTGTTTTTGATTGAATACCCTTTTTATTTTCTCACATGTTCTCGGTTTTTCGCATTTTTGGGGTCCCCTTCCTGCATTTTTGGGATCTAGCTTAGGATAGCATTCAATGACATCTGATCTAAATATGTGGATTTTCTCCCCGCTGCCCCTCTCTGACCGCACGCCGTAGATATGGGTTAGTGGCCGTGCCGCTCCTCGGTCCGTTGCCACATGTCACACCGAGCATATCCTTGGGTCTCCATGCCTCTGTTATCTCCTCCATCTATGCTTCCTGATTACTTCTCCAGCCTGCTACTAGCAAGCGCAACGATCTAATCAGACCAAGCCGATGATCAATTTGGGGAATGGCACATGTACCTCTAGTCGTTAAGAGGGAATCATCACATGTTGAAGCCGGACGAACTTGACTCCCCCAAATGTCAATCAACTGTCATGGTGCTAGGCTCAAGTGTGATACCGATAGCATTTCAACTACCTACGCGCGGCAGAAAATTAAGTTGAAAAGTTATGGCTATTCTGGATTGTGCCCCGATTGACCGACGGAGATATTAATCCCTCCGTGTGGGGCGATGACAAACGCTATGCCGAGGCTTTTTTCTAAAGTTAAACGCTAAAGACCCTGAAGAATGAACAGTGTTTGTCTCTTTTCTTTAAAATCTCTTGCTATCGGCAGAGGAGTATAATTGTTTCGGTAGGACTTGTTTTTGAGAGTGCTGTACTTTTCAACTTACCAAAATTGCAGTTTTTCCCATCGAGATCTGCACATTGCACTTGATAGCCGTCTACACGTATTTCAAGGCCTGCATATTGAGGCCGTCTGCAAGCAGATTACAGTGGTACCACCGTATAAACCCATACATTCATCTCTCGACGCATAATACTAGGACCCATTATGCCTTCTCCACTAGCAGATCCCGTCAAGCTTCCTTGCGGGCTAGTCTTCTCCAATCGCTTAAGCAAGGTAAGTCCGATCTCGCTATCATGAAGCTATAGCCATTAACATAATTTAGGCCGCAATGGCCGAGCTCATGGCCAAAACTAACCACCCAAATCCCAAACTCCTAAATGCCTACGAGAGCTGGGCCGAAGGCGGCTGGGGCAGCATTCTGACAGGTCAGCACTTCCACCCGAAGAAACGACGCATCGCCCCTAATCTTAGTTTAGGAAACGTCCAAGTTGACGTCAACCACATGGGCAGCCCATTTGATCCGGCCTTGCATTCTGAGTACACGGGCAAGGACGAGGCTTTGCTCTCGGAGTGGAAGAAGTATGCCGACGCGTGCCAGAAGCACGGCACGCAAGCTATCGTGCAGATTTGCCATCCCGGCCGTCAGTCGTTTCGTGTTGCCGGTCGTCGTGGTATTTTTGGACCGACACTTGCTCCTAGTGCTGTCCCTATGAACATAGGCGATGGCTGGCTGGAGAGCGTTGTTGCGGCCATCACCTGGTCACAGCCGCGGGAGATGACTCGCGCAGATATCGAGAGGGTGATCCGGCAGTTTGTCGATACTGCTAGACTGGCGGCCGATGCTGGGTTTGCGGGCGTGGAGCTGCATGGCGCTCATGGGTACTTGCTTGGTAGGTTCCCTTTGGATGGACTGAAGATGGTATACTGACTATGATTGTTCCCAGATCAATTCCTGAATGCCAAGGTGAGATAATATTTTTTGAGATACTGTACAAAAAAATGAACTAATGAACAAATAGACCAATATCCGCGCTGATGAATACGGCGGCACGCCTGCGAAACGCGCTCGCTTCGTTCTGGAGATCTTGTCCGAGATCCGCAAAGTCGTCCCCGCAAGGTTTTGCGTGGGTATCAAACTCAACTCCGCTGATCACAGCTCTGCCACATTTGAAGACACCATGACACAGATCAAGCTGCTCGTTGAGGCGGGTATTGACTTCATGGAGATCAGCGGTGGATCCTACGAGGATCCTCGGGTGAGTAGAGGACCATATTCAAGCACGACGGAAGCTAATTAATTTAGATGATGGGCTATACCTCCCAGCCAACCCCTCAAGCACCGAAATCTGAACGCACTGCCGCTCGTGAAGCCTTCTTCCTCGAATTTGCCAAGGAAGTGCGGCAGCGACACCCAGGGCTTATCCTTATGCTGACGGGCGGGTTCCGGAGTCGTGCTGGTGCCGAAGCTGCCATTAAAGACAATGCGTGTGATCTGATTGGAATTGCACGACCTGCTGCTGTGGATCCAAAGTGGCCACTGAAGCTTCTGGATGAGAGTATGCCAGATGAAAAAGTGCAGCTGCAACTGAACAAAGCGCCAGTACCTTTCTTTGCAAGGTGGTTGCCAATGCATCTCGTGGGAGCTGGAGCTGAGAGTGTAAGTGTCTTCTCATGGTGAAAATTGCATCTATGGTTTACTGATTTATCTCTATTAGACATATTATGCAAACCAGATCCAGCGGTTTGCTAGGGGGCTTGGTACATATGGCCCTGCTTTGTGAAGGAATTCGACGCGTTATTTGGTATAATCTGTAAAGGAATTCATTGGTATTCTTTGTTATAGATGATCAAATTGTTCTTGTTTTGTACGTAGTAATTAGTCTTGCAATGTTGATTGAGATTCTTAGCTGGCAATTACTCACTAGTCAGTTTATCTAGTTTATCATGGATCTCTGTGCTTTTACATTTTCAAGGAACTCCTTGCTCTTACCAAAATGTGTTTCGAATTAAAAGATCCTCGTCCAGGTGGAATTCTATCCCTAGAGTTTAACTAAGGGGGTACTTTTGAGAGGACAAGCGTAGCTAACAATTTGTCTACCACTGCCTCCCTAATAGATAGTGGTCTAGGTGGGTAGAACTTCTTGTTATTAACATCATTCCTCTACAATTCCGCTACACTGAAGTCTATCCACTCCCAATCCTCTTATTATTTCTATATGTGACAAGCCATAGCTAGTCTAGTCCCTATACGACTACTAGCTGCAGATTCCTAACATCATAAGTTCGGCCCCCAATTCGATCCCCTAGAGTGGAATCCCGTTTTTTTGGTTCCGCCCCGGCCAATCCGCTATCAGCCTAGGCGTTCGGTGGTTCGGATAACAATACAGGGTCACGTGCCTACTCTTCGGGATGCACCCGAACCTGTTCATCGAGCTGTCAAGCAACATCAACGCGGAATCAGTTGATCCTAATCTCCCAAATGAACTGAAATGACACAAACCTCATGATTCACAAAATATATGTCGGTCTAGTTCTTCAGATCCCAGACCCGTTATGCCTCCCAGGACTAGGGCCGCAAAACAGGGCTTGCCTCGCCGCCGGAAAATTGCGCTTGCGTGTGAGCTTTGCCGCGAGAAAAAAGTACGATGTGATGGTCAAAAGCCCATATGTGGTCCCTGTGCTCGACGATCATATTCCATAGAACGATGCGTTTACAAAGTAGAAAATGCTCGTTCAGCCAGCAACGACGAGTGAGCCTTGCCCCGATTGATATCCATCATAGATTATTTACATACGCTCAGGTATCTCAAGGCGCTTCATAATCGCATTCTGGAACTAGAAGATGTCTGCGCGAAAGGCGGAATTGCTGTTCCCCCGAGGGATATCCAGGAAGTTGACAGCGAGAAGAATCAGCTGGCTCACCAATCAGCCTTGCTGATGGATACGTTGGATACGGAGCCTAGGACTTCAGCTGCTGTTGAAGGACTGCTGGGACTAGGAGGTAGTCCTGTAATATCTGGACAACAAGACATAGCCCGGACGCCTCTGCCGCAGACTGCATCTTCTACTGCGCCCAAAACTCGGCCAGAAGGGCTCTACACGAATCTAAAACAGGACAGTGCAAATTCGAGGGGAATATCTAATGATCTGGGATACAACCGCATAGAGAATGTATATCCATCTCCATCTCTGACTTCACAACTCAATATCACAGCCATGGGCGCAATATCTGCTGAGGACGGAGGCACGACAGACTCGCCGCAAACACCCTATTACGGCAACTCGTCAGTAGCCTCGTTCATGCGTCTCGCCAGAGAATCAATTTCAGTCCAATCGAACATGCAAGCCCTCCAGCGCGACGGAAATAGTCTTACAAGAAACCGAGACCGCGATAGTGGTCTGTGGAAAGACTTCAACGGTGCTTCGCAGGGATTCCAAGTCGATGACTTTTCACTCCCTCCACGCTCTCTGGCAGACCACCTTCTTAAATGCTACTGGGATCGGGTCTATTGCTTATACCCTTTCTTTCATCGCCCCAGTTTTGAGAAGGCATACGAGAATCTCTGGGAGTCCAACGAAAATATCAAGACTCCACTACCCCAGCTCAATATCGGTCTTGGTGGATCGTTTGATTCGAAACCAAATTCAATTGTCTTTCACTCTGCCCTGAACGCCATATTTGGTATAGGCTGCCATTTCTCTGACCTTCCGGTCGCCGAACGAGAAACAGCCGCATACTCATTTTTCCTTCGAGCAAAGAGATTTATAGGTCTCGACTTGTTGGATATTGCTACCATTGGCGTGGTTCAAACGCTTCTTATTATGGCTCTTCTTCTACAAAGCACACCATATCCTAACCGGTGTTGGAACTCAATTGGAGTTGCTTGTAGGGTTGCGCAAGGACTTGGATTGCATGAAGACTCTGCTAGGATCTCGACTAAACCCTTGGAAAGAGAGATGAGACGGCGAACATGGCATGGATGTGTGATTATGGACATGTTAGTTTCTCTCCTGCTTTCTCCTCACAAAAATACTGACAATTATCATATAGGATTGTCAGCATGACTTTCGGACGCCCAAGCATGACCTCTCATGTCCCTTCAATTCCACTACCCGCAATGGGAAGCGAGTCTCCAATAGATGACCCTTGCAAGAGCAGTGGGCAGCCCTGCGATCATCGGCTTGGATATATGACTTTCTATGTGTCAACCATTGAACTGTTCGGGATCCTGGAGTCAATCCTCTCCGATGTCTATAATGCCTGGCAGAGTCGATCAGGAAAACATCCCGAGTCAAATCGAGGAACTAAGCACGGCAGTCTGGATGTGATCATGGAGTTGGATGATAAACTGTCTGCATATGAGGCCAATGTTCCGGAAGTGCTTAACTGGACCAAAGCGCAGTCTTCACATAAAGCAAACAGCCACCAACTATCTATACTAGAGCGTCAGCGGAATGTACTTCGCGCACGGTATGATATATCACATCCCATCTCCTTGCGCAAGCTGATAACAGCCCAGATTTATATACCTTCGACTCCTGCTCTACCGTTCCATGTTTACACAGCTATGTTCCGACGAGCGGAATGGCACAGCGCGCCGTCCTGGTTTCGAGTCACGCAGCATCCCCGGCATTGAAAGAAATGTGGTATACTTGTCTGTTTCGGAGAATTGTGCGGCCGCCTGTGTTATTGCAGCTGTGGATCTCATCTCTCTAGTATACAAGACCTACAGGACGACCGTGACTGACGCGTGGTGGTATAATGGATTCTGTGAGTATTTGAAGTTTGATATTTGAATTGATGTGATGACTAACTATCCCTCTAGATACCTCAACTGCAGGCTTTGTTTTGATAATGTCATATTCCTGTAAACTAATGCGGGAGCATATTGACTTACAGACTGTTAATGAGGCATGGCGCAAGTGTGAGGAGATACTCGCGCATATGGCCCAGTTCAGTTTGTCGGCGCGAAATTCGTTGCAGTTCCTGCAAACAACGCAGCAGCATGTAGTGCAAAATTACCCAGGTCTGAATTTCCCACAAAAAAATTTCATTGCATAATCGATAGCTAATCGTTCGCCTAGGTGCATCTCGCAATGATGGGAATATTGCTTCGGGCTTTAACGAGCGATATCCACGGCGTTCTGTTGACTATAATCCATCGACTGAAGTTTACAATATGCCCCAAATAGCGGAAGACTATGATAAGGAACCCGAAGTAACTGGGGCGACTGTCAATCCATTGCTGGCCTGGGATGAGGTGGGTCTAGGGCCCGACGAGCTTGGTTTTCTGGGGAGATTTGATGTCCCCGACTTGGCGAGCTGGTTCTCAGATATTCCACCATAACTTTTCACATAGAAATAAATGAGGGCTGTCTTATTCTTGAATTTTCGGGATTGGTTGTTGGTATAGAAGCTCTAGCGGATGGATGTCTTGGCATCTTCCATTCCGGCTCAACTTCCCTCATCCGTCGTCCTCTCCGACGTCACACCCCAGGAAACGTCTGTCCACCACGCCAGGGTATCGTGATATATGAACACTGAAATAATGTCATGTACTACCTGAGACACGCATATCAACCATGTATGCACCGGGGCATAGTCCGGAGTCGTCCAGACAGTCCAGTCCTCTAGTCACAGGCGACAATCCTCGCAAGCGGACACGAACGGCATGTACTCGCTGCAAAACGAGGAAGCAGAGAGTGAGTAAACTACCTTTTCCATATTCATTCTCTAAAGGGTTCCATCCAGTGCGACAACGCATATCCGACCTGCTCGAACTGCCAGAAGGCGGGGGTCACATGCGACAAGTCCAGCGTGCGAGAAGAGTATGGACAGAAGGATGATGAGTATGTAAAACAATGCACAGTCGTTTGGTATATACATGAATTAATTCGGATAGCTACACCCGAGCTCTCAAAGAAAGAGTTGCTTTCTTGGAGCAGAAGCTTATCCAGTCAGAACCGTACGTTGCTCCAGGTGCGACGCCTCAAGGCAGTCAAGCAACACCACCTTCTGGCCTTGACAACAATCCCATTGGCGAGATAGTGGGCCTTCTTGCACTGAGCTCCTCTGAAGCTCCTGCGTACGTGGGTTCGAGCTCCGGTGTCTCCCTCGCCGCCAACTTGGGAGAGATGGTCCAGGCGAGCGTGTGGAACCAGTTCATTTCAAAAGCCCAAGTGCAGAATCAATCAAATGCGTCTGGATCTGCGGCACCTTCCCATATACCAGGCCCCAATGCACCCCAGCCAGGTAATGGTGGCAACGCTCGAATTCGGGACCGGCCTAGCCTGCCCTCTAACTTTGAGCCTCCAAGTGACGAAGTGGGATACAAAATTCTTGAGACATATTTCAAACGGCTTCATCTACGCTACCCGTTCCTTGACCGGAAAGAACTATGGCGCCTTCATGGGGAACGGTGGCGATTGGCAAGAACTAAGCGCGAGAAGCTCTCGCAGTCAGATCGATTTGCGATATTCAAGCTCAATTTAGTGTACGCTATCGGTGCGACGATGATTCAGATTAGCGACAAATATGCGGGAACACCTCCGGAGGTACATTCAAAAACTTTCTGTTGGTGATCAGCTGCTCACTTGTTTCTAGCGATTCTACTCGGATGCTCTACAATATGTACCGACCATGTGTGAAGCACGTTCCGTCCAAAATATTGAAGCAATGTTACTTCTTGTCGTTTACCATCTGCGCACAGCATCGAGCCATGGAATGTGGTACATGATCGGACTCGCTATGCGCACCGCCATCGATCTCGGCCTTCACCGAAAGGCAAACGAGATCAATATGCATCCATTCACAGTTCAAATGCGACGGCGATTGTTTTGGACGGTGTACTATCTTGAACGGGTCGTATGCATGTCTCTAGGGCGCCCATTCAGTATCTCCGATCGCCACATAGACCTCGATCTTCCTGTGGATGTGGACGACGATATACAAGATCCAGCGGTGCTGACGGGTCCCCAAGATGTGACCAGGAAAACAACATTGACATTCGCAATTTATCTTTTCAAACTCCGCCGCATTGACTCCCGCATCCAAAACAAAATCTACCGAGCCGATCGATCTCTGTTTTCTCTGCAGTCCAAAATGGATCCACTGTACCTCGAACTACAGGAATGGAAAAACGAAGCTTTTTTACGATTCGGTGAAAATGATCTCGAATATCCAATGCTTCATTACAATCGAGCAGTACGATTACTGATCCAGCCATTTCTACCCCTTCTCCCCACCTCTGATCCGTATTATCACATTTGTCTTCGTTCTGCAGGGGAAATATGCCAATCCCACAAACGTCTCCACCAAACCCTGGAATACGGCCACTCCTTTCTTGCAGTGCAAACTGTTTTTATGGCGGGGATAACTCTGCTGTATGCACTGTGGACCCATACGGACGAAGTATGGTCCGTGCAGATGAGCAACGATATCCGTGCTTGCTCAACAGTGTTATTCGTGATGAGTGAGCGCGCGTCATGGGTGAAGAAGTACCGAGACGCCTTTGAGCTACTGGTCAATGCCTCCATGGAGAAATTGCAGGGCAACGAAACTGCCAGAAACGCAGGCATGGCGGAGCTTATGACTGCTCAGCGCGGATGGACCAATTTGAATACGGCTATACCGGGCATGGACAGTGGCGAGAAATTTGCGCCGGCTAACCCAACAGGCCTGGCACCTGATACTACAGCGGGGCCTGGAGTTGGCATTGGGGTAAATGATACAGACCATGCAGTTAGGATGGCCCTGCAGCTTGCCCCTTGGATTGATCAGGATGAAAGTGATCCGCTGTGGATGCCGGATTTTGAGACTCTGGAGAATGTGTCGGGGAATCTTTGGAATCATGCTGACATGATGCCTTTCGATGCTCTTTAAGATACATGAATGTCATTATTATTTAAGATCTAAACCGTATTATTCTATCTATGCATATGCATGATTTGTTTTGGTATCAAACGCCACCCATGCAAAATAAATGCCAGTAAAACAAGATCAGGATAAAACTCTTACAATGCTTCCCCTAGTGATGAGGGTCAACAGTCAAATCAGGCTCCGCCCGAGAAGGCGGCATAGATGACTCGGCAAGCGTCGACGACATGGAGTGTCGTTTCTCAGCTTCATCGGTGGCATGATCCATCTCGCAAGGCAATCCCTCCTCCGAGACAGGTTCAGCAGCAGGTTCAATAACACAGGCCTCAGGGTCCCTGGCCGCCTCAGCTGCCTTGCGCTTCTCTTCTTCTTCGATCTCCTGGGCATCCTTAGGTCTTTCGAGTCCGTGGTCTCGAACAAAAACGCAGGCAAGGAAGCACATTGCGATGACAGGAAACATGAAGAGGAAAACCGAATGCGAAGCCTTGGAATACGCATCGAGAATCTGATCCCACTCGACCTCGCTAATAGTAGACCGGTCGGGAAGCGAGTACGACGAATGAGTCAGGTAGGCAAATTTCGCGGGCAGATTGGACCGCAAAGTCGCCTGCAGGATGGCGGCGGAGATAGCCAGGCCGCACGCACCACCCAGGCAACGGAAGAAATTGCGGTCCGCAATGACGACCGCGCGCTGTGATTTTGTGCAATGGGCTTGCAGGGCAACCAGCGTAGGCTGGAAGGTGAACCCGATGCCCATGCCGGTGATAGCGACGATCACACAGACGATTGCGGGATGGGTATCACGTTTGAATAGTAGCATAAGACCACAGCCCCTACACAGGTGAACAGATTAGCATGTAATGTGCGTAAATTGCAAGGAAATTGGCAACTTACAAGGTCCAGAGGCCGAAGCCGACCCAAATTACCTCACCATATCGCTTGCGACGGGAGATGTACTGTCCAGAAGTGATAGAAGCGAGAGACTGACAGATGACCATAGGGCATGTGAAGGCCGCAGACACGATCGGAGAAACACCGCGAGCATTTTGGTAGTAGAGGGGCAGGTAGTACAGCAACGACTGGTATGCGGTTCCTAGAAGAAAGCTCTGCAGGAAGAGAGCGGAAATAACTCTGTTCTTGAAGAAAGTCACTTTTCTTGTTGTCAGCTTCAATTTCATTCCAATAATAAGAGGATACATACTTGGCAGCATCGGCAACGTGGCAACCTTCCACTCAATTATAATGAAGGCAACCATAGCGCAGCCACCAATGGTAAGCAAACTGATGACCAGCGGAGAGTCCCAGCGGAAATAGGAGCCACCCCCGGAGACGGGAATCAGGACGAAGATAACGCCAATGGAGGATGCAAGAATGCCCCAACCATCAATGCGGCGCACGTTCTTCCGGAAACTCTCCTTGCGAGCATTGTTGGGGATCAAGAAGTGTCCCTGGACAGCGGAAAGAGCAGCCAAGGGCGATATCAGCCAGAAGAAGCCGCGCCACGTCAATTTCATCGTGAACCCAGCAGCAAGGAACGGTCCGCAGACGTTTCCGACGCCCAGAGCAGCACCAAGGATTCCCTGGTACTTGCCTCGTTGTTCTAGAGTCACCACATCCGAGACGATGATCATAGTCAATGACTGGATACCGCCGGTGGCCACACCGGCCAGACCACGAAAGACATAGAACATAGCTGGGGTCTGGGACAAACCGCAAAGCAGATCGGCGATGCACATCACCACTAGCGCGGATAGGTAGACAATCTTCCGGCCGAAAATATCAGACAATCGGCCGTAAAGTACGGTGAACATGGTATTGGCGATTAGCGACGACGTCCCTGCCCAGGAAATAGTGTCCTGGGCGTTGAGGTCGCGTGCGATCGTGGGGAGAGTGACACTGATACCATTCTGGTCGATATTGGTCATCAACAATGAGATGGCTAGACCCGTGAAGACGACAATTAACTGCTTGAATGGGAGGATATTCGTCTGGTCGTGCAGGGCCTGTTCAGCGGCCCGTTGCTTATTCATTGTAGCGATTAAGAAGGCCAAGGCCCATGTAGATGGATGGGGATGGATGGAGCGAGCCAAGAAGGTTTAAAGCGTGGAGGGAAGACAAGAATCTGTCAATGTGGAGATCCCAAGCTTTGAAAGTCAAAACAATTCAGATCCACGGTGGCGGCCACTGCGGTCATATATGAGTAAGAAGAGTAAAATTGAATGGATACTAAGTAAGTGAGACTGAGAAAAGTCTGCGATGTACGCGTAGTAGAGTGGCCACTTTTCGCTCCGTCGGCGATAGATGCGGGTCTTGATTGGAAGGCAATTAGGTGAATTTTCATGCATCGGACGCAGGTCCGATAGAGTCAGCAAAGACCTGATCGAGGCCGCCTTTCCTTTTCCCAATCCTGTACCGGTGGACGTCGATCCGATAGCATTTCTCTTCTGGCTGCGTCGGACCGCCGACGACAGATTCAGCCTGGGCCCACTTCTCGGCTTTGTTCCGCCAGTCATTGTTCTTTGGTCGTGTGCTCATCGGACCTCCGAAAACGCAGTGCCGAATATCCGGAATGATTAGTCATGAAGAAGTATAGTTAGGCTAACTAGTAAAAGATGCATTTATCGAATGTCTACTGAATTGTTACATTTGAAATTTTGTTCCAACCAGCTCCTCGCTCAGCTTAACCAGTCTTTCGGCCACCTCAACGTCCACCGCATGAGGCGCAGTCTTTGCAAACTGACAGTCGCTGAGATACACAGCTGCCGGGTCGGTGACAACTGCACAGATTCCCACATATTAGTGACATGTCCACGTGGACACATCCAATTGCAAATCGGACATACCTGATAATGCCGGATCAAATGCAGCCACGAGCATAGTTGCAGCCCCTTGATCCAAATCCTTCCACACCGCACTCGTCTTCATTATGGTCTCGTTGCCAGCCTCGTCTAGGTTCCGACTCAGCCCCGTGACGATTGCTAGTCAATAGGTTGTAAGGTTTACTGTTCACGCATGGTTTAAAATTGGCTGCAGATACTTACAGCCGGGATGAACGCTATACGACACTATGCCGGCCGCCTCTAGATGTCGCGTGAGGTATAGCGAGAACAAGATGTTGGCCGCTTTAGACTGTCCGTAGGCCAGCCACCCGTTATATCCATTTGACGCGGGATTAAACATTGCTGGTAAACCAGCAGGTGGTCTTTCTTCGGGTGGGATCTCTTTCCCTTCGAAGTTATAGTCGTGAAATCGAATGGGCGACAGCCGGTGTCCGGCGCTAGTGACATTGATAATTCGCGTGGTGCCGCGGGTTGAAGCGCTAGCTGCGAGTTTTAACTGCGGCATGAGTAAGGTTGTGAAGAGAAAGTGGCCAACATGGTTGGTTCCAAATTGCATCTCAATTCCATCCTCAGTTAGCTGGCGGTCCAGGACCATCACACCGGCATTGTTGATCAGAATGTCGACTCGATCGACCAGGCCTTGGATCTGGGATACTGCGGCGCGGATTGACTTTTGGGATGCGAGGTCCAAGACTACTGTTATAACAGATGTTGATTGTAAGAGCTGGCGGACCTTATCGGCAACCTGCTTGACTTTGGACTCTGTTCGTGATGCCAGAATCAACGAGGAAGGATTCTGACCACCTATTGCCACAGCGAGGCCTTCTCCTAGACTTTCAGGGCCAACTCCGGTGATAACCACTGTTGCAATGTATCAGCATTGGGCCTTGTTGTGTACCTCAGTACTCTGGTCATCTCACCATTCTTGCCCTTGATTTGGCTAGCAAAGGCACGTGCAACTTCTGTGCCTGAAGTGTTCCCATCGAACTCTGGATGAGAGTTAGACATAGTGTAATTTACTCCTTTTGATTCCCTAAATTATACATATAGGTAACTCTAGACATATAGGTAACTCTAGACATATAGGTAACTCTAGACATATAGGTAACTCTAGACATATATCCTCCAGATCCTCTGGTCTGGTACCTTCACGGCCCCGCATCGACTTGATGGAGGTATTCCTCTTTCCATGCCCCACAATAAAGGCGTGTCTCCCCTAGGCAACCACTGTAGCTCCTACTCCTCAAAACTAAACGTAAATGCGGGGACGCGGAGCAAAGTAAACCGAGATCCTCGACAAAATATGGAGACATCCGCAGCCCCGCAATATCGCTCCCCACCTTGCGATTTTATGAGTGAGTATGCCAATGCTCATTGGTGAGGATGCCCGGTAAAACTACCCGAGCCCTGGACTGTAGACGATTACAGTAAAGACCATCGGCAATTGAAAACTGGCACTCCCGAGGGGTTTTCAAAGCATATGACTTCAACGTAACTGAATATCTCCATATATCAGACAAAGCGGATATATTCTATCTTCTTTCCATTTGTATCGCCGGCATATTTGGGCCTATCATAACGATTAACGTTGAAGGATGACCATTCCACAGTCTTCTGACGCCGCACAGCCCAAGCCATCAGGGATCAAAGTGGTTGTTGTTGGAGCAGGTACTGTAATTTGAGATGTTGTCTTTGTCTTTTCTAACACAAGCAGGCTTTGGTGGACTGACGGCCGCGATTGAATGCCATCGACAAGGGCACAACGTCGAGATATACGAGTCATTTCCTGGTATGCTCTCAAATCACCCGCATGGTTCAGGATCACTGACAAATATGTGCATCCATTAGAGCTGAAATCACTGGGCGATATCATTTCATTCGGCCCCAATGCAGGCCGCATCTTCCGTCGCTGGTCGAACGGCTTGGTGGTAGATCGCATGACTCCACTCAGTATCAATCTAGAGAACCATGGCTTCAAGATTCACAAGTGGACAGGCGAGCTTGTTTATACACAGCCACCTCATAAGAAAAATCCCGAGGCACCTGTGTTTAACGGCCACCGAGGCGAGTTGCACACGGTGGTTTTCAACTATGCCAAAGATGAGCTGTGTATCCCTATTCATCTGGGTCAGAGGGTGACGAAGTATTTCGAGGATGAGAATCAAGCGAGAATAGAACTCGAGAACGGTAATCAGGTAAATATCCTTGAAGTCCCTCGGTTAATTACTTGACTAATTTGGCTTTAGGTCACAGCAGACGTGGTGATCGGCGCAGACGGAGTACGCTCTCAAGCGCGCGAGCTAGTGCTTGGGTATTTTGATAAGCCGAAGTCGAGTGGATATGCCATCTTCCGTGCATGGTGAGAGAGAGATAATCACTGAAGTAGGCCGCGTATTGATACATCGCAGGTTTCCCAACACAGACATGATCAGGGATCCGCGTACGAAGCACTTCTGTGAGAATGGAGACACCTTCAACGGCTGGATTGGACCAGACGTGCACTTTCTATTTTCGACCATTAAGAATGGGCAGGACTGCTGTTGGGTGTTGACGCATAAGGTTAGTCCCGTACTCTCGTGATATCAGAGACAGTTAATTTAACTGTTCCATAGGACGAAGCGGATATCGAAGAGTCTTGGTCGCTTCCCGGAAAACTAGAAGATGTATACAAAGTGATCGAAGGCTGGGATCCGCTCTGCAAAGCTATCGTCGAGAAGTCGCCTTCGCTGGTAGACTGGAAACTGGTTTACCGCGACCCGCTACCAAAATGGGTGAGCGAGCATGGCCGCATTGCATTGTTGGGCGACTCGGCGCATCCGTTTCTACCGACCTCAGCGCAGGGTGCTACGCAGGCGATGGAAGATGGGGTTGTGATGGCGATCTGTCTGCGGCGTGCTGGGAAGGGTTCTGTGCCGGCAGCGGTGCATGCGTACGAGAATATCAGGTATGAGCGTGTGCGAGCAGTTCAGAAGACCGGCGAGACGACGCGTGATATGTGGCATAAAGCGGATTGGGAAGCTGTTGCGAAGGATCCAGCTTCTATTCAGTTGCCAAGAGAAGATTGGATTTTTCAGTTTGATGCGGAGACGAATGCGGAGGAGGCTTTCGATGAGGCTGTGAAGAAGTTTTTATAGAGCGTGGACGAATGGTGGAGTGGGCATATATTGGGAGTCGAGGTATTAGTGAATTTAGGAGGTGGCTGTCATTCATATTGAGAAATGGATAATATTCTCACTCTGGCTACGCTCGATACTATAACGGGACTGTCTAGATTATCAATTTGCACTGCATATAAGGTCTGTTGTTGAATACAAGCCATCGAAAACACAGGCAGTGAATAAATATTCAAAACTGACGCTAGCACATGATATATTCCAGATCCTCATCACGCTATATTCTCACGAACTTCAGTCGTCCCTTTCTCCGATTCCTCAGAAATGGTTCTTTGAAGGGTATCTTCAGTGCGAGTCCTCGAGGTCTGCATCTTCTCAAGGGCTTCCCGTCCAACACATTTGTAGGAAGCGAACTGTCGAGCAGGCAGACGTTTCTCAAACTAGTGTAAAATAAAGTTAGTTTATATGAAATTCCCAATAAGATCACTACAAGAACTAACCATTTCATCAATTTCTTCCAAAGTTCGACCTTTGACTTCTGGTAAGTAAAAGAATATAAAAGCTGCTGCGATGAGGCAAGACGGGAACCATATATAGCCGTATTTAGGGCTGGTAACAATTATCATTAGTCCATTGATATCGTAGAACTGATGGGTAGTTACTACTTACCCCCAGTTTAGAGAATCGGGATTGATGAAATAAGGTGCGGTAAAAGTAGTCAACCACTATTCAATCGAATTCTTGTCAGTGTGATTATTAGTGATTCCGTCAGATATACTCACCGCGCCAAGGAACCCAATGGCAGCCGCGAAGCCAAACGTATATGACCGCAGACGCTGAGACGGTAATTCGCCGCCAGAGACCCAGGCGTATGTGGAGACCATTCCCTGACAGAGCATTAGCCAAATGAGAAGTATCAAACAAAATGCCTTCCTTACATTATATCCCAAGATAAAAATAATCGACAGCCCAACAATCGCCTTGCCCGTCGACTCGGTACCCGGATGCACCGTATCAATCGCAGCAATGATCAGCTGGCTGAACCCGCATATCAGCAGACCGGTCATCAGGAAGAATCGTCGACGTCCGAGACGAGTAACCACAGCAATATTGACCATGATAGCAACCACACTTAGCGCCGAAAGGATACAGCTATTCTCGAAGGCGTTTCCAACATTTGCCATCTCGAAGAAGTATGTCCCATACGCTGTAGAGAATTGTCAGGATAGGTATACCAACATGCCTTCAAATCTAAAAGCTCACCAATCATAAACATCGCCCCCGAAGCAGCCTGCGTACTCACAGCCGCAACAGCCAAAATAGTCCGTCGTCGATCGACGGGGTTGGTGAACATATCCCAAACTGAGACGCCGCTAGCCAGATCTCGCTCAAGCTCAATTGCGCTTTGGATATCTGCCATTTCCTGCTCGACAGTCTCCTGGTTGGGTCTAAGCCAGGTCAAGGCTTTGCGCGCGTCTTCGGTTCTGTCTTGTTGGAGTAGCCAACGCGGCGATTCGGGGATTATGAGCATGCCGCCGCATAGAAATGCGGGAATTATGTATATTAGTCCCAGAGGGATGATATAGCTGTTCTTGCCGTCTATCTTTTCTGTGAAATTGTCGATGATTGTGCCGATAAGGGACCCGAAGGACGTCCAAAATTGAAAGACTCCTAGCATGAGGCCTCTGTATCTGGCTGGTGCGCATTCCTATACACATGAAAGTTAGCCCTGAATATCCTGGGTGACGCCATGATGCTTCTATGCTTACCTGGATGTAGAGTTGAGAGAATGTCATCAAAAATCCATTACCCACCCCGATAATCAGACGACCAGCATAAAGACCCCCAATGGTGGAAGTTGTCATCATGACAATGTTGGATATGTAGACTAGCGCACAGGCAACATAAAGACTTGTCTTGCGGCCAATAAATGTCGCGATAGGTCCTAGGTCATCCATCAGTATTGCATTTTCAGAGCATCTTCAGAATGGACTACCTGCAGAACAAGAGCCAATGAAAGCGCCGAGCGTCATAAGAGACGAAATCAGCTGTTGCCGCTCGTAGGGAATATTCCAACCGATAGCTGTGTCCGCCGGCACACCAAAGACCTAAATCAAATAAGACCCGATCAGTTCCATATATCTCCAAGACCGAAGCTACCAAGCCAACCTGCAGGAACCCAATCATAGCTTGAAAGCCGCCTATGAGCGTGAAATCAACACCATATTGAAATGGTGACATAGAGATGAGCAAGCATGCCGCCAACGACTTCCAATGCACCCGAATCCCGCTTTTCCCTGGTGTCTCTGCCATCTTCTTCGATGTTTGCAGACACTTAGCTAAGTCGAGTGAGGAAAAGGAGAATAATAAGAGCCAAAGAGCTAGGTAGGGGAATATGCGGCTGCTTGCCGGCAACTCCAGCTTTTGCAGGATTCCAATGCTAGCAATTAGCCCTATGTACTGTCCCGCCCGGGCGATCAGACGACAGCGGCATTATTTCACCCCTTTCCGAGGTCTCATATTGTGGGGCTATGCGGAGTATGTTGGTTCTATTGCGAGGCTGCATCGGTCTAGTCTCGATCTAACCCGTGATCAACGAATTCTCAGTCCAAAATGTGGAGAAGTGGGCTGTCCGGAAAATCCGGGGAAAGTGGAGGGCATATTTACCCGACATTATGTATGGATGTGATGACATGTTTACTCGGGTTGGATTTATCGTCAGGTCAGATCTCAATATTGTGGTGTGATTGATATCGTAGATTTACCAACCAGTACTTAACGGTCCAATCCGATCCACATCCCTACAGCTCACTGATATAAAACAATGCAATAACTAAATCAAGGGGTATTCTTTAAGTAACAATTTCCACAAATCTTGAGCCATCAATAGACAAAAGTCGTGGTTCAAAACCAATATAAACCAGTTTCGTCAAATTATGGATTCGTCCGGTCACATTTCAAATCGTTTTATTTTCAACCACCTCAACGATCAATGAAAAGATCGAATGGGAATTGCCAGGACCCCTCTGTCGTTCCAGCTGACTATGTATGTGTTGGCCCAATCGGTACGCCCAAGCCACCAGCAGCCCAAGCATCATGTATGGTACGCGAATGAGGTGGATTCACATCGTACGCGCCGGGCTCGCCAACATCGTTGCGGGGGGCATTCGCTTCCGGTTGAACATGTTCTCTGGCAACGTGGCTTTGGTTTGGAACAGGATGGTGAGACATATAAGCACTGCCTGTGACATTGCCCTGGTTCGGAACGAAGCTCTGGTTGAGAGCTCCACACGTTGTGCAGGTGAACTCAATCTTGAAATTTGTGAGAACCATTTGGGGCACGGGAGTATGGTCATTTCGTTGAGGGTAATTTGAAGCTTTCTCGGGGCCAGCAACTGGTAGTGGAGCAGAAGTCGGGAAGCCGACTCCTGGCTGCGAGACATTCATTGATTGGGGGACGTTCATTGACTGCGGCGCAGTGTTTAGGGCAGACTGGTTGGATGCTCCAATTTGGGACTGGTGCTGTGCCGGAGGTGGCTGCCGCACTGCCTGAGTATTCGATGATGATGCTGCGGGTGGTAGTGGCCCACGGGGGCTCGGGGTGTCAGACCCAGGACTATCCTCTTCCTCAAGAAGTGGCCCCTGTAAACTGTTGGGAAGCCATCGAGTCTCCGGATATGCTGGTCCTCCATCAGCCTGCGAATCTGGCTGGGCATGTCCAGGCGATGGTTGGTCGCCTGCACTATGATCCACGTCCATCATAGTTTCACTATCATTCTCAGCATGTCGGGGCTGGAGCTTCGTCAGGGCCCGCTGAGCTTGTCGCATTGAGATATCATAACCGTGATATCGTTTAACAGCATCCACAACATCCTGTCCTCGAATACGAGTCTTCATATCAAAAAGCTTCGGAATCTCACTCAGCAAGAAGCGTACATGCGACGCCTCGGAGCGAGCCGGCGTGGATGCAGGCGAGTCCGCGCTCCTGCGACAACTATGGCTGTCCTGGAGACTGGTGATATACGTCGCATTTTTATTGCAGCGACAGACCACGCGAAAGAAGCAATTGGGCGACGAGCGACAACCAATGACGACGCTCTTCTTGTTGCTGCGACTGACGCGCAATTCCCAATGCTGTCTGACGGAGATGCTCCGGATCACGATCTTGAATTCTTCGAGGGACGAGAAGCGCTGGCCCACGTGGAGCCCCGAGTACATCTCCGTCATATTGGTAAAGAGGGCAGCCACAACGCGATCGGCGACGAGGAGGATGGCTGAGCCACTGGGACAGCAGTCGCAGGAGCTTGGGCGACAACGGCCATCAGGGCGCTGGGTCGGGGGGAAACGGGTCGCGACGCTATGTAAGCTTGGGAGGGATGCAGTATTTAATAATACGAAGAGATGGTAGGTCCAGGGTGCCGAATAGCAGAAAACGAGGGCTACACAGCTAGTTAGCTAGCTCGCAGTGCTGATGAAGAAAGAAGTGTTGATTAGGGCGGGCACGCGGAGGAGGCAGAACTTCTCTGTCACTCCCCAACTTCTCTTCTCCTACACACTACCACAATAATGCCTTACTACGGTTTGGTGGATCAGCCAGATGAAGGTCGGTTTTATCAACACTCTGCTTAGTTCCATTTCATCCATACTAACACGGTGGCCCCAGATGCCCTGCACAAGTCGCGCCTCCTCAACGTCGAAGAAAAGCCATTCAAGCGCATCGCCAAGCGCCTCTTAAATCCCGACGCCCTCACCGTATCTCCTTCCTCTCTTCCTATCACCCCTCCCCCCGACACATCCGACGCCGACGCACTCGCCGCCGCCGAAGCCGAAAAGCAGAAGCGCCGGGAAGAATGGCGGCATTTCCGGGAAGACGTCCAACTCGACTTTGCCGCGTTCGAAGGCAGCATCGCGCGCGTTCAGTTCCTTCTGACGAGCAACGAACAAGAGCGCGAGCGGTATGCGACCGAGAAAGTGCGGATTCTCTCCACGATGCAGTCTGTCCGCGAGAACACGATGGAACTGCGGAGCCAGCTTGAAGAGGCGCAGCGACTTCTCTCGTTACGGAAGAGCTACGACGAATTGACGGAGAAGATCACGAATAACAGACTGCTCAAGCCGAGGGAGGATCAGCAGGCAAATCTGCAGAAGTTGCAGCTGGAGATTACGGAGCTGGAGAAGGAAAGTAAGGATTACGCAACGACTTGGGCGGAGCGGCGCGACCAGTTTGGACGCATCATGGAGGAAGGATTGCAGCTGCGCCGACAGATTCGGGACGAGAAGGAGGAGGTCGAGCGCAGGGAGGGCATGCAGGAAGGCGAGGATGGAGACGAAGGCGAGGTTCCGGGCAAGGGCAAGACCAGCGGCGCGAATAGTCCTCGGCCGGAGAGCGAGGGAATGACGCCGTCGCAGCACAGCCAGGACGAGAGCGACCGGTTGCAGGTTGAGAAGGCGGCGGGGACGACAGGGGCTGCGTCGCCATTGCGACAGGTCCTCAGTGCCGTGGGCGACAAGGCGTCGAACGAGCAGGAAGATACGAATATGGTGGATGAGGGCGAGGTGACTGCGGGCGAGCAGTCCGATGAACTGGAAGAGGGAGAGGAAACCGATGACCGGTTGCCCGAGACGATGGACACGTCGTGACGGATTGCGATCAGATCTAGCATTGTACCTTACTGGGAACTGGGGCATAATTGGGCATTGGCGTTCTAAATTACATTTCTTCTTCCTTCATTCACGAAATCTCCCTCTCGGCCGTCTTGGCCTGCGCAATCGCATCCTTGGCCGCCGTGATGTGCTCGACATTGCTCTCGGATCCCTTCTTGCCCTCCTCAATCTGTGAACAATCAGTTAGTATGAGCGAGCCAATTGGCAAGAGAGAAAAAGGAAAAAGAAGCGCATACGATCAGAGCCTCCAAATTGGCAACGGTATCCGTAAGCTTCTGCTTCAACCCAGGCAGAACATTCTTCGTCTCCTCCAGCGCGCGTTGCTGTCTTCAAGTCAGTACATGTTCTCGTAACCCCCCCTCAAAAAGGGCGAATTAAATAGGGATATACATACCTCTTGCTTCAGCGTGTACTCTCGGTTCTCATCATCGTTGCCGGTCTGTGCCTCCAGCTTCTTCACGCGCTCGGCCTGGTCCTTGAGTTCGCGATGGTAGGAGGCCTCCTCCTTCACGAGGCGGAGGACGGATGCCGTGTGGATCTCAAGTTGTGAGCGGGGAGCCATAGTCAGGGTGTGTCTGAATAAAGGAGGACCTGGTGGCAGGCCCCTCATGATGCGATCATTGTTTGCACTGTTTGATTGAGGGGGATCATGTGATGTGATGAGGGTGGGTGAACTAGGTATCGATCTGAGCTGAGTTCAGGTCTAAATGATATATTTCATTGGAATCTTCAAATTTCATAACAACTAGTTGGGTGCCTCTGTCTGTGAGCTTCCCCGCTACCCATTGAGATAGAAACCCAACAAATTGGAAGAGCGACGCATCCTCAATGCGCTCCACGCGGACCAGCTCGGCATAGCTAGCCTTGATGGCATCAAAATAATAATAGAACACGACATCATAGGACACAAACATGCTAGGCAGTCTGCACGGGTCGATGGAATAAAATCTATAATAACAGAATCATCATTGTCGCTCTAGTCCATATTCAATCGACAACATAGAGTCCGCTCCAGCCAATGGCTGATCATGTGCCGATCTGTCATCCGCCGCCTCGACAACATCGCTTGCTTGCAGCCACTCAGCCCCTGCTTCGGTCCCTCTTTATCTTTGCTATTCTTGTTCCGGAGATCACTCCTATCTTTGATTGATCACTCTCCTCCCATGTCCCAATCGCCGTGGGTTCGGACCTCCCGATCGAGTCCGCCTCTTGACGCCTAATGTTGGTCCCATCGCTCCGACAGTTGGCGACTGCCTCTGCGATCCGGAATGTTCGACGTAAGTGACTCGATACTAGGAAAATCTATTTCTATGCACTGACACCATCTGCACACTTAGTGCTCCGCGATCTCGGGGATTTGCCATACGCGCTGGTTCGTCCTATCCTGCTGAAGGTCGACAACCCGGAGCAGCTGGTATGTTCCCCCCAAGCTTGTTCATTCATTCCAGATGGCGGTCTGACTCCGTTCCCTACATAGCATTGCATCGAACAACAATCCCCCCAAGTCGCCAACGACACCGAAGAACTATGGCTTGAGTTCATCAAACGCGACATCCCACAATGGGAGACCTACGCCCTCCCGCAGCACTCGGACCACTGGTACGAAATATACTGCGACCTCCGCGAACAAGCCCAACGGGCGGTCGACGAAGACGCCGAGAAAATGAAACTAGCGCTGGACGGGCTTAACTCCCAGAAAGCTCGACTGACGCCCAAGATCGTCTCGGAGCGCTCTCGTCTGCCGGGCAAGCGACCGACACAGCGGCAGCGCTACGCCGCGTATGACAGGAAGATGGGCGGGCTGGCCCCGGTCTTTGGGAAGCCGACCGGTGCCGCGGAATGGAGTTTCCAGGCGCCGTCTCTACCGCGCTCGGAGTTTGGGACTGGAACAAAGAAGAAGCAGACGATTTTCACACCGCAGAAGAGGAATAATGCCCTCGCTGTGCCGACAAAACATCTTCATACGAGGGCTAGTCAGATTAAGCAGGCTCCGCGGTCGCTGATCGAAGAGCATCGTCGGCCGTCGGAGCAAGTTGTCAGACGCAAGGATAATACAGCTCCCAGTGCCAGTGCCTCGGGACGAGCTTCTGGGCCGCCGGTTGCTGCTGCAGGGAATTTGTCGCCCGCGAAAGGGGGTGCCCTAGCAGAAAAAGAAGCCAGACTGCGGGCCTTGACTTCGGGCAAACCGGCCTCGTCTCAATCGCCAACGCCACCAATTTCTGGAGAGAAAGCGTCTTCTCCTCTTTCCAAAGCAACGTCACCGCCACTGTTGAATACCAACCGCAAACGCCCAGCCGCCTCTCCTCCACCACAGACATCACCAATCTCGTCTGACTCCTTGAATATCACCACCACCGGTGAAGCACTCTCCACATCTCCAGCACGCCCGCCAATGATCCTCAGACGAGCACCTCCTAGCATCTTCATTCAACCGAAGCGGAAACGGGTCACGTAGCAAAAACATCACAGCATATAGCTGTCTTTGTCTTGTCTTCTCTTGAGTGTCCATTTGCGGCGTCGCCGTGGATGTCTTGATTCGAATATACCGCATTTGTCTCGGTGTTCTGGTACATATATGATTGTTTGTGTCTTTCTTTCGGCGTGGGGGGAATCTTCATTGTAGGGAGTGGAGACGGATGGTATATCTCCATGTCAAATCATGTCGGGTTACTTATGTTTTGTCTGATTTTGCATTGGGATTGTATGGTGCGATGATTTGGCCGGTTTTCTCATGAGTTCAGTTATGTATGCATGGAATATGGATCATTCCCACATAGTCCACACAAGATAGATAATCCGCAGGGATCTCCACACAGGGTTCTATTTCCATTTCAAGCTCTTCTTATTCGAGCCATGTCGAGCGGATGCCCATCCGTAGAATCAATCCGTGTGGTTTAGTGGAAATAATATAGTAATTCCTCAATTCAATAATCCATTTCAGCCTTTGAAATATGATATGGTATCTAAAAGCAGTGTAAAAAAAGGCTTGAAATGGCATGGCCCGCCCCAGGATGTGTGTGGTTGGTGTGGTTGGTCTGTTACATCGAATCGCGCCCACCACGTAGAGCCAGCACGAGATGCAGCGTGGAGCCGCCTTCGAGGTTGTATTCCGCGGCTGTCTTGTCGTCCGCCCTATCCGATGGATATTGTGTGAGTTATGGTTCTCTCTCTTTTCCAGTAACAGAAACACATATGCGGGGTGGAGTGAGGACTTGGCTGAGCTTACATTTGCTTCCCGCCGAAGATAAGTCGCTGCTGCACGGGTGGAATGCCCTCTTTCTCTTCGACGCGCTCTTTTATCCGGGAGACCTAGACCCAAAGTACAGATGTTCAGTAACGAGCTTAAAAGCAAGCAGGAGTTCATGGCGAAAAGCGAACCTTGTAGTCGGACTCAATATCCAACTCGATCTCCTTGCCGGTAAGCGTGCGTACTCTGTAACACGACCAGGTATATCAGTTCACTATTGCTTCCAAACGTGGGATTTGACTTTGGCTTTGGAGGACGATGTGGTGACCGATGATGCAATGGGGAGCGGGAACACGACGGACGTACTTGATCAACATCCTGGTGAAGCGGACAGCTCGGTCGGGCTGCAGAGAGGGAGAACGGTGAGGGGAGGTGACAGAGACTGAGAGTAAAAGAACGTTGGAGATGGAGCTGGAAGATGAAGCAGAGAGAGTGTGTGAAAGAGAGTGAAAGAGCCTCGCGGGGTTTTTGGTGGGGCAAGTGCCTTGTTGCCTGATAAGCCTGGGTGGACTCGACGGATGGACTGGGCGTGCTAGAATATGTCAGGAATACTAGATAATAATTTTGCGCAGTTTTGGTCTAAAGATGAGAATTTTGTGATGTTCCTATGCCATTACCTACAAGAAATGTTGATGGTAGGTAGTGGTTGGAGACCATTCTATATTTATACATCGGCTACGGCTTCCCATTACCGCCTCCTCACGATCTTCCGACCTCCAACCTGCCACCTCATCAATTCACAAATAGACACAATCTCTACCATGACCAGGGAAACCACTCAAACCCCGTTCCAGCAGGTAATCGCTTCCTGCGAGAACGACCCCGTAAGTCCCAGTGACTCATGTGAGGCCACACACGCTGAACAACTTCCGCAGAAATGCATGCAAGAGGTCTATGAGAAACACCGATCAACCAGGAATGCCTCATATCGGAAATTGATTCTGAGCCCCAGCTTTCCCGGCTGGATAGTCGATGAGGTCCTGCAAAAACTCCATGCGGCCGGCGAGGACAGCGACCCAGCCATTGACCCACGGCATAACATGGCCTTTTGGGCTCGTCCACCGCAGCATATCCGGGACATGGTTTCTGAAATCCAAAGGGAAATCCGAGCTCTTGCTCCCAGTCAGTCACCCCCAAAATCTGGTGAATGATAGCTGACATTTTCTTTTCTAGCGCTCTGGTTCATGCCTCCGGACCGGCTTCATATGACAACCATGGAGATCACATCCAGTCGGACCGAGTCCGAAATCGAAGACCTGGTCTCTTTTTTACAGCAACATGCACCGCTACCAGAGCTGGTGAATTACACCCTGACCCATCGTGCCCGGCTCGTCAAACCAATGGTCAACTACGATTCTTCCGCGATAGCACTGAGCTTTGTGCCTGCCGCAGGAGGGGATGATCGATATACCTACCATCACCTGCGCAGCGATCTTTACGACAGCATAACCCGCAGCGGCTGCCCGATTACGTCGAGGTACACGGTGCCATCGGCGCATGTCACGCTGGCGCGGTTTATCACGCAAGATGGATTTCTCCTGGGAGATACGGAAACGCTCAATCCTGAGCGGAACTCTTTGCTCGTTGACACCATTGACAAGATCAATGATAGGCTCCGGGACAAGTACTGGCAGAATGAGCATCCACAGGGTGAGTGGATGATTGGGCAGGAGAAGGGATTGGAGTTGGTGAAGGGGCGGTCATGGTATGGGAAAAGCGGTCAGGTGTTGCTTGGGGAGGGATTTCAATAAATAAATCGTGAACAACCAAGTCTCTACCGAAGTAGTATGTTGTAGTGTGCCAGTTGTTCCGTGAAGAATCCAGAGTATGTGATCACGTGACTGATGAATCAGCTCACCCAATCGGGTTTAGCGCCTCTAAGCGAAACGAAATCCCACACACTCCGGGCCAACATGGAACCCTCGACTCGCCGCTCTTCTACGACAACCCATCACCACCTCGCCTTCCGCGTCAGTCAAAATGGTAGGCAGTCCCCCCCTCTTTCTGTTGCAATGAGTCCTCGACCATCAAAAACAATTATTGCGCCGCGTGGATGTTGCGGGTATTGTGCGATTCCCAACGATAAACGGTGTGGCCGAACCTCGAAATCGTGAACGACGGCCATCCAACCCAAAATTCCTCGACACTCGCCCCATGCCTTCTCCTGTTGCACAATGGATACGAACTGCAGTTGGTGCAAGGGCCGATGATGGTCGCAGAATGGTGATGGAACATTCTTCTGTCGGGAACACAAGAGAAGAGGTGGACTGCTGAAATCTCGAAATTCCCCCTCCGACCGACCGAATTTTGTTTCTTGTTAGGCAAACCCATACCCTCGACCTACGCCGAACCTCCGACATCCGCGCGCGCAATATTTCGACGAGGACTTTTATTATTTCAACCCTTCGGTTTGGAATGGAGGCTTACAATTTCTTTTCTGCGTACAGGTCAACATCCCGAAGACCCGCCGGACGTACTGCAAGTCCAAGGAGTGCCACAAGCACCAGCAGCACAAGGTCACCCAGTACAAGGCTGGCAAGGTGAGAAACCAACTTGAAAAATACGAAACCCAAGAGAAATTCCTAACACGATCTGTGTGATAGGCCTCCCTGTTCGCCCAGGGTAAGCGTCGTTACGACCGGAAGCAGAGTGGTTACGGTGGTCAGACCAAGCCCGTCTTCCACAAGAAGGCCAAGACCACCAAGAAGGTCGTCCTGCGCCTGGAGTGCACTGCCTGCAAGGCCAAGAAGCAGCTCGCCCTGAAGCGCTGCAAGCACTTCGAGTTGGGGTATGTGCTTCTTCTGCAACTGTTTTGGAGAGTATCATTTACTGACGATGTTGTGTGTGCAGTGGTGACAAGAAGACCAAGGGTGCTGCTCTGGTTTTCTAAGCGTTCGATTTCCTTGTTCGGCTTCTGGGTTTCTTGCATTGCACAAGTCGCTTCGTTGTGGCGGAGGGCATATGACGTTCGCAATGGAAAATATGAAATAGGAATTGACCTCTAAAACATTTTTGATCTCCTAGTAGAGTGCCAGGGTGTGGTGGGTGATGGCTTAGCTTATACCTAGTAGTGCTCGATGCATCTGGCTGCAGGCACAATCATCGGTCCTGCACTCCACTGCATGATGTAAACGAACATCTCCGAATAACTCCTAGGAGTTCCCCATTGTTCACTAAATCACTTACACTAGGATCTATTGTCCACCGACTTGTTCTTCACACAACAAGCCACCACCCTAACATCCCGTTCCGACGATCAATTCCCCCGCATCCCCCACGCTATCATCATCAACAGCGAACACAGTTCAAGCTCCGACGCCAACAGCTTCTCCATTGGATCCTCGCTTAGCAACGACCTCGTATCCCCCACGTTTTCTCCAGATCAACAAGCCCCCCCTATGCAGCACGCTCGGTCGTCCTCCGAGTAACATGTCCCAAGCTCAACTCCGCACGGGGCGACGCACCTTCGCCCCTCCCTCTCGGCTGACCCATCGGTCGAAGCCCGTAGGATATTTAAATAAATGCTGTAGGTTTCTGCACTAACTGTTGATCTTGTGCGGAGAAACAGTCTCTTTCTGTGTCTTCCCTCTGTCTTTTCTGGGCAGCTTGGTCCAACCCGCGAGCCTGCTCGATATACATACACAGTTGTTGGCAAGATGGCGCTGTGGTATGCGCTAGGAATTGCTTTCTTTGCCGCTATCGGCACGTTTCTATTTGTACGTTTTTTTTATTTACTCTATGAAAAGGGTCTGAAAGCTTGGAGGACCGAGTTGACGAGAGATTAGGGCTTCGATACAGGTATCGCGACAACAAGTGAGTTGCTGAATGTCCATCTTCTGTGGACCGAGCTAACCCATCTTCGCAGCTATCGCTCATCAAAGCTGGATCGACTATATGGGCCATCCCTCGGAAGGACTAACGGGTGCTGTAAGTGTATCTCAAACGCGATCCAGAAGCAAGCCTAAACAATGCAGGTTGTTTCCGTCTATATTGCCGGCGAGGCAGTCGGCGCTCTCACCCAGACCTTCATCGGCGACAGGCTCGGACGAGTGCGATTCATGCAGCTGATGTGTGTGGTCGTGACAATCGGCACTGTGATCCAGACCGCGGCAGTGAATATTGGAATGTTCCTCGCAGGCCGAGTGTTGGCCGGCTATTCTGTAGGGTGAGTTTCCCCCAAGAATCCAGGAACACTGCCCTTTTTTGACATCTGTGCAGTGGAATGGTCGCAACAGTCCCCATCTATCTCAGCGAAATCTCCGACCCCCGCTACCGCGGCCTGATCGGCGGTATCTCGGGCTGCGGCATCGCCTTCGGGACCATGATGTCCAACTGGGTCGGATACGCCTGCAGCTATGCGCCCTACGGACCAGTACAATGGCGGCTCCCGCTGGGGATCCAGATTCCCTGGGGTATTGTAATGTTCATCGGACTGGCGACATTCATGCCCAACTCGCCACGCCAGTTGATTCGTAGCGGCAAGAATGAGCTTGCGCGCAGCGAGTTTGCAAGGATTCGGCGCGGGATCGAGTCAAATGAACTCCAGGAGGAGTTTGCGCTCATGAAGGCACAGATTGACTATGAGATGGAGAGGGAGCTTACTTCGTATCGGGAGATCTTTCAGACGTATAGGCATCGGGTGCTTGCGTGAGTTTTTGAGATGGCGGAAAGAATATTGCGGGCTGATGGTTAATTAATCTGCGCAGGTCGATTGCTGTACAGACCATGACGGCTTTAACGGGCGTCAATGTCATTCAGGTATGTGTCTTTTTTCCTTCCTGGGGAGCTGATGTATATTGACTTTGTCTATAGTACTATCAAAGTGAGATCTCCCGAATATAGCCCCAAGGTAAACACTGATAGTATATTCCTCAGCTATACTCTACGAATCACTCGGCATCGGCTCCCACACCATCCTAGCTCTGGCAGCCGTCTACGGTACCATAGCCTTCGTCTTCAACTCCATCACCACGATGTTCCTGACTGATCAGTGGGGCCGTCGAAAGTACGTGGCCCAATACTTTGCACCATTTAACCACGGACTCCCTACTAATATTAGATGAACCCACACAGAATGCTTATTTCCGGACTGGGGGCAATTGTACTCGTCGAGATCTACGCAGCCGTCATGCAGAGAGAATTCCAATATACCAACAACCGAGTCGGAAAGGGATTTGCCATCCTGGGGATTTACTTATTTGACGTTGCTTACTGTGTGTGCCCTCAGCACCAGACCGGGCAGGTCGTGAGAGCTAACTTTTGTCTGTATAGATGGCCTCCTCAATAGCACGACATGGCTGTACGGTGCGGAAGTCTTGCCTATTGCATTGCGCAGCAAGGTGATGGGTCTGGCGGCTGCATCGCACTTTATCGTTAATGTCGCAAGTAAGACAGCACTGGCACTACCTTCACGCAAGTCTGTACTGTGCTCTAAAGCTAATACACATGATAGTCACCGAAGCCGGTCCCAGCGCATTTGCCAATATCAAGGAGAATTACTACTACGTATTCGTGGCATGTACGGTCTTCTTTTTCGTCGTGGCATACTTGTGGTTCCCGTGAGTTGCAGCAAACCCCCAAAGTTAGCTATCGAGCCACTGACACCATCGCGATAGGGAAACGAAGCATAAGACTCTCGAAGAAATTGCGGCCGCTTTTGGCGACAGGGTGGTACTCGCGGACGATGTCTCGAAGGGTCCTATGGCCAAGGATGAAGCGAGCGCAGACCATGTGGAAAGCTCAGAGCCTCGGGCGGAGGTTATTGATGCCTGAGAGAAGGAGTAGTAGTATTGTCGTTTATCAGAATTTGCCTTCATTGATCTGTGCTGTGGCATGTAGCGGTGTGCTGAGTTGTGAACACCATCCATGTACCTATGCGCTGAATCCCCGGGTGCCTGTGACGGTTGAAAGGAACAACCATGGCATCATCGAGTAATGACAACACAGAGGAGAGTCCACCGAGACCACCAGAATAGAAGGTGATGATGATTCGGACGAGTAGCATCATCACTCGGACGAGAAACTAGACGTACAGAAATCTCGCATTATTTCTATGTTAGGGTGATAGAGCGGCAAGAACTCGCACGGCTTTCTGTTTTGGTTTAAAACCGAGGTAATAATTTGGCAATTTTCTCTAACTGAAATAAGAAGGTCAAATTGTGTCATTGATTTTTCCAGCGCCCCGTTTCAGCTCAGCTCTTCAATATTTGCCGGAATGAAATCTCATTTTTCACCTCTTCACATGCCAGACCCAAAAATGACAAGTCGAATCCCCTCCGCGGAGATCGTCGATCGTCATGTTTGTTTTCTTCTAATCATCCCCGATACCCAATCACCACGGCTTCCGATGAAACCACGCATCCATCCTTCGACAACTCAATTTGGTATTTGCTACAATCGGGAAAGGGGGATCTGCCGTCATCTGATCCCCGGGGTTTGGGGAAAGCAGATCTTGAGGGCAGACTATTACCACTCTAGTGTGCGTTGCAGCCTGCAAACAATTTATCGAGGTCGAGCCCTCGTGCCGTCGGCATCCCGCTTCTTGGTGGAGTAGGGAGTCCGAGCCCTGAGAATCTATTCTAATTGAAGGCAATAGTCTAAAATACGGATAACCACAATATTAGGCTAAGTGCCGTTCCGGGTAAAAGGGCCAGGGCAGACGGTTCGCTAAATCTGGCGCATTCGATGGAAAGAACCTTCGGGTCCGCTGAGAGTCTAGCGAAAAAATCCATGGGTCCAAAATCCACCACATCGTAGAAATGTAAACAATGACATGCAGTGACAAATATCATTCCTGGTAGTAGATATATCCACGGGGACTTCGGGAAGCAGAATTTTCGGCTGGAAGAATGCCGGGGAACTAGCATCGGATGCTGCTACGACGGAAGGGGCCATCATCGTCATCGCGCAAGGATTGTGCCGCGGGCAGATTGTGGCTGAGTTGCAAACACCTCGCATGGTTGGAGGCCAACGCCTCACCGTGATCTCCCAGTCAGCCACTCACGCGCTTGATCTCGTTTTCTCTTCAATGATCGGCGCAGTCCGATTGCTTGGGCCCTCCCAGGAAATGTGGCAACGGTACTGGGCCTGCTTATTCCTGCTTAAACCTGCCTAGTCCTGCTTAGTCGAGATCGCCTAAGCCGATTCAGTGCGATCTATGAGACGCAGATCCGAGCAACACTGACGGTAGGAGCTCCCGATTTTCTCCTTCCGACCGCAATGAAATCTCTACCTTCGGCATCCTGGAGATTCGCCTAATGACCCTGCCGCGAGGCTGAGCCGAAATCCGCCCGATTGTTTCGCGCTGCTGCCCATGCATACAATCCGGGGGTCTGTTCGGCAACCACTGCAGCATTCTCCATACCCGTTCTGCTTAGTGCCAGTGGAAAGAGGATCCACGCTGCCGTGGGTCGCCCTGGGTCCTATCCGATCCTGCAGGGGACGGGTTTTCTAGAAGCTCCCGGACCCGTTTCCACCGTCGGGCACGCCGGACTATTGCGAGTAGCTGGAATGCTGTCACAAATGGCTGTTCCTGTCGACGTTGCAGAAACGGGGACCAGGCTGCACAGATTCCCCGATGATTTTTCTCGGCAGATGTCGACGCCTGTTGCCGCCGAAGAGTTGCCTTTTATAAACAATGCTGCACAGCCGGTATAACATGCATCTTGTTCCCAAGATCAAACCCACTTTCCTGCAAAGCTTAAAACGTCATTGCCTCCCCGCCTGCCACGCCGTTGTGGGTTTTCTCGTTCACTCAATTCAGCTTTGATGGGTCTCCATTGAACAGTGGCGGTCCACCGGAACTATATCATTGCGTCTCCATCATTCCGTCGGCGATTCACTTTCGATTCTCTACATGTCTATCTGGCATAATTGGCCTTCTATCACTCCCTCAAGCCGGATCCGAGCAGCGTTATAAGCTTCCATTATCATGGCTTCAGCATCCCGCTCAACGGGGAAACGTCTTCCTATCAGCTGTCAGGCATGCCGAACGAGAAAGATTCGATGTTCCCGTGACGGACGGCCATGTCAAACCTGTGTCCGCCGAGGACTAGGCGCCGAGGACTGCATTTATCTCGGTCAGCCCCGTCTGTCAGGCGAGCAGACCTCGTCAGGAGACGTGAGACACAATGAGCTCCTAGCACGGATCCGCAATCTCGAAGGTCTATTGCAGAAGCAGGTGGGCTCGCAAGCCGGCTCGCCTGCTGGTGCAGTCTCCCCATTAGGTGCGCTCAGCGCCACGGGTAGCTTCTCCGATTCCGAAATGGGGCCTGGTTTCGACAATTGGGATTCAAGTACTTCAATGCTGGGAAGTGTGGGTACCCTTCACACCTCGCCGTCGGGATATGTCCGCTATGTTCCACTACAATCTCAGTGGGAATCGGTAGTGGCCAAAGGACCCGCTGCGGAGTGTCTACGCAATTTCGATTCGGATGCCGCTGAGGACGACGATGATCTACAGATTCCGCTGGCTCGAAACGGAAGTGTTTCCCGTGCTGAACTGCTGTCAATCCTGCCCCCTGGCCAGTATTGTGATAATCTCAGAGATGTATACTTGCGGGTTTTCTCCCCTGTAAGTAGAACACCCTGGCTAAAGTTCGACGGCTAATTAGACCTACTAGGTGTTTCATATTCTCCATGACTTGACTTTCGAGGCCGAATATCAGCAGTTTTGCCATGACCCTAGCAGCGTGTCTCTCGCATGGCTAGCTTTGTTATTTGCCATTCTAGCCATTGCAGTTAGTGCGCTAGACGACGACGATCCTTTGCTCTCTGATCTCGGACGAGAGAGAACCGTCAGCCGGAACATTAAGGTGTTGTCTGCTCGTTACAGGTCTGCTGCGTTGCGGTGTTTAGCAGCCGACGGGGTTATGTCCCGGTACTCGATCAACTCACTCCAGGCTCTAGTTCTCGTTAACTACGCGCGGATTCATCGTGGTCTTCCCATTTGGACTATGCTAGGTTTTACACATCATGTCGCCATATCAATGGGGTGCCATCTCGATCCAGAGAGATTCCCACTTGGTGCTATTGAGCGCGAAGAGCGACGGCGTGTTTGGGCGGGATTGATGATGCTTTACACTATTCAGAACACGTCGTTTGGCAGTCTCAATCAGCAAATCCTCTCTCAGGACGTGAAATTGCCTGCCGATATCGACGATGTCGATCTTTTGACGGGTCCAACTACGTCCGTTACCTCCGACCTAACGTCCTCACCAACCCGCCCAACACAAATGACCTACCTCCTGATGACCTTCCGTCTATACAAGACATCTGCCAAGATATGTGAAACAATATTCAACCATCCTCATGTCGCTCGATTTACCCCCTCACAACTCGAAGCCGAGGTCCTGGCTGTGCGGGAGATGTGTGATACTCGCTACCAGCTCGATACCGCCAACGAGTCTCTCCCCATCCATCACCAGGCCAATCTCAACATCCTTTACAGCCACACCCACCAGCTCTTTCTGCTTCTCTTCCGCCCCGCCCTATGTCGATACCAGCAGGGCGAGATAACACCCGAGACCTGCACTGCACGAGCCAAGTGCATCGCCTCCGCCAAAGCCTCTCTCCAAATATTCAAGACCCTCTTCGCGTCTCCCCAATTCGCCCCCTACAAATGGTACACTGGCGGTCTAGGTAGCTTCCACGCATTCCACGCTGCAGTAGTTCTAGCGGCTGCACTTCTCAGCCCGGAGAGTACAACCGAATATGACGAGATCAGGGAGCTTCTCGGTAGTGCCCTCGAGATGTTTGCCTCTCTGTCTGTTCGCAGTATTTTTTGCAGCAAAGCAGTTCCGGTCATTCGACATATCCTGTAAGTGATTCCTGTTCCTCATACCAGGCAAACCAACTAATTCCTGACAGTGACGTCGCAAATAACTATTACCAAACACATCCACCCCTCTTATCCCATGCCCGGGTGCACACACTCAACACGTCTGTGGCCTCTACCATGCCTTCAAACATGACCCCCAATCAGACAACTCAACATCCTCCTTCCATCAGCATCCCAGACGGCTACATTCTCTCTCAACCTCAATCGCAGTCTCAATCCCCGATTACTGTCGCATCATCAGCGAGCGACCCAACCATGCAGTCCACTCCGGGTACACACCTCCACCAGCAGAACTGGTTAGGTCCCACATCCGTCCCCTGGGATACGCTTAGTTCGAGCATCAGTCAATTTGGATTCGGTGGGGGGTTCCATACAGCGCACCGGGCTAGTCTAAATCTTTCATTTCGGTGTTTGGGAGGGGGGCTGCCTGGTTATTATTTCCAAAAAATGGTGTTGGTTGTGCGGCAGTGCAATTGGTTTTGCCGGTTTGTGTTTATTTATTACGGAATTATGAGATATGAGCTATGACAAGTCAATGATTCAATTAATCTCTTCCAGGAGACTGAAGAATACTGGTGGAGCACTCTAATTACTTGAAGTTTTTAGCCTCTAGACGTAATCTAGTAGTGCTCTGCTTTGCTAAAGAGCAAGTGTAGACTGACTTGTGTGAATAGATGCTTCCGTCTGGGAAGAAATGCATTCGCCGTGAGGCCAGTCGACATTTCAATGACTTTCAAAAGGATCAGTGTGTGGTCTTCATTAGTAATTCTCAGTCATTTAAGGAGCAGCGGACATGACCACGGTATAGGCAGCTGTTGCATGCATGAGTAGTAGGTAAGAGGCAACAGCTAGGTGATGTTGAGCCAGGTCGCACGGGCTCGACCTAAAGGCCAGATACAACGATCGTATTGATAAATATATAGAGCGAGAAGGATAAAGCTGGGGAGAGGGGATGAAGGAAGAAGACGGGGAAGGAGAGAAATGCCTGGTCTATATACGTGACAGAAAGACAACTGACGCCCATTCACTGCAACAAACAAACAATTATTGTTGATGGCATCATTGCCTTCATCCTTCCAGCATATTCCACCACTGGCAGCAGCCTTATTAGGAAGATCTTGAGCTTTTCATGGCGGTGCGAAGACTGACACCGAACACAGCCAGATTCGACCAGAGTATGCGGAGAAGCAGGTCACATAGACGCCCTCCTTGATTGGCGCTAACCCCAACAAGCTTAGCGGAAGCCATGGCCAACATAAGAAACCAACAGACTCTCACCATTGCACCTTCGCTAAAGGTCGTGATGTTCCTACCGTAGAACAATGTTGCACTTAGCGTGGGGCCTAAGGATCAGCGGCGCGGCCATCTCCGCAACAAAGGATGGCTGTTCCTGCCTATCGCTGCCAAGGGGCTGATCACATTCCCAAATTGGATCCGTCGTTGCAGTCGGATCCAGAGCTCTCCAATCGGATGCATTCAACATCGCCATTACTCAATTCCTCAGGTCTGTGCCTCTCCAGAGCTTGACTGAGCCCCTGCGAGAGTCTGGTCCACCTTGATATCACCCCCCGCAGGCATGTTGCAACAGAGTCGCGCGGACAGCGTGTGAGATCGACACGTGGAATGGATGAGGTGGGACGAAGCAGTGTTTCATTGGCATCGTACGGTGGTGGGTGTTCGGGACAATTGGCTGGGTGCTGCTCTATAAGAAGTTGGCTGGGTTCCCTGGTACGCCGCGGACCACCATCGCCGAACCATCAACCCGAAGATGCACTCCAGCACTCTCCTTGCCTCTCTGGCCTTTGTTGCTGCCGTCAGCGGTGCACCTCCCAAGCGCCATGGCCCCCATACGCGCTCGTCTATCCTGAACCTGAAGAGCAAGATCAAGAACGTCGTCGTTCTGGAGATGGAGAACCGCGCCTTCGACAATATTCTTGGTGGCCAGACGCTCAAGGGTCTGGAGAACCCGATTAACAACGGGCCCTTCTGCAATCCATACAACGTGAGCAACCCGTCAGCGGGCAGGGCATGCAGCGCCGCGAGAGACTACGACTCCGTGTCTGATGATCCGGATCACATGGTGTCGGGCAACAACGCCGAATTCTTCGGGACGTTCACCCCGGACAATGCCGCCATCGCGGCTGGCAAGCTCGTGCCACAGCAGATGGGGTTCGTCCAGGAGCAGATTCGCATGTACCCGGGTGTCAACAAGACGCAACTGGCCCAGCAGGTTCTCAACTACTACACCGAGGCGCAGGTGCCGGTCTTGACATCGCTGGTGCAGAACTATCTGACCTTTAACCACTGGCACTCGGACCACCCTGGAGTAAGTGTTTCCCTTCTAGACAACCGCGTCATACCACTAACCCTAGACAAGCCCACAAACCCCAACCGCGCCTTCGTCTTGTCTGGAACCTCGGCCGGCCACGGCACCAATGACGACGCCTTCGACGTCGACGTGCACAGCCTGAAGCAGCGCACGATCTTCCAGCAACTGGGTGAGACCAATCACACCTGGAAGAACTACTACACATCCGACGATGAGGGCATGATTGATGCCTTCTTCTTCGACTGGACCTACACCAGCGGCAACACCGACAAGGCCCAGCCGCTGGCGAACTTCTACACCGATGCCGCCGCCGGCAACTTGCCCGAGTTCAGCTTCATCGACCCGTCCTGCTGCGACGTGGGCACTAACTCCATGCACCCGTCCGGCCTCGTCTCCGACGGCGAAGCCCTCATCAAATCCGTCTACGATGCCGTCCGCGCCAGCCCCCAGTGGAACGAGACCCTGATGGTACTGACCTTCGACGAGACGGGCGGCTTCCACGACCACGTCCCGCCGCCGCTGGCTGTGCGTCCGGACAACCTGACGTACACCGAGACTGCCCCGAATGGACAGAAGTATACGTTCGAATTCAATCGCTTGGGCGGCCGTGTCCCGACGCTGCTCATCTCGCCGTGGATCGCCAAGGCCCAGGTCGAGCAGAAGGGCACCAACTCGTACGGGGAGACGGTGTCGTACTCGGCGTCGTCGCTGCTCCGGACTCTGGGGTACCTGTGGGACTTTGATCCGTTTACCCCACGCGTCGAGCATGCGGCGTCGTTTGAGCATCTCATTCAGAGCACCCAGCGCACGGACACGCCGGCGACGCTGCCGAGTCCGGTGGCCTTTAGCGACCACCGCCGCCGCCGTGTTTGAAGGTGGGGGTTGTTGGGTTTGCCGTGTTGGATTGATTGCAATGTACATATTTGAGACTGGGTTCTGTGTGTGTAAGCGCTGTGTTGCGTGGAAGATGCAGACCCCGCCCGTCGAAAGTATGGTTGGAGTGTTTCGACGGCTATCTGGGCAGCTGACGGCCTCCGATAATGACATGTATATATCACCGAAATACATACTACTTCCATCCGGTCGTGTTACTGTGGTCCCACCCGTGTCACGGAAGTCTCTGGGTGAACCCCGGATCCCGACGGGAAGCATCCATGGGTAGAGTCGGCGGGCAAGTACATAGGGTAAACAATGAACTCTCTCCCGTCTAAGCCACCGACTGACTGGAACTCACCGTGTTTCGCCACACTCTGCCCGGGCAAAACCACACTCGCAGTGCGGCTGTAGTCGGTGACTCGCTTGGCGTGGCTGCCTTTTATTTCGCTCTCTTCCTCTCTTCCTCTCTTTTCATTCCCTCATTAGTGTCACTCTCCTCTCTTCCTTTCTTCCTCGCTCTCATCCCCATCCTCTTCCCCCGACTGACGTGAGTTACGAAGCCCCGATCTGCCGGATCACTGTTCCCTGTTCTTCCAGAAGTTGCATCATCCGCTAACCAAGGCGAATCACAGCCTCAGAGCCCAGACCACCACCCCACCTCTTCTCACTCCTCAGCCTCGTCCTTTTTCGTGCCCCGCTGATTCTTGCGAATCTTCAACCCCTCCATCCCATCATCCTCATCTGCTTCCCTTCCCCTGATTCCATTTTCCGTATCGCATCAACCGCCCATGTCCTACGTCTACAGGGAACGTGAGCGCGACCGTGATTGGGACGACTCTCGTCCCGTCACCATCAAGCGTTACGTCATTCCCTCCGAAGATGATCGTGAGCGTTCCCGAGAGTTCGTGATGCGGCGCGATGATTCTTACACCGGCGACCGCGAGCTGGTCATCCGGCGCAAGACCGAGCGCGAGGTCGACCACGATGACCGACGCTACGACCGGGACTACGAAAGAGATTACTACGAACGTGAGTACTCCGAGCCCTCCGCCCACCGTCACTACTCCCGGTCCGTGGACTACCTGGAGAGACCTCCTCTTCCTCCTTCTGCACCCGTCGTCATTCGCGAGCAGCCAATAATTGTTCATGAAGCCCGAAACGTCTATGTGAATTCCCGCGAGACCGAGTACGACCTGGTGCGCCGTTCCGATACCGAGGACGAACCCTACTACTCCAGCCGCCGCCGTGACCGTGACTACGATGAGCGTCGCAGCCGCCGTGAACTCAGTCCGGGTGACTCTGTCTCCCAGGCGACTCGCCACCGCAGCGATCGTGACCAGGACTACAGCAGCGATGACAGCATGGTCTACATCCGCAAGGAAACTGAAACTCGCGGCAACTATGACCCCGACCACCCGCATCACCGTCGCCATATGGCCGAGGGGGCTCTCGCTGCCGCCGGTGCCGCCGAGCTGTTCCGCAGCCATCGCAAGAAATCCGGCGAAGACGTGAGTCATGGCGTCGGCCGCCTTGGTAAGACAGTGGGTGCAGGTGCCCTGGGAGCTGTCGCCGTCAACGCGGCATCGCATGCACGCGATTACTACCGCAGCAAGAGCCGACACCGCTCTCGTTCAATCGATGATGACCACCGCTCTCATCGCCATAGCCACCACGACCGTGGCCGTCGCAGCCGCAGCCGCTCTCAGTCTAACTCGCATACCCGGCACTTGATTGAGCTTGGTCTAGGCGCTGCGGCCGTGGCTGGTGCGGTAGCCGTCATGAAGAACAAGAAAGACAAAGATGAGCGTCGCAGCCGCTCTCGAACTCGCTCTAAATCTCGTGGCCGTGGTTTGAGCACGGCCCGCTCTGAGCCTGATGAGGCGCGCAGTGCCTCCCAGCGTCGTAAGCACATGGCTGGAGCCGGTCTGGCCGGCGCTGCTGTCGCTGGCCTGGTTGAACGTCACCGAAGTCGCTCGCGGGCCCGCAAGGGTGAACGCTCTCATAGCCGCATTAGACAGGTTCTTCCTGTTCTTGCTGCCGGCCTGGGAACTGCCGCTGCCACTGGCTTCTATGAGAAGAAAAAGGCAGAGAAAGATGCCGCCAAAGAAGGAGTTAGCCGTGACGGACGTCGATCGCGCTCGCGCTCTCAGAGTGCTGCACCTGTAGGGATGTACCCAGATCCTTCCCGCACCTCCGCCGGTTTGATCGAGTACGGCAACGATCCAGTCGCCGGTAGCATCCCCGCCGAGCACTACTATGGCCAGCCTACCAGTCCCGGTGGTCCTTACTACTCGGACGGCGCAGAGTACGGTTCGCGGCGGCACAGCCGTACCCGCAACCTCAGTGGTAGCGATTCGGGCTCTGACGGGGAGGGTCGCCACAGACGCCGAAGCAAGCATCGAAAGCACCGCAGCCGCTCGCGGGATATCGCTGGGGCAGCTTTGGGTGCCACTGGACTGGGATACGCGGCGCACAAGTATTCGCAGCGAAAGGACCGCAAACAGGCCGAGAAGGAGGGCCGTAAGCACCCATCTCTTTTTCTACATCTCTTTTCATTCAGTTAACGCCCGACAGGCTACGTCGACGATGACCATCGTGATCCCTACGAGGAGGGCTATGATCCGGAGCCGTACCCGCCTTCTCCTCACCCTGCAGGCGGCCCGCCCCCGGATCCTCGCTACTATCCCAACGGCACCTACTTCCCGCCGCCGCCAGGCTCGACCCCGAATCTTGGAGCTGCGACTGCGCCGTATAACCCGCCCGACTACCCTCCCCCGCCTGGTGCGGCGCCCCCGCCACAGCCCTACAGCTACGGCGCCGGGCAAGCACCTGAGCAGTACGCGCCGCGGCCACGGAGGGCCGATGAGAATGTGAGCTCCACCCCATCCACTGACCAGTACACGACTCGTGATGGTGGGTTCACGGAACCACACCCGACTTATTCTCATGCTGACCATCTGCCACAGGTCTAGATAGGAATGGAAAGCCCTCTCGCCGCCGGTCTCAATCTGTTAGCCAGCCCATGCAGTCGAAATCGGTCTCCTTTGATCTTGACCCCGAGACAAAGAGTGATACTGGCTACGAGACGGACGATAGCGACGCTACTATTGATGGTCACAACGATCACCATCGTCACAATCACCGCCGCCGCCACCATCGTCATCATCGTCGTCGCCATTCATCCTCTGTTCCTCGCTCCCCAATGCCCTATCCCAGTTCGTCATCTTCCCACCACCACCACCACCACAGTTCTTCCTCTTCGCGTCATTCTTCCAACGCCAAAAACCAACCTGAAAACAAGTCCTCTTCAACAGACTCAGACTCGACCATTGATCTCCCCGACCGCTTCGACTCGCAGGGTCGTCCACTTACCCAACGCGGTGTCGAGGACCCCGCTGCTGCGAAGATTGAGGAGATGATCAATAAGTTCAGCAAGATTCTATTTTGATTGGCTTAAAGATGATAATTATGATGATGCCCTAGTTTCTTGGACCCTTTATCCTGCTTTGTCTTCTCTGGGTGGTCCTTTGCTTCTTTCTGCCTTGTCTGTTGAACCCTTTCATCCGTTCTTGTAACTCAGTTCTCTATGTTTTTCTTTGCCTATGCTTTGTTCTGTCTTCTATCTAATGGCCACACAATGATAATGACTTATGAATGATTATTTGTGTTACTTCTTCAATCGTCGAGAATATTTCACTGCAACACCGGTGTATAACTTCGATGGGGAGTTCTGTTATGACCGCTTATTTGTCATGGTTGAACAGTGCGTAGGATTGATGCTGTGGCTTCAAATCACCCGCCCTCCGGCAAAACAGAAATATACGAACAAAGAAAGCAACATTTGGGCGCACATGCAATTGGGTTTGAGGATTTTGAAATCTAATATATTTTCTAGTTCGCTTATGTGGTCGTTGGGATGAGCCTCACAGACAGCACATCGCCCTGTCTCATCCACAATATTTGAATGTATATACAGTTTCTTTCTCACGACCTCTCCATAACAGACTGATCCCCCTGGCTCCAAATAATATCAAGCACCCACTCCTGAATCTTCCACAATCTATCCGACTTATCAAACACCAGATCCATCACATATTCCCCCGCAGCAAGGTACTTCGGCCCGTCAGGCTCCTTCCCGCGTCCAGGGGGACAATGCTGCGCAAGCGTATAGCAAGTCAATGACGCTGTCTCTTCGCCTTCTTTATGATTGACCCGGATATTGCTCGTCATATGCGTCGTATCCATGGGCCCCACGTGGTCCAGCAGAGTGGTGCGGATGGTATCGAGACCCTTGATCTTGCGCGACCCTGCGCCTGGTGGGGTTCGGAATTCTACGCATACGTCGGGAGAGGAGGAGAATGCGCTGTTGAAAATTGGGATGTCGTGTCGGTCGAAGCCAATTATAGCGCGATTGAGAGCGTCCACTATCGCTTCCCGCGTGGTGAGGGAGGGAGGTTGTGCGCGTAGGTAGTCATTTTGGTGGTTTGGTGGTTGATTGAGTTGTCTTTGTGGTAGTGTGATAGTTATCTTGGAAGATATTGAATGGATTGATGGGTGATGCTATAGTAAAACGAACGTTTTTATATCTCTAGGGCTTTAACGCGTAAACCATTGGATTATGCTGGCTCGACCAATCAATTGCCTGAATTCCTGTTCGTCTCTACATGCCTAGAGGCACTAGAGATGGATTTGTGTCGGTGATAAATGGGCGTCGGGTTTAGCGGAGTTAGGGCATTCTCATTCATTTCGTCATGCTGGAATCTGACCATTGGCCTTTTTAATACTATGCAATGGGGTTTTATGGATTAACACCACGGGAAATAGCTGTCAGCTCTTTCCATTTTTACATGAAAGAATGGGGAAACGGCAAAGCTATACAATCACTTTTTATAAGATCCCCGTAACCTCCGAGTGTCTGCATCTGTGCAGGACTTTTAACGTTTTAGAACAGGAATTTAGACAATGTTGGGGCAACAGAGATTGAATTTTGATGACCATTCTTATGTACAAGTTACTTTCCATCATTATTTTCTTAGACAAAATAAAAAGAAAATTTCTCTTCAAACTGCAGCTCTCTTCTCTTCTCATGGTTATCACTTTCCTGGGCATAGCATATGGCACCGCTACACTTGTCACGGATGCGGGTCCGATTCAGGAATTATGGGAATAGTCAAAGGCAATCGTTGTAACTTGAGCAAGTTCTACCCAAACCCCCGCTGTAGTTAAAAAGCTAATAGTGTTGCATTAAAGTGAGGATTGTAGGTCCTAATACGGGATACAAATAGAAACCATCAGTAATAAGATACTTGCATTATTAGTATATCTTGGCAATTTTGGGGTTTTCGAAAGTACGTTAATATGACACCGGTCTCTGGGAGTAGTGCTATATAATCACAGCCCCCGGGTTTTCGCTTCCGCCCACTCATGCTCCAAAATCCCCATGGTAGTCCTATCCCACCAACGCCCATCTTTCCACAAGGATTCTCTTTGTCTTCCTTCAATCACAAAACCCAGCTTCTCGTATATCTTCCGCGCCCGCTCGTTCCATTCGAACACACCCAGTTCAACACGGTGTAGCCCGGCAGTCAAGAAACACCAATCCAGCAGCCATGAGACAGCCTCAGGCCCATATCCGTTTCCCTGGTGCTCTGGTACAATGGAGATTCCAAAATTGGTTGATCGATTTTGGATGAAGGAAGGCTTTGGAGCTCTGACCACTATCACCCCGATGGGCTTAGGTTCTTTCTGAGATTGCTCGTGCCCGGAAGTATCGTTAGACTGAGATTCGGGGATTTTACAGATAAAAAGAGACAAAAGCGCTTGGGGTTTAATGTCCTTGAGTATCTGCTTCGTTTCCGCGGTGCTCAGAGGCCGTTGCAGAGAGGTTTCCGTCATGGAAGAAACTTGCGGGTCGTTATAGAGCTCGTGGAAGAAAGCTTCGTCCGCTGGGCTGTCCTCTACAGCACGATAGAGAAGGCGCTTGGACCGAAAGGGTTCTGGATTCATTGATTTGCTGGTTGATATTATGTAGGTGAGTCAGGTTCATACGAGGTCACGATTGAGACTTTAGGCTTCTTATAGGACAGTAGTGATTATCTTTAAGTAGGCGGCTATATAACTAGCCCGACAAAGTTACCTAATAAGGAGATAAGGGTCTGGAATCATACGATTTCTTAATCCTTTCAAGTTTTAGTTAGTTAGCGTCCTGATAATTGTGTTGCCTTCGGGGAGGGAGCGGGGGAGCTAGGCGCAGTCAAGGCTCAGGTGAAGATCAGGGTGGGTTGCGAATTTGGTGTTGTTTAGCGAATTGTGTTCAATAATGCACACCCGACCTCACCACCGACGGGTGGTTGTTGAGCCGACAGAATTATATGGATAAGATCAAGCCAATAAAATCGCCTTCAAATCGTGTCTGGAATTCCGCATTAGGGAGGATACGAGGAGTCACAAGCCCATTCCGTATAGTGTGGCTCCCTTGTTGCCATCTATCAATACTGTAAATAACTCTGGGTACCTCCCTTTTCTTATCCATACACTCTCTCTTCCTCCTCCTGTTCAAGAGCATTTGAATATCTCAAAATGCCGTCTGTATCCACTCGACTGGGTGAAGTTTTTTACCAAACCCAAGGAGAGGGCGTACCGGTGATCTTGCTGCACGCAACTTTGCACGACCACCACGATTTTGATACTATTGCCACACGACTGTCCAAGAACTACCATATTATCGCCATCGACTGGCCTTGGCATGGTGAGTCGAAAGGCCTGGCCACAACCGAGGCCCTGAGCGCAATGAGCCTTGCCGACGTCTTGGAGGACATTGTGACTACACTCAAGCTGCCGCCGGCCTTCTTCATTGGCAATTCTGTAGGGGGTTTTGCAGCGGCCAGGTTGGCGATCACGCATCCTGAATACGTCCGTGGCCTGGTCCTAGTCAACAACGGTGGCTTTGTTAATTGGCCCTTGTTTGCGCGGGTTTTTGCCCGACTGCTCGGCATTCCCTTCTTCGCTCGCCTCCTGATGCCATTTTTAGTGCCGAAATACATGCTTCCGCAGACACCAGAAGACAAAGAAATCTCACGCCGTGCACAAGAAAGGGCTCGAACGCAATCCGGTGCGACGGTAGCCGCTGCTATCTGGCGCAGCTTTACCGATCCTGGTCATGACTTGCGCAGTCGCGGGTCGCAAATTAAGGCACCTACCCTGATTGTCTGGGGATCTCGGGATCCTCTTTACCGACCTGATGTCAAGCAGACAGTACAAGAATACATTCCAGGGTCACGACTTGAGGTCTTTAATACCGGTCATGTGGTGTTCTCGTCAAAGCCAGACGAATTTATGCGCGTCGTGGAGCCGTTCTTCCAGTCTGCTCTGGAAAGTCCAGATGGAGAGCTATAAAGTGATAGGGCAGGTGGAATTTGGAATATATGTTTTCGATGGGGTGTGCCTCTGCTTTTATAATAGTATTAATTAATGTATGTAGTCACTTTTCTCGTTCAAAGGATATCTGATACACATTTACATGCTCTATCACTTTAGTCTGATCCAGAGGTATCAAAACTAGAATAATTATTATACAAGTTCAGCTGAATACTCCCAAGAGAAGCCGTGTCCCATTCTCATCTTCGCCTAAAACAGCTAGCTAATCATGGGATGGATAGTAGATGACCTTCGCTCCAGGCGGTATACATAGAGGCACATAGAGACCGAGTCGAAGCCAGAGAGGTTTAATAGACAGTATAAGTACAAGGTGCATGATGCAATGCATCAAGGAAAAGAAAAGGAGGGCCGGTGAGGCAGGCACACCGCCACCGTCGAAAACGGGCGGCGAGTTCATGAGACCATCAAATAAGATGGAGAGTAAGGTAGACGAGAATCAACGTGGTTAAAGATCAAAGGCTAAGAGACCAAGGAAGGTAAACCAACGCATAATCAAAACAACAAAGTTCGCATATGGGTATACAGCGGATAAACCTTCCGATCCATGAAGTATTGTGAAAAAGAAAAAGGAATCTCAGCGCCTACCCAACTGGGGATGAGGCGCTGGAAAGGACTGTTGGTTTTGTGTGTTCGTCTCAGTACATTCAGAAAAACAATGTAAGGAAAATGGAGGCTGTCATGAGTCAATGAAGATAAAAAAAAAAAAAAAGAAATCCAATCTATCGCTAAAAACGTGTTCAGGTTCATTTGGAAAGTTTCATGCGGTGAATGGTCGTGGAGATACGCCGCTTTCTTTCCTTGGAAGATGACGGCCAGGGTCTGAGGCTAAAAGGCGAATAGACCGTAAGCTGCTGGGTGAGGAGATGCGCGCGGTGGAATTATCGGGGGTATTGTGGTCCTCGTCATCCGGGACAACTTTGACGCTACCACTGACGGATGCGGAATGGAAGCGAGAGCTGAGCGGGAGCTGGTACTTCACCACGCCGCGGACGATCAGCTCAAAAGGGTGTTGGAGGACGCGCTCCCAGCGCTCTGTGCCGCCTTCTTCGGTCTTGTTGCCGGGTCGCGCGAGACGGATTTGGCCCTTGGAATTGGAGCCCAAGTGGTTCCAGGGGGATGCCTCGAAAGTTAGGGGCGAGTCGAAGTGGAATACGCGGCCGAGTAACATTGTCTGTGGGTCCCCACTGGGATCCGTGATGGGATCGGTGCCTCTGTCAACGCCGCCGTCGATATGTGATGCACCGGACATGGCGTCCTTCACACAGTCCATGCTACCCAAACAGCGCACCATCTGCGACATTTTCCAGCGGCGTTGACTTTGTTCCACGCGCGGAAAGCGGTCGAGTCCGCCATCTGGACCATGCTCCCGCCAGAGCTTGTCTGTCCCGACATATCGGCTCTTGGCAAAGATGTTAAAGTCGGTGTCGTCAATCATCATAGGGAAAAGATTCGGGTTAACTGCATGGACATTGAGGTCCAGCATAATCTCCTGTTCCGAGGCGAGCACGTTCTGAACGGCAATGATTTCAACATCGAGTAAGGGCCTGGTGGCCGCAACGATGAACGAAGCAGCACCAACCGCGACTATCAACATCAACAAGATGAAAATCACACATGAGCTATATCGTGAAAGATATCCGCGTTGTCGTTGCGCCATGTACTCCATCTGGCGCAAACTGGCGCTGTTCGGCCGCCGGCCACGGCTGCGATTGGCGCGTGGTGTTCCCACCAAGGGTGTGCGTTCGTCGTCCGCCCCCTCCGCATCGAAGTCATATCCGTAAATTTCGCCCGCCTTCTTGGAGTGGTTGATAGTCTTGTAGTTGGGAGAAGCGCGATTATTGCTGTGCCTCGAGTGCCGGTATCCACCCCCAATAAAATGCCGCGGAGATTTGACCTGAGACTGAGTCTGGGGAAAAGGCGCGTCGCCGTCAAAAAGGGACGGATGCACTGCATTGCGATTATGACGGCCAATATTATGTCGTGGAGTCAGCGTCCCGCTTGCGTCAACTCTCGAGAGGTTTCGGTTTCCATCGGCCTCGGCAGCTTCGCCGTCGACGCTGCTGTTGTAGGTGTTGTTCGTGAATTTCATGCTACGCTTGCCTGTCACACTGTGGGCGCCATCTCGGATGCCCCCACGTGCACGACCAGCCAGTTGGTCCACTTGACTCGCCATGGAGGTGGCGCTAGGCGTGCGGGAATGATATCGGCTTTGTCGAGGAGGATAGGGATCGGGTGGGTTGGATTCATAAACGAAGGTCTCATCCGAGTCGGAGGCATCAGCCTCATCAACCGCACTGGCAACCTTGGCTTCGAAGACATCTGCCTTGCTTGACAGCGGACCGCTCGTCAAGTTATTTGCTCGACGATTGTTCTTCTTCTTGTCTTTGCGAGGCCGGATCGTCTCAGTGGATGGTTTCATGCGCAGAGTACCCTGATCCGACCGACCGGCATTGCCTCGTTCACCGGACGGGACTCCCAAGGACACTTGAGGTATTGAGCTGACCGTCTCTGTTTCGACGATCATATTGCGGACTGAGCCGTCGGCGGGCTTCCCGCGAGCGCCAGCGCTAAGCGAAGTGAACGACCGTTGCGGCATGATAGTCCCAGATGTTTTCGCCGGGCCTGAAGGACGTCCTTGTAGATCTTCCTCCTTTGTCCCCGAGCTGCGGTTGCCACCACTATCGCTGCCGCTTTCCGTGCCCTGCTTTGAGGCTCGTGGGGTCACATCTTCATCGATCTTGTCCAACCGGGACTCTTCCGGGGTCACCGGCTTGACGGGGGTATCACTGGACGGAGTGGACGGATTACTTGCCATCTCCTGAACCGTTTCCAGAGAGGATCCTGGCCCACTGGCGCCCCTTGTCACTGCTCGGGTTGTGCTGCGGTCAATCTTGGAACCATGCTCTTCCGACGGCGGTAGCGTGGATCTCTTGTGTGAGGTATTCGGCAGGTTGGGATCTTGATCCGGGCGACGACTTCCAGCCCATGATGGCATGTTGGACTTTTCGGGAACATTGGCTGGTGGTTCGGTAGTAGACGAGGGAGAAAGGACGGGGGTGTTGCCCAGCTGAGCCGGTGTCGGGGATGGTGTAGTTCGTCCTGATGTCTGACTGGTCGACCGGGTGGGACTGCTGCGATCTTGACTCTGACTGCCTCTGCGTGTTTGAGAGGGCACTCGGCTGGCCGTTGGAGAATGTGCAGTACGAGATCGAACGGGTGAGTTTTCGCGCGAGGAAACGACCGAGTTGGAGGCGGACGCCGGGTTAGGCGAGGTCCGCAAACTGGGGGTGAGTTTTGGCACTTGGGACATCGCCTGAGGCTGGGATCTAACAGCGGCCGGCCGCAGCGGTTCCTTCATGTCACCATCGGCGCCCGACCGCTGCGCCGGGTCCGAATCTGCATCTCTGTTCCCGTCAGAGGCGCCGTTGAGGTAGGGCGGCCTCTCGGACTCCGCAGCCATGGTCGCTATCGAGTCAGAGTGGACCTGACACGATGTGTACGCCAGTCAGGGGACCCGAGAGGATGCCGGCAAGTTGGGCAGCGACGCGGGACCCAAGAAGGAGAGGATCCTGAAGATGCAAGATGTCACGCCAGGCAGGCAAATCCGACGGTGTGTGAAATGTGTTGATGTTGCTAAGTGTTGCTGCTATTGACAACGGAACGATTCGGGAGCGAATGGGATGTGGATATCAAGCGATCTGTGGCGCAGGATACAAGTCGTTAAACCAGTGACGGTGCAAAAGAGCGAATAGCCGAAGACCACATGCTGTTGACGGAAAACGGGATTCTGTTCAAAGGCGGAAAGGCCTGCAGGCAAGTGGGAACCGCGGTTGGGGGGGGGGAGGTAGTTTGTTGAGAAGTGGAGGTACTGTTGTTGTCAGTTTAGGCTGGTCGATGCTGGAGTCGCGCGCTGACGACAGGAGCCGTTGCTTTGTTTCCGGGGGGGCCAGGCGCACTAGAGTTCGTCTAGAACCTGTCTCGGGGGCCGGGGGCTGGTCTGGTTGGTAGATTGGGGGGAGGGGGCCGCCGATCCAGCTAAGCGTTTGGGCCAGACGACACGAAAACAAGGCTTTAGAAGAGGAAGTGTGGCGTATCTTCGCAAGAACCGAGAGAAGACGGTGACCACAACCGTCGGTGAAAAGGTGGCTGACGTTTTGGAGGGTCAGGGCCGGGATCCGGCGATGGCCAATGATTGGAGCCCACGTCAGGGTAGGGCCTAAACCTGCAGGGGAAGAGTGGAGGACGGTGGGCTAGAAGAGATATGCGAAACCTCGGTGGAGGAGAGGGTTGCAAATGGATGATCGATGATCGGATGGAGAAGAGTTGAAAGATCAAACAAAGGGCGTGAGAGTGTGAAGTCCGGGGAGCCAGTTTCGGTGACAGATCCATGACGTAAGAGTGGTAATATTACCGGGGTCCAGCAAGTAAATGGACCATTACGCCTGTCACTGCGTTACCAGGGCGATGACCTCATCGGCTAATATTTAATTAATCCAGTTTTGAAGCAGAGTGTTGGATGCGCTAGTTTACGATGACTATTCCAAGACTGTTTTCACGTTCTTTTCGGTCTTTTCTGTCTGTTTCTTACTCCGGTACACGTGTTAAACCATCATGTGACTATTTTTGGCCTGTAAAATCTGGCATTATATCTGATGAGCAAAAGTGCTATACAAGAAATATATCTCGACATATATGTACATCCAAGAAAATCCAAAGCACAAACAGCGAACGGTTGAGTCGGGGAAGGAAAGCCCCTAGATATAAATATGCATGACCCGTATATTGTCCAAAACATAATGTCCAACGCCAGCAGAGATATACGCTCGAAAAATAACAAGTCCCACCAGCACCGATCGTATGGCAGTTCAAGCCAGGAGAAGCAAGCCACCGGGGAAAGAAAAAAAAGAGAATAAGTACGGACAACTAAGGACCGTGAAACCGGGGTCCATTTAGACGATTTTGTAGACGCGTTTGGCGATGAGAAAGGAGACAAAGGCGAACACGACCAGGCCAGCGACAACTAAATAAAGGTTACCTAGTTAGCATCCTGCTTGTTTTCGAGTATGGAATCTGGGTTTGTGTGGAGGCGAGGAAAAAGTGAAAACATACTGCACCAGAACCAATTCAAATTGTCAATTTCCTGACCAGGAACCTTGACGTTCATCCCCCACATGCCACAAATGATATTCATAGGCAGGACAATCGTACCCAGTACAGTGAGCTTACCCAATACGTCAGCAGTCTTCTCCTGACGCTCATTCATCAAGATATTGATCTGCGTTAGGTAGTTCGAATGCGCACGGGAGAGGATCCTGGTAAAACCACAGTGAGCTTGATGGATTATTAGAAGGGAGAAAAAGAAAACCTACGTTTCGTAGTGTGACAGGTTGCTCGTCATGGTCAGAATATGGTCCTGGATATCGCCCAGGTACAGGCCGATTTCCGACTTGGGCGCCACCTCCCACTGCTCGTTGCAGCGCTTGGCGAACCCCTTGACGACGTCGGCTTTGTTGCTGAGCAGGCGGTACAGTCCCATGACTTTTTTGCGACAGTCGCCGTAGCGGCGAAGCATTTCGCTCGGTTCCATTGGCGGCGCCATTTGGTGAGATGAGGCTTCTGTGGTGGAGGGGTGCATCTGCATGATTGAGTCGTCTATCTCATCGACCTCGTCTTCGATGGCCTGGATGAGCGGGCCGAACACATCGGTGATATCGTCGATGAGAGCATAGGAGATCCAGTCAGAGCTCAGAATCAAGTAATCCATCAGCTGGCGGATGCGTCGGCGCACGTTGGCTGGGTGTGGCGTCTGCGAGAAATGGAAGGAGAGAACACCCTCGCGGAAGACCACAACGTACATGTTGACGGGCTCCAGGTAGTTTTCGCTGTTTGTGTCTTGCTCAAATGTGCGGTAGTTGACAAAGTAGTAGCTGCGGAATAGCTCGACTTTCTCCCGGGCCTCTTGCATCATAATATCTTCAGCTGTAAGGGCGTGAATGCCAAACGCCTTGGCGATCACGCGCATTTCGGCATCGGTGGGAGATAACACATCCAGCCAGAAGGTCGGTCGAGGGCCGTATCGTTTTGGCTTCGACGGCACTTCCGAATGTGAAGGCGACACGCCCCTGTTCTGTGAAACTCCTTCACTGATAACTGACAAGCGGGGGTTCCCTTTGCTGGCAGCTCCAGGACTGGTGTCCTGTGATGCTCTATTGGGAGGTGCGACGCCACCGTTTGGAGGGTTATCCGCATGATGCGAGCCCAATCCTCGTCCGCCGCTGTCCGCGAAATGACCGTCAGCACCATAATGAGAGCCATCCATATCCTCGTCATCGGACGATTCTTCAAGCTCTGGAGGATCAGGGATGAACAATTCCTGGAAACCACAACCGGGTTGCACCAGCTCAGAGATAGTTTGAGCATGGATGGTGCTCTGAAACTCCTCGTTGAAGTACGTAAATCGATATGGCGCTTCGTCTTCCTCCCGCCGCCACAATTGGTACTGCGGCCGTAAACGGCCCTCGACCAACATCGGCTCACTGATCTTCTTGACACGGATGTCACCATTGCGGTCTTCCTTCTCCTCGCGGCTCCACTCCTGCAGAACTGACAGATCCGGCCATTGTCGGTGTCTTCTCCGTCGACGTTCACTGGCCTCGTCCCGCTGCATCCTCGGTCCTTCGTCTCCTAGTTCTGAGACTTCTTCATTGGGAAAGCACACGTCTTCCTCCACGGGCAGTGCGACGGTCCGACGCCGCCGCAGCTCCTGAGAAAGTCGCGGAGAACGAGGAGAGGAAGGTTCCGAATATTGTGACGGGGCATGGCTGCCCTCGATATCGATCAGTGTATCACGTAACCGGCCGAACGAGTCCCTGCGGTTGTCCAAGGAGAGGCCCAATGAGAAATCAAAGTCGACGCCAGTCACAACGGCATCATCGTAATTCAAATCCCCGCCGAGCTTTGGGGTACCCGGTATGGACGGGGGATTATTGACATCATAATCTCGTTCGGCATCCGGGGAGATGTTTGGGGGGGGTTGTCCCGAGGCGAAAGATTCGACGATCCAGACTGAACGGACGGACGTCGGGCACGTCCAGAGAAAGGGCTAGACCTAGAGTCTGTTCCATATCGAGCATTAAACGTAGAGGTATGTCCAGACGGGGGTCTTTGCATCAGCGGTGTCCGGTCGTTTGTCTCTTCCCCGTCACTATCGCCATCCGCATTACGTTGATTCCGATCCCCGCCGGGATTATTGCGATTCCCAGACCGGAAAGCGTTCGACAGCAGAGGGCCAGGGCGGAACGATTGTGCAAGGCGACTTTCTCGGCGCGGCCTCATCATGGGTTGGTCCCTATATGCCGCCCACAGGAGTTAGCAAATCAGCGGGAACAGCAAGCATGAGAACAGCCACAGAGCTCGAGAAACACAAGAAACCTACCGATGGTCTAACAGCGCATCACTCTCCAGACTCGTGGTACTCAAATTGCTTCCAAATTTGTAATATCGTGGGTTCTCCCTGGACGTTGGCCGATCGCTTTCCATCTGATTTCCATCTCCAGCACCGGAAGCAGTGCCAGGCCGGTCATGAGATTCTTCGTTGGCAGGAACCAGGAACGATTGCCTTCGATTGCGGCGCTTGCGCTGGCGGTTTTTTTTGCGCTTGGAGGCTTTGGTTGATTTCCCTGTTTCGCCAACGGTCGTGGGGGCTTCCAAGCGGGTCTCGTGTGTTGGCGTCGTTTCGGAGGTCGTCACCGGTCCAGGCCGCTGGTCCCGCCCGGCCATTGGATCAGGCCCAGTTTTGTTATCGGTGGGAGGTGGAGTGCAGCTGAGCAGCGGGCGTTCGGGAGGACTGGTCGGTGAGGCGTGGGAGGAACGAGCTGGTGGTTGTTGGGCCGAAGCAGTGCGAGGAGCCGACGTTGGAGGATCCATGTCCGCACAGCCTAGATATGTAGATAGGAGGCGGTACTAGCGCTGGGATCTGCTTGCGCCCAGATCGCTGAAGAAAGCCGGAGACGGTGCGGATCAAATAATCGTCATGCGCGAATTTATGCAAGCTTGTGGCCTGTAAAAACGCAGTTCAGTCCGACACTGAGCGAGAGTGGCCGTGCAGTCACAGTAGGAGTCGATCAGGGTTCAGCCGATCTCAGCATGCTCGATCGCCCGAGGAACCAGGAACTCGGATAGTGCAGAGGGTGATGGCCTATCGTTGAAGCTGGAGCTGGGGCGGCGGTTATAGCTGGAGAAGCTTGTTGCGCAGGTCCTGGATGACGCGGGTGGCGAGACTAGGCGGAACATCGGGCAAGGCAGAAGGGACAGCCAAGTGGGAGCAGTAAACGCCAATCTTGGCGAAACAAACGACTTATACTAGATAAACCAGTAACGACGATTAAAGGTCTGACGGGAGGATGAAAGGGATGGGTGAAATTCGGCCCATCGAGATGTTCCAGCGCAGTCCATTGCCCGAAACGGATGGCTGAGGTCAGCGACTAGACCAACTACAGGGAAAGACAGAAGTATATAAAAAATATCTATTACATTGCTATGCCGGAATTACAGGTCATTACTCATCAGACATCAAGGAAATACAAGAACAGTGAAACAATAGAAAAGAAAAAGACCAAAACTCCAAGATGGGACGCCGGCATGCCATATCCTATCGCCATTCAACCAGAGAAACAGAGGAGCCCAGATGGGAGCAATCATGGTTGGAGTGTGACGCCTCAGATCATATTGCTTGTGTCCATCATCGAAGGTGCGACGCTGTACACGGACTTGGAAGCATCCATGGACATGCGGTCTCCGCTGAGCATGCGCACCACCTTCTTGTCCTTGCCCGGGCGGGCCACCAGGACTTGGGCCGGACAGACGACAACCTCATCGTCGCCCTCGCCGACGTCGTTGCCCTTCTTGACCACGAGAGGGAAGAGCACAATGCGCACGACAGCTTGCTGGTTCTCCAGATCTTCATTGGAGGTGGTCTGGCCGCTGCGTTCGTTCATCAGTGACGCATTAAAATAAACCTGCCGTGCCAGATCACCATTGGTATCGTACTCTGGCTGGAGCGGCGGTAGCATAATAAATTCCGCCAGCTGGGTGCGCATCTCCAGAGACAGGTTGACGGCGACCCGAAGCACCTTGCGAAGAGAGTCCAGCAGTTGCGACTCGGCGTGCGACGGGGGCGGCAGGACACGCGCCAGTGTGTCAAAGATCTCGAGGACGACTGCCTCGGTGTCATTTTCGCGCTGGGAGGCAAAGGCCGGGCGTCGGGAGAGGAGCGTCAGGGTAGTGGCGCGCCAGCGATGGACGGCACGACGCGGTCCAACTTCCACGAGTTGTTTCTCCAGCGACTTGAGCTTCTGGCGCTGTTCCCGGTCCATGCCAAACAGGTACCGAGTGAAGACATACTCCCACACCATGGTCATGATCACCGACATGAAGATGTCGCGGCGACGAACGCGGTCCGACAGATAGGCATCGGCGTCAGAGCCATCGAGAAGGGCGTTGTCAAACCGGTCGGCGATCTTCTCATCGTTTAGTTCGGCTAGAGTGCGGCAGCGACGGTGATCGGAGTGCTTGGAGAAGCGCAACACCCATTGTTGCACATGGCCACACAGCTTCTGGCATGCAGCGTCAAAGTAGTCCTCGTCTCGGAAGACGAGAGCGTTATCATGTAGTGACGCAGCGATTTGTTGCTGCAGTTCCTTCACCTTATCGCGAGCCTCTTCCAATTCTTCGCGCAGTCGTCGCAGTTCGGTATCCTTTTGCGCGAGGGCGGATTCAATCTCCTGCCGGACTCGGTCGTCCATCTGTGACGACAGATCGTTATGTTGTGATCGGAGATCGTCCAATTCGCGTGTCGACGACTCGCGGACTTTGTTGACTTCGTCCGCATGGGCGGCGGCGAGGGCAGCATTGGAGGCTGTCAACCCCTCATTCTCCTGGGTCAGGCGGGACATTTCCCTCTGCAGCCAGTCCACCGAGGTCTTGAGCTGCTCGACTTCGGCCTCCTTGTCCCGCAGATCAGCGCCGCGAGTGTTGAGAGCCTGGTCGCTCTTGCGCCGAGCGACGCTGGCATTGCGCAGCCGATCCTCGGCTTCATCACGGGCGGCGATGAGGAGACGGTTCTCAGAGATGAGTTGGTCGAGGCGGGATTCGAGGGTTTGGAGGTGTTGCATGCTGCGGCGGCGGTGGACGCTGGGCGGTCGGCTGGGCGACCGCGGGGAGCTGGGGGTTTCGCCCCATCCCTCCTAAGGCAAGTCAGTAAACAAACAAACAAACAAACCAAAAAACAACAACAACAACAACAACAACAACAACTTACATAGACATCGGTCATAGTGCGCAGGGGACGCTTGCCCTTGTCGTTGACGGGATCGTAGGAGGAAGAAGAAGGCAGAGCGTCGGGATCGAGATCGGGGGGAGGCTGGGGATCTAGCGCCCGACTAGCGCCATTACTGCGGGTGTGACGCAGGCTCCTGTTGCTGCCGCTGGGTCGCAGCTCTGGCGGGTGCTGCAACTCGGGGCTCTTGTGTTTTTGTTTCTTCTCGTGCTCCGGCGTCGGCCATCTCTCTCGGCCGTGTGCAGTGTCTGTAAATTGGCGCACGGGAGTCTGTGGTCGCGGCAGGACATGTTCGGGCTTGATCTCCAGACGGGGCGTCCTGCGAGTGCCTGTGGTTGCGTGCCCGCCGTCCGCTGGGTCTTGTTCCGCGATGGGATCCAGCGGAGTCCGGGGCCGCTCAGCGTCGATTGGGCCTCCAAAAAGAGACCGCGGCGGCGACGGTTTTCGCTCAGCTTGCAGCGCTGCCTCTTCCAGACTCCATGTCCGGGGAGTGTGCTGGTGCCGTCCATGGATGACAGATGGAGTTCGACGGATTCCACAATGCGAATCGTCGGCCGCCAAATGTGCTTGAGATGGCAGGGAATGCCTAGGCGATGCCGAGTCGATCTCCGTCCGAGTAGAAGGTGAAGAGCTGAAAAGCAACGACGATCGCTCCTTGGTAGCTGATTGAGGCGCAGGTGGCGGCGATGATGCAGCCAGCGATCTCGCAAAAGCCGGGAGATCTGGATCAGTAGGTGATTCTTCCTCCGTAGCAGTTGTAGGTTGCTCTGTTGGGGTTGTAGGCTCATACTCCAGCTCCCGTTCACCGCTTGATGGTAGTTCGTCGCCGGGAATGTCGATATTGTCTTTGGATTCAGAGATCGCGGTGGGTGCTTCTATCTCACGACTGGCTTCCGGGTCCGCTACAGTCTCTACCAGAGTATCATCTGATGGCGGTCCGGATGAGGTTGCCAGGAGGGGCCGTCGAAAGCCACTGCGCTCCAAGCCGGGGAAGAGATTAGCAAGCTTGCTTCCCTTGGCAGCTGTCGATTTTGCAGGTGCTTCGAGCTCGATGTCCTTGGGGGTTGTTGTTCCTGGAGCAGGCTCCGGAATGGACTCGGCCACTGTTTGCTCGGGTTCTTCTTCCATGGCTTCTTGCTGTTGTGACTTGCGTTTGTTCTTCTTCGCCTTCTTCTTGTCCTTCTTGCTCAGAGGCATTGACCAAGCCTCTGCCATAAAACCATCATCTGGTCCATCCTCGGTCTCTTTCACAGCGGCCGGGACCGCAGCTTCATCAAACCCTCCAATAATCTCCGCGTCCTGCGAAAGCGTCACCGGCTCAGATTCAGGAGGCTGATCCGGCGATTGCGCCGAGTTTTCAACATTGCCCTTCTCCCACTCAATCGTAGGCCAATCATCTTCATCCGCACGTGTTTCTTTCGCTTTTTCCATCTCTGTCGCAATTAAATCCTTCTCTTCTTGGACAGGCACGGTTGTTGCCGGCTCGTTCACTTCTGTGTCGGCCGCCAGCTCCCATTCCAAGGCTTGGGCTGCTTTCTTGGCCTTTTTAGCCTGCTTCTTCGATGCCTTCCGGGAAAGCGGCACCTCCCATTCGTCTTGAACAGGCTCAGTAACTGTTGCTGTCGGCTCTAGATCAACCGGCTCCATTGTAGATTCCGGCCGCGCTGGAGGCTGAGCATCATCTGTAGACTCTAGCTGCTCTACTTGAGGTTCTGGCGCCGGAATTGCTGTTTCAAGCTCTGCGGGTGTATCAACTGGAGGCTCTTCGTATTCCTGGACCGGCGTGTCTTCCGTAGCGCCTCTCTTCTTCAACTTCTTCTTCTCCTTTTTCGACAGTTTTCTCGAAGGAGGCGCGGGCACTTTGGGCTCACGAGGTCGGTCTTCGAACATATCTTCAGCCACCTCCAAGTCGGCCGCCTTCTCAAGGACCTGGCCCCGCAGTCGAGATTCAGCCTCTTCATCCTTCTCGTATTGTTGCTCGGGGGTAAGTTGCAGGTCCTGGGTTTCTTCAATGGCGCTCTGCTCAGGAGTCTCAAAGGCGCGATCTTGACCCTCGGCCTGAGGAGAGTGAGGGGTGTCAAATGGGTCTAACGAGACAAAGGCCTGGTCTTCTTCAGCGCTTTGTGGTTGGGTCTCTTTTGGTATAACAGCAGATTCCTCCACTGTAGGAGCAGAATCATCTTCCAGGTGCTCAGGTTCAGGCTCGGGGACAACTTCTGTTGATGTTTCCGTGGTAAAAAGCTCAATCCCAGGAGCTGGTTCCTGTGCAGATTGTTCGATAGACTCCGTAGGAGCAACGGCAGGCTCTGAAGGTTCAGGCTCAGGAAAATCAGATGGATCTTCGGTGAAAGCAGTAAAGTCTGTAGGTTTCCGCTTTGCTTGTTTCTTTGCCTTCTGCCTCTCTTTCTTGGATAGCTTGCGGGTAGGGAGTTCCACAGGTACGGTTTCTTCCGAGAGCTGCTCTGGAGTGGGCTCCTGCTCTGGAGCTTCTTGTTTGCGGGCCTCCAGATTTATTGTAGCCTCCTCGTTAGTTTCTCCAGTCGAGAGTGCTGCCAGGTCTTCAAATTCCTTCGAAACAGGTTCCGGTCGAGGCTCTGCTGGGATTTTGGAAGACTGTTCTTGCTCCAAAGCTTGCTTTGCCACATTGTCAGCGGGCTGTCCAGAAACAGCGGTTGGCTCATCCATTGACTCGACGGGATTGTCATCTTGAGTAGCAAATTCGACGGCCATGGCAGCAGCTGCAGCTGCAGCGGCGGCCGCCTTCTTTTTATTTTTCTTGCTCTTCTTGCTGGTGAAGGCTGGCCACTCTTCCTCGGGCTCCACCATAGGCTCATCCGAAGTTTGCTCCGTGGCTGCTGTTTCTGCAGGTGGAACGTCTGCCGTGGTATCCCGGGTTATGGGCATAAGAGACTCTTCTGCTTCATCTGTGTGGGCTTCTGCGGATGGTGTATCAACTAAACCGTCTTTTACTACAGCGCTTTCTGCAGTCTCTTGCTCTGCAATGTCTCCTGGCTGCTCACCAGTATCTTTGAGGACATCCTCGGCTGTCTCAGCTGCGACATCAGCAGGTCCAACAACAGGCTGGTCTTCCAATGTCTCGTCTGCAGTCGGTTGGCTCTCTGCAGCTTCGGCATTGGACACAGAGACCTCAGGAGTCTCGGCTACTGGTTGCTCTTGGGCCCGGAGGTCGGCATCTGCTTCTTGAGCAAGTAAAGCTTCACGTTGCTTTTTCTCTTCCTTCTTGCTCTTCTTTCTTGACAGAGATGCCGCTTCGAAACCTTCGGAATCGACCGCAGGCGTCTCAAATGTTATCATCTTTTCGCTGGGTTCAGCTTCGGATGGTTGAGAAACAGGTTCGTCGTTCAGGTCTTTGGCTTGCTCTGCTGGAGTGTCTTCGAGGGTTGATTCACTCTCAACTTCGGGAACTGTTTGTTCGGCTTCAGTGTCGGTGGAAGGCGGAATTTCAGACTGGTCTTTGCCGTTGACTGCAGAAAGTTCGGGTTCAGGAGGCGGGATTTGCTCTTCAACCTGGACTTGTTGCTTCTGCTTCTTCTTCTTATCCTTCTTCTTTTGCTTCTTCGATGAATTGGACTGCCATGCCTCTTCTTCTGCGGGCGCGGGCGCTTCTTCAACATTCACTCCAGCGAATTGTTCTTGAGTCTGCCCGGCAGACAGCTCGTCCTGTTCAATCGGATCATTGGCACCGACCGTCTCAACGGTGGCAGAAGTCTCAGCCGTCCCAGCCTCAGCCTCCTTCTCGAATACAGGATCCTGCACATTCTCCTTATCCTCAAAGCCTTCTCTCTCGGGTTCAACATCCTGACTATCCTCTGCAATCTTGGTTGACGATTCCTGTTCTAGAACCACTGATTCAACACCTCGCTCCTCCTGAACAAAATCCTTCTCCGTCTCCTTTGACTCAACGCCACGCTCAAGCACGGGCTGGGTATAATAATCTGAAGGAAGACCCTCCGGCTGCAACTGCTCTACCTGCGAAAAGACAAACTCATCAGTCGAAGCCAAATCATTTGCCGGCGCGTCGTGCGTGTCTATGTCGCAGGACTGTTGTTCTTTACCGTCGTCATCTTCCGCTGGCGAGGGTGCCGTCACGGGTGCAGAGGTTTCCATGGTGTCCATTTCAGCGAGAGGAGAAACTTCTGTGGCGTCTTGGGTGACGTCGGCAGGAGTGCTTTCTGTCAGGACCGATTCCGGGGTCGGTTCGTCTGTGGGAGCATCAGAAGTTGTGTCGTCGGCATCGAGAATCTTGGACCGTCGCTTCTTGTCTTTCTTTTTTGCCTTGCGACGTTCTTTGGCTGACATTCCCACCTCTTCCTCGGGCTCCGTGGTGATTTGAGGAGGAGATGGCTCCGGCTCGGCCACCGTCTCAGTCTCACCAGCCGGCGGTTGAACGTCTGTTTCCTTGGTTTTGGACATTTCTGGAGTTCCAGCTGCTTCCGACTCAGGTTGTGCAGCTTCTTCGTCGGCAACTGCATCGGTGTCGATCTCCCTTGTCTCGAGCTGTTCGGGTTGAGAGTCCTCTTGAACAACGGGTTGCTCATCGCCAATATTTTTCTCAGCAGGAGCCTCCACCTCTGCATCAGCGCCTGCATCAACAGCCTTCGCATCATCTGCTGCGGGTGCGTCAAGACCAGATGCCTCAACGATCTCAGGCTTCGCAGTCTGCAGCGAATCGTCCTGAGCGTCGAGAATGTCCTGTTGTTCCTGCGTCGGTTCCGGGGCAGCAGGTTCCTCAGCATTCAAATCCACGGATTTCCCCTTCTTCTTTTCCTTTTTCTTCAGCTTGCGGCGCTCCTTGGCAGATAAAGCGACTTCTTCTTTCGGTTCCGTCGCTGAAGCAGCTTGGGACTCGGCCTCATCTGGAGTCTGTAATTGTTGATCAGGCGAGGTTAAGGAATCGGCAGCATCTTCCGGTTGTTCATTGCTTTCAGTGGGGACTCTTGGTGCGCTTTCCGCTTCAGTTTCCTCCACGTCCTTTGTGGCGTCAGCGGATGTAGCGATGTCAGATTCGGTGGCTGGGCTGGTTGCCAGCTGAAGAGGCTCTTCGGAAGAAGCAACCTCTGGGAGGGTTTCAGCGGTTTCAGTTAACTTGGTGAACGTTGGGGGAGCCTCTTCGGTCTTGGCTTCTTGTTCTTGTAGAGTGGGCTCAACCTCCTCGGTGATCTCTTTGTCTGCGACGAGCTCGGTTGCCTCCGTGCTCTCTGCTGCTGTTGCCTCTGTCTGCTGATCAGAGGGTTCTTCGACAGCCTTTGCTTCTTCCGACTGGGCATTCTCAACAGCGACGGACGGATCTTGTTCAGGTGGGGGCTGCTCAAACTGGGCGGCAGTGGTCTCGTCGTCCCAAGCGACAGACTTGCGCTTCTTCTTGTCTTTCTTCCTCTGCTTCTTGGAGACTGCAGGCTGGAAGTCCGCCTCCCCAAGTTCGGCTGCAGGTTCTTCGGGAGCGATATCCTGCTGTGTGCCGGACTCAGTCAATGGCTCTTCAGGTTGCTGGTCTTCCTGAGGCGAAACAACAACTTCCTCCAAGTGATTGGCAACTTCGGATTCAGTAAGAGACTCCTCCTTGTCAATGGACGCAGGCTCTTCTGTGATTTCAGTGGACGCAGGCCCAGTGGATCTTTCTTCCTCAACAGGAGCGGGTTGCGGCTCATCATCCAGAGAAAGTGATTGACGCTTCTTCTTATCCTTCTTCCTCTGCTTCTTAGATTTAGCAAATGAGACAGGCTGCAACTCTTCAACCTGTTCTGAGACTGCATTTTCCGACGGCTCAGGCGAAGCAGTAGCCACCTCTTCTACGGATTGGTCTTGCTCGGCTTCCGCAGGGGTGGCTGCATCCTCTGCGGGTTGATCAGATATCACCTTATCATCCGGAGCCATGACCTCGGCGGACGAGTCCAGGGTGGATTCCTTGATCGTGGGTGTATCGTCCGCAGGATCTTCTTGGCCGGTTTCTGTTGAAGCAAGAGCATAATCGGCGACTGGTGTCAGGATTTTACCTTTGCTCGGATCCTGAGCATCCGTACCTAGTTCAGACGCTCCGACCAAATCAAGTGCTGATTCTTCCACGGGAGCCTCTGGAGTAGCTTCTTCGGCGGGGTTGATGATATTTTGCGACTGCTCGTCCAGGCCGAGTTCACGGTCTGCCTCTACTAGTGTCGACTCGGTTGCGGTCATCTCCTCCGCCACCTTTGCCTCGTCAAATAGAGAAGGTTGTGCCTCGGCAGATGTCGTAGGCTCCATCTCAGCATTATTGTCGTCGATTGAAGCAGGCTTAGGTTCGGGTGCGGCCTGCTCATCCAGCTGCGTTGACTGCCGTTTTTGCTGCTGCTTCTTCTTCTCTTTCTTGGCTTTCTTCTTCTGGGCTGCAGTCAAAGGCACAGCTGGTTCTGGTGGCGGAGTCTCGGGTTCTTCCTGGACAGGCTCCGGTTCTGCTGGAGCAATTGAAGCATCCGTAGCAGATGATTCTTCATCCTTTTGCTGATTGATTTCAACAGATGGCTGGTTCTGCTGTTCTTCGGATGACACCTCTGCTGGAATAGCTATCTTGTCGGATGTATGGGGTGCAACCGCGGTCTCAGCAGCTCTCTCATATGCCGTAGTCGGTGTCTCAATCTCAGTCGCTGGTGCAGCATCGTCACTGGTCTGAGGAGATTCGGCAGACTCCAGATCAGGAACCTCAGCAGTCTGCTCATCTGCCGTAGTCGGTATCTCAATCTCAGTCGCAGGCGCAGCATCTTCACTGGTCTGAGGAGATTCGGCAGATTCCAGATCAGGGAGCTCAGCAGCTTGCTCATCTGCCGTAGTCGGTATCTCAATCTCAGTCGCAGGCGCAGCATCTTCACTGGTCTGAGGAGGTTCGGCAGACTCCGAATCAGGGACCTCAGCCTCAGGATCAACGGTAGAGGGCAGCTTGCTGGTGTCTGTAGTTTCGGTATCAGGCCGGGACACAGCTTCATCAGGCTTCTCACTGTCAGTAATTGAGCTAATACTTTGCTGTTGCTGTTGCTGCTTCTTTTTCGCCTTCTTGGCCTTCTTCTTCTGAGATGCTGTCATGAAAACCTCGGGCTCGGCAGGAGGATCTTCGGACTCTGCGGGCTCTGTTGGGGGCTCTTGAGGTTGCTCGCTCGAAATATCAGCCTCTGCCACCTCCGCTGCAGATTCCGGAAAATTGCTGGACGGTGCCTCATCTTCCTTCGGTTGCTCAGGCTCCAGAGACTCCTCATTCTTGGCTTCTTCAAGAGACGCCTCAACGGAGACATCCTCGACCGTCGGGGGGATATCCTTGGAGCTACTGGTAGGCTCAGCTTCAGCGTCGGGTACAGCAGAAGTAACATCCTCAGCGAGCTGCTCGGCGGGTTGGGGTTCAGTAGGCTTATCCTCGTCAGGAATAGAAGAGACACTTTGTTGCTTTTTCTTCTTCTGTTTCTCTTTCTTGGCCTTCTTTTTCTGTGCCGCGGTCAAGGGTGCTTCGACCTGGACCTCAGCCTCAACCTCCGTTTCAGGTTGCTCTTGAGGTGGAGGCTGCTCAAAAACGTCTCGAGAAGCTTCCTCGCTGCGGTCCACCGGCTCTGTAGAGGGCAGCACTTCTTCCGCAACAGCGCGGTCTGCAGAGTCCTGTTCTGAGATGGGAGCAGGCTCATCCGCAGCAGTCTCAGATGTTGACGTTAAATCCGTGACAGTAGGATCAACATCAGCCAGTGCCTCCGCCGCGCCAGTTGAAGAGGGTTCTGCAGGCTCAGCAGGAACCGATTTCTCAAGTTCCAGTTCCTCTACCGTTGGCTCAGGCTTGGGTTCGGGAGCAAGGGTAGGCTCGGATGGGACATCTATGTCATCGAAAGCGACGGATTTACGCTTCTTCTTGTCCTTCTTGCCTTTCCTTTTGGGCTGCGTTTCCCAAGCCTCCTCTGTCAGGGGCTCCTGCAGTTCGGTCGGAGTCTCCGTCCTCGCATCGGTGGACGCTTCTGGTGCAAGCTCTCGTGTTTCCGCAACCGGGAAGGGTTGCTCCTCGAAGGCTTCGTGGAAGTCATCCTCTTCGGTCTCGATATCTCCTTTGTCAGTCGAAGCGGTGTTGTCGTTAAGAGAAGGTGCGGAGATGGTATCATCCGATTTCTGTTCAGGCTCCGGAGTACTGTCAGCTTCGACAAAAGCTGCTCCAGCATAGTCGATCTCCCGTGTCTCAGGCACAACTGCCTCAAACAATGCAGGCTCGCCGGAAGGAACTGAATCCTGCGCTGCATGAACAGCCGGCTCAGGAATAATCTCATCCCGTGGATCTTCTGGAGAGATTTCCATGCCCTTTTCCTGTTGCAGCTCTTCGCCCTCCTTCGAAACAGGAGCATCCTCTGAATCCTCTGCAAGGGAGATACTCTTCGCCTTTTTCTTCTGTTTCTTCTTCTCCCGCTTGGCTTTCTTCGACAGACCAGCAGTATCCTCAGGCTGTTCCAGCGGCTCAACCGGAGTAGTCAGTGCAGCTTCTGGTGCAGTCTCGAGTTCATCGACATGAATCGGCTCCGCAGCTTGAGTGGGCTCACTCTCCAGAGCAAAGGAATCAAGGTCTCTGGATGTATCAGTGGGCTCGGTTTCGGCTTGAGAAGCAAGAGTCTCCTCCTTGTCGTTCGCGAGTGCGGGTAGAGTCTCCGTATCCCAGGAATCGGGCTCTAATTCTTCCACAACAGGAGCCGGTTCCTCTGCCACGGGTACAGATGCCGAAGGGGTCAAATCAACGCTCTGGCTGGCTTGACTCTTCTTGCCCTTCTTCTTCTTTTTCTTCTTGGAGGACTGCGTCGTGCCAACTTCGTCAGCGGCTGGTTCGGCAAACGAAACTGATGCGGGTTCAAGCTCCCGTTCAGTGGGCAAGGGCTCTTCAATCGCAGTGCCTGGCTCGCCTAGGGCTTCGTTGGTAGGTTCTTGATTATGGCGAGCCGTCTTGGACATAACTGCTACATCGACGATGTTGCCAAAATCATGGATCTTGCGGGCTTCAGGGGAAGAATCCTTCGGCAGTGCAGCTAACTCGGTACTGTCTTTGTCGTGGGAGGGAGATATCGGCTTCTCGCGCCCCTTCACAGCCGCCAGAACAGCCGCATCAACAAGGCCGCCAAACCCGGGTGCCTTTCCTAAATCAACACCGGGAAATGACTTATGTCCAACACTGCTCTCTTCCGATTCAGCCAAATCTCTGGTACCAGTGCCAACCATTGACCCCTCAGCCGAGGGAAGGGCCTCCAGAGTAGGCGAGGGAGGCAATTCATCAAGCACGCTCGGGTCCTGCAGAAGTTCAGACGGAGAATGGAACTCATACTTGGGCTTCTCTTTCTTCGCAGACAACGCAGCGGTAGCTTCTCCGAAACTCATCGCAGTTGGCGTTGTCTGCTGCGAATCAAGCAGATCCGGGTCGACTGCGTCATGGGCCTGATTGGCGGTGTCGATCGAGATGGCGAGGCCGGACAGGCGGCGGCGGTCCATAATCGAGTCGCCCAGGTCGGCGGGCTCCCAGCTTCTCATATCATCTTGTTCATTGAGAGATCGGAGGTCTTCGACTGATGGGGCGCGCGAAGAGCTCTTACTTGATGGGAGGGAAGGCAGGGGCTCTTCCGGCTCGGGTTCTGCCTTTGCTGAGCCGTGACGCTCGACGAGCCACAGTGGACGGAATTCACGCGAGTTGCGGAACTCTGTTGAGTTGGGTCGACGATGGCGTGGCTGATTTGGGGAGCTGGGAGACATGGGAGTCGGCGAGGTGGTAGGAACAACGCGCTGCAGCTTCGGAGAACTTGGTGGCCGACGGAAGTGCAACGGCACGGCTGTTGGCGACTCGGTGCTCGATCGTACCATGGATAGCCGGCGTGGCATAGGCGAGATGTCCTGCTCCTGCGCCATCTCAGGCGAGGCCGGGCTGCTGTGTGGTTGTGAGGCGAGCTCGCGCGTCGCTTCCTCTGCAGCAGGGGACATGGGACGGTCCTGAGGAAGATGTTCGAGGGCTGTTTCACCCAGCCCAAGACCTGCAGCGACCATGGCAGCCACCTCCATCGTTTCTTGGAGCCCCGAAGCACCACGTTCATCGCGCTCAGCCGCGGCTGGCATTTCGGGGCCTTGCCCTAAAAAAGGCTTCTTGTCGATATCGGCATCGTTATAGTCGAATGATTTCTCGTCCTGCTCATGGAGTAATACCAGAAGAAAACACTTAGTACAGATTCTTTTTTTGTTTGCGGGTGGACAAGTTGGACGCAGGCCATCGCGAATGAAAAACTATGTGCCAAAATAACAGTGTACAAAAGGTTCACAAGAAATCACAGAGAAAGAAACAAAAAAGGGAAATTCAAATGCTATACCTTCTCATAGTCCTGTTGGTCTCCCGACTCCATCGCCTCGTCATATCCATGTCGTCGATCTTTCTCGCGCTGCCTTTCCGATCTGTAGTCCTCCAGATCCACATAATCTTTAGTGCCCATGTCCTTGTCCGAAGCATCATACAGATCGTCTCCATCGCCGCTCTTGGAAGACCGCTTCTTGCGACGACTCTTCTCGCTGGATTCCTCAATCCGGGCAGGTGAAGAGGCAATTGAAGTTGCGTCGTCGATACCACTATCACGCTTAGAGCGCCGCTTTTTCTTTTTCTTACTTCCACCGTCATTGTCATCGACAGGAGGGGGCGTGGCAGTATCCTGGGTCAAGTCGACGGCTTCGCCGCTTCGCCGGGACTTCTTGGATTTTGTGGGAGTCTCGGGCTGTCCCGCAGGGGCGGAGTAGACAGATCGAGTGTCGTGCCGAGGGATGTCTTGGGAATCGTCCACATCAAACCCACCCGGCATGAAAAAGACATCGTCGTCGCTCGACTTAGCTTCTTTGCCATTTGTCTGCTCGGTTTCCCTGCTCTCAGCTTGTTCAGGCTTGGACATGGTAAATGCGTCCTCATCCTCAGATCCAGGGGGCGAAGTTCGCGTGTGGTAGGTTGGGTTATCAGTGACCATGGAAGGATCAAACCCAGCCGCTTCGGTTGCAGCGGCGACTGCTGCAGCAAACTCAATATCATCGCCATAGTCGGATTTGGTGTTGACATCGTTGGACATGCCCTTTGGCGAAGCGGCTTCCTGCTCAAGCGGATCCTGCTCGGAGGACGAAGGAATGTCGTACTCATAAGTCTGGTGGTCGCGCTGCTTGTTGCCATAGGACTTGTCCACAGGCTCAACAGTGGGGGAAGTCGCATCTCGAACAGATCCGCTAACACTGTGGGGAGGAGTGGGCTCAATGATGTTCAGTCGAGGTACGGGCCAAGGGAGCTGATCGCGGCCTTCGTAGGGTTCTCTTGTAGCCTCCAGTGCTTCGCGCTCGAATCGGTCGGCGGCGGGCTCGATCTCAACAATCATCGGCATCCCACCGGATGCATTGCGCGAGCTGTTGTCAGAACTGTGCCGCACCCCCTCGGGAGCGAAAAACTCCGCATAGTCCTCGTGTACGGGTGCAGGGCGAGGGGAGCGTTTTTTCCGTTCTTCCTTGTATTCAGACCTTGGCGAGCTCTCCTCGGGAACATCAGTCTTGGACACAATGGCCACCTCAGGCTCACTGTCGGAGACACGGCGTCGTTCAGCGCGGCGTTTCTCGCGGCGTTCATCGATTCGGCGCTGGCTGGCTTCAGAAGCTTCGTCATCATCAGCTTTGTGAGAGTAAATTGTGCTGACAGCAGCCGCGCCTGTGGCAGCTACCGCAGCGGCTTCAATCCAGGATGAAGAATCGCTCTCTCGATCCTTTCGGCGACGGGGTCTTTGGTCGGAATCCTGGCGAGACAGCTCGTCTTCCCGGTCAATCCATTGCTCTGATTCATTTTCGAACTCATCTCGACTCTTCCTTCCCCGGCGACGACGTTCTTGTACGATCTGCTCTTCGGTGAGGTCAAAAGAGACAGAAGCTTGGTCTTTGGTTGTTGACCGGCGCTTGAGGCTAGATGTAGAGCTCTTTTGCGTAGGGAGGACAGGCGAAGAGTCACGTCGGCGCAGAGGACCGATGGGGTCACGGTTAGTGTAAGCGACGTCTGGTGGAACCGCGGCGTCATCCCGCGGATACTGAAAGGTGGTGTCGTATCGATCGTAATCATTGGCAAAAATGGGAAGAACTGGAGGGGCACTGTATGCTGGAATCGTGTCGGGAAGGCTGCCTTGGGTGGTGTATACAGCCTGAGAAACTGGACTCACGGGCTGTGGTTGCTGAAGCGGGATGGGTCCGGGGCGAACGAGGGGTGTCTGGTCACCGGACATGACGGACGGAGACATCTTGGCAACATCAAAGCGAGAAGGATCGGAAGTTGGCACCGGATAGACCTGTTGAAGGCTTCCGGTACTGCTAGAAGCCTTGCTATCCTTCTTGCGAGCGACAGAAGCCAACGCAGCACTGCCCAGAGCACCAGCGCCAATTGCGAGGGCAGTATCTGCGGCACTTGACTTCTTCTCCTTCTTTTTCTTCTTGCTGCCCCATCTCCAACCCCATCCGCCGCTCGAATCAGAGCCAGACTCGGCACTACTTCCTCCGAATGCCAGGTTAGAGCTGACACTGGACGAAGACTGGTCCTCCGACTCGGCATCGATCCACCCGTCATCATTTGTAGCAGAAGAGGCAGAATGGCGCGAACGATGCTCCTTAGCTGCGAGAATTTGACCGGTACTCTTGCTACGGCCATGAGATGAGGCCGCCAGGGCGGTTGCCGTAGCACCCAGACCCAGCAGCGCAGCATCCACATCTTCGTTCTTCTTGCCTTTCTTCTTGGATTTCGGAGACTTGGACTTCTTTGCAAAGCCGGAGCCAAAGGCGAGATCATCATCAAGCGAGGAGGATGACGAAATGTTGAAAGAAAAGAACCCCCTGCGCTTCTTGGGTCGTCGAGTCTTGCGGTTCTCGGATGATGCGGTGAAGAACGAGCCAATACCGCCACCAACGGACTTGCGTGAAACGTCGAGGAAAGATGAATCGGATGAAGACTCTTTTCGGTGGTGGGATCTGCCAGCAGGAGATTGGCTGCGGTTTCGCTGGCGCGACTTAGCAACGGCCAATGCAGCCGACCCTACTGCCGCGCCCAAGGCTGCCTCCTTCACAAACGAGTGGTGGCCGGATCGAGACGAGGACCTGGACCGTGATCTGGTTCGGCGGGAACGCTCAACGTAAGCTGTTTGTTTAGTGTCGGAGTGATGACCTCTTGCCGGACTGCGAGCGGAACGACGAACAACTCCGCGCGATGTGTAGCTGGCATCCGATTGGCGTTCGCCGTGGTAGGAAGCCGGACGATCGTCAGAGGCTCGGTTGGGGCGGACGCTGTAGGAATCCTCAAAGTCCTTGCCCGTAAAAAGTGATTTTGCCGCATAACCAGCAAGCATGCCTGGCAGCCATGAGGAAGAAGATTTCTTAGACTTCTTGCGCCGGCGACTCTCGTCTTCAGAAGACTGGTAACGGCTGAGTTTGTTTACCCTCGACGAGCTGCCGGTACTGTAGCGGTCGGCAGAATGGCGATGGTGGCGGTGATAGTGGTGCTTGCGAGGCGCATCAAGAGACGTTGTGCCTGGGTCAAAGCAGTACTTGCAAACACCGATCGTCTGGGTATAATCCTCAAATCTTCCGACGCCATATGGGTCCCGCCAGAAATCCACAAGTCGCCCCAGAGGGCCACGCTGTCGTTGTTGAAATCCGAGTGAGCCGGCTCCGTAAGGATATCCGCCGCTGGGGCCAGGGGGGCCATATGGTGTACCGCCTTGAGATGATTCCTCATAGTTCTGATATGTGTACTGCGAGGAGTGCGCCGGGCTTGACGAGTGATTGTGGTGACCCATCATGTAACCCGCAGCGGCACCAGCAGCTGCTAGACCAATGCCAGGGCCGATGCTCTGGGAGTGGCCAAGGGGAGGCTTGCTCGAACTTGTCATAGCCGGCTGCGAATATGAGGTGGTTTGTGGCACAGATGTCATGGAGGAAGATCCTGTCTCATGATGGGAGAGCAGCTCGGTGCCAACACCGTATGCGGCCACCCCGGCAGCTCCCGCAGCAATTGCACTTGATGACGAAGGCTTGCTTGGTTTTGACGGCTTACTTGGTTTCGAAGGCTTCGAGGCCGTCGGTGGCTTGGAAGAAGAAGTTGGTTGCGGCTGGACTTGTGATTCCGATTCATCAACTTCAGCGGCATAATATGCCGCAGCTGCGCCAACTTGGCCAACGCTGCTCGGTTCGGGAGGGGGATTCGCCGAGGACGATGCAGACTGCAAATGCGCTTGGTTGTTGGGGATCACTGCAGGAGGCGTTGGCCTGACACCCGGCTGCTCAGCGACCGACTGTCCTTGATCGCCATAGTAGTCTGCAGCAGCGCCGGCAGGGTTGGAAAGATACGGCTCCGCGATCGTGCTGGGGAATTGACCAGGGAACTGCTGTTGTACATGCGGATCGTATGGTGCCGGTGAGGAGCCATTGCCAGGAGTCGAAGGCATGCCATTGTCGTATTGCATGGGGAATTGCGAGAATCCTGGCGCCGCGATGTCGGCGGCAAACTGGGCGCTGGGAACGCTGGAGGGCATGGAGGTGGATGGCCCATAGGGATCTCCAGACTTGGTGCGACGGCGCTCACGACGATCGCGCTTTTCATCCCGGTCTTTCTCGTTATCTCCCTTGGCTGAATCTTCCGTTGAGCGCCGGCTCTTCCGTCTCTCTCTTTCGCGACTGGCGGATCGGTCACGGTCGCGCCGGTGGGAGCTCTTGCTGTCGCGATCACTGTCTCTGCGCTTGGGGGTTCGGTCGATGATAACGGAATCGGAAGCGTCAATGGATTCAGGTTCGGCCGTCACGTACGTCGATGCAACCGAGTCGCCGGCGGCGCTGGGCTCGTAAGCCGACAGATCGCCCAAGCCGCGGTCACGGTCGTCACCCCGTGAGGATTTGCGGCTGGACTTTGAGTCGGTCCTGCGACGGCTGCTGCCCTTGGAGGAGCCGGAGCTGCGAACGTCCGAAGTGGACGCCGACTTGCCCCCGCCCATCAGGGCTTTGAACATGGTTCACGGGCGATGAATTACAGGAATGCCCTGACAGCACAGGCCACCATGTGGGAGGAGGGGAAGAATGTGGTGTTGAGTATCACCAGTGGTGGGTAATAATGGGGTAGAGGATGAGGGTATAGTTAGGAAATCTTCTGCTTGTTATTGTTGTTTTGGGGCTGGGGAAAAGTAAACAAGCCGAGCCGTGGATCCTCGTGGAGACGAACGAACCGCTCTAGTCGGCACTAAGCGATTCAGCTGGCTCGGGGCTTGGCGGGTGAGATGGAAGAGATGCGACAAATGGGAAAAGGGAAAAAAAATGAAAGAGAAGTCCGTCGGTAGTGAATTAACACAAGAGAAAAGAACCGAGCGAGATGGGCGAATCGAATCGACATCAGTCGGTGAAGTGGCCTGGCCCGCTCGAAAATCACGGGGCTGGGACGCGGGAGGTTAACCTGGATGTGTACCTGAGGGATGGTTATACTGCTTGGGTCCTTCTGTATTCTTCGCATAGTCTGCCTCTTATTGGAAGCACCATAATCTTCGGGATCTAATTCTCCCGCGGCTTGTAGATATTGCCTTCGGCTCATTAGACAACGATGCCACGGCTGAAGTGCTTGTTTGATGCCTCAGGCAATACTTTTCGTCCAACATAGAACGGCTGGATCACATGATGCTCTCAAAAAAACACATGATGATGTGAGCCTTTCCAAGCTGCACCCTTTGGAAGCTTCGCTTATCGCCCGCAATGCAAAGCTAGAGGTCCTGCCGAGCAGGGATATCGGTTGAAACACTTTCGCTGATTACCACACGATGCGCCCTCCATGAACGCATGGCTCCTAAGCCCTGGAATGCCGCCAATATGTCTCCATCAGCCCTTGTGACGACTAGCTCACTCCGTCCTCCGAGATCAAAACTAGGATGCAAGACTTGCAAGTAGGTGTCCTTTTCACGTCAAAGGGAGCAAAAATTAAGCTCGTTCAGGATTCGAAGAGTTAAGTGCGGAGAAGAGAAGCCAAGCTGTCTTCGATGCAGCAACACTGGCCGCAAGTGCGAATACGAAGGCACAACAATCTCCCCCAAACCCGCCAGCCCGCTTTCATTATCGCCAAACACAGTATGGCGAGAACGCCGTGCCTTTGCTTACTATTTTGAGGAGGCCGCACCGTCCGTGGGCGGCGACCTGGACGTTGATTTCTGGCGCACCATCGTCCCGCAGGTTTGTCGGAGCGAACCCGCCGTGTGGGATGCCATCAACTCCATTTCTGCTCTGTTTGAGAGTCCCGAGCCATTCCCGGATATCGCCTTCGTACGCCAGGGAGATCACTGCACGCTCAATCAAAACCACCGGGACGCCATTGGCTGGTATTCGCGCTCGGTGTCTGCCATTCGTCAACGCATTGAGCGCGGTGACGTCGACATTTTTGTTGGGCTGGTCAGCTGTGTGCTCTTTATCTGTATTGAAGCCCTCCAGGGAGGTGTAGAGGAGGCATTGCAGCTTTATGGTCAGGGCGTGCATCTCATTCACACTTTGCGCGCTCAGGCATCTGCCGGCGTCGTGTCAGCTGCTCACGCTTTCTTGGTTGAGGATACAATTGTTCCGATCTTCATCCGTCTAGGAGCAATCGCCCCCACCATTTCCAGCAACCCAGTGCGCACGTTGCTGTTGGACACTGAGGAGACATATGAGTTTGTCTCTCTCAAGTCCGCTCGGGACGCCATGGTCCTCCTCGGCACAGAAGCCCAGCTCTTTCAACGCACCTGTGTCAAATATATACGAAAATCTCATGTCTCTCACGTGTCCCCAGAATTGGAAGCTCAACAGATAGCCCTGTCAACCAGGCTAAGGAAATGGCACACTGCCTTTACAGACTTGATGGGGTCTCTTGGCACGAAATACGTTTTATCACCGCAACAGATTGGCACCGGTGCCCTTCTTGTCGCTTATCACGAAACACTGCTTGTCCTGCTCGCGACCTGCGTAACGTCGCGATCAGAGATCCTAACTGACGCCTATCTCCCAAACTTCCAAACTATAATTGAGCAGTCCCGGATCGCTCTTGACGCTTCGGCGCGATCAGACGGCACACAACCACCATTTACGTTTGATGCCAGCGTCGCCGGTCCGCTTTGGTTCACCTGTCTCAGATGCCGCGATCCCGGCTTCCGACGCACAGCACTAGCCCTGCTGCGTCGAACGCCGCACGTGCACGGGTTCTACAAGAACACGCACGCGACAACCTTTATCGAAAAGATGGTGGTGGTAGAAAAGACGTTGGCGGTGAAGGCCGTGCAAGGAACGGCCAATTCCGGGACAGTGGAATCATCCAACACACCCATCCCAGAAGAGGCACGCCTTGGACCCGTCACTGTCTTTCGAGCCCGAGACGGGTTTCCCCCGGAACAACCGAGGAAGAGATTGCGAAGTGGAGTCACAACCAGGATCAAGCGTTTTTGCGATTCTCGCGGAACAAGCACGATCCGGCTAGCGATACTTGGCAGCTGGTCCATGAATACATTTCCATTGATCTTTGATCAGAGTATAGAGAGGCGGTGTATATATCCCATACTCCTTTTATGAATGGCACAACGAAACAGATAAATATAATTACTATGACCAAACCAAGGTATACTACCATGTACGCTTCCAAGCAACACAATCAAGACGCCCGCATCAGCTTCTCCAACCTGCAGCGCAGCGAATGCTGCCACCAGAGCGGGTCACCGCGCAGACGCTTCCCCAGGTAACCCCCGACAATAGGGACAGCAATATGGCCGCTCTGGCCCGTGAGCACCTGCTTGACCAGCTCATCGGCGACGGTCTGCGGGTGCAGCAGCGGGGACATCCAGGTATCCTCGGGAGTGAGGTCATTGATCAGGGGCGTTTTGACAAAGCCCTGCGTGAGAAGGACGGTGCGCACACGAGGGGCCTGGTAGCGGGTCACCAGCTCGGTGGCAAGTCCCTCGTGGAATGCAACCGCGGCGGCCTTGGAGGCGGAGTAGTCGACCATGTTGGCGGTGACGGCGTATGCGGCCTGCGAGGCGACGGTCACCACCATGCCGTGGTTGTTGGCGATCATGTCCGGCAGGAACTCCTGCGCCAGCCAGTAGTGCGAGAGGGTGTTGACGTCGAACATTTTGCGGGTGATGGCCTCGGTGGTGCCGAGGATGGTCTTGGCCGTGAGGATGCCGGCGTTGTTGATCAGGACGGTCGGCTTGCCGAAGGAGCCGCGGATTGCATTAGCCACCTCTGCGATGTTGGCGGTGGATGTGATGTCGCATTCGTAGAAGCGCACGCTGTTGGGGAGGGTTTCGGTCGGCGGCGTGATGTCCAGGATGGCTACCTTGATGCCGCGCTCACCCAGCAGTTTCGCGACCCGGAATCCGATACCGCCACTCCCGCCGGTCAGAACGACCACTTCGCGGTCCCAGTTGTAGTAGTCCTTGACCCCGTTGTTCACGGCGCGGCGGTCCATCCAGGCCCCGAGCCGGCGGACGACAGCCAGGAAGGCGAACGTCTTGAGGGCCTTGAGCAATTGCGGGCGCGACTCGAGAAGCTCACGACCCTTGGTTGTGTACTGGGCTAGTACCAGCAATGGCACCACCTTCCAGGGGCTGAGCACGGTGCGGTTGACGAGTTTGACTACCACATCGGCAGTGAAGCCTGCAAATATTCAAGGTGAGCGAAACTCGTAAAACTGGGAGGACGAGCAGCCATACCTTCCCTCGAGAACCATTTCTTTGCCTCTGGAGCCATATTCAGCAGCTAAAAAAATTGTATGGTTGAAGATGTCAGCGAAGGAAGCGAGTCTCAACGTCATCATATAACCCCCTGATATCCAAGCCCTAACATGAGCTACAATGCGGGGAAGCCGAGGTCCGCCCGGTGCACTTCGTTCTACATTATTCCTTATGCTGAGCTGACCTTATCTAACTCGTCGGTTAGACTCTCTTCTCATTGAACGGAGTTAGGCAGATAATAATGTACAGATGGTAGACGCAGCAATGATAACACCAAGCCAAGCCCCTTAATCATGGAATGCGTAAATCCGAACGACCGCAATAATCGTCCCAATAATGCCGCCGATGAGCAGCCCAAGCGCAAAATACCCAAAGAAATACTTCAACACCCTCGTCTTTGACCCGTATTTCCACTCATGTGCATTTGCCGCGAAGGACCAGTTCATCTCTTGGTGGGTAGGCCGGACATATTGCCCCTCCTCCGCATCCTTCATATTTGTATTGTAGTCCTTGGCGTTGGAGGAAGGGATAGATCCCTGGTCATACGGCTTTTGGGCCTGTGGGTCCATGTTGTGTTGGTTGTGCGAGTGATGGTTTGTTGTCGGGTTCGTGCTTGACGGCCGGGGATGGGCGACCGGTGGTTTGTTGTTGACTAGTCTGGTCTGTAGGATGGATAACAGGAGGCTGGCAAATGTGTTGCTTTAGATTTTGTGATGCTCAAGCTGAAGGAACTGGTCTGTCCTAGTCTGTTCTCTTCTGTCGCTGCTTCTCAGGGAATTGATGAGAAGCACTCCAGCGAGACTGACCTCTTTTTTAAGTCCCCCCTGACCCAGATCTTCTTTGATTGGAATCAACTCACAGCCCAGCACTGCATCGCCACGTAATAGAGACGTTTCTATTTAAGGCTGAGCCACGATGGATCTGGGACTTTGGGGCGAAAACCACCCAGAGCGCCGCAACTGGGGCTGTGATAGGTCGGCCCGTATAATGTGAAATGCACCACGACGGGACATCCCCCACAGAAAGAAGTGGGTTTTGACAGAAGAAGATCGATCTGCGTCATTCCGCCAAGCACAACAGTGGTTCCACGATTTGCCCTGGGCCGAACCCCCACTTCCTATGTTGGAGAGGAGCTTTTTGGCCCCAACTCGAACAGAAGAGAGAGAATCCAGTTTTTGTTACAATCAGTCCGAGTGGAGGAAAAAGCAAAAACACGTTCATTGAGGTATAGTTCAAAAACACCGTAGCCGACCAACAGAACAGAACCCCAAAAGCCAAAGGAGTATACGGGGTAGGCAGACAAATATGATATGAAGATGCAATGTATGGCTGATTGGAACTCCCCATGGACAGATCACAAGAATCGCCGTTCTTGTCGGTCACACCCGAATGTAGTGCAAAAAGACAAAAAAAAGTTCCCAACAACCGCCCGGTTGCGCGATCAGAGCACGCGACAACAAGGACCCAAAAGGCCACCGCGCCGATAGAACACTCCAGGGGGAAAAATACAGTTAAAGAATTAGAACGATCAAATACATGACGGGCAAGACGGGTATCTATCTCCCTTCAAGCCCCATACCCAACAGGGCCCAGCTGGGGCGGCTGGCCGAAAATCTTGTGGTAGATTTCCGTGAGAATGCGCGCATCGGCTCTTAGACTGGGTGAGATGTTTTCATTTGCCAGCAAAAACCGGATCGTCCGCTTGAGGAGCTGCTCGAACTTCTCCTTAGGGACCAGCTCCTGGAGGCAGGACATGTACGTAGCGGACAGAACCAGCATATTGCCAAATTGTCTGAAGGTTGCCAAGAGTCAACAGAAGTGGAGTGGAGTGGAGTAAACAAGCAACTTACGCATGAGCAGTCCCGAAGATGTTAGTCACCACCGGACGAGTTGGAAGGCCGTCAAACGCTTCTGTGCTGTAGATCGCTGACTGGATGCAGGCCTTGCAGGCATTTCGCAGTTTATAGGGAAGATCACGCTGGTTGAACTGGGGCGGCATCCAAGTGCTGGCAAATCGTGCACCCGCGTCACTAGCCATCCGCGCCATTTCTGGGGCGCGCTGGTTGTAGGTTACCGACGGCGACATTTGTTGCGCTTGCGGTATAGTTGGCGAGTCGATCGAGGTAGGGCCCGAGCCCAATCGCACATTGCTGGCGCCATAGTGAAGAGCACGGTATAACAGAGGCCGGAAGATGATATACCGGGCACCGTAGTACTTGGCTCGCATGCGAGCATTGTTAATATCCGTGGCTGGCGGATCGCCATCGTTCCAACTTAAAGGTTTCGGGAGACTCCGGCGCCATTGATCAAGGTTCATGCTGAGAGCTCCTTGCACACTAGACGACCATCGGTTTTGGCCTGGCTTCTCTACTTTGTAGAGATCAGTATGAACTCGGTTCAGGACTTTCCGTAAATGGATTTGAGCGGAATAGAACATCATCATCTGGGAAGCGGGGCTATGGTAGTCGTTGGGTATGTCAAGCGTCCATTTCCCTTTCGGAATTGGAATCCGCGATTCAGACCGCGAGATGCCGCTTGCCGGAACATCAAGTTCAGCCAAAAGGTCGCTAGAATACAAGTTAGCACGTTAAGCTTTGGCCTAAGTGTCGAAACGAAGCGCACCTCTCTAGCTGCAAACAAGTCCAGTATGCGAACTCGTACAGATCTTTTAGTGGGCCTTCCTCCATCTTATCGTACCGTTTTCTAAATGCAAAGGATCAGTAAGCATTGGCAGAGTTTCAAGGGAGAGCGGTTGTTCATACGGTCTGACAAGCACCTGACAAGCCCTTGAAGCCACGTAGATCCATCCAAAGCTTTGGAAGGGGTGTGCTAATTGGCCCATGTATAGGCCAGCGAGTATACAAGCATGGACATGAGGCAGCGAAGAGCTGCCTTGGACGGCACCCAAGATTACAGCGGCATATCCATAAAGTGCCAGGCCGGGAATGACTTGGTAGTTCCGCGTGTTTCCGGAGGAGTCGCGGGTGATCGACATAGACCGTCTTAAGCTGCTCTGTCGCCCGTCATTGATGGCAGAGGGAAAGGAGTGGCTGGTATTCTGCGGTCCTTGAGTGTACATTGGTGCCGATGCCACGGGGGTCGAGACGGAATTTGTGGGCGAAAGGATGCCGTTAGTGGTCGTATGTGTACCGCCAGATGATGGTGTTGGCGGACCAGGGATATGTTCCTTGCGATAATCAGGCTTTTCTTTCAAGATTGGCCCACGAAGCGGGCCATCGGTCTCAGCAATGGCACCGATAGCAAGAACCAAGAGGAGGATAGCATTTTCAGTGTTCTTGCCAACACGGGGCCGCCCAGAAGTAGTGTTGGTAGAAGTATCGCCTCTCGCGCCATGCATGTTCTCATTCGACCGTTTCCGCTTCGCTCCTCGCGGGCCGTCTCGTTGGTAATCGGTGCAGTGGCATCTAACAAAGGCTTCGAGAGTATGCGCGAGTGGTCCGATCTCAAGGAAGGGATGTAAGATATGCATGCGGGACATATAGCTCCAATAGTACCGACGCACGGTTTCTGAGTCAATATTCAAGTAGCCATTCTCGGTGATCTCAGCATCCTCGGCTTCGTCTGGTGGCCCTGAACTAGTTTGAATATCGGGGTCGGAGAGTGTATGGCCCAGGGCAAGGTTTCTCAATGGTACACTGTCGTCTGCGGTGTCCAGGGTCTCCCCCTGGCCCCAGATGTTGATCAAGCCCCGTTCTTCCTCCAACCTCATGACGTAGTCCTCGTCATATTGATTGGGCCAGATGAGCTTCTTAATCCCTGGCCACATCAGAAGCTTGTGGGCCGCAGTGGTGTGTTCGACTGGAATCGAAAGTTCTCCATCGCCATCAATCTTTACCTCTTCCACCTGACCCGTCATCGGATTTGTATGGAGGAACGCGTTGTCAACCATTTCTGCTGGGGCGGCAACCGGCTTCATAACTGGGTCCGTAACCGGAGTAGAGCGAACAGCCCGGTCTTTGACAAGTCCTGGGAAAGGCGAATGGCCCATGAGGAGTTGGGTAAGTAGGTTTGAATGGTCTCCTGTGATTGTATGTATCTGAGTCATGCGCTCCTCCATGCGATCCTCGAGCTGTAGGATTCGATCTAAGAGTACTTGCGTCGTTTTCTCTTGTCTGCATTAAATACCTAAGATTAGCACTTCGCTATAAGACGGGGAGGCGGAACCACAGACTTGTGAGGTGGCACTTCTTTGTACACGCAAATGAGGTTATTCTCCTTGCAATGACTACATGCTGGCCGCCCTTCATCGCATTTGGCTTTCCTCGATCGACATTGGTCGCATGCCTAGTGAATGAAAGAGTTAGCCAATGTTGTGCTGTAGTGTGCTCCATAAAACAAATACCTGAGTAGCTCGAGCGGCCTTGCGCTGCCGCGCTCCGAAAGGAGTGGCGCCGTAGTAACTAGGATCGTACGATCCCGGCACGGAACCCGGCATCGAGGCCACTACGGGCCCATATTGCGGGTTCGAAGGAATGGCACCTGGGGCCGCGGCCGGGTCGCTGTTGCCCGCTTGATCTGGCGCATATCCTCCCACCCTGGCCCGATAGTCTGGCGGAGCAGAATGAGGCGATGTTTCACTTGGCGTTGCGCTCATCGATGGTCGGTAGTTCGTGTTCGGGTCCTGTGGTGGGTAGCCCGGGGCGGGTATGCTGCTGGGACGACTATATGGACCTTCTGGGGGTAACTGCGGCAGTTCACGGTTGGGCATGACGGGATACCCTTGGGGTGGGAGCGGACCCTGGGAAGCATTGGACGGACGGCGGGAGTCTGGATGGCTGTCGAACTGGGGAGGAAATGCGCGCCATGAGGGATCTTGCATCGCATGCGCACTGGGCGGCGCCGCATCAGGAGGGGGCATGCGATTCATGGGAGGTGGCCCGAACATGGAACAGGTCTTGAGCTGTCGTCATGCGCATTCGTCTCTTAAATGGTCATGGCGAACTGCGGCGGAATGCGGAGAGTGGAGAGAGGGTGGTGGTGATGGTGGTTGTCGGAGGAAGCCTCACAGGAAGCTTGTCGTGAGTCTTTCTTTCCCTGTCGCCTAGGTCTTGGTGAGGTCCCAGGGGGACGGAAGGTGGATCACGACAGGCTCGAACAAGGAAGCGGAGAAGGAAGCTGGCGAGGTCGGGCCGAGGTGGAGCAGCTCAACCCAGAAACTGGGCAGTGGCGACGATGATCAGGTCCCAAGCTTGGATGCGAAGACGAAGGGTGCGAGAGGGTCGACGAGGGCTGGTTGTTGGAGTTGACCGAAGTTGTCGGGTCTTGATAGAGGGGAGAGATAGATGCCCAAGGGGGGGGGAGTACCTGGTACCTCTCGTGTGGTGAGGTGGACCACAGGAAAGGACGTACTGTTACCAGTACCGTATTGCCGGTCGTTTGGTGGCTGAAAGTCACCCTAGTAAGGCCGTCGATCTCGGCGGTGGAAAGTGATCCCAGGGCCTTGGCTCAGGGAAGAGGGAGATACGGTCGATAGGGAACTACGATGGCGCACCCGGGGGGTATACATACATAATCAAGGGGATCGGCCAGTCTTGCCCCTCCCTGGACTATTATGTACTTATAATGTATCCATCCCAGAGGTGACAGGTCTTCTTTCCGTGACGGAAGGATACCGTAATACCGCCACACGGACACCGCTAGAAGACACTAGATGGGGTAGGCATTCCTTGGACTAGTTCGCTCCCATCTATACTATTTCTAGACACTGACTCCGTGAGGATGGAACTTATCGTCGGAAGACAGAACAATAATCCATCATCCTCGCAAGGGGCGGCATCGGCCTCAACTGAAACTCTATTGACGTCCGATCTTCAAATCGGTGGAGACGCAATCCCCAGATCGCCGATGTACAATACAGCAGGTACCCATGGATCATGAATTCGACATCCACGGTTGTCGCATCTATATGTCAACCACAACAGATCACGAAACCATTGCCCGGTCCTATCGCGATGATCCGCGGCCATCCTTGGCAGCGAATCAGAGTCCCTGGCCCAGATGATTCGCTTGGTGGCCAGCACGTACGGGTGGGGGAACGGACAGTGGCACAAACAGAAAAATGCCCGCGACCGACTCGTTTTTGCTTCTTCCCAACCGTTGCCGTCGCCCGGCTGTCATTTTCTTTGGTGGTCGACTCCATGAATAATAATAATGGTGATAATAATAATAATAAAATAATAAGCGGTCCTTGCCGCCTGTGACCGTACAATAGTTTACCTCTTGCCCGCAAGCCCGCCCCAGGTCATGGAAAATATATCCCCCGATCGTGGCCCCTTGTTGGCACCGCCGGATAAAGATGTGAGGCGGGCTGCTTATTGGGCAATCGTGAATTCCAAGGCCATGGCCGAGGACAACTCTAATCGGAAAGGGGCGGTACCAGGTGTATGTAACACGGTCAATACGGCGCCCGTGGTGAATTCCAAATCATGTCTATTGATCGGCCGCTGTCCATGCTTCCCATAGTGTCGGGTCCATGCATCCTGCCCATCCCTTCCACCGAGAACTTCGAAATCCTCCTGGATCTCCAGCCCCAAAGCCATCTCTTCGCGAGCCGCAGGACGTATTCATGACGCGGTGACCACAAGCAAGGGATGCAGCAGAAGAAGCTGGCGGGACGAGCAAAACATCCACGGTCACTCTTCATCACACCGCTGATGGCGCATTACTCAAGTAGACAGCCTCCAGAGGTGAAGATATGCGTCGACGTCAGCGGTGTGTCCAATCAGCAGCAGAGACGACGCTCACGAGACTCGAGGAATGGCTCCTGATGGAGAAGCAGATCCTCGCCCTGGTTGGAAACTCCGAACCATCGCCGGGAACCCCCAAGAGATCAGATCGGACGGGCGGCAGTGGCGGGTGCTGCAAGGTTAGATCCGTTTGTCAATCATAATATGTCGTAGGCTGTCTGACACCCGGTATTATTATCATTAGTCGGTGACGCAATAATACCACTTCGCGGTGAACAATCAAAATACTCCCCGCCAATCTCCATGTCTCATCCCCAGAATCAAGGGGCCAGTCACGAGGTCTGAATCATTTCGTCGATCGTTTCCCGAGCAAGTTGCCTGGAATTTTTGAAGCAAGCCCAGTTGTTCCATGTGTAAACAAAATGCTGGGGGTGGGAAGCTAGCGAATTGCTACACGTTAATAATGATAAAAGTTGTACATAACATGTTCAGCTCTCATAGAGCATTCCCGATCGACCGATCCGCCTCGATCATTTGTTTCTGTTTATCAGATCGGTCGTGCACCTGAAACCAACCCCGGCCAGACGGCCCTCATACACGTACTTTTGTATGCCACATCGTAATTGGAGTCGGAGCTTACTTCATTCCCTCAGCCCGGATTACGCTCGCGGGATCGGCCGCTGTCCGGATTTAAAGCACTGGGAAAGTCAAGAGTCATTCGAGCGAGCCTGTCCGGATATAGTTCTGAGGAAGCAAACTACCACAGTAGTCTGGTAGATCTTAAGTTTTGCAGCATCTCATCGTGCTCTCCTCTCCACGCCAGAACTTCTCCGCGTCTCCTCACGGCAAATGTGATGTATACACGTCGTACTGCGCAGGAACCCTCTCGTCACTGAAACTGATACGTCGTGTAAAGTATACTGTACAGAGCAAAAGTACCTACCGTCTGGACGTATCACTCCACGTGGAACTAGCGAGTCCATGTGTTGATTTTGTGACTTGCAGTTTGAAGGAACCGAGCGCACGACTTGAGGCTTTCCATGTTCAAGTCTCTAGTATATAGTTAGCAAACATCAATCAATTGCTACATTTCTGCTCTGATTCGCAACCAATGCAAGGAAAATCAGACCCGGAACCCGTTCGGGGGATCCTGCATGTCAGCGCTTATGCAGTTCCCAGGATTTCCATGGTGAAGGCTTGGTCGCAATCGGAAACGGGCGAGCTTATTTTACGTCTTGGTGGTCTTTGTATTGCACGGCCTACCGAGGTGATTGATGGATCTGTTGCTTCCATTGTCTATCTATTCCACGAGGATGAAAATGAGGATCGTCCTGTCCGAACCGGTACATTCTCCTCACCCCACATGGCCCCAGCCATCGGAATACTGCACAACACACTGTTCTTGGGGCAGGATAGCTCCCAGCACGTAACCAACGAACGCCGCCAGAGGCTGGATTATATTTGCAAAGGTACGCACGCTAACCCGATTCAAAGTTTTGGTCCCCGAGGTTCCCGAGCCCGACCTCCGCAACATGGCGGATCCAAATCCCGATGGAGCTGTGTTCACGCTGTATTTTGTCACAATTCCAAGCCGGTAGCGTCCTGATTCCGGTCCTCGGAGCTGTTATCTGGTGCCATTGGCAGGCACCTTTTGATAGCTAGAGCTGTCGACGATATGATGATGTGCAGGGACAAATGGTCACGCTTGAGGCCCATCCCAAAAATAGGACAATGGACCTCCAGAAGCACGTTGTACTATATACGACGGAGTCTCACATGAAGATAACCTCACTCAATTGACGTGGTTGAAAATTTTTATTTTCTACGTAGGAACCCATTGTGCATGAACATGTTGCAAGCCATTGCCCCCATCCATATCTATGAAGTCTGCGATCTTCTTGGCCAAAGCTACTTGGTCCAAAAAGCAGTTCTTTGCTGTCAATCCGCAAGATCAGCAGCTTCATGGACCTGTGGTAATACAGTGATCCATGCAGCCAATTAGATGGAATGGAAACGCGAGAGAAAGAGAGCTTACGTAGAGCGAGCTCCGTACGTACCGGATGACCGTACGTATGTCGAATACCAAGCGAGGCACCTGACTGAGGAACGCTCGTCACGATCAGCGACCCCGTAAACTGGAAACTCACGGGGGGATAAGTTTGACTGATCCGAACTATCGCTGCAACGCGCCCCACATGGCGTGAGCAAGAGACATTTGGAATGGGTTTGGATGTTTCTTAGTCTCCCAGGCTAGTCCGCAGGTGTTGCTATTAATTGCCGCTTGTCACTACTGTTACATTTTGGGCGCTCACGCAGGCTTGCCGCCCGCGAAGGAAAGCTGAAACCTATCCACAATGATCGATCGACCCAAAGGGGTTTGCAATCGAGTGGTTCGGAAGGTACCACCACCGGAGATCATCATGCACACGCGGAGATGAAAGGCGGACGAGGGGGCTAAAGTCCTCGCTGGAACACCTAAGCGCCGCCCCAATTCCCCACTGACATTGAACAAAAGTACGACGCCAAAAGTAAAAGCTCCGTGGGTGCGCGTGGATGGCGAAAATCAATTGGATGCATCACATTTGCGCTGACCTATAAACCTCTTTCCCCCACGTCGTGAGATCAGCGGCGCCGGACATATTCGGGGAGGGGAATATGAAGGTTTGAATAGGCTATCGTAGTATCATTCTGATTTTCCCGATTTGGCTTGCTTGCTAGCTTCTGGTGCGCGCCTTTGGCGCGCTGGGTACCCCGGGTACCAGCTTGAAAGGATGGAGAAAACCGTGGTAATTGGGCCCTCGGGATGTTTCCAGCGCATGTATGATGTATTGTTGCTTCCAAGTGGTGTGTAAAAAGTCCCGATATGGATGGTGATCAGAGAAGGAGTGGAGTCATTGCCTCACGACAGAGCCTGGCCTCGGTTCGCGGAATCAACCCTTCCAGAGTGGCCGGAGAAGAGCAGATTCATGAGGTCTCTAAAATTCCATCTGCTAAAAGAATGGATTGGGCTCATCGAGAGCAAGGCTGTCCTGTTGCTCGGTTCATTTGAGTGATGCTGATGTTGTGCAGTTGGCTGAGGTCGACGAAGCTGCTCATGAGCGTGGTCGTGAGTGCCACAGGAAACCCTGCGGGAACGGTTGGAACCACAGTGACATAGTGTCTATTGTGATTTTTCGCAGTAAATTTCTATTTGGCACTAGTCAATACATCTGCCTGCTTTTGGTGATGGCAGAATATAGGTACAATGATCGTGGATCTTATACTCCCGAGATTCATCTGTCCACGCGCAGAACAAGTATGTACCTCGCGGCCTGGCAGATGGTTCTTAGCAATAAGACAGAAAATAATGTCCAGATATTAGCAGGCTAACTAGAGCCATTTTCTATTTTGAATATGCTATTAATAGAGGTATTCGTGCCACATCAGCCAAAATTCATCATTGCCTTCAAATCCTGGACAAACCCATTGCACACAAGATAAGGGAGATTCAGGAGAAGAGAATGCAAAGGAGAAATCAGACAACAAATCTTTCCCTTTCAGACCTGGGAAACCGAAAGAAGATTGACTCTCTTAGCAATAGCGTCCTCTTCTTGCTGTCGCCAATCATCCTCCGGGTGTGCCCTGTCCTCAGCATAATGCCCCTTATACTCATGAGGCCTGAGTTCATGACTAGGAAGATTTTCAGTCTCCGGCCCAGAATCATTGTCATCGTTGTCTTCGTCATCGTCTGGATTCCCCCCGGTCTTGACGATTTTGTACGGTGCCGCGACGCGGACTTCGGAGTAGGACTCGGTGCCGACTAGAGAGGTATCAGTATCGACAGACAAATTAAGATAGAAGGACCACCTACACATCGTCCAGTAGATGTATTTGCTGATGACAGGAGCCCACATGGTCAGAGCGAGGATTTGGCCGAAGGACCAACCCGACCACTCAATCGTTCCTACGCTAGCGACCACGTAGTAGTACCAGGCATAGATCAGAACAGAGATGAACATATACAACTCAAAAATCGTAATGAACACTTTAGGGATGTGCCTGTAGTGTTGGTGCGCGAACATTCGGTGGACGAGTCGAGAAAGCCGACCCAGTACAGGCCCCTTCTCGAAGACATTGTTAAAGGCAGGCCACATTGGGCGCAGCTCTTTAATCGTCCACTCGGCGAAGCAAATCATATAGATCAAGATGCAAACCGGATCGATAGCGTACACAAATATATCAATCGGGCGGATCGCCTGCGCAACCCAAGGAGTATATGCGCACCATATGAGCGGAGGGGGATGGCCTCCACAACTGGTTGGCCAGCTGTCGCCTTCAAACCCCACCAGTTTGTTGGGTAGGGCAGCTTTCGAATAGGTCCAGAATAGGGTGATCTGTGACAGGATCATAGCGACTGTGGAGAGGAATATGATCCAGGCAGAGCTCATGTGCATCCTCTGTAGGCTCCATTGGCCGATGGTGATGGGCAAGATGCCAGCCACACCGATCAGGCCCGTCAGAGCATGGTCCGCCCACAACTGCATCAGGGTCGAGGCGTCGAAGACGTGTTTGAATTTCATGGCAAACAATGTGCAAGCCTGACAAGCAATCATGAACCAACACTGTGCCTCTTGGTACTCGACCATGACAGATTTTAGTACATATCCATGTTCCGCCAAGAAGTCTCTGGCCTTTTGTTCCCAGTCGAGGGCTTTGTGTCGCATCGTGCCTTGATTCCGTTGACCGGCAATGATAGCGACCAGCCGGCAAACCCGAGGAGCGAGCCTGAATGACCGCATAAGGATCCAGAGGTAGATGACAATGAGCAATTGCATCAAGTACGAGACGAATACCTGAAAACGTCAGTTGATCCTTTTTCCCAATTCTTCGAAATGGGATTAAATTTACCCCAGGGCCTCCAATATCGCTATTGACACTTGCGCTGATCCCATCACAGGCATTGCTGTAATAGAACGGGAGTTCTTCGTAGGGGGACACTTCAAATTCCCAATTGTACGTTGTGTATTCGCATCCTGCTAGATCGCCATTCGGATTCGCACAGTAATCGCTCACACAGGTCGAGACGAGCTGCACCAGGCTATTGTTGTATGAGAGGCCGGTGTCGAGGTTGTTGGCATCATAGCAAGCCTTGAGATTGTCATAGGACTTGAAGACGAATTCGGGCTTGTCGCAAGACAATCCCGCGGCAGCTGCCATGGTGAAAACTTGCGCAACTCGCAAGGAGTTTCACCAAAGTGAAGTCAAAACGAAATTTTAACGTTTGGGGCTACTTTTTAACGGACAAACTCCCTGTATCTATAATAAGAGCGCCAGTAGGGAGTCCAATCGTCCCGTGTCTAGGCAGAGATTATTTTCCAGCTCGCGACACACTAACGCCCGCCAGGTCAAGATCGCCCGCTCTAGCCCACACCCACCGAAGCAAGTCTCATTCCATGCTGTCAGAATAATGACCACACCAAATTCATGTTATTCGCGCTGTTGGTAGATATCTCCAACCGCCGTCGACTTACCCCCTGCGTCGATTCAATTCCTGGAGCCAAGATCAAATCCGCGAGCCAAACGAACAAGCATCGGGCGTTTCGGACCCCGCGCCGAAAAAACGAAACAAAATAGGGCGTCCCACGCTGCGCCAAGAAAGGAAATCCATGCGCCAATCTTCGCAGACACAAGCACGCTAGCTTTGCCCTATCCACGACACATGGCCAATCCCAGCCCTATCTGGAATTGTCGAGGACGCCTCACGCATCTTGCACCATCACCACGTCCTCGATGGCGTGTAGCATACCAGCACGAGACCCAACCAATCAAGAAACATTCTTCCAGGCTGTCACTGCAGCGGCGTGAATCGAGTTTACCCAGTATCGCGCTATCGTAGGCGCGGGTGAAAAGGATAGCGGGGTGTACTCGAGGCACTAGATCCACGCCGCGCGTGTAGTTCACAGTCATGCTCGGACCGCGCTTCCCTTCGCCGTCACCGATGACTATCTGCCCAAGCAGGTACTTCACACTGCCGGCTTTGTGGGGCCGTTCCCTCCCCTTTGGGATATCACGACTGAATGCCAGTCCTCCGGCAACGACCCGCCACATCTTCTTGTGAATAATTATGGGCTAGCACAATCGCTTGCAGCAGCGACTGAATCTGAGGAAGGTTCTGAATCTGCGTTCCGTAGAGTCGTTTTGCAGCGGGTGCACGGTTTTGTTGCCCATTTGTACCACTGAAAATGCAGTGGCGCTGAGCGCGGCAGCTCGGATCAATGGGGCTCAGAATATGCGATATCTTTCTGGGCAGTTGGAGATCGATGCCTGTTCTGAGATGGACAAGAATTGTATTCTCAAGGTCTGGCCTTTGTGGCTGGAAGAGATTAAGAAAGATCCTTCCTTTGTGGCGGGCATGATTTAATCATTATCTATTGCTAAAGCCATGCAAGATATGAATTGAGAAAAGAGTATATGTGGTAGGGCAATAAGTAATATATGCAGCTCAAAAAAAAAACCGTTTCTGCCCCGAGATCTATAGGTATGATCAATGATATGTCCAAGATGCTCAAGAAGGGGAAGGGGCCATCTATATACACGATGCACTGCATCATGGAGTACTACAAGAAAGAATTGCAGGCCAGCCACGTCTATACCTTCCGCAGCTGGTAGTGAAACAGCCTCCACACGGCCTTCACAGCCTCAATGCGATCGTTGCCATCAAGCAAATCAAACCACCGCGTGCGCTGGAGTTTCAACACATGCCACGGTTGCTCGGAGCTATCGGTGTCTGGCGGGAAACTGCTGTCACCGTTGCCGAGAACTTCGAGATAGCGCCTGTGGACGCGGAGGTGCAGAATTGAGATGTGGTGATTGATCGACGAGACCATGTAGATCTTTTTTTTATCGAGCAAGTTAGTTTTAAAATCAGTCATTAGACACGGGGGTGAGTTGCCACATACATCGTCAAACGGACTCTTCGGCACCTTGCCGATCTGCATATACTTCATCCGCTTGTCCCAGAGGCTCGTTCCGGGCTGAAGGATCTTCCACTTTTCGCTATTGGAGAGCTTACGCATCGCGCTCGGCCGGCGAGACAGTCCCGCATAATAGTGCTCGAACTTGTGGCGTTTCCGTGCGCTCTCCGCCTCCGGTGCGGGCGAGGCCGGTTTGCCTTCTTCCATCATCGAGTCTGGAAAAGACATCCCGTGACTGTTGTTAACGAGGTCCTCGAGAATCCCGTCGTTGGGCGCGCCGCCAAACCGGGGCGTTGTCGTCCACCATTTGCCCTCACCGGGCCGCAGCTCGATACCACTATAGCGGGCACGTTCCTGCGCCGCTAGGAGCATGCCCCCAATTTCTCGGAAGAGATCACAGATCTCGCCGATCCCGGATCCGGGAGTTTCATCTTGGGTGCGGAAAGAGGTCTCTGGCCGACACTGTGCGATGAGGACGGGTCCTTCCAAGATGCCGCTCCGGGCAACCTGACGATCGCGCGGAGACCGGCAGGCCTGGAAGGACTGTCTCACAGGGAAAAGGAGATTCTTCACCATCAACCGTGGAGGAAGCGGGGGCACTGTGAGCTGACATCCGAACGGCCAGGCGGCTAATTCCACGAATGCCCGGATGATCTCGTCTCGTACCTCCTCGGGCATCTCTGAACCGCAACCCATACGACGTCCCGTATACATGGCCACCGATGGGCGCGGCGCCTCTGCCGGGACCTGCGGCTTGTCCTGGTCTATTTGCATTTTGTCCCCATCAGCCTGCTCTCCGTCGACCGATGGCGTCGGTTCCGGCGTCGCAGGTCGCTCAAAATAGTGATCCAGACTTGTATCCCAGTACTGGGATAAACGCTCCAATCCTATCCAGAACTTTCGCGTCTGCGATATCCGCACCCGACTCCGACCTTCGCGGAGAGGAAGCCGAGTCACCTCTCGAAATGCATCGTCATTGTCCAGTGACAGTTCGTTGTTGAGAGTCTCGAATCGATCCTTGGGCGGGTATCGGACACCGTTGTCCAACAACGGTGGCTCGGCCGGATCCTCTGCCTCCTCCCATGGCATTGGGGGCAGTGACTGTGTTTGATCTTTGGGGAACATGTCTTGTATATCGACATCCGAGTCTAGCTTGACGTTCAACGGTCGGAATCGGGAGAGCGAGATGTCCTGTGGCCGCTTGATGGCGGCCAGGAGGCCATGCATGTCTCGGATGGTCGCATCGGACCCGTCGGCAGCGACATCGGGGAGGTTGTAGACCGGGAAGTCGAGGAGGGTCGGTTCGGAGGGCGGTTTTCGTTCCTGATCTGGATCGGAGCTGATGGGAGGCAAGGCTAGATGGAATAGAGTTCAGTGACATTCCGAAACGCGGGTGTGCCTGGAATGATGGAATGATGCGGGCATGGAACGGAGGAGAGACCACTTACCCAGCCCCGAGCCCCAGCCAAACATGGTCGTGAAGCGTCACAGTTCTGGCCGTCGATTTTATACGATTCTCGGCGCCTGTCACATACTCCGTCTCACGGCAGCGGGTCGGAGGGATGTCAGGGAGAGACAGAGATGGAAACCGAAAGAGAGATAAGAAGGAAAGAGCACAGAAGGAAAAGGACAAAGAAAGAGAGAACGATGGCCTCTAGAAAGAAAGGACTGTGGAACAACAAACGCGAGAGGCAAGAGTTGGCCGAAGTGGAGGACGGGAAGGCGGTGGTGGTGTGGTGTGGCTGGTGGAGCATCACCCGTAAGAATGATGGCATGATGGTTAGTGAGGGGAGGACTAACTACTAGGTACTTGCCTAGTGGTGATTTAGTCCATTCACTACGAGGATGCCAGTTACCTAGTCTGCCGACAACAATAGCCATTCGCTCCCGGCCCCTGTCTACTGACTCTCTCCGTCCTGCCCATGATGCATTCCTGGGCTCCAGTAGTAGCCACGTCACTGACAGGTCGATCATTCTTTTTACATCAAATGTCCATGCTTCGACCATGGGGTAAGCTCGGATGAGCCAAGTTTCATCGTCAGGGGTGAGGGGCGGTTCTGTGCCCCCGATCATTCTGCCTGGGGCTCCAAAGCGAGACAACGGGGCCGCCGGCGACAACTTCCTGTGGATTCTCCGGAGGATTCAGATCCGATACCTTCTCCCAAAAGGGCCAGCTTGACGAAGGACAAGAAGAAGATATGCTAGTTCTAATAAAGTTCGACCACGCAGGCAAAACAGAAGCGCTGCGACCCTGAAGATGATCGCCCGCAAGGCCGCCACCGCAGAGGGCCAGGAGTGGCAAGCGGGATGCTCAGCACACATTGCCTCTCACAACTACTATGAGCGAGTGTTCTTTTTTTTGTACGATCCGGGTCGAAGTATTGCCATGCGTGAAAGGGACCCCGTTGGGGAACAAAGGATCTCTTCCCTTTCTATCTTGAAATCGGCCCTTCCATCCTGACGTGAGATCCACGAAACTCCCGGTATAGTTTTGGCCCCCGTGTTGGGATCCCGCAGCAGATCCCACCTTGAATCCTTTGGCGTTGGACGCCGTAGGAGCCCCGAGATTATTCTTGTACGATCATGCTCTGCCCTGGACCCAGTGGCGGGATCCTTAGGGCTGCGAGGCAGAGAACGTGGGGTCTACGATTGAAGATGTTCATCATCTTTGCTGTCGGAGCTTCTTTCTTTCTTTTTAAATCTTCGCTCCTCCTCAATTCTTTACTTGATCTACATACCCTGCATATCAGCCGCTCTAACTTGGTGACTACGACGTCTCATGTAACGCCCCGCACCACTGGTCGTTCTTGAGGTATCCCACTTCCTTCTTCTAGTCGGCCGGCCGACTAGACGAGTCTCTCTTTATGGATTTTGCCCTTCAGCGCGTGCAGGACACCAGCAGCCTACAGAATTGGGTGGAAGCACCACATACGCCGCTGCCAGAGTCAAAAATTACTGTATGGGTCACTGATTACTTCACTGAGGTTATCCATCCCACCTACACCGAGATCGAAGGGCCGGCTCCTAATTCGTGGGACCCTCCTCTAATTCCAACTTCCACGCTGGATCCAGATCCGTTTACTACACCGTGGTCATCTGAGGTTACTGCAGTCCAAACTACTCGCACCACCGAATCGTCCACTCCGTCCGAGCTCCCGGAGAGCCATACGAGTGCGTCGGAAACAGAGCAGCCTGTCGAAACAAGGTCGTCCAGCACCATTGAATCTAGCACGACGGGCACGCTCAGCAAGGCGAGCGAGTCCACCACTACATCTAAGACGTCAGATGCGTTTGATACGTCTACATCGTCCGACACGAGCACATCCGATTCAACGACTACATCTGAAGCATCTCGCACGTCTGACACGACCACCACGCTCGACACATCCATCGTCCCATCCACATCCACCACAGAATCTTCCCGCCCAGCGCGTCCGAGCATGCAGCCACTGGTTACACTGGCAACTGCGCCGCCACTACCTTCTCAATCAGAACCTGCAGGCTACAACCCAGCAGCGACGGAATACGGCTCCACAATAGGTGAAGACGCATCAGGCCACGCCGGAGTAATTGCCGGGAGCATTATCGGCGGCGTAGCTTTCATCGCACTCACGCTCCTAGCATGCTTTTTCTGCTTTCGTCGCAAGCGACAAAGGTCTCAGCGGCCAAAACGGCCAAAACACATGCGCGAGGCATCCTTCGACTCATGGAATGCAACCAGTCTCATGGGCTCGGTCAGGGTCCTTAAATACAGCCAGTTCTCACAACCCGATTTCGTCGATACAGACTCGCCTCCTGGGTTGGGCCCTCATGCACAAAAACATGCAAATGACCAGACTACTGGAGGTCGTCCGGTGCCGTACCGGCAGAGATCGGGAATTCCAAGGCAATACTCCAATCGGCGGTACTCGAATCCATATGCCAACGACAGTTTCAATCCCGAAATGTCCGGTGCCAACAACGACATCTCATATAGCGACGGAAACCCGTACCCCAACCGCACAAACCCCCACCGAGTATCCAGTCAGGTCTCCAGCCGCTGGGCTCCATCGACAGTCTCGGACCCTTTTGCAGATAACGAAGAAAGCCCCGTCTCTCCAATCCTCGACCTGAACGCCCCCAGCCGCACGGTATCCTGCTACTCCCGAGCCTCGTACCACGGCGGGCTCAACATCCTCGCGCATTACGATGGATCGGCACGCGACTCGCAGTGCGCGAGCACCTACTTTTATCCGGGTCAATTGGCCGGAGAAAGTACAGATCTTCCCCCTGCTCCTCCTGTTCCAGATGGGATCAGCCGCACTGGCTCGATGGTCCGCGGGCGATCTCAGAACCCCTCTTCGCCGTTTACGCAATTCGGTGGGGAACACAGCAATCCATGGGATTTGAAGCAGCCTCTGCCTGCTGCGCTGCGCTCGGGGCCGCGCTGGCCACCACCTCGCGGCGGTCTCTTTTAGACTGCATCTTTTGAGGCATATTTGTTGGTTCTCAGAGCTTGCTACTGTTCATTGTCTTTTTCTATTCTATATGCATACGACGATTCCATAGTCTCATTCGCTGAGCGAAACGAATAACACCGAGCCCGACCTCTTTACGCCCGTTTACGTTCATGTCGACATGGCAGCCACTCTTTTTTTTCAAGCAACCATTAATTTCACTCATTTAGTCTGCTATTGACTTTGAAGATTCCCCCAATTCGTGTGCTCTTTTTCGCTATCTCGATGGATCTGTCCGATGTATAAATGTGCTTCGCGTTCTCCGCGAATTGATTTGACGAGGTTTTGAATACCTCTGCAGATGGAGTCGTGCTTAATCTAGAGTATCTCATACCTTAGTGGCATAGCTATTAGGAGTTGCATTTATGTTCTTTTCACGATTCGCTCTCGTTTCCTTTTGGCTACTTATTTTCTCTGTAGTTTGTCAGATCTTCTTGCCTATCACTCGATACCATCTGAAGTTGATCCGGAACTTCCTATTTAGCCTCCCGTAGCCTCGCGTATCAATTCCCAATCTTGACCCTTGTTTCTATAATTGGTATGCCTAGGATAAGCCCCAGATCTGAGTGTTTCAGAGTTCGATGCTGATCTCGGATTCCTGATCGCCCGTCGCCACTTGACAGTCATCTGGCAGGGATCCCAATCACGTCAAATAGTTCGATTTTTCTCTTTTGGGGGATCACTGGGTGGCGTTTTTTGTGTGGGCTTGGGGTTTTGTTGGTTTGGTTCCATCGGTTTGGTCGTTTGCCTGTAGAGCAGAGTAGAGAGGAGAGTATATATATATTTCCACTTTGGAAACGATTTACATATACCTAGTATAATTTGAGTAATACATCTAAGTCCAGTATTTCAGTAGAACCATACTGATCTGAGATAACATATTATCTTCATTGCTATGCACAAACTAGCATGGTGGTTGGGGGATGCATTCCGTCATTTTTGGACTGTGGCCCGGGGAGAGCGAGAACTCTTTACATGTAGTATTGGACTCGCAGAGTACTAGCCACGACTTAACAATCTGGATCTTTCATTTAGATCAGAAGTATTAGATCAATTTCTATTCCAAAGGAGTACAATAGGGACCGGTTGTTGTACCACACTGACATCTTCGACTACGTCTGGCGGAGATACAAGAGCAGCACAGCTACACCCACTACCATGCTACGAAGTAACTGATGTTGTTTTGTTTTGGAAAAAGAAAAATTTGTTTCCTTTCGCTTTCTCGTTATGTATCAACAAGAAAACGTTGAGAGTATCACATCATCATCGCATCTCTCCTATTTTTTTCCCCCATTTCCCAGATCGATCTCCAGTTAAGCCCCATTCCCCTAAAATGGGAGATAGAATAGAGAGGTGTGGTACCGACACATGAAAGATCGCAGAAAATGGTATCCGAATTTAGGAAGAGCGCTACGGCCAGGACCGAAACATCCCAGCTCACATCACCCAAGACGTAAAAAAAACCTAACCTGTTTCATCCTCCACACCGCCGGCTTGCGAGAAAAGACGTCAAAACAACGGATGCGAATATGCTTTTCATTTTTTGGTTGGTTGGTCAGATTTACTCCTCGGCAATCAGAGCGTTGCGCTTGGCCTCAACCCGCTCCGCCCGGCGCTCACGGAGAGCCTTGTTCTTGGCACGCTTAGCGTCCATCTCCTCCTTCAGGACACGCTCACGTTGGCGCTCGGCCTTGGCCTTCTGGATCTGTATTGGAAACCCCCAGTCAGTATGGTGTTATTTTCAGACAGAATGGCCGTAAACTTACGTGCTCAACGAGGGCACGCTTGTGCTTGAAGGTGTTACCCTTGCTCAGGTGGTACAGCTCGTGGTAGAGGTGCTTGTCGATCTTGCCAGCGGCACGGTAGCGGACGAGGAGGCGGCGGAGAACACGCATGCGGCGCATCCAGAGGATTTGGCTGAAGTAGCAGTATGAGCATCGATGGTTTTATAATAGGGGGACTCGATTGGCCGAGACAATAGGGGCCATCGGGGAGAGTAGGTGCATACCTGGGCATACGGGCGTCCTTGGTACCCTTGCGCTTACCCAGACCGCGGTGACGACCGATCCGGCGGGCCTCGTTGAGTTCACGGGCGCGGGCGCGCGAGTGCATGGTGACGGGCTTGCGGATGATGAGGCCATCGCTGACGAGCTTGCGGATGGTCTGGCGGGAGTTGGCGTTGGAGATCTCGGTCGTCTCACTGGGGTCCAGCCAGATCTTGCGCTTGCCGCAGCCGGCCACGGAGGCGGCGAGGCGCTTCTGGGTGCGAAGGTTGACCCTGTTGGAAAGGAAAAAGACTCGGTCAGCACAATCTTCCCACATTCACATTCTCGATCACACAAGTCCTCCATGGGCAGTGCCCGGGTCGTTTTTCGCTGGGAAAAAATACTCGGAACACATGGCAGGCCATCTGGACAGTATGAAATCAACAGCTGGAGATGGACTCACATCTTGATGTCGGCGTGTCGACGGTCGTTGGCGGATGATGTTCGTTGCGGGAAATCCACACGGCGAAGAGGAGTTTGAGCCCGCCCGGATTAGCTAAGCCCTTTTCTGTGTCGCTTAAGCGAGTCAGCTGACATGCCCTAGCCCTGACCAGATAAGGAAACTGATGACAGAGAGGTTCTAAAGGACTGTCTTTCTTATCTGTTGCTCATTTTTGATTAGAATACTATTCTTACCGTCTTTTTCATTTTCCTGTTCTTCATCCTATCTGGGTTTTGGTGTTCGTTTAGCCAATATGAGGTTTAATCACGTGGTAATATCACATGACCAGGGAAGACCTAGAGCGGAGACCTTAGACTACTATCCTGATAACTATACCAAGAGAAAAGGGTCATATAGATCTAGTCAATCACATTCAATCATGGACATGCAATACTATAACGGACTTTTGTACTGAAAAAAGACACCAAGGGGATATCTGTAGATAAATGCACCTTGGACGCTGAAACAATTCAAACAGAAAAACAAAAGATATCATTATCAATCATCCGCAAATGCATCTTCACCCAAGTCCACCTTGCCAATACTCCACACCTCCTTCTCATCGTCCACTTCATCATTCGACAGTCCCAATCCACCCCCGCCACCTTCAGCCTCGCGACGCTCTCGAGCCTGCGTCGCAAGACGCATAGCAACGCGCTTGAAGTAATCAGACATGCTACGTTTCGGGCCGGGCGGAAGCGAAGCACCCGGTCCGGCCATGTACTTGTCGAACACCTCGCTGTCAGAATCGACCACGGAGAAGATAGCGAGGAAGGCTGCTTCCGCGGCCAGTTTGACAGGAATGACGAGGTCGCGGACGCTGGCGAAGATGGGTGGTGCGAGGAGAGCCAGATGAGGACGGGCCATCTCCGGGTGAAGGCGGCTGACGGTCCGGAGGACGACCAGGGTCAACCGGCGGGTGTCGACTGGGCTGCCAGGCTGGATGGCGGGTGCCAGCGCTTCGAAGATGGCCTTGTTGGTCTCGAAGCTGTGGCTGCCCTCACTGGACAACAGGAACTTTCCGGCAGCGAGAACGCTGTTATCGGACACGAAGGGCTATTTTCTTGGTGTAAGCAGATATTTGTTTTGACATGAAAGAGTCCACTTACGTCTTTGTGTGCGATACCTTGACAGATGATCGAGGGCGTCTCAGAGGCAAAATGCTCCATCAGAGTGGCAGGAGATTCTGCCAGGAGGGCATTGAGCCCAAGTACGGACGCATGAGTAAAGATCCCAGTAAGAGCACGGTTTCTATAGGCAAATATGTTAGTATCTTCCTGAAATTAAGAAATCCAGGAATGCATACTTGATCAATGGAACCGCAGAGGCGGCTGGCAGGACCTTAACGAGCGCACCAAGTAGCCGGGCATTGGTAATGGCGACAGCATCTTCAAGGAACGCGTTAGCCGATTGCAAACCATGCCCAAAATCAAAAGCTTACCAGTTTGATCACTAGAGTCATCGTCAATAAGAGCGAGAATGGAATTTCTGGATGCTTCGCTCATGTTGGCGCCGGCCTTGCTAACAACTTCCTGAAGCGCCTTCATCATGGCATTCTTCACGCCGAAGTCTGTTGTCTTAGACCCAGCGATAAGTTCTACAGACTAGTTAGCAACCATGCACAACTTCTTTCTTGGCTTTCAAAACCTACCAGCAATGAGCGGATCCACTCTGGGCGTGAGCGTAATCAGAATCCCAAGACCCTTGGCAGCGCGGTTGCGCAGCGTCTCGCTCGATGAATCGGCCAGACCACGAGCGAAAGTGCGCTGAAGCTGAGGCAGGAAGGGCTTCACGGCCAACGGAATCTTCTCTAGCAGCTTGTTGAGTGTGAAGAAGATGGCACACTTGATGTCGACGGATCGTTCCGACACCACACGAATCAGCGGACCCGTGATCTGAGTGACGAAAGGCTTCAACGAGTCCGAGCCAGTGCGGTCGATGATGTCGGCAATTGCAAGAGCGGACTGGGTACGCTGCTCGACATTGCCATTGAGAAGACCTTGCAAGAAGATTGGGAGAACGGCCATGATGCCCTTGGGCAGGCTGAAGCCTGGCAGATCCGCACCAGGCACACCGACCTGCCGCAGCATTTGTCGTGTGGGAATGGCTAGGACTTCCATCTCTTCCTTGCGCATCTGAGAGGTCAACTCGCGCAGAGCGGTCCAAGCTGCCTTGACGACGTCCTTGTCATAGTCGGCGAAGGAAATCAACAGAACGCGAATCAGGTCTGGGTGGTACCGCGAGAAGTCGATGTCGGCATCCGAGAAGAACTTGGCCAGGTGGAGGGCTGCTTGAGCGCGGCGGCGGTGATCATCGTGCTTCAGAAGGGTGATCATTACGTTCATGGCGACGTTCAGGCCATCGTACTCATCCACGGACACTAGGACAGTATCGAAGGCATTGTTGAGTTCCGAGCGAAGGTCCTCGTCGGTTGTGGAGATGATACTATCCATAAGAGAGTTGAGGATCGTCGACAACCTTCTCGTCATGGCACCACCCGCCACCTCGGCCAGGGATGCGAGGGCCCTGGCATTGAAAGCCGAAATAGGCGGCGTAAGCAGTGTGGGAATAAGGTTGGGAAGAATGATGTTGGCACGAGTTTGTTCCGTGAGGAGTGTGAGCAGAGCAGACAAGGCCTGTTCGGCATCCTCGTCGTTTCGCAGCAAGTGGAGAAGGTGAGGCAACACCTGGTCCACAGCCCTCTTGCCCAGAATCTGTTGCAGGGAGTCGAACGCTTCGGCAGCTGCTTCACGAACATCCTCGTCGGTATCGACAAGGGCCACGCGCACAGTAGAGATAAGAATCTTCTCGTAATCCTCTAGAGCATCGGGGGACGCGGAGGTGATGAGCTCCCGCAGAGCAATACAGATACCCTGCTTGACATCCACGTCAGGAGATGACTGGAGACCCTCCTCAAGCAATGGCAGCAGGCTAGAAAGGACGGACTCTCCAGCCTTCTTGATGAGATCGCCAAGAGCATTGCTGGCAATAACCTTCTGCTCCATATTCGACGATCCCAGACGACGAATGAGAAGCTGGGAAAGCGTTGGTACCATCTCCTTGAGCGTTCTCGGGGAGGCAACAAGCGCCTTCCAGACAGCCATTGCTGCACTCCTGACCATACCCGAAGTATCACAGCGGCAAATGAACAGGGCCGAAAGAACCTTGTCCCTGCGCTCTTCGCCGAGAACCTCGAGCAGAGACTGGCCAGCCTGATGGGCTTCCTCTTCTTCCTCCTCTGCGTCCGCCTTGGCAGTGATACCGGTAAGACTGAAGAGGAGATCGCCAACTAGCTCGACGGAACTCAGACGGATACGGTAGCTGTCATCCGCAAGACCACGCTCCAATTCGGGAAGCAGGAGGTCAATCGCCTTGGTAGCAAAGTTCTTGACCAGCAGACGACCGGCCCGCAGGGCAGTCTCACGAATCGACTCAATATCATCCGCAAGGCCAGCAAGAATTGGTGGAATGATCTTGCTGAGATAGTTGGCGAAGCTGTTACCAAAGCAAGCGGGCAAGAAGATGAAGAGGGTCATGAAGCCTTCGCGAACAGCAGCCTTGGAGCTGGAAACGTTCTGGAGGATGGTAGGCAGCGTCTCCTCGAGTCTGGTCGTACCCAAGCCCGCGAGCACCTCCGAAAGAGCCTGGGCAGATCCGAGTCGATCGCCGGCGCCAGTATCCGACTTGAGAGTCGACATGAGGTTGGGAATAAGGTCCGGCAGAGCATCCTCTCCGAGTTTCTCGATGAGCGAACCCAGTGCTTTGGAAGCGGTGGCGCGAGTGGTGGGAACCGGATCCACGATAGCCAAGTTCAGACCAGCCACAATAATGGGCAGATGCGCGATAAGATCCTTGCGCTCCGTAAGATGGGCCAAGCTGCCAATTATCTGCGCTGACTTGCGCTTGGTTGCTGAACGATCACTAAGACCACGCTCGAGAATGCGGACAACAAGAGCGAGTGAGGGAGCATCGAGATAGTGGACGAAAGAGACCTTGATGAGACAGTCCAATGCCTCGTCCGTGTATTTGGTAGGGTCGCTCAGAGCCTTTAGAAGCACGTTCACTAAGCTCTTGACTTCTGGGTTGCTGATAACTTCACCGAAGCGTTGGAGACTGCGGTTCGCCGCGTTGCGGACCTCCTTGTGAGTGTCGTTGAGAACGATAGTCAGAGGGGGAATGATATCCGGCAGACTGGCTGCAAGCTGTTGAGGGTCAAGGTAGGCCATGGCTCCAAGCAAGTCGCACGCTCCCTTCTGACTCCGCCACTGCGTATCATCCAAGCCGTCGAGCAACGTCGGGAGAATCTTCTTCACACCGTAAGAGCTGAGATTCTGGAAGCAAGCCTTCGAAGCATCCAGACAAGCATCTCGGACATCGATGCTAGGGTCACCGAAGCCCGCGAGGAGCTGAGGAACGATCTGGATCACATAGGGCTCAAAAGTCCGGCCAAGCACTGTGGCTAGGAGTTCAAATGCCAACAGAGCACCTTGTCGTTGATGTGGCTCCTTCCTATTTTCAATGGCCTCCTTGAGAAGACTCATAATGCGGAACTCACGTAAAGTTGAGATACCCTTTCCACTTACAATTCCTGCCAGACCATAGGCTGCACCGCGTTGAGTAGCATAGTTCTTGACGCCAAGAAGCTCGTCTAGCATCTCTTGGACATAATCTGCTGTCTTAGGACCAGACAGCCTAATCAGCGGCGGCAGACATTCGGAGACTGCAGATTGCACTGTTTCAGAGGGCGTGGGTAGTGTAGCGAGAAGCTTCTTGATAACGGCCTGCAAGCGAGGATCTTCGGCCTTCAGATGCCTTGCCAAAGATCCATACAGAACAACAACAGCCTCGTTGAGCAGATCCGAGCTTTGGGTTGCCTTGTCAGAGGTTTCCAAAGTCGTCTCCAGAAGCTTCATCAGCTCCTCAACCTTTTGCTGGCCTCGAAGGGCAATGACAGATTTTCCACTCTCGGCCATCTGGGCCCGCACGGAAGAATTCCTGTCGACCAGAGGACCTCTTTCAATCAAGAACTGCAGGAAAGAAGTGATCTGCTCGCCATCAAACAGGGTTGTCATGGCATTGAAAGCCAGAGCGATACCACTGCGACTCTCCCATTGGTCAGCGGTGTCCATCTTTTTCGGCATCCCGTAGGCGTCCTTCTCGGGGGCCATCGGCTTGATTTTCTCTGCGTATTTTGCCTGCAACTCTGACAAGATTCCGGCAAACTTGCTCTTGTCGAATTCAATTGCATGGGCCAAGGCACGAGCGGCAGATCCTCGAAGTTGGGAATCCGAAGAGTCTAGGTATTTTATGATTTTAGCAAAGGAGGTATCGTCGACTTCCAGGGCGTTTTCTTCCCAGATGGCTTCTGCAATTTCGGCATTTTCTTCAACAGGGTCGTGGCAGCCAAGCCAGATGTGTTCGGAGAAGTCGAGATCGGTCAGATCAATCTCAGCTTCGATGACTTGGAGCGCAGACGTCCGTACGGAGGCATTGGAAACAATGGTGCCTTGCAGGAGGGTGTCGAGTTCTTCGTCGGTGATGTTTGGCGACACGCATCTGCAGAAATCGAACAAGGTATCCTTGATCATCTTGTAGTGCTGGGTGTATCGTTGCATGGCCGAAATAAGCTGCCGAAGAGCCTCAACTCGGGGAAGTCGGGCATCAGTGAAGGAGCCTGAGTGAAAGGACATGAATTCGATGGCAAGAAGGATTTGTTCTCCCTCTTCTTCTCCCTTGACCTCTTCGATACCGTTCTGGCCAATGACGAGGAAGATCAACGGAAGGACGTAGGCTAGAGACGCAGTGTCGAGCGGGCGTTGTTCGGATGCAAAGCGCAATCGATACAAGATTCTTGTTACAAGCTCCCCAAGATTCTCTGTCTCCATAACAGGCGGAAGGTTGGTGTTTCCGATTGCGCGCAGGGTTGCCACGCCCACGAAGGGTCGAAGAGTCCCCAGGCGCGGTGTCAGACGATCGGCACAAACAATAAATGCTCGGGATACAACATCCCCAACAAAAAGACCCGCGCCAGCCCGGGCAAGGCCGAGGAGGCAAGTAACAGCAGCATTGATCCAACCCTCGGCATCATTGGCAGGACCCGTTGCAAGACCTCGAATGAGGCCGGCTCCTCGTTCAATCCGTTTGACTTCTTGCAACACTTCTTGCCGGATTTTGGTCTCCTTGGCAAGTTGCGCATTAACCTTGGACTGTTCGTCTGCGGTGAGTTTCTTCTGCTTCTGTCCCTTCTTCTCGGCCAGCTGTGCTCTGAGTTCCTCCTCCCATTTGAGGGTGTCGTAGTCCTTGGTGTTCTTGTCAAAGGTAGGCTGTTTCGATTTTGAGCTCAGGACGTCGACAAAAGCAGTTCCTTCAGGCGTGCGGGCAATGGCGGCGTCGACGGCCGTGAACTTGGAGAGGCGAGTAGCATCTAGATCGTCCTTGATTTGATCAACAAGACGCGGGATCATCACATCAGGGGCCACGAATGCCAAATCCGAAGCCGCACTCCAGACAGCCAGGTCGACTTGCGGGACGGCTGACTGAACGGGATCGGCGTTAACCCGAACCAATTGTTCGATGCATTCTGTGGGATGCAGGCGGACAAGGTTGCCAGGGTCTGTACCCGTGCGCAAGCACAGAGCAATCCAAGAAGTGTTAGGAATCAGCTCTGGCCGACCGAGAACCAGAATTTCGAGAAGTTGGTTCTTGAGCTCAGAAGGAGTTTCGGACCCGTCTCTGGCCGATGGGCAGATAGCCCTCAGAACTTGATGGAGCAGGTGTGCGCTTCCGGGACCAGCAGAGACAGCCGCAGACTCCTTATCTGCGGTTCGGGATGAAAGAATCCAAGCCCAGAGACCATCGATAATCACGCTCCCAATGGATGCCACATCTTTTGAGTGAACTTCAGACAATGTTTCCACGGCCCGACTTCGGAAGCTGGTAGGCATGGAGGGGGCAGTAATGGCGTAGATGAACGACTGAGCCCAGGCAACCTTGGCCGGATCTTCAGCACTTGAGAACTTAGACCCAAAAGTGACAGCAGCCAAGGTCCGGACAAACCATTCCATCTCTGCTTGGGATGTCAATTTAGAGTAGGCTCTGGGGTTCAGAACGAAAGATGGCTTAGGACTCAGTGTCATGGCTTGAGAGACTTTTTCATTCCAAGCAGACTTCTCTGACCCTTCAATATCAGAAACACGCCGAAACAGGGCCAAGAAGATGTATGCTGATGACAATGCTCCGCTTTGCGCCGAGGGTAAGGGATTGGAAACAACCTCGTCATGCAGATCCTTCATCTTTGAGAGAAATTTGGTGACCAGTGGCGCTACCTCTGCGTTTTTCAATTTGGCAACATCGGTAGTCCAAAAAGCCTCTCCCACACTGAGTTGCCAGATCTTTCGAAATGGAATTCGCTTGTCGGAAATGCCCTTCACGACAGCACTAACGACGTCATCGCTGACCTTGACAGTGAATTGGAGCAGAACGGCGAGATGCTTGCTGAAAGCCTTCATCTCCTCCTCAAGAGCAGATTCGTTGGATTCCCGTGAAAAGACCACTCCGAATCCCTGGACAATCTCTTTCGAGACATCCACAGACGAGGGTACAGCCGCAAGGGCTTGGGCATAGCAAACGCGGTGCTCAGGACTGGTAATCTTTTGTGTTTTAAGGGGACCAAGTATTTCACTGGTGATCTTTGGGAGCAAAGATTCGTTCTTACTCCTGGAAAGTAACGACCCAAGCGAGTCAGCGGCTCCTTGCCGGATTGCTAGATTATTCGACTTCATGCTCGCCAAGAGAGGCTTCAAGAGATGAGAATGCAAAATCTCCGCAAGGTCCACCTCTTTCGGCAGCGAGACACAGATAGGCGGGATCACGCCGGTCAATACGACCTCCGGCGCTCTCAGCATGCACTTTTCCATGGGAGGTACCAATTCCGTGGCCACGTCGCTGGATGTAACGAACGATTCAAAGAAATCCGGCAATCCATTAGCGACGTGTGCGGGAACCACCGATTTCGAGTTCAGGATCTCCTTGACGTAGAACGCCAGAATGGCCTTTTTGGATTCCTCCACAACTGGTTTCCTGGCCGGCAGCCGTGCACAAACCCCACAGATGACACCCAGCAGAGGAGCATTCTTGTATCCTGCTTTTGAGTCCGCAGTCAACCGACTGACGGACTGCCGCACAGCATCCTCACCCCACGAGTCGGACGAGAAGACGCTGCGCAGAGCACGTCGCGTGACCCGGAGCGCCGACACTTTCACTGCTGGCTTGGGGGTGTGAGCCAGACAATTCTCCAGAGCCTTGGCCTCCACCACGATCAGGTCGAGGACAATGGCCAACGGCGTCTCTGGGGTCTTGGTGGCCTGCTGTAGGAGAATGCAACCCCATTCCAGCAGGACAAACGCCGAGGAAGCCGCCAGACCCGGCTTGACAGCCTCTGCTTGTAATATCCGTGTGAGGAATTTTAGGTCTTCGGTTGTGTTCGGCGTTCGGAGGAGAGACTGAAGGCATTGTTGAACGGCCTGTCGGGAGGATCGGTCGACGTAGAGAGGATAGGTTTGGAAGAGCAGCTCTAGGATCTCATGACGGGTCTCCAGCGACAATTGGGAATCTGCGACCGGGTGAGTTAGCGAGCAGTCCAACGCTTCCAATGGGGCGGCCACTCGACCATTGCTGTCGCGAATTTCTTGCAGGGCCCGGAGCCTGCGCGAGGTCGAGCTGGAGAACAGCGCGACCTGCAGGGCACTCAGATCCCCGGCCTGGACCTGATCCCATGGAGAGCCATCCATGATCGGGAGGTGGGAGAATTTGAGGTGGGAGGGCAAGGTGAAGGTGAAAGCGGAAGAGGAAAAGAGGGCTGGCACCGCCCGATGTTGTCATGAACTAAGAGTTTTGTGTGGGGAGCAGAAAAGAGTCACCAAGAGTCATTTTGATCACCCCCCGACCCGGTAGGCGTTTTCTCTTTTCCTGGACTGAATTATTATCTGACTCGCCGTGCCCTAGACTGGTGATTGCTGCCTCGTCATGCCGCCAAACAGCCGCAAGAAGAAGAAGCCCGCCTCCAATCCCGCGCGAGGCTTCGCAACGGTCTCGGTCCCCTCCAAACCCAAGCCAGAACCCACCGAAACACCTCCGTCGCCAGCAAGAGATTCGAGAGCTACGCCGGACAACGAGCCCCAACCAGCCCGCGCAGAGGACCGTCCCGCGACTACTAGCGCGCCGGACACGACCGCCTCGTTACAGAACTACACCCCGGAAGAGCTCGAAAAGCACCTGGAGGAAGCAGAGTTCCAGATCCTGGTGGACAAATATGCGGCGAAATGCAAAGGCGACGCGACGCGACAGGCTACCAAGCTGGAGACAGAACGGCGGGTCTTCCGACAGCAAGCGGCGTCGTTGAGTCTGCTCGAATGGCTTCCGACGGAGATGCAAGATAGGATTCTGGAATTAGCAGGGGTTGAAGAGCATGACCAACTACTGTCGAACGGACGAATCGCAGGGACTAAACAAGCTGGCCTTTCAGAAGAGGAGCTATATACGAAGCTCTGGGTCTTGAAGGAGACACTACTGAACCTCGGGTTTCCGGAAAATCGAGTGGAGGGGGCTCTGAAACATATTCTGCTTTATTTCTCCGGCAACTCACCCAGCGCAAGCCGGGATGTGGTCTGGAATCTGGACGAGTCGTTGGAGTGGCTCGCCATGCACAGTGACAAGACGGAGCTGCCATCTTACACCCAGGCAAACACTCGTCCGCAGAAAGACGCGGACAGTGTTATGTCCTGGATGATTGGTAAATTACCGCTTCAGATTGGTCACAAGAACGAGACGCTAACTCCCATCAGACTCGGAGCCGTCACGGTCTACGACTCCTAACGCCTCGCAGAATGAGAGCAAACAAGGCAGATCAAAACCGGACTGGAAAGCATCGAAGGTTGCTCCTCCGATTGCTTATGACTCGGATAGCTCGATTGATCCAGATAGCATGGTCCCTGAGTGGCTAGATCTCCAAACCCGGCTGTATAGTCTTCAGCCTGATCTCTTTGATCGGCCTGGAAAAGGCAAGAAAGCTGGCCGCGGAACAACACCCGGGCATTCAGACGACCCACAAGTGGATAAAATTCAGCGAAAAATTGCAAAGATTGAAGGAGACGTGCTGTTTGAGCGTCGAGAAGCCGAGTATATTTGGAGTCCAAAACTTGACGAGCTTCGAAAAGATGCGGCCTTTATGCGGCGCCCCGTGGAGAAAAAGAAACCAAATCCCCCTTCGATGGAGGCAGCAGACAAATCAGAACCGGCATCAACAAAAGAGTCAGACGCTGATATCTTGCCAGTGGGTGATGAAATGGATGCCGGTCTCCTGGGTGACATGTTTGAGACCGAAACTGATTCAGGATCTATCTTGGGCCTCCCCCTCCTCAGACACAGGCTGCCATCACTCTTCGAGACTTTGGAAAATGGGCGGGCCTGAGTCCTCGCCGTGTTTTGGAAGAAACTTGCAAAGCCAGAGACTCATCAAGCAAGGTTGTTTATCAGGATCTCTCGCCCTCTAACCACATCTACAAGAAGGCAGTTGAGGTGCGGTGGTCGAAACCTCAGGAGATTCCTTTTTCACTTACAGTGGATCTGGTCACGCACAAGTCAAATGCTTTCGCTACGTTTGTGTCCATGGACGCCCTCGCCACGCCGAATGCACAACAGGCGGAAAGCTATGTGTCGACCCTCGCGCTGTTTATCCTCTTTCCGCAGACCTCGAAAGAGGGTAAAGCCTACCTGCGTCTCCCTGCAGTTTGGAGAGATCTGTGGACAGAGTTCTCAACTTTGAAAAAGTTCCAGGAAGACGAGGTTGACAAGAGCACTGTCAAAGACCTCAAGCACCTAATCCAAGAAAATCAAGGCACGTTTGAGGATGACGTCGTGCTGTCCGACAACTTCCGCAAGAGGAACGGAGTCGGGAGTAAACCAGGAAGCCCCGTGAAAGGTCTTGCTCGAGAGAGCTACAAGGCCTCCGAGGAGCAACTGAGAGAGCAATGGACGGTGAAGGCCTCAACACCATCCTTCCAGCGGATGATTGTGGGCCGCATGAACCTTCCAATATGGAGCTTCAAGGACGAGATCCTCAGCACGCTGGATACCCACCGAGCCCTGATCATCTGCAGTGAGACGGGAAGCGGAAAAAGTACGCAAATCCCGTCTTTTATTCTGGAGCATGAGATGCTTCATGGTCGACCGTGCAAGGTTTATGTGACTGAGCCACGACGTATCTCTGCGATCTCGCTGGCTCGACGAGTGAGTGAAGAAATGGGTGAAAGCAAGAATGATGTGGGCACGAACCGGTCTCTCATCGGCTTTGCGGTAAGGTTGGAAAGCAAGGTCAGCCAATCCACGCGATTGGTATATGCGTATGTCTTGTTTCCCTTGTCCGATGCAGAACATTCAACTGACTAGGATTAGAACCACTGGAGTCGTTGTGCGCATGCTGGAGCGGCCCGATGATTTCCAGGATATCACTCACGTTGTTCTGGACGAAGTCCACGAGCGCACAATCGACAGTGATTTTCTTCTCATTGTTCTTCGGAGGCTCATGCAAAAGCGCCCTGACCTGAAGCTCATCCTTATGTCTGCCACCCTAGAGGCTCAGCGGTTCTCGACATATCTTGGTGGTGTGCCGGTTCTTAATATTCCAGGACGAACTTTCCCTGTAGAGATGAAATATCTAGAAGATGCCGTCGAGTTGACAAAGTACCGTCTATCCGAGGACGATCCGAACACTGTCCTCGATGATGACATGGATGAAGTATCTGATGCCGTTGCCGGTGACAACGCGGGAGGGTTACAAGCTACACTCGACGGGTACTCCAAGCAGACCAAGGAGACAGTGCTTAACCTCGATGAATACCGGATGGACTATACCCTGATCAAGAGGCTGCTCCTAAAGATCGCGACTGACCCGGCTATGGCTCACTACAGTAAAGCCATCCTGGTCTTTATGCCTGGCCTGGCGGAGATTCGCCGCATGAATGACGAGATTCTCTCTGAGCCAACCTTCCAAAAAGGATGGATTGTGCATGCGCTACACTCTTCGATTGCGAGCGAAGATCAAGAGAAAGCGTTTGTTGTGCCCCCTGAGGGCACAAGGAAGATTGTCATTGCTACCAACATCGCAGAAACAGGTAAGCCATGGGCTTTCTTTCCGTGAAATACATAACAATGCTTACTGCTATCAGGTATCACTATCCCGGATATTACGGCGGTTGTCGATGCAGGAAAAGAGAAGATGATGCGGTCAGCATCTGCCCGAGTCTGTTTCAGTACTCTGCTAACTTTCGCAGATTCGACGAAAGACGACAGCTCTCCAGGCTCGTCGAGTCATTCATCTCGCGTGCCAACGCCAAACAGCGCCGGGGACGAGCTGGTCGTGTCCAGAATGGCATCTGCTTCCATCTCTTCACTAAATTCCGGCATGATAAGTTGGTAAGTGGAGATTTTTCTACGAGTGTAGTGTGGCTACTAATAGTAATATAGCTTGCGGAACAACAAACCCCAGAGATGCTGCGACTCTCGCTGCAGGATCTGGTGCTGCGAGTCAAAATCTGCAAGCTGGGCGAAGTGGAACAGACACTACTCGAAGCGCTGGACCCGCCACTGCCCAAGAACATTCGACGTGCAATTGATGCTCTGAAGGAAGTGAAAGCTCTTACGAACAATGAGAGTCTGACTTCCCTTGGCATGCAGCTGGCCAAACTGCCGCTTGATGTTTTCTTAGGGAAACTAATCATCCACGGGGCATTTTTCCGATGCTTGGACGCGGCTGTCAGCATCGCTGCCATCCTTTCGTCGAAATCCCCGTTTGTCAATACAATGGGTTCCAACTCGCAGCGTGATGCAGCTCGGGCGTCTTTCCACAAAGGTGGGTTATGGTCTGTTATTTTCGTCTGATGATGGCTGATATCTTTCAGGTGATTCGGATCTTTTAACCGTTTACAACGCCTACTGTGTCTGGAAGCGAACAAGAAGCACACCCGGAATGAGCGAGTTCGCTTTCTGTCGAAAGAATTTCCTAAGTCCACAGACACTGCTGGGCATTGAGGATGTGAAGATGCAGCTGGTCGTTTCTATCGCCGATGCTGGGCTGTTGACTCTAGATGCAACCCAAAAATCGGCGCTTAACCGGTAGGTGGTATTGAACATGCGGTGTTGACTAGTTGCTGATATTCTTATTTAGGGCACGGTCCAGCAACAGACAACGCCAATTCTTCGTCATTCCCGAGGAGTACGACCTCAACAGCAGCAACGACGTGGTGGTCAACTCCGTTGTGGCATGGAGTTTCTACCCAAAGCTTCTGACCCGCGAGGGCAAAGGCTGGCGCAATGTCGCCAACAACCAGTCTGTCACATTGCACCCGACCTCGGTGAACAAGCGAGCAGACTCAGCCGTGAAGTGGCTATCATACTACCACATCATGCAAGCGCGCAACCGCAACCTGAACGCACATGAAACCAGTGCAGTCGATGATTTTGCAATTGCCCTGCTCTGTGGCGACGCTGAATTCAAGGTTCGTGCCCACTTCTTCTTTTTCTTCCGAGTTATGATACTTATCTCATTGTTCCCCCTCTATACAGATGTACGCCGGCGTCATCTCCATCGACTCCAACCGAGTGCGGTTCTCCGTGCGAGACTGGAAGTCAATGCTCGCCCTGAAAATCCTCAACAACCGCCTCCGTGATATTCTATCCGGAACATTCCGCAACCCACACCGGCCCCCGACTTATAAACAGCAGCAGTGGCTTGAGATATGGCAGCAGATTTTTGCACAGGCAGGCAAGAGATAGGTCCTTTCTTGGATCATCTATGTATTTACGCTTTTGGGTTCATTTGGTATGATAGCTTATGATCATGATAGATATGGTGGGATTGGATTAGATTATAGACCAGGACTCTTTCTGCATATTGAATATACCATGTTGATGCCTATAGTCGGCTGGAGAACGAGTCCAAAGAAGCACTCGAACAGCTTTTCGCCTCGTGCAAGGTGAATGAATCTTCCTTGCTCCCATTTCTGGCCTTGCGATGCCCTACCTGCGGCGGGTGCCTGGCAAGTTGGTTCGACCCAACATAGAGATGAAGAAGGGGATGGGCGCGAGTAACAAAGCAGAAAAACCGCCTTCGAAGGCGCCACCCGCAGTGGCATCAATCTGTCGCTCTTGAGAAGCGTGATGAACTTGAGCAGCGCCTGGCAGATCTCGGCGCGAGAATCTTCAAACAGGCAAGGCTAAGACGACCCAACAGTGATCGACGATATCTTCGCCAGCCTAATCTCATAAACTCATGCTTTGTGACACGCTCTCGTGGAATGACTGTTATTTTTGTACCTCAGAATGGCATCCAACGAAGCAAATTCCTACAGGAAACCAAATCTGCCGAAGCCAACTCCTACAAAGTACGTTTGGATCTGATTCAAGCAACACGGATAGATTGTATAGTCGCTATAGAAGCCATCATACCCAGAAAGTTCATGGTCGTTCATTACCATCATATCGTCTCTCCCTTTCTCACGATTCTAAGGAAGGGGTAGGTGCGAGTGAGAAGAGAGAGGGTATCCATCCATGCGCAAGTGCCTTTTCAACCCAGAATTGAAAATAATCAAAAATGAAACCACAAAACACACGAGAAGAAACTGCCGAATAGAAGCGGAAACACTCAACACAAGCAAGACGTACAGAAAAAAGACAGTTGCGCACATGGAATGGAGTTTCGCACACATAGAAAATTCGTCGTAAAAATTCGTCACATCATGGTCGTCAATATTGCGAATGTCAATGGTCGAGGTAGGTCAAGTTATGACTCCCACACATCACACATTGCAGCATGCGGGGGAAAACAAACACGCAAAGAACATAAGCCCGCGCCCTTTCTAGGGAATGGCGAGACAAATAGAGACTTCGTTCCCCATGACATAAAGAAACAGGTAGGTGGATTGTCGGTAACTTCATATCATGGTTCAAATCATAAGACGCCCCGCTGAGCACCATGCCCACCCTCGGTGTGGGCAATCTATCATTAAACAAAAGAACACAAAAAGAATCACCGACGACGGGACATCACACTCTGAGGCGCCTTCATCGGTTGCAGCAGAGGCGCGCCAACGGGACCACCGGTGGTTGTATCCGTCAAGGTCTTGCGGCGCTTCGTGTCGTAGTCAGACGGTGCGGGCAGGTCGTCATCCTCGCGCATGCGCTTGCTGCCAGATCCCATAGATCCGCCGCTCGCGTTCATGGCCGTCTGGTACACCGGAGTCGAGGCGGAAGGCATCGAGTACGGATCGTTCGAGGCGCCGTTGGCGGGCGTGCCGCGCGTGTCGCTAACGATGTTGTACAGGCTGCTTGCTGCCGATGGGCGCGGAGGCGTGTTGTACCCAGACGCCCAGTGCGGCGGGGCGCCACCACCTGTCCGTGGGGTCATGCGACCCGATCCGTTCTGTTGCGGAGAACCTGTCATTTCGGGAGTGAGCTGGGAATGCTCGCCGGTCAGGGAGCCGACAGAGGGGTTGGTGGTGTAGGTGTACGAGCCACGGTTGGCATTGTAGCCGGCTCCATCCTGCAGGTACTCGTGCTCTTGCTCCTGTACGCCATCTGCCGGGGCGTTGCTCTGAGAGTAGCGATCCGTTTTCAGCTCCGAGGTTTCAGGCTCAGCGGTGCCCGAAGCCCTGGCTGTCGGAGGTGCCATTTCATTCTTCACATACGAATTTCCCGGCATCGATTGCCCGTAGGCGGACATTCCTGGCTGCGCCAAGGGAGTGTGGGGGGCATATTGTGAATGTGACTGGGGGGCCGCCGAGTAGTAAGGCTTGCTGTCGTAGCCAGATTGGCCCTGGTACGAAGGCATGCCCTGCAGATTATTGCCAGGAGGCGTGGTTGCCGGGGTGGTCGGCATCGAGCGCTGGTTGCTCAGCGCGGTGTCAATGGACAACGGCTGCGCGTGAGGCACTCCAGAGCCCATGCCCTGGCCGCCCCATTCGTACGAGCTGCCCTGGTTGGTCACCCCAATGAGGCTGGAGGCGCTTGCAGGTGGGGTAGGAAACGTATTAGCCCGGTCAAGTCCGGGACGGGGGCCACCAGCCATTGATGGCGGCTGCGACATGTGAGAGGACATGGGAGTGTGCATGTGGTGGTGGTGAAGCCCCGGAGGCTGGTGCCCAGACGGGGTGCGCTGAGATCCCTGAGGAGGGCCCTCCATACGCCGCTGCTGCGACTCTTGAACCACCACGTTGGTGCGAGATTGATTGGCCGGGTGGTACAGCAGGCCACCGATATTGTTCACGAACAGTGGGTACAGGAGATCGGTGATCTTCTCCTTGTTCGCAAATTCCAAAGCACGCTCAAAAGGAATCCTTGAGGAGAGTCAGCAACTATGGGGTAGAACAGAAAAGCCATAAAAAAAACATACCAAACGCCCTTCAGATGCATAGGACCAATTTTTACGACATGGCGGATCTTCTCGCTCTTGAGGATTCCGTCACGACGTCCACGTGTCATACCCGCCACATTCAGTAGCTTGGTTCCATTAATCATATGGTTGTCTGGAAAGATCGGTTAGTCCTGTTTTTAGACGAGCACCAAACTCGGCACAACTCACCCTCTCTCCGGGCAACGCAGACTCCCTTAGCCTCCACCTGATAGCAGAGACTACCTTCATCTTCCCACAGAGTGGCCGTCACCCGCGGCTTAGCGCCAGGCGGGGCCTGCTGGCCTTGGGTATCGTAGACGTATCCTTGCAGAGGAGCTCCGGTGTTGTTACCATAATTTCCGTAGCCAGGAGCTGCAACAGAGTGGTTGCTTACTGAAAGACGGTCAGTTCATGTATCTTATATTCAGGTCTGAGCATACTCACCAGGCAACGGTAGCAATTGCGCTGGCATTTGTCCCCCAAGCGAGCTCGGGGGCGGATGATGCCCCGTCGGAGGAGATGTGACGGGATTACCGTATCCGTACTGCGGATACGATGCAGCTGGCGCATATGAAGAGGCAGGCTGCAAAACAGGCGGCTGATGGTGGTAAGGGTAGTGCGACATGGCCCCGGATGTGGCACCCTGAGAGGCGTAGGGTTGCGCGGACGACAGGTGCGAGGAATGTACGTCCATGTATGGGGCTGTTTGGTTCATACTGCCCAAGGAGGTCGGGCTGGGGTAGAACGCTTCGGCGGCAGATACAGACTGAAGAAAGTCCGCCGGAAAAGGATCTAGAGAGAGCCGGCCCTGGGTTCCAGCGGTCAAGTCCGGTGGGGGGCTCCTGGGCTCGTTGGCCGCCGCTGCGGAAGCTCCAGACAAGCTCGTGCGAGCGCTCGAGCTGGCCGAACTGGACACGGAGGGGTCTTGGTAAGCGCGCGAGGTCTGACCTTGAACGGCCGTGGGTAAACTCAGGGCCGGGAGTTTATCGCCCGATAACAAGGGTCGTTCGGCGGCGTGATGATTGTACCAGGGGATATCAGCAGGGCCGCGGGTGTGGACCTGCGAGATCGACGGCAGCTCCAGTTTTTCGGTTGTACGAGAAACGGTTTGGAAGAGCGAGCGCAAGCGCGAGATGAACGTCGGACGTGGAGGAGTGTCCGGCGTGCGAAAACAAGGTCAGCAGCCGGGCAAGGTTGCACAGCGTCCGGGGGAATGCAGAAACACAGATGTTGTCAAAGGGTGCAAGATGCAAGAAACGCAGGGGCGTGCAATCGTGGCGAGCTCGTAGTAAGTCGTAAACCGGATTAAGAAAAGAATTCGAAGGGTAAGCGTCGTTCAGAACAGGCGCTCACTCGCAGGATAAGACAAATCGCTTCAGGAGAGGGGAAGCAGAGTCATCAGAATCATGGACAGTCGTGAAGGCGGGCAAGAAACATCAGTCGCAGGCAGGTCGAGACCGAATCAGTCAGTAGTGGTCGTCAGAGGGTAGAGAACTAGATGCAGCAAGCAGAGTCAGGGCGTCAAGTCATCACAGTATGTCGGTATCATGTCAGGTCATTAATGGATGAGGTGGGTGGGATCAAAAACAGCGAGCGCATTGGACAGTCAAATAATAAAATTAAGGCCGCAGGCAGGATGACAAAGGTAGAAGGCAGGAAGAGAGCCAGGTGGGTTGGGAAATCTCAGACATTCCGAGGGATGTGGACGTACGGGAAAGGTGGGGGCTGGGTTGCAGCAAACGCATCTGCAGGAGAGATGCGTTTGTGCAGAGAGCAGCAGCGAACACAGGGGTGAATGGGTTGGTGTGGATAAGATCGTTGGGTGGTGGGGGAAGGGAGAGAGAAAGAAGAAAACAAAGGGAGAATGAAGAATGGAAGAAAGCGAGAGAGTGAGAGAGAGAGAGAAGAAGAGAGAGGGGAATATACGCAGAGCCAGATGACGCCGAGCCGCAGAAAAGGCGGGAAAGTCGATCAGTGGAAGAAGAAGAAGAAAAGAGAGAGAGGAGGCTGGGAGGGAGAATAAGTGTCGTGACTTGCTCGATTATTATGATTCTTGCTACTCACTATGGGGGTACCATCTTACTAACGACTAATGATTTCCGACTAACTGATCATTATTATTATTATTATTCTCATTGCTGCCCTTTTTTCTCTCTCTGTCTCCCCACCAGTGGGTCAGATACAGAGCAGACCCGGACAGAACCGTGCGTTGGATCATCGAGTCTAGAGATCCATCGCCGCCACCACGCAAGGACCATCCGGATCAGCGGCAGGAACCACATCGGTAATAATGTTGTATTATTCTCTCGATGTCTGCAGGGACAGGCCATCGCCAACCCGACCGGGGACAGGGATGGACCACCGGCCGATTGCTTTTTCTTGTGTTGCGCGGGCGAGACTACCACCCTAACACCACGCACTCCAAAGATCCTAGGCCAAGGATGGAGCAGGAGTGAGTAGTGAGTGTCTCCGGACAGACGACGGCCTCCATGTCCGGACCATAGTTCATGGTCCCCACGAGCGCGGGTCCCACTCATCGAACCAGGGATGAGATAGATGTCCTGGGTGAAGAAAGGGGGAGAGAAAGACAGCACAGAGAGAGTCGAGACTCTGATCGACGGCGATCTGCCCTCCTCGCCCACACCAATCGACGGCGCAAGACATCTGTCAGCGGCTGCACAGACTGAGAATCCTGAATGCGCGGCGGCTGCACCGTCGATTAGTTAGTTCAGAGCGGAGGAGGGGGGCTGGGCTAGGACCCTCTCTAGAAGGGGAGGAGAGTGAGGGATAGGATGCAAGGTGCTATGAAACGGTAGTTCAGCCCAGCCTCGGACCACTGGCTGGGTACTACTTCCTCTCACCACGGCTGTAGCCGACGCGAGTGGGACGATCCAGACGATGGCGTAATAGGGCCGGGGCGATCTGGAGGGCGTTACGGGCGGGCCGTGAATAACAGTGGAGAGGGAGCGAGAGGGCAAAGCACGTCACACTCGCCAAAACTACTGGTGGACAGCGCACCACGGCGGTAGTCCGGATTGAAACGAGGTATTTTTATTTATTATTATTTTTTTATTTTTTTAATTATCTCTTGCTCTTTTCGGGCACCCGCAAGGGATAGGAATCGAAACCAAAGAAAAGAAAAGAAAGAGAGCGGCGGTGTACTTTTTCTTTTTTTTTTTTTTTTGACTGCTCCCTTGCATGTTCCTGCTCTCTCTCTCTCTCTCTCTCTCCACGCCCGATTGACAGATGTCATTCTCTGGAATGCGAGTTGACGTGTTGCTCAATGGATTGATTCCCTTTCCCGCCTAACAATAGTTACTCTGTAGGCGCTATCTCTCATGGCTCGAGTCGAGCCCGACACACGGACCCTCTGAGACTGGGGTCGGGTAGAAACGGGGTGGGAGGGGGGATTGTTGGTCGGAGATTTCCATTTTTCTTAAATATCTGATCAGTTAAACAAGCATGCACAGTATTTGGATTCAGGATAACCCTGAAGCGGTAGTGATGGCATCTAGTCCGAATAGCTCATGCAAACCCATGCGGAGTACATACAGACACAAGAATCGAGCAGGTAGAGAACCAACGGGGAGCTCTAGCACTGGCCCTACGGATCGATCAACAGGATGGATCCCTGAACCGTCGCAGGTCGCTATCGACGGCCCGACACCCGCTGCACATAACAGTGATCGAACAGGGGGCAACTAGTTCAAGGAATGACCATCCTACGGGCAAATCAAGCAATAGGACCAGCCGCTGGAAGTGGGCCAGGAGATTTTCGGAGGAATAGATCTATTTTGACCCCCAACTCAAACTAGCCCGGGGCGCCAGGCCCACCACCACACTGTCCACAATTGGGGATATGATGGATCGCGGGAACCGTTTCGGATTTGGTTCGCTGAAGAATGCAAGGAGAATTCTGCCTCCCCTTTGTCCTCTAGTCGGCTCAATAGTGTTGAAGCAATACGTAAAAGAAAAGGGAAAAAAAGAACCTCCACTTTTTCCGCTACGGCCGTCAATCTAGCATCGATCGACCGGTTCGCCCGTACCTTGCAGCGGCCAGTGACCCTGCAGCGCATCTATCCGTGCAGAGGAAGTTAGAGGGAATGCCATGCTTGCCACGCCCCCATGCCACGGGAGCATAGCGTCGCGCTGGTCGCAGGATATGCCCGATGCCGTTGAGACGTTGATGCTAGCTAGATCCACGGTGAGACGACGGACTCGGGCAAGAGAGAAAAGAGGGGGGCGAGAATGAATTGTGTTGGCGGCTGGCTTGGCCAGGGTTGGCTGCGTGTGTGACGGGCAGGTCTCACGAGCCCAGAAGAATCATCCAAGGAAAGGTCGGACAAGGGCCAACTCGCACACGAATCGTCGTGCAACACGCCCGTCCAGAGGGCCGTGCAACGCGAATTAACCTCGCATTGCATTGTTTTCCCGTCGCGGCCCCCTCTGCCCCGGAGATCGTCTGCACGTTCATCTTGGTTTTACTATTCCTTCTCCGGCGTTTCCTCCGGTCGAGTCAGCTCTAGCCCAGGCCAGTCTTAGAGAGTCTCCGAAGGGGAGCTAGGATGGCTCGGACCAAGGGTGTAACAACATCAGCGACAAATGATTGGATCACAGTAACTGCAACCGCCCGCCGATCGTCGATCTGACCGAGCATGACTGGGACCACGTAAGTTGCGCTATCTTCACCGGCCAGACCGCTGTTCTGCTCTAGGCCCCCCCCCCTCCACTTTCCCCCTTGCGTGTAGACGTGGCACAGGGAACCATGAGAATAATGAATAATTCCCATCTGGCATTCCTGCTGCAGCGACCCGCGCTGCATATGCGAGGAAGAAGAAGAAGTGGAGGAGGGCCGTCAGTATACGAATAGTCCTACCAGAAGGAGGGCATTATGAATAACTGTGATGGAAAGGAACCTCGGCAAGCGAATTCGGCTAAATGGAGGTAGGGTGTCAGGACTCCTTCCCAGTTATGTACTCCGTCCTCTACGCCCGTCGGCGATAGCCACTGGCCGAAAATCACACTTACCCCCCTCCTTCAGCCCGATCGTCGCTCTAGACATTCCTCGCATTGACTGCAGCAGCTGTGCGGTATTGTGCGGACACAGTAATGCAAGCTAAGCGCAGGGTCTGTCAAATCCGGAGAACACGAGATGGGTAAAAAAAGGAAAAAAAAAAACTCACCGTCTCTCCTGTGTCAACTGTCACTGGCTGCCATCCCGCGCCTCGAGGAATGCGCAGAATGCACTCTTTGCATTTTTTTTTTTTGCCCACGGGGCGTGCGCATCCTTGCCTCTCTACCGCGGTGGCGCGTGGTCTGCACATTCTCGAAGCATGTCTGCCATTCAGATGCCGCTGTCTTGTCTCGGTCCATGTCTTGGATTTCTGGATGTGTTGGGCATGGCTGGGGTGCAAGATCTCTGGGCACACCGCTGGTTTCGATCTCTGGTCTGTTTCTCTTTTGTGTTTCTTGTGCGTCAGCCTGATCAGAGGTGGCGGGATGTGGTTGTCTCTCCCTGGGGGTTGGTATATCCCTTCTTTGAGTATTAGGGCTGGCGTAACGTAGATGTTGAGCCCTCCACTGACTGTAGTTTGCAACTATGGCTGGGATTAAATGTAATAGTTTCTTTACATGTGGCTGAGGCTACGTCTGTCGGTAGATGTCCAGATAATGCAATCTGTATGCGGAAGGGTAGGTGCCCGGCATCGAGTTCTACAGATCTTGTGCTCTCTGTGCGCTGTGTTCTGTGCGGCGGATTGCAGCAGGCTTCTAGAATGACTGGTTGTTTCTATATAAAATAGAATATGTACCTTGTACCTGTCTATATACCTTTATTGGTGCTATCACGGTATTCTTTGACTCTATTGGGATAAAGTCGCTATTTGAAAAAAACCTTGACAGTGAAGCTGTTGAGATGTTTAGATACTCGACGCATTCTACACACACAATCTGAAATGGATACATTCATCAGCTCAACTTGCTGTTGGTTAAGGTCAGGCATTCGTGCACAGTAATAACAAACCTGTCAGATTCTTATTTTTTTCTAACGTCCCTGCATTTTCAAGTCCTGATATAATGTTGCAGTGTTCCCGTTGCATCGCAGCGCAGATGCATTGACACACAACATTCGCAGTGACAGCCAGTCATTGTGTAAGGTCTCTGTGAATGTTTAATGGTAATTTTGAATTATTGATTGATTGTTCATGGATTGTTTATATTTTATGTAGGAGGTATGTTATTCGACCGAGCATGGGTAAGTGAGATATATATATCTACACATACGCATATACTAAACATTTAGAAGGCGATGAATATAACCAGGGTACCATGGGATAAGCCTTCCACACACCGAAAATAGTAAGAGACCTCCTGATTCTCTTTCTGAATTCTCAACATAGTACGTACATCTCACTTAGGGATACACGTGACCCTAAGCCCTATCCCGAAGCAGCAAAACCCAAACAAGTCAACCATGATCCGCATTTCCAACTTCATCATTGCCAAGTCACCATCAGAAACCGCATTTTTCACTCACTACCTCCCCCTAAAACTCCAAAATTACGAATCAATGGAATCTACACCAAGAACTTCCTTACTTCATCCGAATCCCTAACTAGACCCCGAACCAACGCCATGCCAGATCCAGGACCAGACCCAAAACGGAAGCCGAGGCCACCCCCAAAGGTCCCAGTCGAATCTCACAACCACCTAATCTTCGATGCTTGGAATTCCACCTCAACAGGGCATCAACGCGCCGAGAATCCGTACTCAGGCACAACAGCCTGGCGGGAGACGCGGTCCCGCAAGCTCTCCTCCCAATTCCGGAGCGGGAACTGCTTGCCTAATGAATCGGAAACGCAGCAGTCGGGCACAGGGAAGAGGGAATGGAGGTGGGTTTCAGAGGATGATGCCAGACGGAGTCAGTTGGGAGTGAGGGATATTCGAAACTTCATGGTCGTGGGCAAGAGGAAGACCGATATCGAAGCTGGAGAGACTCACAAGAAGGCGAAGGTGGATAAGGGAAAGGAGAACTCGCCGTCAGCAATACCAGCAGACTCTCAGCAGGACCCCACGGATTCGAAATTGCACATCTCTTCACATAAACCTAATACACCCAAACCATATACTCTCGATACCAAGTCTACCCCGGACACGAATACTACCTCGTCTTCAACTTCAACACCACGCTCATCAGACCAAAACCCAAAACCAAAATCAAACATCTTCGTCGGAACAACAATCTACGTAAATGGCTCGACCTTCCCCCAAATCTCAGACCACAAACTCAAGCACCTCCTCGTCTCGCACGGCGCCAACATCTCCATTAACATGGCGCGGAAGAGCGTGACTCATGTTATTGTCGGACAGCCGAACACAGGTGCTAATCTAGGTGCAGGGGGTGGTCTTGCAGCACGGAAACTTCAACAGGAGATTGTGAGGGGTGGGTGGAAGGGTGTTAGAATTGTTAGTGTTGAGTGGTATGTCTCTTCCTCTCTTCTCTTCTCTCTTTCCTTATGATTTTCGGTGTGCCTGTGGAGTTTTCTAATCGGGTCCATAGGGTGCTGGAGAGTCTCAAGGCCGAGCGCCGACTATCTGAATCCAGATTCGCTGTTGTGCATGTTGCGGCGAAGGGGCAGAGGAGTGTACGGGGGATGTTTGGGGGATAGTGAGCGAGCGAGAGGGAGATAACGACGCAAGCTATGATGACGATCTATGGACTCTCGATTTGTTTACATTGCATATAGATGCAGGACAGGCGTTGCGAACGGTGGGAATAGACAATGATACCCCCGGTTTCTTTTCCGATACTACAGTAGTTTAAGAATGGAACGGATATGATCGGTTTCAGGATTTTATCATAATGCATTATTATCATCATTTAGTTATCATGACATCTCCCTCTTTCTCTTTATATACATTCATACATTGACATGCCATGTATGCTCATGCCAGAACAAAAGAGCTTTGCGCCGTATCCGATGCGAAACAATACATCAAAAGTAAGTCGAAACCAGGCTCATCCGGAGATTGCCCACACTCATTTATATATCAGTGATGGCTCTCGCCTTCACTACTTCCCTCTGACGCCTGGCGTCGCCATCCACTCTGTGGTCGAGAGGAATTATTGCTTCCAGCATGATTACCGTCGGACGGAGGAGAAGAAGGCAGAGAAGTAACGCCCATGTTTGATTCATCCGACGCAGACGTCACTCCCGACATATCAGCTTCATTACCACCAGTCTGAACATCCGGGAGCGGAGGAAGCGGGTTGGGATGGCGGTGCGTCGAGAAAGAACTCTGAGCAGGTGGCGGAGCGCGACCGTGAGCGTGAGAATTGGAGTCCGTCCTGGTGCGAGACCGATACCCCGGCGTTGGGATATGCCAGCCCTCGTCTTCAGCGTCGTGTTCCGAGGAAGGCGAGCGTTGGCGTGTAGATGGGCGAGAAGAGTAATGGTGGTGGTGGTCTTCATATGGCGGGAACGCGGCTGTTGAGTTTGTCGACACAGAGGATCCGTGTGGACGTCCTTCGCGAGCGAACAAGGGTTGGAATTGGCCCGGGTCGGACTCGTTGCTGGACCAGCGCTCCAGTTTCTCGTTGAGGGTTTCTTCGTCTGGTCCTGAGGTGCGAGAGTCGCCATGTACGAGACCGAGTCGCTCTTCTTCAGTAGCGGTTTTGCGGAGGTCGCCGCCGGCTAGGTGTGTTCGGCGCAAGATACCACGAGGCGGGCTGGCGTGGCGTTTTGGTGAAGGTGGAGCTCCGCCGGGTTTGATACGGTTGAGTACCGAGTTGAAGGAGAATTGGCGCCGCGCGGTTGGTCGAGGCTCAAGATGTTGTTGGTCGTCGGATTTCTCGTCAGCCCAGGCAATGGACCGTGGAGTGTCGCTGCGCTCTCGGCCGTAGACTGGTGGCTCCAGACCGGCCGCGCCGTGGTACTCGGTGTCGTTTTGAGGGATCTGGTGCATTTCACTTTCATCTTGCTCATTAAGCGATCGCCACCGAGCCGGGCGAAGCACGCTCGAGGCCCGCGATCGAATGCCACCAATAAATGAGGAATTGCTGTCTGGCCGCTCCTCCTCATCTTCAGGGTCTGGAAATCGCGACATGCCCCATGGAGGATGTTGCTGCTTGATGGAAGGAGTGCGAGGCGTATGCGGTCGGGACGACATCGTGGGTCCCTCGCCGAGGACAGTCTTGCGCCGGCGCAGACCATCCCACTCGATAACCTCATTTTCACTTGGGGGTTTCAAGCTATCCTGCTGCTTCTCATGAAAGAAGCGACGCGCCTCTTCGGCCGCCATGGTTTGGCGAGCGGTCGAGATGCGGCGGATGATGGACGCCGCGCCGCGAATGGAGTCTGCCTTGGGCTCGGATTCAGGGTCCTGTTGTGTAGCGATTTCACGGATTTGATCGAGGTCGCCTCTGAATACGGCGGCATCGGGAACATCTTTGGCTGATTTGGACACCTGCAGTAGAACCACACCAGCGCAGATCTGGAAGAATCCCATGATCACAGTAGCAATTTCAATTCCGGAGCCCTTGAACCCTTGGAAAAGGATGGCGGAGGTCACGATCGTGGCACTGGTGAAGAAGACATAGTAGGTTGGGGTGACGAGGGCGGCGTTGAAGATATTCAATGCTTTCTATAAAGCTAAAGTTAGCTCACGAGTCCACCTTTACCCCTTTTTGGTGTGTGGACAATTTACATTCAGGAAGATAATCTCCGTCAGCAGCGTCATAATGACAAACGCAAACAAGACGTAGAGAAACCACTCTTTGAACTGCGACTCGCCCCGGGCCTGGGCGAGAATCGCAGATCCCAACCCCTGGGTCGCAACGACACTCAACCCACCGATCATACTGCAAATGCTGATATAAACAAACATGCTCTTCTTGCCCCAGCGCGGGCCAGCATAGAGCGCAGTGATAATCGATCCCACGATGATGACACCAGCATAGGACAAGAACCCAGGCGTGATGACATATTGCTGCATCTCCTGGATATCACTGACCGATGACTGCTGGGGGGCATTCATAGCAATAACCACGGACCCAATGATGCATGAAAAACAGCCGACCTTGCCCACGAAACTGAGGCGTTCCTTGAGGAAGATAGCCGACAGAATGGTCGTAATCACAACTGACAGCGCACCTAGGGGCGTCACCAGGATAGCGTCGACGAATGCATAGGCGACGAAGTTGCAGATTTCGCCGATAATCATCAGCGTCATCCCGCTCCACCACCACACATTCTTCAGATATCCGTACCCTTCGCCTGCCTCCTCATTGTACTTGACGTTGGCCTTGAGCAGACCCGTTTTCTTGAGCACAAACGATATCCCGATGAAGACACCCGATGCGACGGCAAGTGAGATACCGATGGCCTTGTAGATTGGCGGTCGGCCATTGGACGAGGAGTCCGCTCGAGCGAGGAGGACGGTAGAATCATACGGATCCATGGTTGTTGGTGAGGACAGAATACTACCGACCGGCCGTGGGAGGTCGAGATGGTCGGAGAGGGCGAGTGCAGGACTCGGCGTCTACCTGAGACAAATCTGTCCGCGCGCTCACGGGCGCTAAACAAGTCGTCGGTAAACTGAGCGTGATAGAACAATACTCCTGATTCAGAATGCTTCGATAGAAGGAGTATCTGCCACGAGGCAAAGATAGGAGGAATGCGTGAAGCAAGGGGCGATTTTCTTATAACAGGATGGAAGGGATCGACGCCAGGAACGTCAGCGGCCCGATGATCATTGGTATGACGGAGGTGGAAAATTAATATTGAGGCGGAGGGGTAGAAAATAAGTAACGATGAAGGTAAGCAGAGAGGTAGCTGAGAATGAGAAGAGAAGAGTAGACGAAGAAGGAGAAGAGGAAGAAGCAGACGCAGAAAGGAGAAAAGATGCGATGGAGAAGGTAAGAAAATAGGGGAGACGCAGAAACAGAGAGGCTGGGCCAGTCCGTGTGGGGGAGGGTTGGGAGGTACGGGCGGGTACCAAGTGGGGCTATGAGTTTTGGCTGGTGGCCAAAGTACCTGGAAGTATCTTTGATTTCAACCGTGGTACAGCAGCCAGGCAACATCTGTGGTTGGCTTCGGGGAGTTCTATAATTATGGGATTCGGTGGACGAAGTTTCACATTGATGAAGGTGTGATCGCCGCGCGTCAGATCTCAATGCGCCACAGTGTGGCTGAGCAGACCCTTCTAGGCAGATCTAACTGTGGATATCACGATAGGACTCAACACTTTCCAATTACTGCCGAATCATTACTATACAGACCAGGCGTCCCCACCATCTGCGAATTATCATAATCATCGTCAGTCATCATCAGTCTCCGGTCTTCCGCCCGTCTGCTCTGCATGTAGGGTATCCAACAGAGATAAAACAAACAAGAAACACAATATCCAAAATGCCCAGCGCCGCTCGAATCACCGTACGTGATAGCTTGGTTTCCGCTGCCTGTTCACTGCGGGTGGTGGCTCATCCACGGGATAGGGAGGTCGCATTTTACCCCCAGAAGGAACAGATCCCTGGGAGAACAGCGGTGCGGGCATGGAGATCCCTCCATCCTCCTGGGCCGGATACGGGGTGGAGTGCTGGATTGGGGTCTTGGGCGGTATTGGCGGCGGCACTGGGGGCCCCATGCTGTCATGAGGGGCGAGCTTCTCTCCACTTCGTCGCGGCGAGCCTTGTTGTTGCTGCTGCGATGTGGGCCGACTGTACTCGTGGCTGTGTCGGTAGCTGGAAACGTCGCTGACGGAGTATCTGGAGGAGGAGGCGTAATTATCTTGTGGCGTTGGATGCGCTGGGAGCGAGTCGGCCGACATTGGCGCTGGTGTGGGCGCAGAGACGGTGACGGGCGGGGCTGCTTGCACCGGGGAGTGAGGAGCGTACTCGACGGGCTCGGCGGGTAGTTCCACTGCGAATTGGTGGGATGATGGAGGCAGCTCAGACACGTTGTGGTCAGCGACCGTCATCTCCTCCCGCTCCAGATCAAAGGACAAATCATCACGCTCCCCGCCGGCGGTATCGTGGTTGGCCAAGCGACGGTTCATACGTTCAATTTTGGCAAACTTGACACTCGCATCCAGGATCATCTTCTTCACGTCCGGTTTTGCCAGGTACCGACGGGTGTTGGTGCTGATATCGGCCAGCCGGTTCCACTCATTCATACCGAATTCGCCAACTCCGACTTCGACATTGAGGCGGTAATAGTTATCCTTGTCGACATGGCGCTGATCGAGGTAATCGCGCAGCATATCCTGGTGAATATCTTCGCAGCCCTCGATCTTCGAGATCAGTCGCCGCCTGGCCTCGGCAAACGTACCCAGTGCATCACCAAAGAAATCCTCCCACCATTCATGCTGGCGACTGTTTGTACCAGCCGGACGCTTCCCGGTACCAACGCTAACAAACACGCCGACGTCGCGACCAGGCCACTCATTCACGACGGCCTCATCGAGGATCTGTGGCGCGGGGTTATAGGTGCCAGCCCCTTCATCAATGAAGACGTGTTGTCCGATTTGAATTGGCTTGAAAGCCAATCCCGTGGCCGAAGTTGCGCGACCCGCTTGCCAAATGGTACAGTTGAATTCCGGCGGTGGTTCCCGGCGCGAGTCATAGGAGCGGAGCAGCACAGCGGGTGTGTTGCGCGGAGTGCCTTTGTAAAGAGCAGTGACGGCGCTGACATTGACAATTAGCAAGTAAAAGCATAGATCTGCGTAATGACTCACGTTTTGGTCCGATTTTCCCGATTATCGTAAAGCGAGGCATCCGGCTGACCCCAGCGCAGACCGTTGAGGAACGTGGAGTTCCTCCGGTCGGAGGCGGTTGATGGAGGAGGCTGCATGCTAAAACTTCCCCGGCTAAGAGTCCGTTGAGGCACTGAGCCGGGGCTATACGGCAGGCTGGCCATCGAGGCGCGAGGATTGGTATTGGCCATGTCGTTCCCCTCCGCCTCGTAAACCGTATGTTCCCGGACGCATTCGCGGATGGCTTCTTCAAGCTTGGAGGCCTTGAACAGGGTCGATCGGTAGGGGATACCAGCGATAGTCTTATCGGTCTCAAAAACTTTCCGGGTCATGCGCACGTAGACCTCTTTGGATGTTTCGAGATCTAGGCGCAGCCGGCCTAGCATGAGCGCGATCAAACCGCCGGTGCCGGTGCCGGCGATGAGATCGAAATGATCGCATGGTTTGGGAATTTGGTCGCGACGCGGAGGTTTTCCTTCACACTCGACGTAGGTGCGGTACATGAGTTCCTGGAGGATGATAAGCATGGAGTAGCCGCGAACGCCGCCTCCATCTTGGTTTGGTCAGCTCGAATTGGTGGGGGATGGGACAACGAGGGGCAGTCCGTACCAAGCGACAGGATCCTCAGCGGAGGACCCTTGGTGGTGTCTTTGCGCCGTAGCGATGCGGGATCCATAACGGCTGTAGAGTGTTGAGCGGGTGCGTAGGCGATGCGAACGCTCACTTTTTTGAGTGGCAGTCCGCCGCGGGGCGATGCCTGATGTGGGATGGCGGGATGCCTGGTGTCTGACAGTTCGGCTGGGATGTGCAGACAAGAGATCGGTGACACCGAGAAGCAGCAGTCAGACGCAGATGACTGAATGTGGCATGAAAAGGCAATGCGAGAGAGAGAACGAGAACGATATAATAAGGTGTGGGTGGCTTTTGATTCCAGGCAGCGGCGTATGGATGAGGATGGAAGGCGAATAATCTGACAGGGCTCAGCGACGATCGTCCTTCAGGCTGAATGGAGAAAGCAGTGCGAGAGAGCAATACTCGTAGCAGGCACAACAATAACAAGCAGAATAGAAACACAACCTTGGCAACCCAGCAGCTGGTTCCATGGATCAGGTGATGGGTATGGCGGTGCAGTGGCAGTGTTGTTACGTCATCAGACCGATCACTGTGGAAGTATGCAACTACTAGTAACGAGTAATATTCTTGGTTTTGTTTACATAAAGTAGATAATCAGTTGGTCAGTCCAGGCCAGTCTAGCACATTCATCAGTCAAAAAAAAAAATTGAGCCATTGGAACAATACTTACCGAGAACGGTCCTCTCTTCGCTCTTCTGCGACACGCCCACCTCATCTCCAACGCAGATCCGCGTGCCTGCGCCAGCAGGATCAAGGAAAGAATAACGGCCAAAGACAGGACTATACTTGGCGCCGCGGTCTACCCGCCGATCCTTCATCAGTTTCTTCAGCACGTTGCCCGACTCGCCCGTGCCTATCTTGCCCGTCGTGAAATCCACATTCAGACTTTGGCATCGCACACAGTTCCCCGTCAAGAACAGACGGGTAAGACCTGGTCCCACAGTCAGTGCAGACCAAAAGTCTTCCTCGAACGCATTCTCAGCGCCGGACACAACGATGTTCGGCCGGAACTTGGTGCGATCCATCTCTTCTCCCTCTGGAAGCCGCGCCGAGACATTAGACACCGACATTTCGGAGATGAGAAGGTACGGAGCACAGTCAGCAAAGGTAATGCGGTCCTCTGGTGAGTGAACGGTGAGCACGGAGTAAACTGCGATGGCAACCAGAGCCAACGCCGCAAAGAAGAAGGCAGCATTCATTCGTGGCGGTTTTTCCTGGACAGCCTCCTGGATTATGCGGATGGCTTTGACGGCTACTGCTGTAGCCAGAATCGCATTCAGCCACTTTACAATTCCCTCAGTTGGCATCAATGTCCGCCTCAGAAGAGCGAGGCTTTTCTTGCGCTTTCCCGGCGCCAGAGTCCCCAGCACTTCTCGGGAATGAGAGCCTAAATAAGCCAGTTTGACGGAATACCCAAAGCGCTCACTAAACCACTCATTATACTGCGCACCCATGTCATACCCCATAGTAGGGCTGCCATGCATGACGATCTGCAGGGGTTCGAGGCCCGCCACATCGGGCTGCAGGGGGACCTCTAGTCTCTGCGATTTTCTAGATCCCGGCGAGCGGTGCGTAACAATTACTTTCCCGCAGTCATTGTCTGTCTTGGGGAACTCGATATTCGTCTGGAACAGGGACATCTCTGGGAAATGCGGAATGTGCATGTTCTTGAGGGTCGGAGGGGATCCATTCTCGCCGGCCTCGACTTTCAGTAGCATGAAGCAGCGGTCATAGGGAAATCCCCGTGGCGTGAGAATGGCCTCCGACAGGGAGGTTGGTTGCAGGGACTTGATGGGGTAGACATAGAGCTTGGGGACAGAGGTGCGAGTGTCAGCTTGTCCATCTGTTATGCGGGGGATGGCCCTACCTGGCTAACTTTCATGGCGAATGAATGGGACGGTATTTCCGCAGCAACAGCAATGATTCTCGCTGACAGACGCAGGAACTGCCCAAACCCTCTATGTATTTATTTATGCTTTTTGTCTTTGTCCGGGGCTTGTTCAAAGTTGTCCGACTCCGCCGGCCTTCAATCCGCAACCAGCCCCGCTTTATCGATAAGCGATCGGAGTATACAGCGAGGTTGGTGGGACAGGAATTGGATATTTTCAGACAACCGTTTGTGTTCTTTTGACAGATCCTCCTTGTCAGACAGAATCGTAATCGCAAAACGAGTTTTCATATTATTATTAATGCCCGGCCTCAACGTCATCCCCCGGGCCGCACATCCGCCACTATTCCTCGTTTGGATCATACCCCCAACTCTGTGGGGGTGTCTTCTCCCACTGACCCGCTGAAGGCCACTGCGAGTCATTACTGTAACTGGAGAATGTTGTTTCTAACTGGCTGGTGGCTCCACACCACAATGTCCATGTGGTGCAATGCCACTTGGCGATTAATTAGTCTTATCAACCCAATATAAATACAGCTACATATCTCCCCCTTTCCACCTTGGTCTGTCCTCAAGTCAAAACATAGCTGTAGCCAGGCAAACTCAACCATGGCTTTTTCCTCTGTGACATCCACTATCGAGCTCAACAACAGCCCGATCAGGCACGTTCTCACCTTTCAATCCTTGAACCCCCCCGCTAAGAACTCGAGATCAGACTCACCGGCCCTTACGGCGACTGGCGGGACGACCTCGCATCCCAAGGATATGTGGTGATCAAAAATGCCATCCCACAAGAAAGGGCACAGCAGTATCAACAAAAGGCACTCGACTGGCTGAAATCTTTCAGCCCATCCCTAGACCTAAACGATCCATCCACCTGGCGCGAAGAGAATCTCCCCGCCACGCACAAGTTCAATCTCTACAAACAGTACTCCGTCACGCACGAAAAGTTCATGTGGGAAGCCCGACAAGAACCCAAGGTACTTGAAGCATTCGCCAAAATCTGGGGCACCGAGCAGCTGCTAGTCTCGTTCGATGCGTTAAACATCACTCTTCCAAACAGACAGGATAAACCACCGAACAAGCCCTGGCCGCATGTGGACCAGTCGCCGCTGCGTCGCGGTCTGCACTGTGTCCAGGGAATTATTAATCTCAGTCCCGCAGGTCCGGAGGATGGATCCTTGATTCTTCTGCCGAGGTCAAACACCATGACGGAGAAGTTCTTCGACGAGCAGACCGATCCGTCGACCTGGCTGAAAAATGATTTCCGGTCCATCAGCGAGACAGAAATGGATTGGTTCAAGGGCAAGGGAATGGAACCCATCAAAGTGCTTGCCGATCCCGGGGATCTGATTCTCTGGGATTCACGGACTGTTCATTGGGGGGGAGAGCCGACGGCACAGAGCGATACTATCCGCACGGTCATCTATGCCTCGTACTCGCCTGCAAGCATGGCGTCGAAGGAGACTTTGGAGGCAAAACGGACGGCCTTCCGCTCGTACGGGGCCACTACGCACTGGGCTCATGATAATATTGTTCTCCGGGACCCGCTAGTGTATCTACCGGATGGGACTGTTGATCCTCGGAATCGATCGAAGCCTCTGGAAGAGGCGGCTCATACGGATAAGATGCTGAAATTGGCGGGTATGAAGCCATACTAGTACATACTCCCAAGACTAAAGTCCTAGTTTAAATCATATTTCGTATCGGAATCGTGCAAGAAACAAAATGTACATCTTAACCAAAAAGAAATCTACTACTGGTCCTGAGCCCACGGCAGAGCGAAGGTACCAACCCAATCCTCAACCTCCTGTCTCAGCATCACAATCTCTGAGATCTCCTCGCCCTCACCGAGATACTCCGCAAACGCCTTGAGAGTACCGGGGTTCTTGACACCACGCGACTGCGCCTGTTCGCGGGCCGCCTTATCCAGCTTCTGAGTGAGCGTGACCGCCCGATCCACAATATCCGCCACGCGCCGGAAGTCCTCGGGCTGGAAGCCGCGCGAGGTCATGGCGGGGGTACCCAGGCGTAGACCGCCGGGCTTGAGCGCGGACTTGTCGCCTGGCACAGTGTTCTTGTTGGAGGCGACGCCGCACAGCTCGAGGACGCGCTCAACGCGCGCGCCGTCCACACCGCGGTTCTTGAGGTCCACAAGGACGAGGTGGTTGTCTGTGCCGCCGGAGACGACGTTGTAGCCTAGTCCGCCGTTGCTGGAGGAGTTGCCTAGGCGGTCAGAGAGAGCAGTAGCGTTGGCAAGCACAGTTTTCTGGTAGGTTTGGAACTCGGTGCTCTGAGCCTGCTTGAGCGCCACGGCGAGCGCGGTGATGGTGTGGTTGTGCGGACCACCCTGGTGCCCGGGGAACACCGAGGCGTTGATCGGGTTCTCCAGGTCGTACATCTCCTGGTTGCCCTTCTTGTCGGTGCGGCGGACACCTTTACGATAGAAGATCATGGCACCGCGGGGTCCGCGCAGAGACTTGTGCGTGGTGGTCGTCACCACATCCGAGTACGGGAATGGCGAGGGAAGAACATCCGCGGCGACGAGACCCGAGATGTGTGCCATATCCGCCAGCAGGTAAGCGTTGACGGAGTCGGCGATAGCGCGCATGCGCGGGTAGTCGATCAGCCGGCTGTAGGCCGAGGTACCGGCGACAATCAGCTTGGGCCGGTACAGGTTGGCCATCTTCTCTAGGTTGTCGTAGTCAATCAGGCCCGTCGACTCGTCCAGCCGGTAGGGCAGGGTTTCGAAGTACTTGGAGATGGCGGAGATCTTCTTGGTTGGGGTCTGGTAGCCGTGCGACAGGTGGCCGCCGTGAGGCAGGTCCAGACCCATGAGGCGGTCGTGGGTGTTCAGCAGGGCGGAGTAGGCCATGAGGTTAGCGGGCGAGCCAGAAAGAGCTGCGACAGGCTCGGTTAGCTTCTATTTTTCATAGAGGAAGAACAAGGCATACGCTGGACGTTCACTCCCCACTCCTCTGGGTTGAGACGGAAAGTCTCAAGCGCACGCTGCTGGCACAATCGCTCGGACTCGTCAATGTGTTCATTTCCGCCATAGTACCGAGCACCGGGATAGCCCTCGGAGTATTTGTCTGCGCCGCAATTAGCAATTGGCTGTTGGGATCGCATGCGGTGGAAGGCCTACTCTGCATGACACTGCCGAGCGCATCGAGGACAGCTTGCGAGGTGAAGTTCTCTGACGGGATCAAGTTGATGAAGTGCTTCTGACGGTTTTTCTCCTGAAGAACATTGTGAGATCGCCAATCTCTCTCGTGTGTCACTTTCCAGGACTCACCTTCTCCAGGATATTAAAAACGGTCGGGTCGGACTCCTCGAGGGATGCGGAGAGCAGCTAGGGAGCGTCAGCTGGGCTTGTCCGTCTCGGAAGAGCTCTAAAGCAGCTTCACTGCCTTTTTCCGGATAACTACAAGCATACCTTTTGCTGTCCATCGCGACTGGACGACACTCCGCGCGACTGAGGGGTCCACCGGGCGGCCAAGGATGCGGGACGGGATAGGGCGAGAGGTCTGGCGCTGGCCAGGGGGAGGCAGCGCATGGCGTGCCTGCTACAGCGCGACAGAGACATGATGTGAGAAAGGACACAATAATGCGCGGTCCGGAGGATAGGAAAGCATGGGTCTTATATTGTAGGCAATCGGATAATTGGAGAGTCACTTGCCCGTTGCCCGCGGAAAGCGGACTGTCGCGCTAAACCGGGAATGGAACTGGCCCGTGCTCGGTCGCCGGGCAGACTTTTCTCCCTTGGTTGGCTTTCTTTCTACTTCCTCTCTTCATCACACAACTAAATCCAAGATGAAGAGATGGCGTTCTATCTGTGTCAGCACTCGTCGGGGAGCTCTCTGAGCAACCTGGACGGGCTCTGCTGAGAGGTCCCGCGCCCCATAACCATCCATGAGGGACCAGTTACCATCTGATTGGAGTGGTGTGTGTGTGTTTGTGTGTTTGTGTGGGCGAGCCATGGTCGGGAGTGACGGAGACTACGAGGGACTAGCCGCTATGTATATACGACAAAAGTTGATGTTTGGACACCGAGGATATATGAAAATAGTCTAGCTACCTGCTGTACCTACCGCCTGCGATGACATTATTATTGTTTCTTGGGTCGCGTCGATAATTAGGTTGCCATGAGACACCATCCCTCGCGGGCAGTGAGGGTGTACTATCTACATCCTACCTTCTATTCTCTCCTCTGCCTATAGAGCGTCTATGATTATTGAGTCGATCCCCAATTATTATTATTATTATTCTTCTTCTTCTTCTTCTTCTCTTCTCGCATCGCCTCGATCTTCGCCGCACGCAAGGCTCCTCCACCTACACGTGATGAGCCGAGCCCCATTTACGTGTAATCAAAGCTGTGCCGATCGCATTCATTCGCTCCAGTCTAGACTTTGGGTCGAGCGAACAGGTTTGCGCGCTCGATGGGCGAGATACCCTAGTGAACAGAGATTGAGAGGCCTAATCAGTTGGACGATAGACCTAGAAGACCATTGCCAACGCCATTGGGCCCTTTGCCAGCCAGTTTGGACTAGACATCTCCCAAAACGACCGTGAAGCACCGGGCCCCAAGCGGGTAAGGATCAGCCTAGCGCACCGCCGGTTCCTGAGGACGTGTTCGGACCACGGCCACGGGCTAGAGGTACTTGATTCCTATAATGGATCCCCCTACTGGACGAAGTACCTTGGGCCGCCCGACTACTTCCACAGGGCCCCTTTTGCACCATTGGCCCGTGCCTGTCAATCGTCTCCCGGCCCCTATAAACAGCGTTTTCCCCCCAACCCCTTTCCTCCCTCCCCATCACAGTCACTCTCTCTTGACACATTCCACATTCCCCGGTTCTTCAACCGAGTACATTCTTTATCAACTCTATCGAATCCTCTTTCGAGCATACACCGCATCTATCTGCATCTTTTTATTCTTTAAATTACTTTACTTCTCCACACAGCCAAAATGCGCTTCTCGATCGCCGCTCTTGCTACCCTGGCCATGGGTGTTGCCGCCACTGACTACACCACCGAGGTCGTCACCCATTTCACCACCTACTGCCCAGAGGCCACCTCCATTGTGCACGGCAGCCACACCTACTCCGTGTCGACTGTATGTTTTTGGTTTTTGTCATCTAAGTCGTGATGCCAAGCTAACCGCCCAACTCTAGCCCGGTGCCATCACCATGTCGCACGGTCCTTACACCGTCACTCGTCCTCTGATCACCAAGACCATCACTGAGTGCAACAAGTGCACCTCGACCGCCCCGGCCGTGCCCCCGACCTCGACTCCCCTGGTCCCCAGCGGTGCCGGTGCTACCACCCCTGGCTCGGGTCCCGCCCCGACCCAGACCCCCTACAACGCCGCCTCGCGCGCCGCCACTGGTGCCGGTGCCGGCCTGGCTGCCGTCTTCGGTGCTGCTGCTCTCCTGCTTTAAGCTTGAGATGTGAGTCGTTAGGAGCTTGATGCTGTCCTGCGGGACGCTCTGCGTCCTGCTGGCATGACTCGGCGCGCCTGGTTTTTTGTTTTGGTTATGCTCATTCTGGGTGTCTCTCATGTCTTGTCTATGATGTTTTGTTCTAGATAATACATAATTGTACCCCATCTACCCTTTCTTGTTTTTTCTCTCTTGGAGGACATGGTTTTACGTGTGTCTACTACTACCACTTTTTCTTCTTCTCATGTCTTCGTCTATTCACTCTGGTTTGCACAGTCGTGTTTTGTTTCTCTTGCGCAAGATTCTCCTGGACATAACGTTTCTTTGGTCTCTCGAACTTCTTGGATGATTTAGTTCTCTTGCCTGCTTCCAGTAGTTCTTATTCCTCGACGTTATCACATCTGGGCTTTAGACTTGCATATATCACCTCTTTAAAGACCCTAAGCAGGGATGTTGAATCTGCATGTAGGGTCCAACGCACGTCCTTACGCTTGTCATGTCCCTCGTGCAGGGATTCTCGTTCAACTCCGATCGGAAACCAGTGTCACAACTATAAAACATTCTGGCTAATTATACACATCAAAGCTTCGCCTTCTCACCGGACTTTTTCTTCGCCTCGAAGTACTCTCTCACTCTCGCGCGCGCAACCTCCACAACCTCTGCGTCCTCCACCGTCGGTGGCACATTCACAGTGGCATCATACTCTCCTTGCACCGCGTGCTCAACCAGCTCGCGCAACACGCGCCGCAGCGTCTTCCCACTGCGCGTCTTGGGAATCATCCCCCGGCCCTGGATCATCCCCCCTAAAGATGCAATGGCTCCGATCTGCTCACGGACTAGCGCGTTGACTTCGTTGAACAGTTCTGCCGTCGGTGTTGCCCGCAGTTCTTGACTCGTGCTGTCGGCTCGTGGCTGGACAAAGGCAAAAGGGAGATGCCCCTTGAGCGAGTCGGGGATCCCGACGACGCTGGCTTCGCTCAAGCCAGGGTGCGAGAGGATGGCTTGTTCGATTTCTCCTGTGGATTGTCAATTCCTGTATCACAAAGCGGACAGAAAGAGACATTACCTGTGCTAAATCGATGGGCTGCAACGTTGATAATGTCGTCCGATCGAGACATGATATGCACGTATCCATCCTTATCCACCATTCCTGCGTCGCCCGTGTCGATCCATCGCCCATCAAACCGCTTGAAATATCCCTCATAGAATCGTTCATCGTCATTAAACAAAGTTGTGAAGGCAGTCGGGGCCAGCGGTGCTGCCATCACGATATTGCCCATCGTACCGTGCGGGACTTCTTTGCCTTCATCATCGACGATTCGCACATCAAAGCCAGGACATGGCTTCCCCGCGGACCCTGGCCGAATGGCCAGCGGATGATCTGCTCCCGGAGGGAATTTCTCTGAGACGGCCAGCGACCCATTCAGGGCCAAGCTGGTGATGGGAGACCCAGACTCCGAGGACCACCAATTATCGATTACCAAAGCGTCCTGTGCAGCGTACTTTCTCAGCAGATCCTGATACGCGCTCACAATGCTGGGCTCACTGCGTTCGCCAGCCAAAAACAGCGCCTGCAGCGACTTTAGTCCCCCACGCCGGCCGATCTCATCGACGAGGCGGTTGTTGGGGTCGTCTTTGCGGATAGCCCGCATCGCAGTGGGAGCTGTGAACATTGTATTGACCTTGTGCGTCTCGATGATCCGCCAGAAGGTCCCTGCGTCGGGTGTTCCTATCGGCTTCCCCTCGAAGAGCACGGTCGTCGCGCCAACTAGCAGTGGCGCATATAAGATGTACGAGTGGCCCACCACCCAACCAATATCAGATGCACAGAACATCACATCTCCAGGGCCTTTGATCCCAAATACGGACCGGATCGACAGCTCCAGTCCGACTGCGTGGCCTCCCGCCTCTCGAAGAACGCCCTTTGGAAGTCCCGTTGTACCTACCAACGATCAGTACCTTGTTGGCGGCCTGTCAGAGGGACCAACACTCACCGCTGGTATAGATGATATATAGACCATCCGTACTCTTCACCGGCACCGGATCAGCTCGAACACCGCGCATGCGCGCACTCTTGACCAACCGCTGCCAATTGCGCTGGCCACCCAGTTTATCTGGGTTGTTCCAGCGCAGCTGATCCCGCTGCCATACGATTACTTTGCTGGGTTTGAAGCTGCTCATCTCAACGGCACCCTCGACCAAGGGACGATAGGACATGGGTCCCTTGGCACCCTCGATTCCGCATGAGGCAGTCATGATAGCCCGGGGCCGAGCTGCCTCGATGCGCTGCGCGAGGGACTGCGCCGCGAACCCGCCAAAGACGGCGGCGTGGATGGCACCCAGACGCGTAATTGCCAGCGCCGCGATGAGCGCCGCGGGGATCATGGGCACTGCCGGGGGTCAGCCAGCCATGCTTGATAGGTCGGAAGCTGGGGAACATACTATAGATAATCACGACATCGCCCTTGCGCACACCCTCCTCCCGCAACACACCCGCCAGCACCTCCACCTCATCGAGCAGTTGTGCATATGTGAACTTCTGGGTAGTGCGCGTCACGGGCGATTCCCAGATGATGGCCACCTGGTCGCCATGCCCATTGTGGACATGTCGGTCCACGCAGTTATAGGTTGTGGAGATCTCGCCATCGGGGAACCAGGACCAGTGCTCATGCTGGACCCCGCTGGGCAGGGACTTGGTTTGTCGGGAGAGAGCCCGCGAGGGCGGTCGATGCCAGTGGAGCCTAGCTGCATGGGCGGACCAGAAGGACTCAGGATCACGGAGGGAATGATCGAGTGCCGCGTCCTGGGGATGATTACGATGATGAAGTGGCGGCATGGTTGGTGGAGTTGGGAAGGAATCAGGACCCTGGCTTGAGTATAAACGTCGGAGGAATGGAAGTTTGGGGAATCTCCCCCCGCACCCGGGGAACCGGGAGGTACTTCGCTGACTACGGGGCGGCCCCTACATTCCCATGTACCATCTGATGTCACTGTATGGATTTTGACTGTCTATCTAGATCACAGAAATGGCGAGAAAAATAGGAACATCATCAGAAGAAACAAAAATAAAACACAAGCTCAGTCGTAGGGTATCATATCGAAATGCCTGCTAATGCGCGACTGCGATCTTCTGGCTTCGGCATCTTCCTCTTTTGGGGGGTTTTGTGTTGTGGCGGGCGTGTTCCCGCAGGTCGTGCTGATCACTGGACGCAAGGATTCCAACCCATCGGTATAGAGGAGCCAATGGCCCCCAGAGCGGGGGGAGCTTGACCCAAGCCAGTATTCGTCCGAAACCCAGTCTGCCACACCAGGAAAATGGGTTTGCCAGAAAATGAAAATGAGAAAAAGGAAAGAAAAAAAAACTCCCCGGCCAAGACGAGTGGAACAGAAGGAAGCTGCCTCGAACCACTGGACGCCATAAACGTGGTTGTAACCAAAAGACAGAATCACCCTCCAGATGCACCCGAGACCAAAATAAGCAGTAATTTATAATCAAAAAATTTCAGACAGCCCGCCCCTTTCATCGACCGATCACAGGAGAACACACCGGATGCCACCGCGATGTCGCTTGTCGGTCCGGAAGGGCGGACGATCCGACCCGGGATCGCGGTCCCCACGGTGGCCAGAGAAGCCTGTTGACCGGTGATTTGGCCCGCGACCGCTGATCGACTGCTGGCGCTGCTGCCGGAGCATGCGGACCACATCATAGAACGCCTTTTCGACATTGATGCAGTTCTTCGCGGAGGCTTCGACAAACTCACAGCCGAGCTCCTTGGCCAGAGCTTGGCCTTCTTGGGCGGAGACGGCACGCTCGACCGCCTTGTCACTCTTGTTCCCGACAAGCATGACGGGCACGGGCAGTGGCGGGCCCGTGGAGGCGTGCATGGACGAGGCCAAGTAGCTGGGCGCATTCGGCGAGCCGGAGCCGGCCGACTCCTTCACCATCTTGATCTGGTTGTAGAATTTGGTAATGCGCGAGAATGATGCCCGTGACGTGATACTGTACACCAGGACGAACCCTTCGCCATCCCGGATCCACTGGTCGCGCAGCGCGGTGTATTCCTCCTGGCCCGCCGTGTCCAGCACCTCGAGCATACACGACTGTTGGTCAATCACAACTTGTTTGCGGTACGAGTCCTCGATGGTCGGGTCGTATGTTTCGACAAAGTGGTTCAAACAGAGCTAGACGGGAGTTAGGATCCGCGCGATCCGATCGGGAGAAAGGCAACCAACCTGGATGGTCAGGGCTGTTTTCCCTACGCCTCCATCGCCCAGCACCACCAGCTTGTACAACGTCATTTTTCCGGACATGGCGGCAAAGCTCTCGGGAAGGGAGAGCGAGGGATGAGAGGGCGAGTTCTGGTCCAGATAGTTAGCGATGCGCACGAAGATAAAAAGAGCCAGGGATTTTTTGCGTACCTCGGGATTAATCCAGCACCGGGATGGGAACCAAAGTGTCGGAGGGAGGGGGAAAGGGATTTAGGCGGGGGGGGAACGCAAAAAAAGGCGGAAGCTCCAGATCCACCTCAATTGTGTGGTCGACAGGAAAAAAGCACCAACAATGACAGCCGGGGGATGATGGCTTGAGAGGATAGGGGGGTGGGAAGGAGAAAAAGAGAGAGAGAGAAAGAGAGAGTAAGAGAGGAAGGGAAAAGAGGAAGAGGGGAGTGAGGGAGGGTACTAGCAGAGTCTGGTACGGGGCTGGAACGAAGTGGAGAGCGAGGAGGAGGGTTAGGTTAGAGAGGGGTTACTGATGATTATGGGCAGTTAGGAGAGGGCGAAAGAGGATTCGGAGAGGATGAGGAGAGCATTCGATATGACGATAGGAGGTATCGGTATTAATTATCTCGAGAGGGAGTACCTCACTGAGGTGTCTCGGGAGGCGAGTGGCCGGGATTAGGCTCTGCCCTCACTCTGCTCTCCCACCCACCCGCTCTCTCTCCCACACCACTGGTCCAGGGCACCCGTTCCAGGGCACACGCCCGTCAACTAATACAGAACGATTGGCCCGTCCAGCAGTTGATCAGGCCAGCAACGGGCCTTCAGACTCGCCCGCCGTTGATTTCTGGTGGGCTCTTATTTTTCTTGGTCGTCTCCACAACTGGCAGACAGCCACTCATCACCGACGGTATACAGTCCCACTACTGCCTGTCTCCCTTTACTATGGCCCGACCCTCGGCGCACAGGGCACAGTGGGTTCGTTCCGGGCCCAGCCCAGAGACCTCTCTTCCCGACTCTAAACCGCGACCGGAAGCTGCGAAGCTAGCATCCCCTGGTGGAGACCTGTCTGAAAAGACAGAAAGCTTCAAAAACCTGACGGATCCGACGGCACAGACGCGAAACCCGGCGAAGCCACGTTCTTCTGTTAAGCGAGTTTGGCTTTTGGCGTCTGACCCAAAACACCGGCGAGCGTTTTTTTTTTCACACGTGGAAAAGCTCAGTCCTTGATGGTGGCGCCCCCGGCTATCCCAGTCGGGCTCCACCATCGCGTGGTTTCATCTCCATTCACACAATAATACCTCTGGCACTGCCGTTATTCGGACACCATGGCGCTGGGATGCGCTATGCATGGTAAATTATCCTTCGCATGCACGCGGATGGAGCCCCAATCTATTAATCCGGCGTGATTCGAATGGCTGGATTCTGGTTTTTGGCACCAGGATGCCCACCAGTTGCGCCGTCTGGCATTTATTTCAGCACCGCGGAACGGCACGCGAGTCCCCGATGATAGATCGTCCGGAGGCCTGCCTGTGAGGGTCCAGCAGGGGTGGAGAACTAACCACCTCGTGTTAGGCTGAGGTATCATCTCGTGCAATTCCGTCACTACGACTCTTGCGGGTCCCCTTCTTATCCTGGCAAACGTGCGGTCCAATGCCATTCAGTCCCAGTGCTGCATTTCCTTCTCTCCCGGCCCCCTGGTCGCGGGCCGCCGCGAGCTGGACTAGCGGGTCTATGGGGAACAGTGAGGTTCTACTCCGTAACTAGTCCTCTAGCCCAGATGATCTAACCAACAATGCTTCCGGATGATACCCGCTCTCCGTGCTCCGTTTTCCAGGGGGGCACACGTATACGCACATAGGTAACCCGGACGGCCCCGCGCCGACAATACTCTGGCTGGGGCGTAAGCCATCCTTCGGGCATCCCGTCCGGCCTGAGAAAAAAACCCGTGTGTATGCGGTCCTATCCCCTGCTCTCGTCGCTGTTGTTTCATGTCGTACAGGATACATAAATAGTAAGTAAGGCTGCGGCAAGGCCCGAGGCGCCGCCATTGAGGAATGCAGAGCAGGGACAAGCATGCGATCCGGCCCCAGCCTCTAACTAAAAGTACATACCATGCATGTACTGATATTACGCACGCTTATGGGCCGGGGTTCGCGACGGATCCTCCCGTCCAGGACCGTTAATGGAGACGTCGTCGCGCCGTCCACCGGCCCGCAACCAATAGTATAGTCTTTTCTGTCCTTCATAAACTGCCATTGTTCTCGTAGGTCTTGACTGGTGCGAGAAATTCTTGCTGCTCTCATTATTTCGCCCCATCCACAAAAGGGACTTCCCCCTGATAAATAACGTCAGGGATCGGCAGGGACAGTGGTCCCAATGGAGTGGTGCGCGGTATAACTAGTCGGGCAACGGGCGACTACCATCTCTACGGACTGGCGCGAGTAGCCTTGTGCCCGATTCTGGCGGTGAGATCATGATATCGAGTAATGTTATCCATAGTCATTTACATATTACGAGTGAATTCTAACTAACGCGGACTTAAGGGTCTGACTAGTCAAATCCCACGCGGAGGAATAATGTTTGGCTGACCTGTCACTTGGGAAAGTTCCGGGGATAGCATGCCGAAGTTGTACTTTGGAAAGACTACCGTCAAATTTTTACATAGGCGCCTCCTCGTGCAGGCTAACGTCAATTCCGTGAAGATGAAGCATCACATCACATCATCTTAAGCCACTAAGTTATGGCCAGGGAGGAGCGCACTAGTGCCCACTCGTACAAAAGTACGTGAAATTGCTTGAAGCTTTAACTCCTCTCCTCAGTGACTAGTCAGTTGTATCTTCGAGCCATCTAATCCGAGGTTGTCATCAATAAGTAACGTTACACACCAAATAGTATGAGCAATCCAGCGATAAGTGCTCCCATACTTCCACTCCCAGGCCGGGTCGAGCCCGCTGCATTAGAAATCGAGACAGAGCTTGAGCCAGTAAAACTTCTCGTGGTGGCCGTGACGCTCGCCAAAAGTACCAGTTATCGTTATAGCACCCGTTAGTATGTTGGATTTAGAGTCCGACGATGTAGAAGTAGTAGCTGGGGTGATTGAGGCGGTAGTGCAAGAGCAGGACCGCACGAGGCTATTAACATTGATAAATTTATCTATTTCTGCTGGATGTCATTCAAAAACCCAGTCACCCTCTCTACCAAGATTCGCCGTGGCTCCGCCTGGTCGGGATCACTCAGCGCATGCGAGGCACCAGGAATGATCATACTATGTGGACTCCAGAATTCCTGCTTGCCGGCATCAACCGCTGCCTGCCAGCGGCGCAGCAGGGCTTCCTTGTCCACCCACGGCGGAACCGACTGGTCGCGGCCCGAGTACAGCACCATGAGCTTCTGCTTCAATAGGCCGCGCGACCCGACCGCTCCAAATGTCTGCACCAGTTGCTCATCACTGAGATCCGAACTGAAAAGGTCGTCCTCTTCCGGCTTCTCGGGACTGTCAGGACTCGCGAGACTGAGAAATCGGCGACTGCTGACCGCTGCTGTGGGTGGATAGCCTATTCGTGCGGTCACCGACACTGGTACAATAGTGTCGACCGAGTCTTGGTCTTCGTAGGTAGCATTGCGGGCGTCCTCAACCGCCTTGTCGTAGATCTTGCGCATTGTCTCGGGGCTATCACGCTCCGTGCCGCAATGTAGCACCCAAAGAATCGCCTCACGATCCGATACGGGAGCCTGCATGATCGCACCGTCAATATCCGGTCGTATGATCGGGATCCAGTCCCGATCGAACACCGGATGTCTCGGACGCGGGTTCGTGCTGGAAATGTATTGCATCACGTCCTGGCTTCCCGTCGAGTGGCCCATCACCACCAATTTTCCCTTCCCAAATTGTGGTGTCTTGTAGTCGCGGATGTACTGCACGCACTGCGCGATCTCGTCGATGTCCTTGCCTAGTCGGCCCATGCCCCAGCCCCCGTAGTATGATGAGAGCACTATCGCGAACACGGTCCATTCTGTCAAATCAAGCGCCTGTACTAGATCGCTGATGTATTCGACTGAGCCTAGCCCGTCCCCGAGTCCGCCAATGAAGAGGAGGGTGTGCGGTTTGCGGGTTGCCCCGCGTGTATACTCGAAGGCAACCAAATCCGGAGTCTGTGCAGAAAGTCGCATTAGCAGCGGTTGCGAGCGGGTTTATTTGACAGGCCTACACAATGATGGAGAATACCAGGCTGGCCTTTGGCGAGAGATGAGAGAAATTTGATCGTCATTTGATGGTTGTAGAACGCAGAGATCAGATAACTACCATCAGATAACGCAAGCGGACCAGCCACCGCCCTCGCCTAAGTGCTGTCGAATCCACTTTGGAAGCAAGAAGTGCAGGGGATAATAATAATTATCAGAATAGGAAAATAGGTACAATGGACTCAAGTAGCCTCTCATTTTTGGGTCTCAATCCAGATATTATTAACTATTGTAAGTGCCTCATACAACCTTGCCCCGCTCGCTCCTAAGTCATTCATAGTGTCTCGCCAGATAATAAAACGCAGTAGTCTCGTAGTTCGCGTTGACATCGTTGTTCACGGGTCCGTGCTCGATATTGAAGGAGATCCCATCATCGAAATTCATGGAATCGGCCAACATCAACCGGGACGCCTCGAGACACTCCCCAATGCAGTTCAGCTCCCGAAATTCGTGAGCCTCCATGCCAGTCAGAGGCATCGCAAAAGGAACAGCAGTCGAACCATATGTCCCGTCCTGCGCGTCTGTAAAGTACCAACCAGACTCATAGAAGTCCTCGGTTCCGGTACCGAGCATAGTGGCTTGATCAAAGGGACCTGTTTTACCGTCACGGTTCGTCCACACCTTCAGATCACCCTCGAGGAAGTCGAGAGTGTTGTTCGGCGGTAGAATGGCACCCCGGAATGCCTGGGTTACTCCACAGGCCACACCCCGGCCCGTTTCGCTGAGGAAGTTCCATAGAACACCCGTTTTTGTTTCTGCGTGGTGGTGCTGTGTCGCAAAATATCCCCATGGTGCGGGCGGAGCAGACCATGGTGCCCATTTCAGATCAATTGATCCCTGCACTGGCGCTCCAGCATGATTAACGAGTTCCACAACTACAGAGTTGTTAAATGGCATTGGCCACCAGGATGTAAACGCGCCATTCTCGCTCAGGGTATCAATAGACAGCATCAATGACCGCACGGCGAACTTTCCAAGCGCCGACCCAAAGAATGATCCGATGGGACCATCTGCTGTTGTCTGGCCATCGAAGGTGAGTTTTAGGTAGAGGTCGCTGATGAGTTGAAGGGACCGGGTCGCTTGCTCCAGGCGATCTCCTTCGTATAAGTAATGCCTAACGCCGCTCCAAGTTTGGCCGCTGATTTCATAGTCGTGTGTCGCTTCGTCGTGTGGATTGTTGGGTCCAACATTCAATAGATCCATGAGTTCCCAGTCGGACGTGTCATTCAGTTTGCAGTGCACAGCATAGAAGAATTCGTTGAAGTCAAGGTCCGAAGCAATAAAAGTACTTTTGACGTTTATAGTTCTCTTGTTTGCCGTCAATTCCGGTTTCAGCTCCAAGGTCTGGTCCGCCCAGGTTGCATTCTTGCTGGGTCCACTGTCGGACCATTCACCTGCATCTTTTCCATCAACACTGACTGCCGCACGCTGATGGCCAATAGTGCTATCTAAACGTCGGGTGAGTTGACACTGTGTGCTGCCAGGGTCTAGCTTAAACGTTGCTGAACTCCAACCACCTTGCCCGTACGCACGACCATCGTCTTCCACATGTGGCGCACCCAGAATTTCCGGCACTCGTAACTGCAGCTGAGTGACGATACCCGAGCCGGAGATTGTGGCCACTTGAGAGGAATTGCCTGAATCCACTGTAAATGCGTGGCTCTCACTGCGAGTGCGTCGCGGCGAATATGGACATGAAGATACCCTCGAACGACACTTTGGGTCAACAACACCAAAGCGACGAGAAGTATCTAAGGCATCCAATGCGCTGTCTTTAGGGTCGAATATGTTCACATTTGCATCCGCAGGCAGTTCTCGGTACACAACGTGGTAATAATGGGGATTGTGAAGGGTGCTGATGATCATTGACTTCGTGTAGGGCATGGGCACCTTGATCACATTGCCACCATTGGTATCATTGGTATTCCCTACCAATGGCCAGACGAATGGAGCTCCTATGTCTCCATTCACGAGGCTCTGAAGATCATGCTGCAATACCAAATGCGAATCTAGCTCGATACGAATGTCACCGATGGGGACGACACTGTCGTTTTCGTACGTGAACCAAATTGATGCAATCTCACCCGGACCTTTGGCATCAGCAATAACGCAGCGGCCGTCTGTACTGTTGTAAAGACACGAATATGTTCCGTAGGATCCGTCATTATTCCCATTCGTGCGATCATACGACGAGAATTGCTTGGTGATTTCCCCAGGCCGGAGGGTGAACATATCAAAGCGGCGATAGGCGTCCCAGCCCAGCATCGGGTAGGACGCCGCAACCGAAGATATAAGAGCACATAGAGTTAATAAGTGCATTTTGAAGAAAAGAGCGATCAGCAAGGGAACTGAAAGCTTGGTTGTTGGAATGCCGAGGCGGGTGGCTTGTTTTATATTTAACCTCAGCTCGGCAGGCACTGGCAATTCTCCGAAAAAAATAACACCGTAACATTGTCTCTGGTATTTCACCTCCTCTTTTGCGACCGAGAATGTACCCTTGCATCAATAAATCTACCGTCTAGTTTGCGGGGAAGAATCGATCGGCCTTTATGATTTCATTGACCCGAAGGATTAACCCGATTAACCGAAAGCTAAAAACTGGAGAAGTAGATCGGCAGTCAGATGCCGGGGTCTTTTTTATCAAAATCTTGATTTATTGAGGCACAACCTGTTGTCTATCACAGCGTAGGATTGCGAAGTGCAGGGTTCGAAGATGCACAGCGGGGACGTCTTGACGCGAACGCTCAAGGACTCGGCAGTTCGAAAGTGCATCTCCATACATTCTATCAACCTTCCTATGTCCTCTGAAGGAAAGCATGATGTCCACGACTTCCTAACCGGGAAATCTCCCCCCTACAAATCATACCGAAAATGAAAATTAAAGCATAAAGGTTGTTTCAGACCAATTTCAGTAGATAATTAGAATAAATCCAACGTAATTAGTGTGAGCATATCATATAAGAAGAGCCCCCAAAATAAAGTCTCGGCTCAGGAGGATATTGCAAAACATCCGAGATTCTGAACTGCGCTTTTCCCTTGATGATTAAGGCGAGAATATAAACACGTTGACTGTGCCAGGATTACAAGAGGTTATTAGTATGGTTATGCACCGATATAATTATCATTAGCGATAATAATACTGGGATGCCAGACCTAAAACGCAAGTTCGGAATCTGAGCTCGTGGATATTTCTACAATGATATAAGATCGGCAAGCCCAACCTCAAGAAAATTATTGCTTAACCCTCCTCGTATCGGTAAGACGATTGAAAAGGAACATCAAGTGTCAGATCCTGAGCCAAGCCTGCAAAGCAACAGCCCAGCACTTTACCAGAACTCTGCCACATGGCCTCTAGGCAGATGGATGGAACTGGAAATATCAAGTCTTAGTGGGACGTATTCTAGGCTACGCAGGTGCCCACTTGGCAAGCTCCACAGTGTGGTAAGTGGCCATAGACCTATGGGAGCAGACAGGCACTGCTACCCGCCACAGGCGAGGGTCCATCCAAGACGATCATCCATTATGTAACAAAAAACAGCTGGTCCTCTCGGCCCGGGACTTTCCTTACTCACATCACCTTGACTCTGCTATGGATGCTTTTGCATTACCAGTCTCATTCTCACTTGGGAAGCAAGCTTATACTCAGCCGCACAACTTTCAAGAAGATCAGCATGGGGAGATTCGGCCAATGAATTGTAGAATTCTTGGACAAGAATTGCAGTATAAACCTATTATTATCCTTGCGGGTGCGGAGCTTCGTTTCTTATCTGATCGTCTGTGCGCGGAGGCAGCAAGGAATCACCAACACATAAGTGGGCCTAATTTCAGAGCATCCCTGTTGGACTGGAAGCTTTGATCGAATCGTCGTCGCCATTTGATGTTTCATTTCATCTTGGCCCTCCTTTCCCATTGGCCCTTGACGGTCTGCCCGCTACCGGCGGCATTGGCATCGTTTCCATGACTGCGCCAAACACGGTCCGCGTATTGCGACGTAGGGGGTCGTGGGTCTTCCCAATAGGCTCGGGATGATGGTTGGTTGTAACGAAAGTTTTTTTTTCTTGGCTGTCGACTCCTCCGTGATCGGGTGATGGTTCAACGAATCGCCCGATCAAAACGTGTGCGACTAGCCCTGTGGTGGATTGGGGGCCATCTGATAATTTTTTTCCGCGATCAAGAGTCAGCTTTTATCTTGGTCTGTTCCGACGAGCCTCTTTACACGCCTTGCCTAAGAATTCAGCCAACAACGAGCCACTGCCGACCACGTACTGATATCTCTGCTCGGGAAATCGAAGAATCTTCCGGTCCACCATGGCCGAAAATGTCGACGAAAAACTTAGGACTCCTCAAACGGAGGAAACTCCTTATGTTGAGTCCCAGCATCCCCAGGAGGAGGATCTTCCCGACCAGACCGCGCAGGATGGTGTGAGAATCGCAGAGGCCATGACCATGTCGTGGAGCAGAACATCGCTGATCGTGGTCTACATTAGGCAAGTAATCACATTAGGTATACTGAAAACTAAACTAACAAAAGTACTTTCCTAGTATGTGGTTACTTTACTTTAGCAATGCCTTTGAAGGCCAGCTAGAGACCAATCTGAATCCTTACGTGTCGAGCGCCTTCGAAGATCACTCCCTGATGCCGGTCATCAATGTGGTGTCGAGTACCCTTTCCGGCGTCACATATATGCCTGTTGCTAAGATTCTGAATTTGTGGGATCGCACCGTCGGCTTTATGTCGATGGTATCGATTGCAACTCTGGGTATGGTTCTCATGGCCAGCTGTAACAGTTTCCCGCTGTATGCAGCGGCCCAGGTATTTTACTCGATTGGCTTCACTGGGATGATCTTCTGTGTGGATGTCGTCACCTCAGATACCTCCACTATGCAAAACCGTGGGCTTGCTTTCGCCTTTACTTCGTCCACCTATATTATCACTGCATTCGCGGGCCCGGCTGCAGCCGAGAAGATCTATGGCTTTAATTGGCGGTGGGGATACGGTGCCTGGGCAATTGTCGTGCCCGCCGTGTCGGTGCCCATGGTGGTTGTGATGCAGCTCGGCAAGCGAAAGGCAATGAAGAACGGACTGATGGCACGGCCCCGTAGTAACCGTACCTGGTACGAAAGCATATGGCATTACATGATTGAATTTGACTGTAAGACACTCTTTCCTCTTTTGCACGTTCACCTAGCCTGGCAGACTCTGACCAAAACTCATCAGTCATCGGCGTTTTCCTTGTCTGCGCGGGATTCGTCATCTTTTTGTTACCCTTTACCCTTGCTGGTTACTCTGAGGGCCTCTGGACTAGTGCTTACATTATTGCGATGATCGTTGTTGGGTTCGTTCTCCTGGTTGTCTTTGCCTTTTGGGAGAAATACGGCGCCAGCAAACCATTCGTTCCCTGGTACCTGCTCAAGTCGCGCACGGTCTTGGGTGCCTGTCTACTTGACTTTACGTACCAGGTTGCTTACTACTGCTGGTATCTGTACTTGACCTCGTACTTACAGGTCGTGTACAATACGTCAATTGAGTCGGCTGGGTATATCAGTAGCATCTTCGATGTTGTCTCGAGCGTGGAGCTTATAGCCGTGGGTTTCTTAATCCGCTGGACTGGCCACTTCAAATGGATTCTCCTGTGGGGTGTACCACTGTACATTCTGGGAGAAGGCTTGATGATCTATTTCCGGAATCCCGGTTGGGGCATTGGATATATGGTTCTGTGTCAGATCATTATTGCCTTGGGTGGAGGAGTGATTACCATCGGCGAACAAGTTGCCGTTTTAGCCGCTTCTGACCACAATGATGTCGCAGCCGTTCTTGCTCTGCTGGGTCTTGTCGGCTATATTGGTGGCTCCGTTGGTAGCAGCATTTCGGGCGCTATTTGGACCAATACCCTGCCCGGAGAGCTGAGAAAGAGGCTATCAGAAAAGAACCAAGGCGAGATCGACAGCATCGTTGGTAGTCTTCCCAAGCAGCTGAGTTACCCCATGGGCTCTGAGATGCGAGAGGTTATTGGGTTGGCCTACGCGGCAACCCAGAAGCGCATGCTAATTGCCGGCACGGCAATTATGGCTCTTGGCCTGGGCTTTACCTTGCTGATCAAGAACATCAACGTCAGGAAGGTTGACCAGGTCAAGGGTATGGTGTTCTAGACACGCCAGAGGCAATTCCGGCTCTGGAATTGCATTTGGATAGGGATTCTTTTCGTAACGGATGGGAGAAGGTGAACGGGCAAATAAAAGTGCATTTGTATAAATGAATGTCATTAAATTGCATATCAACTCTGCTCGTGCTTTTCGGGTGGCAGTATATCCGGAACAGGACCGAGTGGAATCACAAGCTGTCCGCCGCCAGTCCCTTTTCCAAGAGCTGCGATATATCCAAATTTGTACTGAAGTTGTCAGTAAATTACTAAATTGTTTAAAGTTCAGACAGCACCTACAATATCAAAGAAGGTTGTCTGTTTAAAGGCACCGCGGGTCTTCTCGGATTTGTCATAGTAGAGCCGGCGATACCAGCGCTCGATGCGCGGGTAGTCATGTCTGATCATTTTCAAGTTACACTTGAAGATCAAGTAGTATGCCACATCGAACCGTGCAATGGTCGTGTACAGGCGAATGTCGGCTTCAGTGATGTTTGCCCCAAAGAGAAATGGTTGATGCTCGGGTTGGGCAAGATGCGCCTCAACGCGGTCAAGAGCTTCGAACAGGGGATAAATGTTTTCCTTGTACGCTTCCTGAGTAGCAGCAAAGCCGGTTTTGTACACACCGTTGTTTATTTGCGGATACACCCAGGCATTCATCGCGTCAATCTCATTTCTCAAGTGCTCAGGATAAAAACCGCCTCCCGGACGATTGACTTCGCGCAAAGCCTCGGGCAGGAGATCGTCAAACTCGGTATAAAACATGCGGATGACCTCACTACTTTCGTTGTTGACTATCGTCTCTTTTTTCTTGTTCCATAGCGTTGGCACTGTATATCGCCCTTCATACTGCGGATCTGCTTTCAAGTAGAGTTCTTTCAAAGTCTTAAAGCCGTACAGAGGATCTTTCTCGGCAGATCCTCTGGCGCCAGAGAAGAACCATCCATCCGGTCCGAGTTCTGAGTCCAGGATGACCAGCTGGATAATATCACCAAGTCCCTTGAGCGTCCACACTAGGTTGGCTCGATGCGCCCAAGGACATCCAAGGTTGATGTACAGCACGTAGCGGTCTTTCTCTGCAGGGAACTCGGCGGAAGGACTCCGAGAAATACTAGACCGAAAGACCGATTCTTTGCGTCGGAAGTGGCCGTCCGAGTCGGCATGTTTGTAAATCTTGGGCTTCTGACAGATTAATTACTTTTTCTTGACTCGACCTCTTATACGTACTCCAGTGCTCATGATCGCTGCTAACGAAGCCGATGGGGTGTTTCAAGCGGGATAGGGGACTGCTATTACGGATCAGAGGATACCAGATTCTTCGGCAGACAGATACTTGTCACTTTTGATCAGAAACTGGCCACTCTCATGGCATTAAATAGGTGATTACATGCATAAGATCGGGTGAACTGGGGCTGACAAATCTGTCGTCATCGCAATCCGAGATTCCATAAGCAGATGAGATGATATGTAATAAACAAAATGCTTGGTTATTCAACAGATCATGACCTAATATTTGACTCCTGGTGTCGGGTTACGAATCCGACTTAATACCAAACCGTCGAGCCAGCTCAAGGAAGCCCCCTGTATTCAGCCCAATCCACATATCAACGTACCCTTCCACCTGGGCTTGCTTAACTTGATCTGGCGGCAAGGACTCCTCCAAGTCCCGCTCGACGTAAATTGTTTGAAACCCACAACTCTTGGCCGCCTTTAGATCGTAAAGGTGCGCGGCTACCAACGCGCACTGCGCCGGCTCCAGTCCGAACTTGTTGGCTGCCCCATGATAAACCTTGGGCGAGGGTTTATAGGCCCCAAAATGCTCCGCGCTGACGAGATGGGTGAAAGGCAGGGGCCCATTTCTCTTCAGGTCCTCAAGTAAGGATACATTGCCATTGGACAAAGTGGCAGTTTCGAATTTGGAGTTCAGCAATTCCAACCCCTGTGTGCTGTCCGGCCACGGGTCGAGTCGGTGCCAGCAGAAAGCAAGCTCCCATAGTTCACTGTCGGTGAATAGCTCGTGGATGCCCCGTTGCCGTAGTAGGTCTTGTATGGCGTTATAGTGGTGCTGATCTACCGACACGAACTCTTTGGAAGGATCGAAAGTCTTGGTAAACTTGCCATAGGACTGGCGCCATTCTACGGCGAGAGCCAGCCAGTCCTGTGAGCTCATTGCAGACGCATGTTCCCGCACGCTGGCTGACAGGTTCTTGTTGGGGTCATCTAAGGCCTGCTGGACAGCGGTCTGCAAGGCCGTAGTGACGCATGAACGCCATTCAACGACCGTGCCAAAGGTATCAAAAAACAGAGTCCGGGGTGGGTGTTCAGTCGACATGGCTACCGTGTTATTGACCAGAGAGGAACTCGCAAGATAAGAACCACGCAGAGCCAGAGCTGTGTGACCTCGGCCATCTTGGAGCTTAGTCAGGATTCGTGATGATCAGCCTGATTGTTCTGCCGATAATCGAGTTAAGAGGTTCATATCTTAAGATATTTTTTCACAAATCAGACACATTGTTGCACCCCGGCTACTTATGATATAGATCTTTCTAGCAAGACGGTAAGCAAGTGAAGGATTAGGCACCGTCCATTTGAGGTACGTATATAGTTATGGCTTCGAGGCTGTTGACAATATTGGAACCCCACGATTATTTCAAATGAGATCTGAAATGTCGAGGAAGACAGATCGGGTGGCGATCAAGAACCAATCAAGAGATCGCATCTAGGGCATCTCATGTGGCATTGACATGACTCTCCATGTGGCGGGTCGCGCAAGGGACAGAAATAGACTCGTCCAAGACACATGGCGATAGATAGCATACAACATTGTAGACAACCTACAGTGCAATTGTCGAGGACGGTTGAGGCGCATTCCAGTATGACTGTCAGGTGTTGATGTTATTATCCTCATTCCTCGCGCATAGTTAAACCACGGTGTCCCCCGCCAAGAAGACCCCCCGCCTAACATTAGTGTTTCTGTCAGAAACAAAGAAACCCACGGACCCTGCTGATGTTAAGTCCTGCTGAGAGAGCTAATTAAACTACGGAGTACGGAGACGGTCACATCGACTCGACCTGTCATCCAACGGCCCGGCAGAAGTACGCGATCTGATCCCCCTGAAGCCGACGAAGTGGGTCTGAATGGTTCGGGTCTGGTTTGCAATCAGGCCATGACGGCCTCGACGCGTGGAGTCGGTGGCCGGACGAAGCCGGAGACTTATAGGGGAGAAATTGTGAATCATTAATAGTTGAGTCTTACCCAACTGGGCTAGGGCTACTCTGACAGGAGCGTTCAGGGACCACGAGGAGCCTAGCTCCAACACACGCGTACCGGATTTCGTTTCGGCCAGAAAAACAAAGAGACCACGAGGTTGGTTCTTCTTAGTCCGGCCGAAGAAGTGGAGTGCCCCCGAGGCCCTTATGGTGGAGACCTTGAATGGGTCTCGCAAATAATAACCACTTATTTTTGTTTTTCCTTTCTCTCGGCTACCCCTAACATTTTGATTCTTCTGCTTTGTACAGGGTGCATATTGAAGTAATAATCAATGCCCAGCGAATGACCCTGTGCCCGTGTAGCTGAAACACGCTTGCAAAGCCAGAATCCGAGACACAGACCAGACCACAGGTTCTCGACTGAAATTGCCTACGACGATCAGCAACACGCTAAAGCGGACTGGTCAGCGCCAGCACAGGGGAAACGCGCTAGCAGCCCACTCCTTTTTCCTGGGAGTCCAATTTATTCGATTCGCTCGCTTTAGCTCTCGGGGATCATCCCGTCTGGGATAGATTACCCAGCGCAATGGGCTCAGTAGTACGCAGGTCGATGATCTCTTAGGATCGCACGCAAAAAATAGGAGAATCTCAAGAGGATCTTCGCCTTTCTCTAGAATTTGAGAGCAGCCTGGTCACAGTGGAGAATCTCGATGCTTTCGTCACCGACGAACGAACACCTTCCCCATGCTGGGACTGGTTCGGCCCTGGAGTGGGTTCGATGATCCTCGACCCAGACCGTGCTCGTAAACACTCCTTTTTCGAGCTGGACCTGTGGCTTACTGTTTATGCTGGGCCCTTGTTGTACCGCGCCCTTCGCCCTCAATACTTATTCCCTGTTCAGAACGTGGGAAATTGTCCAACCGTCAAGGTTTAGATGTATAAAACGGCTTTCCTGTGCCTTTGAGAACAGACCTCTAGCCACCGCGATCTGTTAGCTCCCTCTCTACCAACATCCAATCCTAGTGTCTTGGGTGGCAGCTTGCAGTGGAGCATCATCCAGCGCCAGGGCTAATCGGGTCTATTTCTTGCTTTCCCCATGTCCCCCTAATGAACAACCCCTGGATGGTCGATTTCTCGTTCAGTGGTAACTAAAGCAGTTAGTTATTCGACAGAGGTGTCTGGCCCTCACACTCCGGCGCGCTTCCGACTGTCCTTTGCCGCAAGGCTGATCTAGATTCCTTAACGTTCTCCATCCATCTACCGGCGGTGTAACGGGCTAGGACTACTCGGCACAGGCGCTTCTCGGATCATTGCCTCCTTTGTGATCCTCGGCGATCTCGCTTTGCCTTCTGCTTCATCCCCATCCGCTTTCCGTCTGCGCCGCTGGAGCGATCACGATCAAATTATTTTTCGTTCTCGAAGCTGGACTGATCCATTTCTCCTCCTCTCCTCCGGGGAGCAGTTGACAGCTTACTCGCTACCTGCAGTCGACAAGACGAGTGTCTGCTATTCCCAAAGTCTCTCTGGTGCGTAAGTAGAGTTGCGGTCTCTCCTTGAAGATTCAAAACTGCTCTCACCCCCCGTGCAACCCGCATCGGCGCTGTGGCCCGTGGCTGACCGATTGTTTGACAAAGTTCTACCCAATCCGATTACACTCCCCTCCTGCCTTTTAGAAATCGCCGAGAATCAATTTGCGACAGGCGCGCATTGGGACGCTCGGCAGCAATCGGTCGCCGTCGAATGTCATCCTATTGATGGGAACTAGTCGTGCCGTGCTCTGGCTAGCACAAGGAAAGGGTGATGGTCTGAAGCCTTTTATCTGGTAGAAGCGCAGCAGCGATAGCCATGGACCTACATTCCCCGGTTGCCTCCATGGCTCAACCAGCCCCAGCACCGTCCACCATGTCGCGGGGTCCGTCTACGGCACGGTCGAGGTCTCGGCCTTCTATACGTCGACGCGAGTCATCTCCCGGACCGTCCTCATCGACTCCCGGCCTGCCGACGCCGGCACTTTCTCCGGACGGACAGAGTGACAGCGAAGAAATCACGGAGGAAGATACATTGTCACCATTCGATCCACGAAGGATTACGCCCACCCTTCATGCCTCGCTCGTTTCCGAAATTCTCTCGCTCCGCCGCGAAGTGGAGAGTAAGACCAAAACCATTGATGTATTAGAACAAAGTCTGGATGAATCGACGAAAGAAAATGAGACTCTGGGTTCCAATCTGTCACAGGCAACCCGCGAAGCCCGCTCTCTAAAACATCAGATCCACCTTCTAGAGGGTGGCACTTCATCTGCGATGACCGAACTGGCCCGGGAGCGGGATGAAGCTGTTGAGAACATCACCGATGTCCGTAAAAAACTGGAGCAGGCACAGAAAAGGGTTCGGAGTCGAGAAGATGATACCGAGCGAATGCAGGCGCTATGGGACCGCGAGCGTGAATCCTGGACCAGCGAGCGGCGGAATTGGGAGCGCAAGGTTCATGTGGTGGAAGGTCGGTTGAAGACCGTCTTGAACGAAGTCGCAGCGGCCCAGGAAAATGGCACGCTGGCAAAGGAAATGTCCAAAGACAGAACCAAGGAGAGCGACACGGCCAGTGTAATATCCAGCAGTCCAGGACATCGCCGCACGAGCGTTACGAGCATGACGTCTGATGAGGGCGACTCCAATGTCCACAATGTCCGGTATTCGGTGATGAGCATTGCCACTGGTGCTAAGGGTGATTCGGGCCTGAATCTAGCAGAGGAATTGGCCTTTGACGAAGAGGATGAGTTCGCAGACTCCGACGACGACGACGACGACGACGCGCCTGACTCGCCTGAGGCTCTTCCCGAGGAACGACCGGTTTCGAGTCAGTCGCATGCATCCCACACAGCCGTGGCTTCCAAGGCAAGGAAACTGCTGGGTCTTGCTATCCAAAGCGCCGATTCGAGTCATGCGACAGATTACCGTGCCTACGAGCCAAGCAGCCAAACAAAAGCTGCCCGGCCAGCTGTGGAATACTGCGATTCAGGCAATCAATACTCTCCTCCTTCATCTCCCAAGCTATCTCCTGTGATTGAGAGCCCGGTGGGCGAAACTGCCACTGTGTCTGTGGAAACGCAAACTGATCTGGCCCATGAAGTTGACCGCAGTGACAACGAGGCACCTCAAATGAAAAACAGTTCAACGCTAACTATTGCAAATGAGATGGTCTCTGTGTCATGCCAGACGGTTGGGGACCTACCTAGCCCTCCATGGACACCCAAACTGATCGAGCCACCATCACAGCCCGCGGAGGCTGTGTCAGAGTCAGCTCCAATGGTAACGGCCTCCACGCAGACCGATCCGACCCCGGTGGTGAAAGTCGACAATTTGGAGGAGCAGCGGTCTACTCTGTCCCCAAATGACATCCCATCGTCTGATACGGAGGTCCCCATGATTGCCATTCATCCTCCTGGCTCAGAACCGCCATCCCCTCGCAACAGCGTGGTTCTACCGCCGCAAACCAAAAGCATATCATGCCAAACCAACTTCCGGTCTATCGTTGAAGGCCGCTCGATTGGAATCCAAACAGAGGAAATCCGCATTGATCAACGCCCAGTCAAACTTCCCGCCAGTCTGCTTCCGTCCGCCATTCCCGATGTACCGCCTCGTTCTGAATTACGGGATTCGGGTATTCAGCCCTATCGAGCGCCTCCGCCCCGGCCAGTCAAGGGGACATCGACTGACCATCTCGCGAAACCATCTCGAGCACCTTCATCGGAGCACGTGCAAGCTTATCCAGGTAATAATGATAATGGCCCTCTCTCTGACGATCTGGTATCTGGACTTCGTCGACCATTCCGTTCCAGCAGCCTCTTTGCTGGCTTCAGCGACGATGAAGTAGACCCAGAAGACCGCGATGTCTTTACCGACGATGACCTTCTCAATCGCCCGTTTGCTTCCTATACCCTTCGACGGGGCAAGTTGGCTTCAAAGTCAAGGCCCAGTTTGGACGAGACGACTCTCCCTGAAATCGATGAGCAGTTGTCAGACCCTGAATCGAGACCATCGGATACCGGCCCCAATTCATCGCGCGGCGCCCAACGACCCGGTATGGCTGTCCCTAACAACCGACAGTCCGGCATGCGGAAGATGGCCATGATCTCTAACGGCGCGGCCATACACCAAAAGTCCCGCGCGCGCAGCCCTAGTTTGCCTAGTCTCGATAGTGGCAGCGCAGGCTCCAGCATCGCACCACCCTTCCCAGTCCCTATCCGCCTCAGCTCGCGTAAGATTCCACTGAATGGCAGCGATGGGCCCCCGAGCCCGACTCGCTCGACTGGCCGACAATTCTCAGACCGTGGCCATCCGTCACTCGTTCGACGACCAACCCTACGACGAGTCCGGTCCGCGGCAGCCATGTCGCAGACCGACCCTACCGAGGTTCCAGAAACTGTCTCAACATCCACGCGATCAATATCTCCTTTCACGCCAGATACCCCTACGTTTCAACACCCGCCCCTGCCATCAGACGATATCACGATGCCGCGAGATCGGCGCGTGGCACCGAAACGGGCATCGCACCGCCCAACCGCATCCCGCAACTGGAGTCAGAGTCATGAGCGACAAGACTCTACCGGAGGCGTGCAGCCCACCAGTGTCGTTGATGCAATCGCGCAGACCATGGTCGGCGAGTGGATGTTCAAGTACGTCCGGCGACGAAAGTCTTTCGGAATGGGCGAGGCCAAGGATAGCTGGGAAGGACGCAACCCGGATGAGGTGTCTGCCAACATCACCAACAGCGGCGTGCGGCATAAGCGCTGGGTATGGCTGGCTCCGTACGAGGGCTCGATTATGTGGAGCAGCAAGCAGCCAACGAGCGGGCCTGCCTTGTTGGGCAAGAGTGGTCGGAAATGTGAGGATCTCCTCATTATTATCAATGTACATTGCTAATATTTCCCGTCTTCAGTCACTATTCAGTCGGTTCTGGATGTCAAGGACGACAACTTACTGCCCAAGGGCTCCAACCCACCAACCGCGTTCAACCGCTCCATTCTGGTTCTAACGCCTCAGCGAGCCCTAAAGTTCACAGCACTCACCATGGAACGGCACTACGTCTGGTTGACGGCGCTTTCCTTCCTCAGCCATTCCGCAATGGGCTTGCACGATCTGGCAGCACTGCCACCACTTCCTCAAGAAGAAGTCGGATCACCCGTGCCGCCACAGGCCGCACTGCGACGCAATCCTATCCGTGACTCTATCCGGGTAGCCAAGGGTCGTCCACGCCCAATGCCCAAGGGCAAGCGATCCTTCGGTAGTGCAACAGCACCAGCACCCGACATGCCGTCCAATGGCCTAGATACCATCAACTCGATGATGATGGCCGCTGACGCACCGCATGTGCCTCGTTTCTCAACACACAACAGCCACACCCGCAAGCGCAGTAATACCGCGCCGCGTGCGCCGGCAATGCACGCTATCCGCAGCTTCTCTAGCAAGGACACGATGCCCTCCTGCCACAGTGGAACCACTGCCAACTCATCCGAGGCTTATTTCCCATCCATCCCACCTCCGAGTCTACCACCGGGTCTAGGCAGCGGCCGGAGCAGCTTCAGCCGCACCTCCGAAGCCAGCGGCCGTGCCTCCAGCACCCACACCGGCGCCACGTTTGATGTTGGCACCATTCGCATGGAGGCATTCATCGATCGTCACGCGGAGCAGATCAATAAACCGCGTCCGGTACCGCAGAACCGGTCGCGTCATGTGCGCAAGTCTTCCAGTCAGTGGAGCGAGCAACGCCGGCATGAGTTTGATCTCCCATCGTTTGATGAGTCTGAGCTGGGGTTCCGGCCAGAGGACCCGTTCCGAGGATTCTAGTCTCTGTCACACTCTCTTCCCCTTCCACTTCTCTATCCACTTCTCCTTCAACTTCTCCTTGCATGTCTTCTCCTCTGTACAGTCTTTGTCTATATTATACTTTCTCCTTTACTGACCTATTCCCTACTTGCATACGGTGCATATCTTTTGTTATGATGCGGCGTGTGCATCTTTGTGTTGATACCCTTGCTACTTGGCGATTCCTTGTCACTACCACTCTGGTCGATTCAGGGCGTTGCAGGAAAGGGGGCTGAATTGGGGTTGTTGATAGTGTATAATTCGTGATACTATTGTTATGGTCATTTGTTGTAGTGGTAGTCGAGGTCATTCAAGATCCCCTCTATACAGCTACATGGATACTTCAAATGTGCGAAAAAAATGAAGTATAGACGTATATCGATACGGTACCCACTATATACAGTGTCCTCACGGAAATTTCCGTCCAAGAGTGGGCGGATGCAATGCACGCTTCCCATCTCATTCAAGCCCCTCGTACGCAAGAGTTATGGGCACGGCCTCACAGCTTGGCCGCCTCCTTGACCTCCCCGATCTTCAGCTTGGGCGCATACTTCTTTAGCACGGACTCGTTGTGGTACTGCCATTGGCCATGACCATTAAAATCCACTCGCAGACCGATCACTCAGAGGGAAAAAGGGGAATCACTCACCTTCCAAAACTGCTTCGAGGCATCCTTGCCCGCCACGCGCTTGAGGATCTTGGCACCGCCGGGGTGCTCGTTGATGAACTCGGTCACGTCGTAGACACTGCTGTCGACGATGATGTAGAGGCCATTGTCGGCGTTGTTGTGGGAGGCGACGTCGGCGGGGGTGAAGGACTTGGACATTGTGAGAGATTGATAGATGTGATGGATGGGACGACAGAAGGTAAGGATTGCGAGGGGAGAAAAGGAAGACAAGAAAGAAAGGTGACGTGAATCAGAAGAAGAATAATTCCGATCGGAAATCAAGAACAGAGTCCGGGGGGTTCGGGGAGTCTGGGGCAGCCGAGGTTGAAATGAGGGACCGCGGGATTGCAATCGGGGGTTTGTGATTGGACCTGAGGCTGGGCCGGATGACTAACTTCCCAATTGTCACTTGATGTAACTATAACTAAGTGTATAACTCGTGAACCATTCCATGTTATGTGCTGACAACAACAAAATCTACATTCGGCTCTTCTCTCCACTCGCCCCGGTCCCCTTGGGTGTCTTTCGATCCAGTCCCAGGGACTCCAGATCCTTCTTCTTGTAGTAATGCGGCGCCACTTCCACCAACCACTCGGCCTGCAGCGGCAGGTTGCTGCGCATGTACTCCTTGCTGGTGAGCACCAGCTCGAAGTAAATCACCCACCGCGGGTTGACTTCGAATAACGTGCTGGACGGGTGCAGGTACACCGTCTGCCCGTTCTTGATCGTCCGGTAGCTATCGCCTCCGCGTTGCAGTCGTGCCGCGTTGGGGAAGAACCCGGACGTGATGGCCTTTTGGATCGGGATCAGGTTGGTGGAGCCGCAGCTGCTGACACTGACCTCCACGCGGTCGCACAGTTTGGCCAGTTGGTCGCGCACATCGCGTGCCCGTGTCAGGCTGCGCTGCTGGAGGAAATTCTCCCGCGCCCACACGAAGCTGAAGTCTGAATCCACCCATTGGTTCCAGATATTGAGCAGCGTCAGGTGGTCGCCGCCGTCCTTGATGGTGAACCGGTTGCGCGCACTGTCTGCATGGATCTTCTTGTCTTTGGGCCGGAAAAACAACGCGCTAGCCTCTCCCAGCATCGACACGATCGACAGGACCTCTTCCACGCAGCCGTACTTGTCTGCCGCTAGGATCGCCTTGGCCAGCATTGGGTCGGTCGGGAACTCTGCCATCTGACGACCGACCTTGGTCAGCTCGCCGCGGTCATTCAACGCCCCGAGAGCGTACAGCTGCTCCAGCGCCCGAATGATCGTCTCGGCCGGTGGGGGGTCCATGAAATCAAAGTCGAGCAACTGGTCGATGCCCAGCGATTTCAACATGAGAATAACACCGTTCAGGTTCGTGCGCTGGATTTCAGGTGTGGTATTCTCCTCCAACTCGTTGTAGTACGCCCATTTGGTGTAGAGCCGGAAGCATTTGCCCGGTCCAACTCGGCCAGCACGTCCAGCTCGCTGGTTGGCCGATGCTCGGGAACAAGGAGTCACCACCAGGCTTTCCATGCCAGTTCGCGGGTTAAACACATTCTCCTTGACAAACCCAGGGTCGATCACGTAGACAATGCCATCGATCGTCAAACTGGTCTCGGCGATATTGGTAGCCAGCACCACCTTGCGTGCCTTCGGCGGCGTGGGTTCGAAAATCTTGGTCTGGAGCTCCGAAGGCAGATTGGCGTAGATGGGACAGATGATCATCTCCGGTATTTTGCTGCCCAGTTTCCGTGCCGTTTCCTGTAAACTTTGTTCGGCCGCTTCAATCTCCTCTTGGCCGGTCAAGAACACCAGGATATCACCGGAGCCCTGCGTGACATGGATCTGGAACACTGTGGTGATCGCTGCCGCCAAGTAGTTGGCTTCCGGTTGGGAGGTGTAGTGCACATCAACGGGATATCGTCGACCGGGAATGTTGAAGATAGGCGCGTCATCAAAATACTTTTGAAATTTCTGGGCATCCATGGTTGCCGACGAGATTAGCAACTTAAGGTCAGGCCGGGCCTTGGCGATATCCTTAAGGAGACCACACGCAATATCCGTGGGCACTGTCCGTTCATGGGCTTCGTCAATCATCAGAGCCGAATACTGGCTCAGGTCTGGCTCCGTCAACAGCTCTCGCAGCAACATTCCATCCGTCATGTACTTCAGAATAGTCTTGTCGCTGGTGTTATCTTCGAATCGGATGGCATAGCCGACTTCATTGCCAATCTTAACGCCCATCTCCTCCGCCACACGTGCAGCGACACTCATGGCTGCGACTCGCCGCGGCTGTGTGCACCCAATCTTCAGGTTACCCTTGGTATATCCAGCCTCATGGAGATACTGCGGGATCTGAGTCGTCTTTCCAGAGCCCGTTTCACCAACGATGATCAAAACTTGGTGATCGTGCACGGCCTGGATGATCTGATCGCGGAACTGGTAGATCGGAAGACTCTTACGTGTCTCTTCCATCGATGCGGCCTTCTTCTCCGCGGCATCCAGCTGCTCTTTGAGATTCCGCTGCTCCGCCGTCATTAGCTTCTGAGTGCCTTCAAGTTTGGTATCCATGACAAAGTTGATCTTTTGTGAATCATCGAACACATATTCGTAGTCTCCTTCGTCGACAAACTCGGTCTTCTTAATTTGGGCTTTGGCCTTGGCTGACTGCTCCAATTCCCACTCTTCGTGCTCGGTCACAAATCGCTCCTGGCCCATATCATCGCGATCTACGTAGCGCTTGTACAGGGCCTCCTCTTTCTTTTTCCGATCGATCTTGCCCTTCTCCGTGATGTAATCTTCCGGCATCATATAGCCATCGCGGTGGTCATCGATCCGTAGTCGCTCTTCTGCAATGCGCAGGACTTCCCGATTTCGAGCAAACTCCTCTTTTTCTCGGCGAGTCAGATTCGGGTTTTCGCGCAGCTCAGCAGCTTCTTCGGCTACCTGCTGCCGAAGGAGTGCCAAGCGTTCAGTCTCTCGCTTCTTCAGATACTCCTGTCGAGATCGCAGTCGCAGATCAGGCATCATCTGGGCTCGAGCATCGGCGTCGTCGGCCAACGCGCGGCGCCGTGCAGCTTCTCCATCTCGTGTCCGGTCCTCGACGATTTTCTTGGATTTTTTGTCATCTTTGTTGGCCAATCGTTTCGCAAACTCGTCTCTCTCGCGGAGGTCGCGTTGGCGCTCTATTTCTTCCTTGGTCTGTGGATCGAGGTCTTCGGCGGGCGACGATGACCGAGGGGAGGCGGATCCGTTTTCGAGTCTTGTTCGTTTGGAGGGCGACTCTGCGAACTCGTCGGCGTGCGGCTCGTCTTCTGGAATTTCTTCGTCGCCCCAGCGATCTTCAAAGTCAGAGTCCCTCTTTCGCAGTTTTTTGGTGCGCGGGTGATCCCGAGTCTCGGCGTCGCGACTGCGATCTCTCTTTCGGCGTTCGTCCTTCTCCGAGCGACTGTCATCGCGTCTCCCGCTGTGCCGGTCTTTATCACCATCCCTGCCTTTGTCCTTTCGCCTCCTTCTGTCCCGGTCCGCCTCGACGTTCATCGGCCCTAGAGAGGTGCCAGGGTCTGGCAAGTCGTCGCCCATGTCCACCAGGCGATACTTCTTCTTCGTAGATTCGGATTTTCCCGGTGCGCCTGGAGTGGCGGACGCACTGGGTTTTGCGCCCTTGCCCAGCCGCGCAAACAGCTCCCCGCTGAATACGCCGATATCGTAGGAGCTGCCATCGAGCAAGGACTCGAGTTCGGTTTTCAGGGACGAGGCAGACTTGGCGGAGTTCGCTTTGGCGAGAACAAAATCGATGATGATGGGATCTGACGCGCCGGTCAGGCGGATGAGGGTGTCGGACACGAAAGTCTTGTTGTCCATCTTGCGGGACTTTCTCGGCGACGAATGGTTCAAGGGGGCTCAGAAACAACGGCGCATGTTGTTTCGCGGTTTGGAGGTAATGTAGTGTAGTGTAATGGCAGCGAAAAGCTGGTAGGGATCACCTTGAGGGTACAAAAGGAAGAGAGTAAGTGAGTGAAGAAGTCGGAGGTGCAAAATGCCAAGGCGGAGTGGCGATCCCCAACATTTATATATTGTTAGGGCTACGTTGAATAATCTCAGCAATAGCTTTACTTTTTTTGGTCTCTACTTCAATTTCCACTCATTATCAAATGTTTGCATTGAACACATTGCGATGCACATACGGAAAAAACGTGTTCATCCAAAGGGGCTGAGGTCAAAACAGATCAACCCATCACAACCCAAGAAAGTCGGTACGAATGAGACACTAAGACCGATGCCAGGAACACAACGCCATAGCTACCGAGGCTTATGGATCGCCATATATATGCCAACTACCAGGCACACCGATAGCCGATCTCCTCATTGACAGGAAGGAATATACAAGAGAAACCTCCAGGCAGGGGCATCAGACCCTGTGGTCAGGGGACGTTGGTACATTGTGTGACAGCTCTCATAATGCTAGACAATCGTACAAAGGAAAAAAAAAACATACACACACCCCCACAAAAACGAATGGAGAACTCCATGTTCAACTCCAAGGGAAACGCTTGTTGCAGCCGGACAAAGTCCACCGGATCATGATGTGGACAGGCAAGGAAAGGGAAACAAATCCAGCAGCGAACATGAATAAAAAGCCAGGAGACTGGCAACAACGATGGTAAGGCCATCTCGGGTTCGACTCAAAGAAGCCTGTAGCAACAAAGGGGAATCGTGAGGTAAAAAAAGGCATGGCGTGAGAGATAGGACAAAGCCGGAGTCTGATCGAACGCCCGGAAGAGATGACAAAGGAGAAGTACAACGCACAGAACACCCTCCATATGCACAACGAGTCAAAAAGAAGAGATAAATTACACATCGATCATTTCGGCGTCTTCGGCCAAGATCTCATCCGCGGGCCCCCAGTTGCCCTCAAAAACGGTGGCTCCGGCCCGGCGACGCTGATTCACAAACTGCAGTCCATATGTTTCCAGGGTCTGGTCGGCTGTCGGTCGATCCTGCGGCTCGGGGGAGATCATCCATCGGACTATCCTGTCCAACGCTTGCGCATGGTGAGAATCAACCATGAAGTCCGGTGGGTTGATAAGCTCGCCGCTTCGAGCCAGTCGAGGCTGTTTCGGTTCGGTCAATTTGCGACAGGTCAAATAGTCTCCACCAAAATCGTCATCGCCCAGGTCCGAAGCACACAGCTCCTCAAACGAGGACTCTTCCGAGACAGGGTTGCCCGAGGCGTCTCGGAAAATGCTGGTTTCCGAGCTCCAGGTCAAGCTGGGCACGTCGCTCATGTCGCCATTCCGAAGCTTCTGCCAGGACAGACCATTATCCGGCAGTTCAACGTTTCCAGCAATTTCGAATATGATCAAACCGAGAGAGAAAATATCAGCCGGCTTGTCAAAACGGCCCATGAGAATCTCCGGCCCAATGTATTCTCGGTCGCCTTCGCCTTCAATGCCATCTTCAGCAGGCCAGCGAGTAGCCATACCGAAATCACCAATCTTCAAGACACCTTCAAAAGTAACAAGAATATTGGCTGGTTTGAGGTCCAGATGGATGAATCCTTGGTCGTGAATGTGTTTCAGTCCCTGTAGAATGATTAGCATGGGTTGTGGAAAAATCAAAAAAGCAGATAACGTACCAAGGTCAGCTCGAGCAAGATCTTCCAGATCCGGAAATCATCCAGTCGGGCCTTGAGGCCAACCTGGGCGAGGAAAACATCCAAGCTGCCCTCCTCACAAAACTCGGTTTGAATGTATAGGTGGCCACCGGCCTCCCAGCTGTCCATGAATGAGACAATGTGGTCCGTGTGGATCAAAGTCTTCAACACATCCACTTCCCGAATGCGACGTTCGCGATCCTTTAGGCCGGAATAAGGCTGTTTGCTCTTTTTGACAGCCCAGACTTGATGCGGTAGAGCGGTAGGAGACTTGGGCTCACTTGAAGGAAGAGAGAAGACAGACGGTAGGGTCTGGTTGTGTGATTGAGACACGCGATAGACCTGGGAGAACTCTCCAGTTCCGATCAATTCAACCTTCTCAAACCGCGACGTTAAGCTCGGGTCCACATCAGGGATATGATAGCCGCTCATTTGAAGACTAGGTAGTTTGTTGGACGAAGAGAAGGAGTCGCGTGGCCCAGTCGGGGTGGCAGGAAAATTGGTGTTGTCGAAGTCAGGTTGCATAGAGTGATGTTGCTCATTTGGAACCGAGATCGACAACCCGCTTGGGTCGGGAGGAAAGAATTGATCACGAGGAGTCCGGGGTGACACCTGGAGGAACTTGTCCCGCAACGGACTCGCCTTCGTCTCCGACAGTCGTTCAAGAGAAGCGATTTGAGAAGTCGGAGGGGGATAGGTCCGAGAGGGTAGGAATGTCTGCTTCGTAGGAGTTGGGGGGAAATCGGTTTCTGTGAATGGTTGGTTGTCATTCCCGGAGGACGGAGACTGAGCTTGTGACAACTCGTCGCCGTCAACGCTCACAAAACTGCTACGGCGTGAAGCCTCAGGCCGACTGAAGGTGTTGCCAAAAATGCCCATACCTCGAGCGAAAGGCCCCGGTTTGGGACGTGCCGTTGTGGGAGGGTTGAATGGGGATGAGGGCACAGCATCAGAGTGCCGAAGGAGCCGGGACTTATCAAAGAGTCGCTCCGGGGGAGGGTTTGGTCCCGCAGCAAAGAGGTTGACGGGACGCTTGCATGGAGTATCAGGCATGTTCTTATTGAAGCCACCACCTTGAGGCTCTTCGGCATTGCGGTTCTTCTTTGAGATAAGTCCAGTCGACATGAATGCCGCCGGCAATGGCTTCACCAGCTTGTAGTTTTCTGGCGTCGCAAATGACTCCGCAGAGGAGGTCGATTCCTCTCGAGTTACTCGGCGGACAGGAGCAGGCCGAGTGGCACCAGCTGGGAGAGATTTGGAGAAATTGAAGATCTGCTGTGGGCGCTCGAATTTGTGCATCGGTTCATGGGTAGGCGAGTCATCGAGGCTTGACCCCGAAGAGGACTGGGTGATGGTCCGGGACAGAGGATGGGCGGCGGGACGAGTGGGTTGCGGTGCCGGGGCAGTTGGATTGGCAGAAAACAGAGGGCTGGCTGGGACAGGCCGGGGTGAGAACAAGTTCTCTTGACCGGCCTGAAACAGGCTGCTGTCAAATGACATACGCGGCCGGACTGTCAACGGAGTACCCGGTTGAGATGCCTCCGGAGAGTCTCCCGGCTGCTTGGGTCGACCAAAGAGCGACCGCTCACCCTGACGTTGCTGTAGAGTAGACCGCCGAAGAGATGAAGAGCGCTTTGGAATGGTAGCAAATGGACTGAACGGTTGGACGGGAGTGGGGAAGGATGGGATATCATCTCCTGATGGAAATGCCCCCGAAGCCTTTTCGTTGTCATGGTCGAAAATACTAAAGTCCGTCGAGATGTTTGGTATGTGTACACTGCGCCGCTTCGCCGAAGGACTGCCCCGAGAAGCTTGGTCCAAGTTCATGATGCCGTCGCTGCGCTTCAAGGGACTACCGGTGGCATACGCTCCGAACGTACCACTCCGTCGCTTCTCAATGCGCGACATCGTTGATCGAGATGCAGAGCCCGGCTCAAGCGGGAGAGCAGATGGAGAGTTGTGCGCACAGGGGCTTTCAGGAGTGGTGCTGTCTGGCACAAGCAGGTCTTCGACAGACAAAAGATTTTCTTCGCCCGGTAGTAATGAGACAGACTGGCTCGGTGTCGCGTTGCCACCGTCTGTCGAGACATTGAGGGCACGTCTAGCCGGACTCCGGGGCGATGTCCGTCGACGCATCGCCGGTCTGCAGATCTTCGCGCTTGGGGGATAAGGCACAGCGAGAGGCGATTGATGAGCGGAGGTTGGGAAGAGAACAAAGTTGTTCTGCGTGGACCGCCGTGAAGGCGACAGTGGCGATGAGACGTATGGCGCAGACTTGGAGGGAGACTGGGTGCGCGAATTGAGGAAGAAGTTAGAGCTCTTTGAGGGTGAGCGCGACAAGGACCGTCGTAGCTGTCGGATGGCCGAGCTGGCGTCAACGTGATGGATGCCCGAGTGCGATGGCAGATGGAGCGTGCCGCCCGAGTCCCGGTGCGGCGAGAAGGTTGCAACCATGATCAGGGGAATGCGTCCACAATGTGCCGCGCAACACGAAGAGAATGAGAGCTGATCGGGTGAAAACGAGGTTTCCACACGCCAGTTTAGCGCGCGATGAGATGGTAAATGTAATGCGTTGGAAGGTCTGAATATCTAGCAGGCTCCGTTGGTGTTGTGACAACAGGGCCTCAGCCACGATCACGGACTGAGCGAGCGATTTTGACGCGCCGGCGTGATCAACAACGCGGCCTTGGGGGGAGGTGGCGGTTCGTAGATGAGTCAAGAAGAATGCTGGATCGACCAGTCAGGACAGACACGCAGGAACCTCTGGAATGCTGAGCAAGGCGCAGCCGTGGTGGCGGTCGAGTCGAGGGGTGGGGGAGGGAAGTATCGGGATCACAATATGGGCAGTCATCCACTCATTGCGCAGGCGAGGAATCCGCAATTAATGCTCCTCTCCATTCAATCACGCGGCAAAACCCTGCTCTATGCGCGTGTGCAGCGAAGGTGTTTCGGTTGTTTTGCTACTTGCTCGAGGGCGCGCGCAGGTCGGGCGGGAATGTTTCAGATAAACACACCGACATGCGGCAGGCGCGAGGCGGCCGACGATGATGTCGATAACAACCGGCAGGGGCGAAACACAGAGTCGTTGGGGATGGATTCCTTTACCCAGACTGTTTCAAGGAAGCACGGAAGCGTAAGGGGCGGGCCCCCTCCCACACAGCTGTTGAGGTTGGCCCACGAGGACGAGAGAGCGATTGAGGGGGGTGGGCTGAGGAATGTGGGCTATGCTGGGTGGGTGTCGCGGATTGTGAGAGTCGGATGAGGGCGATGGAGGGTGAGTGAGGTATGTCTGGAGGCGGATGATATTGGGGGGGTGGAGAGGGGCGGGTCAAAAGAGTGAGGAAAGAAAGAATGGAGGAAAGAGAGATGAAAGTTGATAATATGATGGATCATGACGCGCCCCAGTCGCGTTGTTGCTTGTCCAGATCGGGCTTAGTGTGGCGGGCCGACGCGTGACCATAAACAAATAGTAGTTCTTATGTCAGCCAGATCTATAGTTAACTTTAGTTAACTAGTTAGTTAGTTAACGGTAACTTGGTTAAGTAACTAGTTAACTAAACGAACGAACAAACGAACAGACTGTAACTATTGTTTACTCTGTTGACTCATTCCTCTGCAGATGATGCTCGCTACTTACGCACAATGCAGCTTGCCCTGCCAGGGCTGAAGCGAATTCGAGTACGTGAACAGCTGGCCCCAGCGCAGCGATCTGGACGCCATCGGGCTGCCTACACACAGCAACGGGCGACCTCATTCGACAGAAAAAGGCACCGAAGAGTATGTACAGATGCACCTGGCCCTGGGGCCCACAGCCATTTGTTCAGAGCATTGTTTCGGAGTTCAATGGACCAGCCGCCACGCGAATTCCCCTTGCTTCGACGGCTGCCATCCATGAGTCCTCACGCGCACTCGCACTGCCACTAGATTCCTCGTCAATATGATGCGTCGTCATGCTAATTTTGGACAGTTGGCAGAAAAAAGGGCCCCGCGGGGGCCGTGAGGCGAGTGGCAAGGGGCCAGAGCCCAGAGATTGCGTAGATGGCCGGATGTGCCCTAGAATAACAACAAACAACCACAAGAGACGGAAAGTACTAAACAAAATAATACATAGCGATATTGAATATGACCTACATTTCTCGTAACAGCATTCGATTTGACACTGAGAACTACAAGACCTGAGGCACAGTATCATGGGTGATCGTCCCTTCCAAGGATGGCAGCCACCCCCTCCGCTTTTGACAAAAAAATTCCTGAAGAGGCGTCCACTCGCTTTTAGAAGGCTCTAGATCCATTGTGCCCGAAGTTATGGCCACTGCATTTTCGCCTTCGGGGATTCCTTGACTGGTGGTGAACAAAGGCGAACCACAGTTGGAACAGAAAGACCGGGAGAGAACTCTGCCTGATTCCTGGTTCTTGTCCTCGTAGACTTTGAGAACATCTTCTCCAGCGATAATACGTAGTTGCTATAGACAAGTCAGTATGGAGTGGTATCGATAGAAATGCCTAGAAGCTTACTTCTTTGCTGTAGAAACTGTTTGCCATGAAGCTAGAACCGGTGCATTTGCGACAATTATCACAGTGACACAGAAGAGTGGTTACCGGAGCCCTAGAAACTTCATATCGAATGTGCCCGCAGAGGCAACTTCCAGTGATGACAGATGGCGCCATGACTTTATGATGGGAACGAAAAAGTGATTAATAGCGATAGACGAGAAATTCAGTCAATGTTTCATGAAAGAATGAACTCGTTCATTCGCACAGGATGCCCAGTTGGGCCTCCTACGATATGACTCAGCGTTACTCCAGAAACCTCTGGAAGCTTCAGCTCACATGGACAATAATAACAACTATGCTTTCAAATGAATCTCTACTTACCACTCCGGCAGTATACAGACAGATTACGTAGCCTGACGTGCCCCACCATGGTTTGTTTATTATTGTGTGGCTTGAAGATCGTCCGGGATCTGCGAGTCATATTCCACGCTACAAGTGATGTGTGAGAACAAAAAATGAACATGTCTATTCACCAAAAACGCACAAGAAACAATAAATGCAGGAGAAGATTCAGAGACATCTCATCTAATCTAGGGAGTATTCAAGAACAATGCTACCAAAACAAGCAATCCCAAAGTACGCCGTCGTCTAATGCTTTCTCTGGTCCTCTTCTATCGACATGGCTGGGCCTGGTGTGTCTACCAATGCACTGATCTCTTGTTGGACATCTTCAATTATTCGCTCTGCCGTGGCACGATCCAGTCGACTGTCAGGTCCAAAGAGACCAAAGTCTAGCCGACCATCTCGAACGGCGGCCTCCACGTCGAGAGTAGGCTGTTGAAATTGCATTAGCGTTCATTTAGTAGCGTAAGGCTCATCAGATTACTCACTCGGTAAACATCTTGAATAACCGCCAAAGTGTTGGAATCAAGTCCACTTGTTGGGGTGGGTGGTGTTGCGGCTGCAACGTCACCATTAGTTCGGGCTTGGTGACACACGCCGTGACTTGAATCCCGCAGTCCCTCGAGTTCTTCACGAGAAATAGCTTTGAAAAAAACCTTTGCGCCTTCCTTCGGGTGGCTGCTGGTATCATCCAACTCGGGTAATCGCAGGAAGTTGATGCATGTGTCAATTCGGACGCCTGTCCATTCAGCAATTTCTCCAAGAGAGACAGCAGCATGATCAACCATGCTGATTTCATTGATGTCATTCTGAATTCTCCCAGCTGCAGCAAAGAGGCACTCGTGGTTATCGGTGATCCTGGCATCGAGCCGAAGTGGGACAATGTTGACAGTAGGCGCAACAAGCTCAGACAATCCCTCAGCGGCGTAAGATCGATTGGCAAGATACAACCCAACAATCAAGCTCTGCTGGTCTTTATCATCATGAATGAAGATTCGAGTGTGGATACGAGCGTAAATGGCCAAAAAGATGGATTGTACACTGAGACCATGGCGCTTAGCGGCTATTTCAAGCCTACTTATGTTTGAAACCAGACCTGGGCGGTAGTACTGGTGGATGACGCCAAATTTAGACTTTTGTGGCACGGCGGTCTTGTCGGTTGAGAATTGGCCCAGGTATTCCTGCCAGAATTGCCGCCGAGTATCCACCGGTGAACGGACAAGCTGGAATGCCACAAACTGTGAGATGTCGACGGAGCCACGGTGAGGTTCCTGTTCCTCTCCTCGACTGTAAAGAATCGCAAGTCTACCAATCATGGACGGAAGACTGACAGCATCATAAAGTGCATGGTGAATTTGCAGTACGAGCGCTGTGCCTTGGGATGTATGGCACGCACGTAGTTCAACTGATACTGAGCCCACACCTCGTTGCGTATTGCACGAAATCATATGGCTATGGAATTCCTGGTGCCAGACAACGGGATTCTGTACCGAGTTCAACACGGCTTGGACGTATGGCAGTCGTGGAAAGTCTCTCGTAGGAATGAAGACAGTCCGGAGGATGGGCATCTGGTCTATGAGAGTAACCCATGCTCTTTCTAGCCGCTCTTCGCTCAGCTCTCTCGATGCCAGGTAGTAAAATACCGGATAGAACACTTCCTGGTTTAAGGCGTGCATGGACAGAAAGTATGATTGTCCCGCTGTTGCAGGGAAAGTGTTCTGAACCAGATGCAAATCAATGCCATGTGACTGCGCCAGTGCCTTCACATCTATCCCGCTGAGTGAGCTGCAGAGAGCGCCAGATATCTCTGCCGTCGTGAGCTCCATCTGGGCAACATTTGCTGCTTTGGCCATTTTGTCAATTGTTCCAGCTTTGACAATGTCACTGACAGCAAGCTTGACGGATTGCTTCTTCAGAAGGGCCACAACTTTAATAGCACTGATGCTGTCCAGTCCCAGTTGGAATATAGTTGCGCTCTTGTCAATCGAGACCTCTGGAACTCCAGCGACAGTCGAAAGGACATTGCGGATCCTGGACTCAATGGGAGACCACTCAGTTGAATGCGGTGCCTGGGATTTTGCATCGGCCACATCCATAACTCCAGCTGAGGAGTCCTGGAACACTGGGCCTCTACATATGCTCAAGCCCTCTCTTGTGAAATTGACGGTTTGTTGGTTGGGATCATCCACGATGGACAAAAGTGTATGTGCCATCTGGTCCACCAGCTTCAAAGCATCTTTCTCTCCCAGAACAGTCTCCCGACAAGCCACTCGGCCCACAAGGGTTTCCCCAACGCCTTCAACCTCAGCGCAGACGGGATACTCGATATCGGACGCACCTCCTGTCGAGGTGTACAGCTTCGGTCCTTGAGCAGTACTCTCGATAGGTCTCTTCTGGTAGATAAATAGCGTGTCAAAATATTGGCGTGGCCCTGTTTCCGGTCTTACGCGTCGAAGAGGAAAGTGTTGGTGTTCTGACATCTCCAGAAGGGTGTCTTGCACATATTTCACCAGTTCCAAGCAGGTACCATGGAGAACAACACGCATGGCTACTGTGTTCATTGTAGGGAACATCACATGCTCAGAGCCGGCGACATTTCGGCCAGAAAGAACGAGACCGAAGACGACATCCAGCTTTTTGACATAGCCTGCGAGCACAAGGGACCAGCAACTGACCAAAAGTGCCTGCATAGTGATACCATGACGCCTGCAGAAAGCCTCTGCTTTTCTGAGTGGGACAGAAAGGGATCCCTCAGCACGGTGAACCACATCTTCATCCTTGCCTGCATTCTCACTTCGTGGGAAGGCCACTGGTCTGTAGTTGGACAGCGTTGCTCTCCAAAATCTGGAAGCACGATCACCAGATGAGGATACTATCTGCTCAAGAATGCTATCGATTGATGGGCGGTTGCAACCCTCGCCTGCGTAACATCTGGCAACGTCCTCATGGAGCAAGTTGATTGACCAGCCATCGTAGAGAGCATGTGCAATTGATAGAACAAGGTAACGTATATCCCCATCCATAGCCACTGTGATGCTCACGAGTGGGCGACAAGCCAGGTCTGTGGTAGCCCTTGAACGATGTGCCTCTATTATGGTATTCACAGACACGCCACGCAGGTGCACAATTTGGAAGTCGAGATTATCCTCACCGTGGACGATCTGAGCGTACGAAGTGTATATCTCTGGGTCCCAGACTTCGACGAATGAGGTACGAAGTATTGGATGAGCTCTCACAGCAGCTTGCCATGCTTCTTGAAGCCGTGAAAGATCTACATGGGGCTCAAGCTGGAGGATTTCGTGGTTGTAATAGTGCTTGTAGCCAGATGCAACCATTTCTGCAACCATGGCTTCTTGAATCGGGGTAGCAGGAAGAACTCGACGAAAATCCTGAGTTAGCAGCCCTTCTCTTTCCAGGAATCTTGTCAAAGATTTTTCCATCTTGCCCAGCAAAGGATATGTGCCATTCTGCACGCGGCGGTTTGTCTCTGACAGTTGTCCGACCATGGTCTTGACAGTTCGATGGCGCATGATGGTGCTCACCGGAAGCTTGATTCCTGACTTGCTCAATAGTGAAGACAGTTTGATCGCGTCGATGCTATCAAGACCTACTTCGAAGATAGACACGTCCTCGGAGACAGATTGGTGCTCGACCCCAGCCAGAGTTGCAATGGCTTTGCGGATTGTGCAAGCTTGAGGTGTCCATTGAAATACTGGACCATCAACAACAAAACGTTTCACGACCTCACGCGGCTTCTTCAGTTCACCATGTTTTTGAAGGTGATCTTCTTGGTGCACCCCATTGATTTGAGGCAATCGTCGTTTGGGATTGTTGGCGAAGTCGAACAAAAGCCGCTCGAAGCTGCTGAGTACCTGCTGCGCCGCATCTGGTGATAGAACTTGACTCTTTGCGGCAAGCGTTACTGTCAGTGATTCATTTCCATGGCGCGTGATCTCGAAGGCCAGAGGGTATTCGTGCTGAGCCTCCGAGTCGAGCGGGCGCCATAAATGCTCCGTGAACGCTTGGCTATCGTTAGTCTCCCTCTGGAAGACGAAAAGAGAGTCGAAAAGCTTTTCATCGGAATTTTTCCCGAGCCACTTTACAATATCCCTCAGGGGAGTGTGTTGGTACTGAAGCGTGGATACATGGTACTCGTGGCACTTCAGAGCAATGTCGGACCAATATTCCAGACCGCGCAATTGAACATTGCTTGGGATAGTATTGAAGAAAGGTCCGACAACATTGTCAATGCCTGCAACATCAATCACTCTTCCTGACGCAATGATACCGAGTGGTGGTACAAAAGAGTAGTGTTGGTGAAGAGTGAGAAGCCAACAGGCATGAAGAACAGCCTGCTCTGTGACATTGAGCGATTGCCTGAGGCGATCGACATGCTCAGTCGTGTTTATACGCGTCTTGTAAATTGTTGATGCGCTGTTTTCATGATCTGACTCCACCAGAACTCGGTTCTCGCATCCTGCGAGATGTTTTCTCCAGAATGTTTCGGCGGAAGGGTCTCTGCACAAGGGGCCCAAATGCAGCATGTCAAGGAAACTTGGTGGCCGCGCCACAGACTTGGACTGATTCAAATAGTGACGAGCAACAAGGCTGAGGAGAAGACCCATGCTGTTGCCATCGTACAAAGCATGGAAAATATTCAGGCACATAACCCATTTGTCAGAAAAGCCAACAACGCCAACTTCCCAAAGATTTGTCGACAGACCACCGAGGCCCCAAACCCACTGTTGATGTCTCTGTTTCAGAAATCTTTTGATATCTTCCTCTCGTGGCGTGGTGGCATAAAACCATGGGAGACTGTCCTCTTTCAGAATGGCCTGTGCATAGCCGTCAGGGGATGGCGAGAACCGAGCTCGCAGCATCTGAACCTCCTGCTGAGCCTGAGACCATGCTGACTGCAGTCTTTGAAGATCAATCGATTTTTCAAGCTCGAAAGTAAAGGATGAGCAGTACAGAGACGTGTTGCTAGACAAGAAGTGGTAAATGATGCCTTCTTGGAGCGGTGTGCAGGGGGCAATCTTCTCAACTTCATTGTCAAGAACCCCAATACTCTCAAGGACCAGGTGTGTATGCTTGTGGACAAAAGCCTCAATACCCTGTTTGGCTCGCTTGTGGAGACTATCTGGCAAACCGGATGGTGATGTTGACATCTGAAGAGCTGAGGACATGCCTGCAATCGTCGGGTCTTGGGAATAATTAGTCAAGAGGCCACGATTTTCTAATAGAAATTTAAACTTACGCTTCATGATCAATGAAGGCTGAGCCTGGGAAAATCCAGTCTCTCTCAGACTCCTGGAAAATGCTATCACCGAGATTGAGTCAAGTCCCAATTCGTAGATACTCGACCACGGAGAAATTGTCAGGTCAGAGGATCCGAGAAGTTCGGACAGGACAGATATTATTTTCTGCTGTTGTGAGTTACTCGTGTCTCGATTAGCACCCAATGCCGTTAGTTTCTGTATGTCCTCCAGAGATAGTTCTTGGTAGATGCTCTTCAGGACCTTCATATCTGCTTTGTTGTTTGCAGAAAGAGGGAAGCGAGTCATAGGAATAACATGTGTTGGCACCATGTACCCAGGAAGATGTGTGTGACACGCAGTCTTGATAGCTGATAGCAACGTACCGTCAGCTTCAGAGGGACGAACTTCCACAGCGCGAGAATTCTTCTGGTCTCTAGCTGTTTTGGTGACAAAGGAGACAAGCTGGTCCTTGGAATGCTTAGAATGTTTGATAACCAAAGTGATCACTTCGTTCACCTCGGGGGTCGATTGCTTGATCACTTCGTTGATCTCTCCGATTTCAAGCCGCTGCCCGCGGAGTTTGACTTGATCATCGATGCGACCTAGAAACTGAAAGCTGCCATCATACAAGATCCTAACCAGATCGCCGGTGCGATATATGCGATCTTGAAGTTCAGGCACAACCTGAAACCGGTCCATAGTCAACTCTGCCCTGTTCAAATAGCCTTTTCCGACCAGAGGTCCAGATACACATAGTTCTCCAATGCCGCCACGCACAACGGGTGTTGTCGTATTTGGACAGAAGACATATGATCCTACGTTGTCAAACTGTGGTCCGATGTTTGAAGCTTTGTCGTTGGCAGACATTCTGGGGAGCATGGTGCATCCAATAGTCACTTCTGTCGGTCCATAACCATTGTATATAACTCCGTATTTCCCCCATGCATCGAGAATTTCTTGTTTCAGTTGCTCACCACCAGTGATGAATACTCCTCGACAAAGTGAAGGAACCTCGGCCGGATGAACCAGTCTTGCTAGGCTGGGGGTGAGGTCAATGTGTGTGATTTGAAGCTTTTGTATTGTGCCCGGCAGGTCCTCGAACAGAAGATCCCGAGGACATGATGTGACGCAAATCCCAACGCTCCAGCTCCAATATTGCTCGAGGACACTGACGTCAAAGTGAAAGGACGCAAACTGCAGCCACCGAGAGTGGTCATCCCAGTGTGGTGAGAAAAGTCTTTGGAAAGCCAACATTGCCTGCACGGTGTTGTCATGGGTGATCTCACAGCCCTTGGGTGTTCCGGTCGTGCCAGATGTATACAGGCAATAGCATGTATCATCTGGCTGAATTTCTCGAGACAAAAGAGGTTGTGCTGAAGGAAACCCATCAAGTAGACCCGGTTCATCGAGGAACTGAATATCAACATCAGATAGACCCCCCAGTTCTGTCCGCTTGGATAAATTGCAAAGCAGAAGCGTCGAGCCCGAATCTTCCAGGATAAATTGCTTTCGAGAGACTGGTGCTGTTGGGTCAATGGCCACATAAGCGCAACCAGATTTCAAAATACCCAATATTGCCATCGACGCCTCGGGACATTTGTCGAAGCATATCGCGATCATGCTTCCAGGAGTAGCTCCCTTTACCTGAAGGAACCGAGCAACTCGATTGCCACTATCATTCAATTCGCTGTAAGACCATGTCCTCTTTTGTAAGGTATCTCCCGCGAACCCCGATACAAATTCGAATGCAGTCCTTTCTGGAATTTTCTCGGCGTTCTTTTCAACAAACTGATGCAATAAAGAGACTGGGGATTCTATCCTCGGTTCCTTCGCAGACGTGATTGAAAGCAGCCCGCGACCAATAGACGAGTAATCGCCACAATCAGAATCTGGCAAGAAGAGAGTGCTTTCCAGAAGTTTGTCGTACTGATTCAGAATTATCTGTGCCTGTTCTGGGGGAACAATGTCGCTCCTGTAGCTTAACCGGATTTCAAGCTTGGTTGACTGTGGAATCAACTCGATGGAAACAGGATACTAGAAATAGACATTAGCTGTATCTCATAGACTGGGAATTTGAGAATGCATACATCGATCTTTGTCGCTACATCGACGACCTCCCATGCCTCGGGTCGTTCTGTGACCGATGCAAATTTCTGATAAACGAAGAGGGAATCAAACAGAGGCTCATCAACCCCCAGCCATCGTTGAATCTCTGACAATGGGGTAAACTGATTCTTCACCAAGGATACATTCCTCTTCAGTGTCCGGTCCAACAATTCACGGTTGGTGCCTTCAACGTGTACAGGCATTGGCACCGTAACCAGACACGGAAAAACGGCTTCCCAGGAAGCAGCTGACAAGTTTCGACCAGAGAGCACAGTTCCAAATACAGCGTTTGGCTCGCCGGTATAAGCAGCAAGAAGTCGGGCCCATGCGGCCTGTCCAGCTGCTTGTAGCGTGACACCAAGTTTTCGACAGACATCATCGAGTGCCTTCTGAGACAGTGAACATTGAATCGAATTTTCGAGGATGTTTCTGTTTTCGACACGCATCGGGTGCAGGTCGGGAAATTTGCAGGGCAGCACTTCTGAGGCCAAAGATTGCCAGAACTCTTGTGTAGTTTCGCTCTGTTTCCGGCTCTCGACCAAGATGGGACCAAGTGTTTCGGTGATGGAAAGAGGTGCCGACAAATCATTTCCTTCGTACATTGTTGCAACATCTGCAAAGATTGATGTCAAGGACTGTGCATCGTAGATGGCGTGGAGAGCGGAGAAATGCATGGTTGTAATTGTGTCAGAGCACTCGACGGCAATGCTCCACGGTGGTTGGTGGAGGTTCTTGAGGACCTCATTCTCGGTCAAGTGCGCATCATCATGCAATGTTTCATGCCATGGGATACCTATGCTCTGATGGTAGGTGATCATAGCAAACGGGTACTGTTGATCTCGCAGTTGAACAAAGCCAGTTCGGAGCATCTCGTGCCGAGCGGTTGCCTGAGACCAAGCTTTCTTGAGTAATGATCTATCAAGAGGCCGCGAAGACTTCAGAGTCATTCGATTGAAGTACATGTCGCCATTAGAATTGTTGAACATCGCTAACATGCCATTCTGCACTGGCGTGCAGGGACGCAGAGACTGTACCCTGTGTTGAGGAATATGAAGCTGCTCGCAAACAGTGTGCAGATATTGAGTTTCGAAGTTCAAAAAATCAAATTGATCGTCTTTGGTGCTCTTCTCGGTAGGATTTAGCAACGAGGCGATGCGTTCAATGGAAGCACTCTATACCTCTTCAGTTAGAAATTCCTTGATAACAATCTCTCAGCCACATACCTCGAGAAGCTCACCAGCGGAGATTCTGTAACCCATTCTACGCAATATCGCAGTTATCTGAACAGCATTGATGCTATCCAAGCCAAGCTGAAAGATGGTCGTTTCTTGCGTTATGCCATCGTTGTCAAATTCAGAAAATTTGCAAAGGATGTCTCGTACCGCTTCCTCCTGGTAGGACCACTGGCGGGGTACACGAGGTGTGGTTGAAGTAAACTCGATGAACTTATTTGACTGGGCTGTACTGTGTGCAAACAGCTGGGGAATTTCTGTGTTCAGGAATTGCTTGTCTGAAACTTGAGCAGAAGGATACCGTGTTGTGTGGTTAATGAGGGCCACAAAGTCCTCGGCAACCTGTGTTGCTGAGTTGTGTGAAATATGGGTGGTCTGAAAGTGAAGACAAATGCGAACGCTATTGTCTACATCATCGGGAACAATCTCACAAATCAAAGGAAATCCCATGTTTCCCTCGTCACGAAGCAGCTCCCAAATGTGCGAGTCCAGTTTGGTGCTTCCGTTCTGGAGAATGATCAAGGTATCGAACAGCCGGTTGCCGTTGTCAAGAACTCGTCGTTGGATACGACGCAAAGGACTCAGCTGATGAGGCAGGATGTCGTTAATGCTCTTCTGTGATAACTTCATGATGTCTCCATTTGTAGCTGTAGAAGGAAGCTTAATCCGCACCGGTAGTGTATTGAAGCAAGGCCCGATAATTCGATCTGCGCCCTCTAAAGGCACAGTGCGACAGCTGAACACATTTCCAAAGCAGACGTCGGACGAGCCTGCGTACAATGACAGCAATTTGGCCCATGCGCCATGAAACACGTTCAACGGTGTAACGGAGAGGCTCCTGCATGTTTTTTTGAGCGATTCGAGAGATGTGTTCAAAGTCATATGGATTTGCTGAGAGGCTAACTCCTCCCCAAACTCTTGGTCGTTCTGACGCACAGACAGTAATGTTGGAGACAAGCCGGATAAGTACTTGTCCCAGTACTCATCTGATACTCCAGAATCAGCAGATATCATATACTCAACAAAATGGCGAAATGGTGTTCGCGGTGATGGTACTCGACCTGACAGTGAGAGCTGTAGCTCATGCAACAACTGTTTTATGCCTTCTCCGTCATATAGGGCATGGTGAATTGACAAAAGAAGGTATGTCTTTTGCGTTGTTGAGTCAGTGAGTAAGGTCAAGGAGTAAGGCAATTCCCCATCGACAGGAGATCGGCCTTGAATGTCTGCCTTTTGCTTGTCGACCTCTTGATTAAGATCATAAGATGAGGCCTCAACTTCGGACCATGGCAAATTTGCGCTGTCCAGCACAACTTGAGCGTATGCAAACCGCTTATCACTTGTTGGCTTGAAGCAGGTCCGGAATATTTCATGTCTCTGCAGCATCTGGTCCCACGCTGTTCTGAGTCGATGATTGCTTGTGTGAACTCGAATCAAAAGATGGTTGAAGTAGGTTGAGTGATTGTCAGAAGACTCAGCCGCAAGCATAGCTTCCTGTAACGGTGTACAGGGGTAGACGTGCTGTACAGATCTCCCGAGAACATCAAATTCAGACTTAACTCGAAGGATGAAGCTTTCATCAAGCACTGTTACCGACTCATGCAGGGAAGACTTGCGGGGCTGGTGCTTGTTTTGCATTTCAGAAATCACCGCCGCAAGTTGAGCAACAGAGTCGTGGCGCAGTATCGTTGACACGGACAGCCTACTGAAACCTGATTCCCAGAGCTTGCGTGAAAAAGATATGGCCGACAGTGATTCCAATCCTAGACTATAAAATGATGTGGTTCTGCGTATGCTATGCAAATAGGTACCGGTGACTGCTGATAGCGCTGCTGCTATTGTTTTCTCGGTATCAGTGAAAGCATCATCGGTGCCATCGATACCAGCAGTTGATGAAAAGGACTGGAGATCTTCTGGCTTCACCTTTTCAATCTGTTGTTGTAACTTGATATGATCAGTCTTTCTGGAGTCAGTCATGGGTATCTCATCCACTGGAAAGAGAATAGAAGGAATCCTATGCGACGGAAGCTTCATGTTGAGCTCTTTGAATAAACTGTTGATGATTGTTCCAAGTCGCCCTGTGCCGTTGGATTCTTGAACGCTTTGAGAAGGGATCCAAAAAGTGACCACCTGCTGTTGGTCGAAATTCGGACTTTTGAGAATCATGCTCACGGAATCCTTAACTTCTTCCAAAGACAAAAGAGCATTGTCGATCTCACTTAGAGCAACTTGTTGGCCATGATCCTGTCTAGGGGCGAGAACGAGAGATCCATCTGGGAGAAGCCTGCCGAAATCGCCCGTTCTGTATATCTTGCCAAAGTCTGGGTGTTCAATGAATTGGCCCGCCCTGGAACTTTCCGAGTTGGAGAGGCGCTGGCCCTATACAATATATGAGACATGACTCAAGCGTTGTTAATGTTGTTATGCCTTACAACTTGTTCACCACCAATGCACAACTCTCCAACTGCGCCACGAGGAAGTAGCGTCAATGTTTTCCGGTCTGCTACAACCATCACAGATGTGGTCTTGAGTGGCCGGCCAATATTCGAAACCAAGGTCGACGGCTCAATTTTCGGGCAGATGGTGCAGGAGTAAGTCAGTCCACGAGCGCTATAACCTAATTCGATAATAACCACTTAAATCTGAACTAGAGGGAACAGTGGATTAGAGAAGGGCCAATTTCTGAACTTACCTTGACAAAGACCCCTTCCAGCCCAGTCCCGATGGACTTTCGCTGTCAATTCTTCACTAGAAGTGAACAAATACTGCACGCTGGGGACATCTTGTGGTCTTATACGAGAGGCCATTACAGGAGTCAGATGGAGGTGCGTGATACCCAGCTTCTTGATGGCTTGCTGTGTGTTTCTCGTCATGAATTCGTCCGATGTTGAGCATAATGTCATTCCCATATGCCATGCGAAGAAGGTTTCGAAGATGGAGGCTAGTAAACTGTTAAGTCATTTTCGAGAAGGAAGATATGCATAAGAAAAACACTCACCACCAAATACAGGGGAAGTGGCTTGAAGCAATTTCGATCCCTGAAAGCTGGGATATGAATTCTCAAACGCATAAAAGCTGCTTCGCAAATTACGATGAGAAATGGAAAGAAGGGACATTGGATCGTCACTCCTTGATATGGTTTCAATGTAGGCAACATTGAAATCTTCGTTAATCGTGGGTAAGTTTCTGTCAGGGTAACCATCTAGAGGTTCGTCGGCTCGAACTGTTTGCACGGAGTTCTGAGCACCCCAATAATACCCGCGTTCTGTCCGAGAATCAACGATGCAGAATCTGAAGCTGGTCATCCCCAGAATGGCCTGGAGCGCCTGAGATGAAGCTCGAATATCCACTGGCACAACGCCAGCTCCAATTTTGGCAACTGCCAGCAAGGAGATGTACAGATTCGGACACTTTTCAAGAGAGATTGCAATCAAGTCGGTGGAGGTCGCTCCGAGTTGCGACAAATGATGTGCGAGGCGGTTTGCCTTCGTGTTCAATTGACCATAAGTGATGGCTTGAACTTCGAGGTCAACGGATTCCGGCTCTTTAGAAAGCAAATGTTCAATGGCCGGACGAGACGGGTCGACAGAAGAAATGTGTTCAACACTAGATGCAAGTCTTGGAAAGTTGACCATTGTCTCAAAATCTGCATTGTGCATAGACAAAACTGACGGCGGGAAGTGGTTGCAAATATCAGGAATCGGGAGGTCTGGCGAGTCGATAAGCACAGATGCCACACAATCAATCTGTTTCAAGAGGAGTTCCGCCTGTTCACGGGGCAAGATAGATCGTTGGTATGTTGCCTTTGCACAAATGTGATCTTCTCGGGGCTCGAATTCCAGAAGAAGAGCAAACTCCAAGAATTCCGCGGCACCTACTTCTTGGAAGGTGTCTTGATGTTTATCTGCCCAAATACTTTCTTGCCACACGAGAGCACTGTCAAAGAGATTCCTGCTGGGATTTAACCCTGAAGCCTTCTTGATATCTTGGAGAGGGAGGCTACCATGCTCAAGAGACTTGCGGTTCATATTCTGAATTGCCAGCAGAAGATCGGTTATATGCTGCATTTCGTCGAGATTCATGCGTGTTGGCAGGGTCTGGATACAGGGTCCTAGGACTGCCTCTATTCCTTTGATTGGTAATGTTCGGCCTGAAAAGACGGTGCCGAACGCAACATCACCAGTTCCTTGATAAGAGGAGAGTAGATAGCAGAATGCAGCCTGGAAGATAGTCTGTCTACTCACTCGAAGAAGCTGGGAGACTTCATTGAGTTTCGACATGGAGATATCTAATACGCGTGTGGCGTCCTCCGTGCCGGGCAAGACTCCGTCTTTTCCGTAGAAGTTGGGGAAAGATACGGGAGAAAATCCCTGGAGTTGATCGCGCCAGAAGACTGAAGATTCCGTCGCAGATTCACGCATTTTGTATTCGACAAGAAATTCCGTCACGATGTCATAAGTTGGTCGAGAGGGAAGCCCCTCTCCTTTTAGGATACTTTGAAGGTCTTTGAGCATCAATTGCCAGGACCATCCATCATATAGGGCATGGTGGATATGCACGAGCACCCTCAACTTGTCATTCTCTGTCTTGAACTGGACTTTGAAAGGATGTAAAAGATCATGTTCTGCGCCCAAGCTCGCGTCGAAGTCTAGCTCGTCACACGTCTGGAAAAAGTGCTCGTCGAGATTTTTCCAAGTAAAGCGGCCGTAGGAGTGATCTTTCAACCCAATTTCCACAAAGCCAGCCTTCAGGATGTCATTGTGCTGTGTAAGTTTGATAAATGCATCCTTGGCAGTCTCCAGGCTGATTGAGGAGTCAAAGTCCAGCTCGACCCAATTGCAGTATGCTTTCGTATTTCGAGCCGTCTCCAACAACATGGCTTGCTGGATATGGCTACAGGCCTTGACTGCCGTAACATGCAATCCCAGTCCCAGGGTGTTCATTCTGGCAGCTCCGGCTTCTGCAACCAACTGACGAATTCTCTGGACACTGTCGTTCATGTCTTCGGGTGGTTGGGAAGTTTCCAGTTCTTTGGCCCGCTGCCATATCCCATCCACAGAGTCGGCCTCTAGCAGATTCCCCACATGAAGGCGAATTCCAGCGCTCAATAGGTGGGAGGCTAGACGGATGGCAGTCAAGGAGTCAAGACCCGCTGATACCAAACTCTCTGTTTGTGAAGGTCGAGTGCCCAATACATCAGCGATGGTTGTGATGATCGTCTCTTCGATGGCATCTCTGAATGGTGGCTGGTCCACAGATTGAGTAGAACGCCGGTGTTGGGCGAAATCCGCCTCAAGCGCCTTGCGATCAATTTTGCCTGATGGAAGCCGCGGTAATTGATTGACGAGCACGAATTCTCCGGGCACCATAAACCGAGGAAGCCACTGACGACAGACATCTCGGAGCACTCTATCGGCTGTGTTTTCGCCATTGACGAGCACAAATGCAATCAAGCTCCCATCGCACACTATGGCCACTGCTGCTCGAACATTTGGCGCCCTACAGATAACATGCTCGATCTCCCCAAGTTCAATCCGTTGGCCGCGTAATTTTACTTGGCCGCTGGAAATTCGCCCAAAGCACTCGATGTCTCCTGTGAGTAGCATCCGAGCTTTGTCCCCCGTTCGGTAGAGCCGGCCATACGAGGGGTGATCTATGAAAGCTTTTGCGTTTTCTTCAGGCCGGTTCAGGTACCCATCTGCCAACTGAAATCCGCCCACAACCAATTCTCCAATCTGTCCCCGTGGAACGGGCTGCAGCGCCTCAGGTAATGGCGCGTCTTCAATGTCGAGGGACATGATATAAGCGGAAACAGTCTTCAACGGCTTCCCGATCAAATTGACGCGAGCGTTCGCTTGGAAATTGGTAGCTGCAGTGCAATGAATAGCGGCCTCTGTTGGTCCATACATTCCATGCAGGATACCAGGCGAGTTGGGCGAGTGGCCAAACTCCTCCACTACATGTCTGGTGAGCATCTCACCGATAGTAAGCAGGACTCGGAGTGATGGAGCCGCCGCACGTGTGCGCAGCAATTCGCCCGCAACCGTGGGAGTCAACTCGGCGGCGTCGACTTTCATTTCTGTCATGACGTGAGAGATATCAAGGAGCATATGCTCCCGCTCGGAGCTGATGAGAGTGGCTCCTCGCATCAGGGGAAAAAAAACTTCAAAAACTGAGACATCGAATGTGGGAGACGCAAATTGCAAAAATCGTCTAAATGGGGGCACCAAATCATTATGGGCAAGCAAAGATTGAGTGACGGCCAGATGAGAAACCCCAACACCCTTGGGGCGGCCAGTTGATCCGGAGGTATACATCACGTAGGCCAGGTCAGAAGAGGATAATTTTTTCCAGGACTCAATCGTGGTAATAGAATCCTTTGTCTCTAGGTCATCCACAGTAATGACGCTCAGATGCTCGTCTTGCGGTACTCTTGAAGCTAAAGCACCCTGGGTGACGATGACCGAGGCCGCTACATCCCGGGCGATGAAATCAATCCGGTCCGGGGGTGCGTCAGTATTCAGTGGACAGAATGCGGCGCCTGCTTTGAGGATTGCTAGCCAAGAAATATACAGCTCAACAGACTGGGGTAGCAGCACAGGCACTACCCGCTTTTTGGAATCATCTGCCGAGGCTAGGCTTCGAGTGATTTCAGCTGCTAGTGTCGTAGAGAGGGCATCTAAGGCGTGATATGGCAAGCTACGGATTTTCCCATCTGCAGCCAGAAACTCAATGGCGTTGTTGGAGCCATCAGATCCCGTGCGTGCAACAAGCTGGTGCAGGAGCTGCGGCCCTGTTAGAATGGAGGGAGAAGGGTTCAAAATTGACATCTCCGGCAGCTCGGAGGCAGACAATTTCACCCGAATGCCCACCTGCGCCGCTTGATTTCGCACGAATTGCTTCAGCTGCCTGCCCAGCTGGTGCAAAAATGAATCATCCACAACCGTCGAGCGCAACACACCCGACTGCGTCGTTGGATCAAGGATCCATGTTAAGGCACCTGATGCTGGTGCCTGCGTGGATGACGGATTGGCCTCAATAATAACGGCCGTATGTCTGTCAGAAGCATCAGAGGCTGCATCCAGCACAGCCGGCTGGATAGCATGAGTCGACAAGTCCACCTTGACCGGCTTCGTGTTCAACCAGAATACCGGATGCCCGTCCGTCGTAAAGGCATGTAATAAGCTGGCCCATGACAAGACATAAACATCTAATGGCAGGAATAGCTCACCCAGCTGCCATGGAACAATAGCAGGCACCTCTGCCTCGCCGTCGCTGACGGGGAATTGCGTGTATCGATCCATGACCATCTAGTCACAATGGTGAGAGAGGGAGAGAAAGAGTTGCGGTCACTGCATGTTCCTGTCGGCGGCTGCTCAAACTTTCCGCTGATTAGAAACAACGTGAGTGGCTGCTCGGGTCACAGGAGCTTATGCAAGTGGTTCGCTGCTCTTGTCTGCTCGTCGCGGCAGGGCACAGGTCCGTGGTATGGAGATGAAGGGTGGGCAGGATAAGCAACATCAAAGTCAAAAGCACAAGGGCGGAAGGAAAAATAAACATGGGCAGGGACCCCCGATCATCAACTTGGCCCGCCCTATTTCGGATGATTTTCGTGCATAAGCACCGAAACAAGCACCGAAAAGTGTGGGCGACAGTAGTCGGAGTGGGTAGGGTTATGAATAAATGACCAGGAATGGCATCGAGGTCCGAGGGCATCGGCGGGTCCGTTCTGTGTGCGTTGGTTGTAATTCGTTTTCTTGTTCCAAGAATGCTATTTCCAAGACCGCTCTGGGTACGATTCTCCTAATAGGAACAGGAAATATGTCTCGATGACGTGCCCTAACGCTCACTCACGAACTTAGCTCCGATCGGACCGAACTGGGTTTGGCCACGCCTTGACCGCGAGGGCCCAAGCACCGTCCCGGGCTGCAAAACACTCGTCTCCACCTGCCAAGGTGTTCTGGTCGTAGAGATGGACAAATTCGTCCTTGCGTCCCCGACATCGGGCTCCAGTCGGGCCACTCTTGTTTTCACGTTCAACTGCAGCCTTTACTAATCGCCCTCGTGCTGTTGCCTGCTCGGGGTGCTCGGGGCCTCTATCTATCTACTGTAGCCGGCATAGCAGGGATGTCCTTTTGGGTTGCAGACAGACCACGGAGAACATGCGGTGGAGCAAAAGATAAACTTCCAGACATAAATATCGGGCACCGAACAAGGCAGGATGGGAAATAAAAAAAGCTCTAGCGGATCTCCTGATTGATAAACGGACGAAACCTGGGAATTATCACACCCATTAATCCTTTGCGCGACTCGCCCGCTCCCGTTGGCCAGTCCTCGTATCCACCCTTTTTATCTGATCCGCTCAATAATTACAGAGATACCAAGTCTCGTACCACGATCATCTCCCACCCCGGTCGCTTGCTTCCGACAGTCGCCTCGTGGGTCTGTGGTGGAGCGGACGTGAATTCGCCTGGTCTAACAAGGCACTGGATTAATACCGGGAAGGTTTTTCCTGCTGCAATTGCTCTTCTTCATAATATTAAATAAAGCCACCGAGGCCCGTCAGCTCCCGAAGCTACATATCTCCCTCCCTCCATTTCTGCACTAGACTACCATAGATCCTTTCATCCAGAAGTCCGAACTAAGCTTCCTGGACGACATGGAGCAGCCGCGCGAGCAAATTCCCTCCGGCCGGCCCCTGCTGGGCTCGACGCCCACGGACGAGATGCACGACCTGCTATGTGTGGGCTTCGGCCCTGCATCCCTGGCCATCGGCATTGCGCTGCATGATGCCATGGACCCCGCGCTGAACTACTCGCTCGCCAATCCGAACTGGAAACCCAAGGTGTGCTTCCTAGAGCGGCAGAAACAGTTCGCCTGGCACTCGGGCATGTTGGTTCCCGGCTCGCGCATGCAAATCTCCTTCATGAAGGACCTGGCGACCCTTCGCGATCCGCGTAGCAGCTTCACCTTCCTAAACTACCTCCATCACAAGGGCCGCCTGGTCCATTTCACCAACCTAGGCACCTTCCTGCCAGCCCGAATGGAGTTTGAGGACTATATGCGCTGGTGTGCCCAGCGCTTTGAGGATGTCGTCGCCTACGGTGAGGAGGTCGTCAAGGTGGTGCCCGGAAAGACCAATGCACACGGTGCCGCGGAATCTTTCATCGTCCACTCGCGCAATGTTGGAACGGGCGAGACCATCTCGCGGCAGGCTCGCAAAGTGGTCATCGCCATCGGTGGCAAGGCCAAAATGCCCCAAGGGTTTCCACGAGACCCGCGCATCATGCACTCGTCCAAGTATTGTACTGGGCTGCCCGCCGTGCTGAAGAACGAGTCCGCGGCTTACAATATTGCCGTGGTGGGCAGCGGCCAGAGCGCGGCCGAGATCTTCAACGACCTGCACCGCCGGTATCCGAACGCGCGTACTACACTGGTCCTGCGTGACTCGGCTCTCCGGCCTAGTGATGATTCTCCCTTGTGCGTCCTTCTTCCAAAATCTCAGAACTTTTGCTGATTCGCTGTCTAGTGTGAATGAAATCTTCAACCCCGAGCGCGTGGACAAGTTCTTCCAGCTGTCCGCTGAAGAGCGCAGTCGCGCCATTGCTACAGACAAGGCTACCAACTACAGCGTGGTCCGTCTGGAGCTGATCGAACAGATTTACAATGACCTGTACCTGCAGCGGGTGCAGAACGCAGACGAGAAGCAGTGGCAACACCGCATCCTGCCAGAACGGCAGATCGACCGCATTGAGCACCACAACCCAGCGAATCGCATGCGCATCCACGTCCGGTCGACGCGTCGCGATGTCCCCATGGGACACGATCGAGAAGTTCTGGAGGTGGATGCTCTGATGGTGGCGACGGGGTATCAGCGCGATGCGCATGAAGAGCTGCTAGACCAGGTGCGCGCACTGCGCCCCGCCGGCCAGACGGCATGGATTCCTGGCAGGGATTACCGCGTCGAGCTAGATCCCAGCAAGGTCAGTCTCCAGGCCGGCATCTGGCTGCAGGGTTGCAATGAAAAAACCCACGGCCTCTCCGACAGCCTTTTGTCGGTTTTATCGGTCCGGGGCGGAGAGATGGTCAGCTCCCTGTTTGGAGATCAGCTCTCGGGGACCTTGGTGCAAGACACCCGGTTGCGCGCCATGCTGTGAAGAACATCGATCTCTTTCGGTCCTGGTAGAACTAAAAAAGTATTGGTGGGGTGTTTTCACCTGCTTGATGATGATTCCCCTAATTAGACTTGTCTTGTGTTATTCGCCGCTATTCTCCTGTACGAGTGTATATTGTATGCGATAGACTACTGGCCTCCTGTATTTTGTGTGAATTTCAGACTACAAAGCCCGAGACATCCGTGGCGTGATGCCGATCTGAAGTTGTTTGGCGGAGACGGAGGAATCCGAGAAAACACGGTCCATACACAGTAAATTAGGCTTGTTAATTATTACCGTCGGGTACTAGTTTTCTTCTAGATCCATTCTGCAATTCCCAAGCGAGAACTAAACCGCCCGAGGTGTCATGGCCGACGCTTGGCAGATTGAATTACTGGCTGAAACGGCATGATTTGGTTGTCTGGATGTGGGTCGGTGGCGCATCAGATAACGCACATGCGCGAGAAAATTTTTATCTGATCGAAAAACCCCTGTACGTAATAGCGAGGTCCGACTTCCAGCCAATTCAGTTCGAACATGGCAATAATGTGTATGTTATGTGCTGTACAAGGCGGGCCCTACATCTCGGTTCTTATTCTAGGGCGTCGGTCATGTCAATCTCTTACCTAACAGCGTAGAAAGTGGACTCGACGGTCTCCTGCTCTGCCCGCTTCTCAACTCCCGAGACCCGCAGAGTAATCGGAGAGCGGCCGTAGGGATGACGAAATCCACAATTCGACAAAGCGCTTGGCAGCCGACTGGGTGATGAGATGGCCGGCATCGAGATCGGCCGATGTGACAGTCGTGCACAGGTGGAGCAAAGTCCATCTCCCGAGTGCGTGGTATACCGGAAGGTCCTGAGGACACCTCGGGGGTTTGTTTGGCCTGCATGCTGCCGGTGTGTGATGCCGCGGCTAGCAGCGAATGCACTGATCGTACATGTCTAGATCTACACTAAGCTTCCTTATCCCTGACACCACAGAGGCACGGCTCAAAAAGAAACATCATTATTATCTAGCATCAACTGTACAAGTTCTCTAAATGCATCGAGAAAAAGTGAGATCCATGTCGCGTGCCCCAGGTAAATGCTCCCAGAAGAAGAAAGAGGAAGGACAAAAAATGACACGCCTACTCAGACCATATGCTCTGGGTCCTCGTCGGCCACGCTGCGGTATCCAGGTCCCTCGCGCGATCGACTGCCTCCGCTACGCATGCGCATCGGGACTTCGTACATGTGGTGATAGTTCACCACCTCGCCTCCAAGCATGCCAGACCCAGACTCGCGTTTCCCGAAAAGAGGGGCCGGGTCGCACCAGAAGTCGCGGCAGTTACCCAGCACGCCACGCGAGAAAGGATTTTGTGGCCGTGACGACCCACGCCCCTCGCCCAGCCCGTCTCGAGCAGTATGCCGCGCCGTAGCAAAGAAAGTGTCGATCCCTAGCAGAGATGACCACTGTTGGAGACAGCCGTGTCGCCGCCGGGGGGGATGAGGATGTGCCAGGGCTGGGTTGGGGCCCTGGCCCGAAGCTGAGAGGCCAGCCGCATCCAGTGAGGTGGTTCCTGCGGTCATGGCCGATGCAAAAGCCTGCGAACTCGGGTACGAACGGTCAATCGAGTTGCCCCTCATGTTCTCGTAGGTAGTCTGGTTGCGAGAGATCTGGACCAGCTGGACCGCACACAGCATCGTCACCCAGATGAGCTGCAGAGTGATCCAGACGTTGAGCACCAGGGTAAAAGTGTCACGAGACACGTAGTCGCACAGCGTGTCATTGATGACATTGCACTTAACGTTCATAGGTGCGGTAAGAGTATTGATATCTAGGTTGTTGTGTCAGCCCGTGAAGTCAGAAGGGAAGAAGCTGATACTCACATGCAATAGTAAGCTGGACGAACAAAATGATGCCGATTTCAAGGCAGACAATGTACAACACGAAATGGCGGATATTGTTGGCTCCAACACAATTGTCGATCCATGGGCAATGGCTAGTTTGAGGGGTTAGTCGACTATCATAAAGAGAGACAAATAGAAAATACATACTGGTCATGCTTTGCAACGCAACGTGCACAGCGCCGGCAGTGCTTGCTCCGCAGCGGCTTTCTTGCCATGCATGGAACGCAGAAATTCTCCTCGTCAAACTTCCACTGCTCGAAAAGCTGCTTGACAACCTCCCTCTGTTGGTTCCGACTGCCCAGCTTCGGCACGTAGCCCGGGTCTTCGACCATCGAGATGATGTAAAAATAAGCTGTCAAGCCAAAGAAGACCGCAAAAAGAATGTTCAAGATTGGAGACGAGGAATAAGTCGCTAATTCATCTGTCAGTCTTGCTTCCTATGGCCTTCAAAATTTGACCGAGAACATACCGGGCAATACTTTGAACACATATCGGAAGCCCACCCAGAACAGTGAACCGGCAAAAACACCGGCTAGATACGGCTGCAAAGATATCAAATCAGCCACAAATTCTTCGGCACTGGGATGACTTGAGACATACTGTCTTCTGAAGAACACGATACTCGGACGGGCCTTTGTTCGCAACTTGCTGCGCCATCCACTGCATCCCAAATACCACCAGCAGCATGAGCGGGACGCCAATGAAGATCACCATGTTGCTCAAAATCCAAATGGCAATCAAGACGGTGAAAAAGGGCCAGATGAAGAAAAATTTGCCCATGAGGCTTTTGTTGCGCACATAGCTGGCCATCCCCAGCGGCATCTCCTTTTGGGTGCCGTCGGCGTCGAAACCGCGCTCATTAAGTGCGCGGTACCATGTCCGCAGCGTGTTCATCTCCTGAGCCACCGTTGTGGGGGACTTGCCATCTCTTGTCTTCGTAAACCGGTCCGCTCCATATTCCAGCAACTTCAGGACACAGGGCAACGAGCCCTTGACCAACGCCCAGTGAAGAGGACTCAGTCCACCCTCATCCACCGCATTCGCATTGGCGCCCCATCGCAGGAAGAGATCCACGCACGCCGGGTATCCCTTGTATGCGGCCCACATCAATCCGGTATGGCCTTGCTGGTCCACCACGTCCACGGGAATATCCTGTTGTAGGAGCAGCACGAGCAGGAAGGCGTTGCCGTCGATCGTCGCCAGGTGAAGGATGTTGTACCCTTGCACGTCGGTCAGGAGCGGGTCCGCACCGTGGTTGAGCAGTAGGTGAACGATATAGTAGTGACAGCGTTGGGCCGCCCACATGGCCGGCGTGGCCACGGATTCTCCTCCCTTGGCGTTTACGTCGGCGCCGCTGTCAAGCAGGAATCTGCACATGGCATACTGGTTGTTGATAGCGGCCCACTTTTCGATACACACACTGTCAGCAAACGATCTGGGCTCCGGGGGGTCACCAACGGGGGGAAGCGCACATGTAGCGGAGTGATGCCTTCCTCATCGCGGTGGTTCGCCGTGAATTTCTTGGCCGTGAACAAGTTCTGCATGGCCCCAATCTCACCCATCCGCGCCAGCTGCATGATATCTTCTTCCACCGGAACGGAGCCTTTGGAGCCATCGGGTCGCATGTTCTTCATTTCGACTTCGGCGTTCGGCGGCGACGTTTCTTTCGAGGTCGAGGAGGACGTAGCGCCCGAGTTCCCACCGGCCGGACTGCTGCCCGGGGTGTCAGACGAGGAAAGCTTGGACATGGCGAGTCAAATCGAACTCTCTGTCGTGGTCAGCGGCCGCCGTAAGCCGGTGGTGATGGTAGGCGGGAAAAACGGAAAGCGAGGGCAGGAAACTGAGATGAGGCGGAGGACTAAGCGCACATGGCGAACGCATGCGCAGTCGACAGAATAGATTCGCCCGGGCTGTCGTGGCTTGGGCGTGGCAGTGTGAGAGAAAGAAAAAAAGGGACGGGAAGGAGTTCGCGGCCGCGTCAAGGGAGAAAGAACACCGACGAGTCACGCCAGCCGAGATCGTCTTCGTGTCCGGGAATCCTCCACCGAGGTGTTCTGCAGGCTACTCCCTTTCACCAGAATAATATTATAACTATCATCCCTATCCCTACTGATTCTGTCCGCGGTATGGCTGCTGACTCAGCCAGGCAGCCGCGTTCCCGGACTCTGTTGATCCTGCCGAAGATGATGGTGCATTGCGATTATTCTAGTACATTGTTATGGTTGTTGTTCACATACATGGAGCTGTTCGGCTCAGAATCCGCCGACGGCGCCGCTCGGCGGTCCTGCACGCGCACCTCCTCCATCAGCATCTCCTCATCCACGCGAAGCTCAAAGTCCGCCAGGAAACAAAAGTTGATCTCCAGCTTCGACAGCTCCTGATTGCTGACGCCACCCACTTTAGCGAACCGACTGTGCCGAAAACTCAGGTCCTCCAGGGCCTTGTTAGCTACCAGCAACCCGGCGAGGACCAACCGGTGCATGTTGTGGGGATTGACACGGAGCACCTTCTCTACCAGGGTCATCTTGGTAATATAAACGCTCGTAGCGAGATAGACTGCGGTTGACATGGGACAATAACGGTGTAGGCGCAGGAGGTAGTCCTGTAGCGCGATCGGGGGCACTTTCTTCGACAGGAACCGCCGGGAGATGATTCCGAGCTGAAGGGCTTCTGCTCGTGCGCGGTCCTCTCCAAAATGCACATGCGCGATGTGGACCGGCAGAGCCTCTCCTTCTCCTGGGGTCTGACTTTCCGCCGGGGTAGAGCTGTAGGAGTCATCTTCGGACGTTTGCGCGAAGAATGTGTTCAGGTATTCGATGTTGTGGCAGAGCAGGCTCAGTGCAGTTTCGGGGGTGATGTCGAAGACACTATTAAGCAACGGCTGCGCGGCGGTCTGTTGGGCCTCATTCGAATCCAGCTTCAGCAGTGCCCGCGGGGACTGGGTTTGTGTCATGACAGCGGCCATGCTGAGTGCGTTTATTGCCCCGCGCAGAAGGGTGGCGACTCGCCGGTTGTGAGAGAAAGAGTGCACCTGGACTGACAGGTAGACAGTGGCTCCTCGGATAAATGGCTCATTTTATGGCACAGACTGCTTTGCTCGTTCGTGGTGTGGGGGGAGGCTTTGAAGCGATCTCGGGTGGCGTTCAGACGGGAGGGTAGGTCCAGCGTGTGCGATGTGAATACCAGGTGTTTTCGAGGGATCCGAGGTGGTGATAATCGCGAAGGAGGATAGATGCGATCTGTAGTCGGTTGTGCAACGTCTAGGCCCTCACTGTTTACGTTCACGTGCCCAAAGCCACCGTCGGGTAAAAGGCTCGATTGAGATCCAATCCGGCCAAAAGGGGACCCACGGGCGGACCAGCCCGAGTTTGGGGAAAGAAGAATGCGATCAGGGGGAGGAGGAAGAAGGAGGATGAGAGAAAGGATAAGAAGAAGGACAAGAAAGAGAAGAAAGGAGATATGGACCCACCGTTGACCCAGTTAGGATTGGTGACTCCCTGGGTAGCTACTTAGGTAACTACGTCTTATTTCGTCAGTACGGAACAGGTGATGAGGAATGAATATCTCTTGGGATTTCCACATTCGTAGATGCCTCTCTTTGGAGACGATCTTTCGAAGTTTCGGAAAGAGAGGTCATCCGAAGGCAGCCCAAAGCTCAGCCTGTTTGCGCTCCCCGGCTGTCAAGGGGACCAACCCACCTCGCCGTCCTTCTATGGAACTATGGAACCAGTTGATCAAAAGTCTCAATCATCTGGTGTCCGTCGCGCCCCTCGGGCATCCTCGCCCGTCTTCGAGCAAGTTCCTCGCCGAGCTGGAGAGTCGTTTCCTCTCTCAATGTGGAGCTAAGCAGCCTAGCATTTGAGGCCAAACGGCCTAGACCCTCTATGCCCTCTAGCGATTCCAGCGAACAAACACCATGATCGAGGTTCGATATCCTCGACATTAGAGTCCAAACTTCTAGAGCGAGCGTGTTCGTCATGCGGTATAAATATGCGATAACTGGTTATATATAGAGCTTTCGATAATGAAAGAGCATCTTTTAGTTAAGTAGAATGAAGCCTGTCTAATTTTTGCTTTCTGCATGCCATCATTCAATCCCAAAGGAAGGGGTTTAGGCATGGTTTCTAATACAACTGGACCGCGTTCACCTCACTAAGAAACGAACGCTTTTCCTATACGAACCTGGTTCGCTATAGGGCCTTATAGTGGTATACTGACGGTTCTGACGCATTTGTGCGTCGTGGAGGATCCTCTTGCTTGAAGTTTGGATTCTAGTATACCCTTCCTGAACCATGTAGGGATACCTCGTTTCGATAAAAGGGCCAAATCTTGAACATCTAGGTGTTGCTTCCTCTTGATATGGTCGAGGATATCGATCCTCAATCGTGGGTTTGATCTGCTGAGAATCGCCAGAGGGCATAAAGGGTCTAAGCCGTTTGGCCTCAATTGCTAGGTTCCTCCGCTCCACATGGAGAGCGGAAAAGACTCTCTTTCCAGCTCGGGGAGGAACCCGCTCGACGACGGGTGATGGTGCCCGAGGGACGCGAAAGGCACTGCGAAAGGCACCGGACAGTTGGAACCTTCTGGTTGACTGCGCAGGAAAAGGGGGAGATGGTCTCCTAGGAGCCCGCGGCACACGAACCCGTTGAACTTTAGGCTCAACCGTCAGAATCTGCACATCGGGCCGTCGTTGTATGGCTTCTGGGTATGAGCGCGTATATCGTAGCGTGTACGGGCGAGACGATCGCTCACGGGTTGGGGAAATTCTCGCAGGAGGATGTTGGGCCGCTCGTCTACGGACATGGTCGTTGCTCTCCGCGCGCCATTCAGGTCGCGGCGGTGGTACGGACCTTTTATGAAAAAGGTGGGTATGGAACAAATGTGAAAACCAGGACTGAGAATGCATATCTCTGGTTTTTTCTCGCAGTTTGCGGGCCTGGGCTGATTGAGTCGGCGCTGGGAAATCTGATGGTGACGCCACGGTCTCTCGAAAGCGATATGTCTGGCGTTGGCTATGGTTGTTGGAACGGGACGACCTCGGAGCTCGAGCGTCTTTCCGAAGTTTTCGAGAAAGATGGTCACCGTGGACTTCAATGATATACATCCGATGCACTCGGTGAAAGATATTCATCTTTGAATGTCGATAAATAGCAGATCGAACCCCAAGATATTAAGCAGCGTCTTGAAGATCAATAATTTCTATGTCCTTGGCTGAAACAAAGAGGCCAAAGAAGGAAAGAACCCGATATAGAATAAGGTGACAATAGATGTATAAACAAAGACTCGTCTTTAGGGTAAATAGGTCTTTGAACGTTAAAGACAAAGGTGAGATGAGCAAACAAAGTCACAAATCAAGGACAGAAGGCGTCAGTCACGATACCGACACAAAGCAGGTGATTCCAGATGTTGCAACGCCAGAGGGGTCGATTTTGTTCGTCGATTGCAGACAAAGCGAAGACCAGAATAGATGGCGATCGTCCTGTCCGTCTCTGGATCTTTCGAACTCGACACAGGAATATGCTCCATTTTATATTCGAGGTCTGCGATGAATATAGATGTGATGAACGCAGGCAACAGCAGGCCTTTGCAATGTTTTTGGCGTGTGGCGGGAGGATCGCAAGTCTCGGGGGCTAGTGACCTGGGCTCGTGATAGGCTTTCTTCAACCCGTGAGCCTCCGAGTGAATCCTTGAACCTGTGATCTGACTCAGTACCCAAGGCAGAATACAGCTTTTCATATCTATATAGTCTGTTAAAAATCAAAGGGGGTGTACAGTCCATTGTGGCGTTGCACCAGCCACAGTACCAGCCGCCGAATTAGCGGGCCGTGAGCATGTTGGTAGCCCGCTGCTGAGACGAACACAACAATCTACTGGCTCAGAGAGCACGAAAAGCGTACACGCTGCCTTTATAATGACGTGCGTCGATTCGCGCGGGTCTCAAGCCAACTAGGCAGAACCTGCGCCGCATGCTCCTCAAGTCCATCGCTCGACAAATCGCTCGTAGTTCTTATCCCGGTGATGGAGTACATCCGAGTTAACCCGCTGGATTCCCTTCTGAAGTGTGCCCAGGTCTGCCTCAATGCCCGAGAGCTCTCTTGCTTCATCCGGATCGGGTAGCGAAGCTTGGAAGTGGGAGTTGGAGTGCAAAGATGATGCCAGTAACTGAGATGCCACGTCCCCGGGCCCCAGGTGGGCCACCAGTGGCGAGTCAACTGCAATGCCGATATTCCGGAGTGTCTCGGAGAGTGCGGTGCGTTTTTCGTGGAGCGCTTGGGTGCCGCCTTCTTCTACTCGTGGACAGAGCACGGAGTCGGGCGACACGCCTATGCGCCGCAAAAGGCTTTGTAGGGCCGATTGCTTAGGCACGGGGCTAGAATGATTTCGTGCATTCGAAAACAAGACACCCGGCTGCAATGAACGACGTCTCAAAGAATCTCTCCGGGACGATGACTGTGGCCCAGGTTGCTTAGGCACTTCCATGTGGTAGAGCGCGGCCAGTTGTTCGAGAGTTTCACACGATGATTCCCGCTCTCCAAGCCATACTGTCATTTCTTCGCTGGAGAGAGTCATCTCGATCAAGAGATCAAGCGTCTACGGGCGAGTCAGTGGTGAGTTTCCCATGAAATGCCTCAGTAAGCATCGCAACACACACCTGTTCCAGTTTCTGTTGAGAGGCAGCGCGTATTTGGCTGTGCTCGTTTCGGATCTCTCGTAAAATGGGCTCAGTGAACTTTTGTTTCGTGGACATGTCCGCTAGGACCTCAATCTCCGAATATAGAGATTCCAGTTCTTCCTCCAGCGCTGCGATGGTCTCGTCATCGCCATCTGTGCCACGTCCCAGCGCCGAGTCACCTGCCAGTACCATTTCAAGGAACATCCGGTCGAGACGGAAGTGGATTTCCTCTGCCACGTAGACCGCCAGCTGTGCAGTCAAGTGGGAGGCTCGCTTGACGATTGAAGCATTGTTGCCATGAGACTTCACGCCGGAAATGAGTGCCTCCAGGCCTGCAAGCGTCTTGTCGTCCTGCTTCAGCCGGGTGGACAACGACGACAGTATTCTCTTGTTCTCGGCGCTGGCCTTGTCCATCGCATCCATAAAGCTGGTCTCAAGCTCGGTATAAAGTTCACTGGCCTGCAAGGCGTCAGTGGCATATTTTATGGTCTTGTGGCCCAAGAAAGAATTACCGCAGCCGTCGTGTTTTGCCTTCCCGCTTCATGCTTCTTGCGCAGTCTCGCAATATCCCGATTTCGGTTCTGGGCCAGATCGTCTTCGAAGCGGATTTGCTCGTTGAGTTGTTCGCATTGGGATTCCAGCGTCTGTGTCTGCCTTTGGATGGCCGCGGTCGACGCTTCAAGAGATTCGATCGCGCATCGGAGATCATCTTCCAGCACAGCCCGGGTCGCGCCCAGCGCTGGGTCGTGGAGAATGGTCTGAAGGGAGCCTGACCTTTCCAATTTGGAGTAACTAGCAAGCTCGGTTAGCTGGTCGCCGTTAGCTGAGTCGGTGAGACTTGCACTGTGAGCTCTTCTCGGGACAACAGGGTGTCGGGGCGGAGATGAGTGGACACCCATTCCGCGTGTTTGGGATTGTCCCGCAAGGCAGATTCGATCACCTCAGGCTTGACGGACAGACCACGTTCTTTGAACGCCGCGATCACCACGTCGGTCGGAGAGTGCATGCTGTCTGACCGGATAGAACTTTTGGGGAAGAACGAAAATGGCGTGAGTCCGGGGAAGTTGCCCTCGGTGACCAATTGAACTGACTGCGTGGGGACGGATGACCGGCGGCATCAAATATTGCGAGGGCGCATGTAATAGATGTCTTTCGGGGTTTGACTACTGAAAGTAGCGAGGAGTGTCTATGACTACGAAGTGAACAACCAGTCTTTGCGGTGAGGCATCACGTGCATGTATACACAAGCTTCCCGTTTGGGAGAAGCAAGAACCAGAGTAAACAACAAGAGGTATCAATAATAGCAAGTGCTAGCAGCAGTAATTACACATCCGGGAAAAACACAAAATTAGTCTCCCATCTCCGATGCAGACACATATTCAAACTCCAGTTTCCACTGGTCAATCTCCGCAAACTTCTTCGCGGCAGCTCGCAACTCCGCGCTCGTGAACCGAGGCGTCGCCCGTATTTCAGTCTCTTCCTCAGCATCTGAGTCCGGAGGCGAGGATAAAGGTGATGAGCCCGGCGAGGAAAGAGCCAGCTGTTCGTTCTCTTTGTCAATAGAACGCGAGTATGTGGCTGCTGATCGCGCAACCTTATTCGCCTTGGTCTTACGCGTTTTTGGGCGGTTGAGGGTGGACAATTTATCTTGAGTACTGGCCAGAGGCTTGCGTGGCCGGCGAGAGAAGGGGTAACTCAATTCATCTTCGTCACCAGACGCGGCGTCGTGTTCTTTATCGCTATCGCTTGGAACCTCAAATTCGTCAGCTGCTCGGTGCTTAGACCGACGTTGACGACGGCGGGGCAGAAGCCGATCCTGTAGCGCCGCGGTGGACAGATAAACTGGGTTTTTAGACTTGGACTTTGTATTGGCAATTTCTCCAGTGACCACTGGGGCAGTACTTGTTTGGGAATGCGCAGAAGGGCTCCACGGAGGACTGCTGCTGGCTGGTGGTGCGAGGGTTTGGCTGAGGACTTCTGGGAACTGCAAGGCCCGCGGTGTATCCTCCAGCGCATGGGAGGGCTGGTCATCACCCTGATCGCGCTGTACAGGAGTAGCAGTGAGGGTGTCTGTTGCTGCGGATGGTGATTCTGGCTCTGGCTCTGGCTCTGGTGCTTGTACTCCTCTTGTCGCGCGCTTGCGCTTGCGCGAGCCACCGGATGACGGAGGTGATTGGGAGGGCGACTCAGCAGGCTTGTGGACCATTGATTTCCGGGCGAGATTCAACGGCGTAGACTCATCCTGAGGGCTCAGACCTCCGAGAAAGTCGCTGTCATCCAAGTCAGACGAACCGTCCTCCGCCTGCACCATATGAAGGATACTTTGCTGGCGCGGTCTTCGCCGGAAGTTGCTCAGAACGGAGCTTTCAAAGGCCGGCGTGCCGGGGACTCGCGAGCTCATGTCACCTTTACGGCCCGCAAACGAAAGAGTAGATGAGTAGCCTCGAGATCGCGTCGGTGGTCGACTGGCGGTGCCGGGTCGACTTCCGGTGCCCATTCGCTCTCCCATGGGCGACGACTCAATTGCATTCTCGTAGGTCTTGCTCATGGGGGTCTGGCTGCGCAGTTGGCGCCGGGGATCCAGCGTCGAGCCTCGTTCGGGGGAGTTGGGCGCATTCGTGGAGGCATTGTCGCGAGTTGCCTGTTCGCTTGAATCGGCATTGGAAGCTGGAGGAGGGCCCTTGGTCAAGGGCCGAGTTCGTTTGGGAGCTGGGCGCGGCATGGTGTTTGGGGAGGGTTGTTTGTTGTGTTGTGATGGGAAAGAAGCAGTAACAACAACGCGTGTTTCGGGGTAGACGCGTGCACGTGCCGCCTGGTACCACTATACTCTGGGTCTATACTTCATTGTTTATAGTATTGTTTGTATCTATATAGATGATATTAATCGATCGATTCTGACTTATGATCATCATTATTATTTTCACTCGGTCACTAACTCACCCTTCTCGCTGGTTGCCTTTCATTACCTAACTCACTTGCCTGATCCGCCACGGACCTTGCTCCGTCTTCAGTTCAGCGATTCTTATTTTTGGCCATATTATCCCGCATGGCTTACCCCACGGTCTTCCCCAGGATTCCAGCCCTCGCTTGTCCATTGCGGCGTCATCGTGCTCACCGGCTCAAGGGCAACGAGGCTTGGTTCGCTTTGTCCGAAGCCTATAAGTATCGGATGCGTACCTCCAAACCAATGGACCGCTCGATTCTCGGAGTGCAATCCTTGGAGGAAGAAATATATCAAGGTCTAAGGCGGGGTTGACCCCAGAACGAAACATTATCAGCTCATGTCTCCGTCGCCGGAGAAAGAGGTCCTCTTGATGAGCCCCGCCAGTGAGCTGTCCGGCGGCAAGAAAAAACGCTCGAATTCAGAAGCAGCCGAATATCCTCGACGACGAGCAACCATTGCATGTCAAATATGTCGACTACGAAAGACACGATGCAATGGAGCCCGACCCAAGTGTCAGCTCTGCACCGACCTCAACGCCGACTGCGTTTACCGCGAGCCCGGGATGAAGCTCGATGCCGGAGACAAACTGATCCTCGAGCATTTAGCCCGCATTGAAGGCCTGCTGCACTCCAGTCTAGCAGGGCAAGACCTTCCTCTTCCTCAGTTGGCGCTGGCGTCGGCCTCTCCAACCACGAGTAATGACTCCAACATCGGTAGCGATGACCCGTTCGCCAGGCCATCCAGCGCCGCCCATGTATCCAGCAGGATTCCCGTCTCTGCGGGCCTTGGAGGCTGGGCGAATCCGCCTCCCCCCATGAGCATTTCGACGATGCCCAAGATGCACACCACCCCAGCCCTGAATCTGCTGCATTGGCCCCTGATCCGGGATCTGGTTTCGGGGCCTTACGACCCACAGAATCTACTTCAGCTCGAAATGGCTCGCGAACCATTGCGAATGACCCCGAACTCGGGGTTTGACCTGGCCAACGCAACTACCTATGTGCATGCCTTCTTCACCCACGCGAATGTTTGGTATGCATGTGTGAATCCGTATACTTGGGATAGATGCTACCAGACGGCTCTCGCGCATGGTTTCCAGAACGGACCCGTAAGCTGTCTAGTACTTTTAATACTGGCCCTGGGAAGTGCTAGTCATCACGGGAGTATATCCTTTGTGGCACCAGATTGCGACCCGCCAGGTCTTGCATATTTTGCGGCCGCATGGAACCTCCTACCATCGGTCATGATGCGCAATACGGTCATTGCGGCACAATGCATGGTTCTGGCCTCTGCATACCTATTCTATCTCGTCCGGCCGCTGGAGGCATGGATGCTGTTGTCGAATGTGAGCATGAAGTTACAGCTGTTGTTCGGCGGCAGCCCCAACCGCGTGCCGGTGCAGTGGCGGGAGCTCAGCGTGCGGGTGTATTGGAATACACTACTCTTCGAGAGTGATCTACTCGCAGAGCTGGACCTGCCACACTCTGGTATAGTGCAATTTGAAGAGATGGTAGATCTCCCGGGTGGCTTCGACGAGGAAGACGACGAGAACGAGGAAGAAAGTGGCCATGAGATTACCGAGGAGCCTGCTGGTCGGGACGATCTCTGGTACTTTCTGGCTGAGATTGCACTGCGTCGACTTCTGAATCGAGTGAGCCATCTCATCTACCAGAAAGGCAGTACCCACACGCTTTCTGCCCTGGGTCCCATCGTCTCGGAGCTGGACTTCCAACTGTCCCAGTGGTACGATAGCCTGCCCAAGCCCATCCAATTTCCTCTCACGCAAGTACCCATCTCCAACCCCGTCCAAACGGTCCTCAGACTACGCTACAACGCTTGTCGGACCATTATATACCGCCCGTATATTTTAGCAGTGCTCGAAAAGGAAGAAGCTGGAAATGATCAAGGAGTGCGAGAGTGTTGTCGGCGTTGCCTCGATGCCACCTTGCGCCAGCTGGAACATATCACTCAGCATCGTGAAGGCCACCTGCCGTATTTATGGCAAGGTGCTCTGTCGATGGTATCCCAGTCCCTCCTGATCATGGGGGCAAGCATGTCTCCCTGCCTCTCGTCCCTGCTACCGCCTGGCGTGAAGGTGGACGCGATTATTTCGAGCGTGGTATCTGAGGTGGAGCGATATGCACATCTGGCGCCGAGCTTGAAATTATCCGCCGAGATCATTCGCGACGCTGAGCGACGGCGGCAGATATGTCTTCGCTCAGCCAGCATTCAGATCTAAGTCCTACGTCCGAGAGAGAGAAATCATGGACAGAGCAAGAGGGAAACATGTCATGCCAAACTCAAGCCCAAGACCGTCGGCACCATATAACTAACTACATTGCACAAGCAGGCAGGTAGTAGAGCGCCTGCAATAGATATAACGAACCATGGCAATAAACATATGTTTTCGGGGGTTCCAATCATAAATATGTCACGAGAAACTGGGGGAGTCGTGGTATCTTCAAAGGGAGACATCGCAAAGAACGGAAAATGTATAGACGGAGAGACTGTGTGTCAAGGTATTGGCAGGGGAAAAAAACATGAAACATGAAACACCATATATACTTCTTAAATCAGCACCCATTCACTGCCCCGTTTGATGAACTTGTCGAGCATCATGCCCACATCAGTCAATGCGAAGCGGCATACATAGAAACCAAAAAACTCGGCAGCATGTCGCGTGCTGAGCTCTAGACCGACATGCGTCGGGGACGAATGTTTCAGTCCAGGATCTTCGACCTGCTGGGCGATTTGATCTAAACTGGGTTAGAACGCAAGAATCAACAGGAGAGTTAAAAGACCTACCTAGAACCTGAACAGCATCAAAGAGACGAGCCAACGCGCCCATGTAGTTGGCATTGGGCCCTCCCAGTTCCAGCTGAGTGACATTGCGCTTCGGATGGGTCGAAGGAGTCGAGGACATGGGGAGCGAGTTCAGAGTCAGATTGTCCTTGTTGCTTTCCCTGACACTTGCCACGGGGGCGCTGACACCTCCTACACCGGAAGTCTTTGACCGTAGCCGTTTCCAGGACCGTAGGGATGATGACTTGTTGCTCGTACTGGAGGTCTTAGTGGGTAAATTCTCCACATGAGCCAGCTCGTCTGGCGCTGCACCCTGCTTTAAGAGGGGCATAGCCGCCTGTACACCGACCTCATGGCCTAGTTTCTTGGTCAACACATTTTGAACCTGGTCGAGAACGTTCTCAAGCGCCTGCATCTCTTCTAGCACCGCATCCGCATCGTATGTATCCACCTGAGCCAACTTGAGTAGCGCGGCAGTCAAGAGATCGCAGTTGGACACCTTATCCTCAACAGCTTTGAGTTTGACATTTTTCACTCGCCAGACATCGCGGGGAATAAAGAGTTTGGCTGACAAGTACCCTCCTTGAGGATGAGCAATCGTCTGATATAAGCTTCGCATCAACCAGAATGGACGAAGAAGATAAGACTCCGGGCACGGCTCCAACGGAACAGGGCCATTTGGCAGTTGTGAATTCGGACAGCCCAGAGTGGTAGGTGAGTGAATATCACAATCAAAGAGATTGAGGCCACCCGTCGGTAGTCCATTCTGCGTAAAGCTAATACCAGTGGGAGTAGGCGGGATTGGAATACTGTTAGACAGCGCGCTTCTCTGATTGTCCAAGTTTGGGAACGAGCCGCTGAACGGTGTCGTTGGTGAATCAGGGGCCGTATCGGGAGTGGAAACAGAGACGTTTCGACTGCGGAAGGCCTTGGTGCTCGAACCGCGTCTGTCTAAACCGTCTGGTGCCGAGGGAATCTTGGCCATAGGGCGCGGGGCGGATGACGATGGGACTGGTGGCAGCTCTGGTTCCTCATCTTCTCTTGAGAGTACCCTAGACAGATTGGCAGCAGCTGAGGCGTTCTCCACGAAAGATCCAATCGAAGGGTTGCGCGCGTTGGATCGGAAGGCCGGAGTAGACGACCTGGATAAGTCTGAGGGGTCATCCTTTGGGAGAGGCGGTGGCGCTTGGCTAGTCAATGGTGTCGCAAAGGAGTCCATTGCTGATTCGGTTGAGTCCGTTCGGGCACGAGACCCAATGTTAATCTTCAGATCCCGGTTCTGGCCAGACAGTCTCCGCGCTCGTACCCCGGGAATGGCGGGTGGTTCATTGGTGGGCATAGGCGGCCGGGTGATAGAAACCCGTTGCGGTGGCAAGCCAGGGAAATCAGACGAGGCTGGAATGGCTGGCAAGACCGAGGTGGGTGGAGAATAGGGTAAGGTGTTGGGCACCGTCTTCTGGTCGTCGTCATCTTCCGCAAGAGTCGACAGAGTAGCACCGGCGCTGAGATTGGATGTCACAGAGCTTTCCCAGGTTCTTCCTGACACGTTGCTCGAGCCAGATTCTCGGGGAAGAGCAGACTTAGACTGAAGGCCGAATTCGAAGTCATCCATCACATAGCCCTTGGTCATCTCCTCCAAGAGGCGCTCCTCCTCTTCCGCTTCTTCATCCAGATAATCCGAATCCAAACCATGGGGGTGGCCATCTATCCTCTGCTCTTGCATGTGACGCATTGCACGGCCACGATTCATAGCTTCCGCCTCTCGTTCCGCCTCCCGAACCCTTTGCTTCGCCAGCTCGATATTCCTGCGGGCATTGGCCACGATATAGTCACTTTCATCTTCATTATACTCCAAGACTGGCTCTAGGCCTTCGTCGTACGCGGCCTCTACCGCAGCGTCCAGTGCAGCATCAAACGCAGCCTCGGTATCATTGCTCAAGCGGCGGCTCGTCCGGCGGCGCAGATATACGGACGAAGCCCTGGAATTGGCCGATGATGGTGACGATGCACCAGACTCATCGATCGTATCCAGCCACGAGGTTGTTTCATTGGATTCCTGCGGCATGGAGGGTTCTCGGTACCGTGGATGTTGATTCTTCATTGATGATTGGCGTCTAGGAGGCACCATGCCTGAGGCTAATCGTTCCCTATCGTCCAGTGCGGCATCTTGGAAGTTCAGACTGGAGCGGAGAGAGCTTGGTTGAGTATCGATAATTCCGTGGTCATCGAATTCACCATATGACTCCTGACTCAGGGGGCGATCGGGAAGGGCCTTGCCATCATCATCGGGGAGAGGAATGTCCAGGCGCTGAAGCTCGGTGATTCGGATCATGTATGTGTCACGGATTTCCTGCAGCTTCATTTTTTCCTCCTCGCCACCATTGCTGCGGAACATGACCAATTGCAGTAGGTTGCAGGCATCGTTGTACGCCTCCATGGCGCCCTCAAAATTGGCCGCATTGTCCAGCAGAACTGCGGTGTTTGCTTTTTGGAGAGCCCTGGAGAGCATGACTTTTTGGGTCTGGCTATGATGCCGCGATTCCGGACCCCCTTCCCCATCGGCTAGAGACATGGAGCCTTGGTTGGTGTGAGCCACGCTGTTGGCGGGGCGGGCTGTTTCTGTGCCCGTTTGTGGTTTATTGGGTGACTGGTTTTGTGCGAGATTGCCGGAGGCCGTAAATGAGAGATCCAGCGGCGGGGAAGTTGGGTCGGCAGCAAACATGGCGGATGATCCAAGCTCGGGAAGCATCAACATCGGAGCGTCCGTTTGCCCACGTTGAGGACTATGGTTTCCCGCGCTTCGACTATAATCCACTACATTCCTCACAGCCTGTGGGGACTGGCGATCCCCTGATATCGACATTTTGGAGCTCCCTCGGCGATGAATCCCGTAGTCCGATGGAGCCTTGCTCGATGCGGTTGAGTGGGACCAACGATTGACACTCCCGAGTCCCTCTTTGATGGGACTGCCCGATGCTGGGCTATCCGAAGGCAAGTGCGGGACTTTTTCTGTGCGCGCGCCGAGGCCCGTTGGAGTGGCCGGTGGTTTCACCATGCGATTTCGCGAACTTGGTCGTGAGGAACGAGAGCTGGGCCGATTGGGGGCCGCGAAGGGCGCTGAGTCTGGTATTGAGGGACGCCGGGGCTGGAACGGCTTGAGTTCATCGTCCACCGCCGTGTGGTGTAGCATTCTCACGGAGACACGGGCTCCCCCTGATCTATACCTCTAATGCCACTCAATGCATCGCTTCGAAGACAAGACGCTGAACAAGGCTACCGGAATGCGATCATGCGACTGAGACACCTCCCTTCTCGCAATTGGCCTGGGAATTCACCGGTGGAAGTCAGTTGGGCCGATCGCAGGACGATCCCGGGGGGCGGATTGTTGGGTTCCTGGAGAGAAAGGGAGGGAAGAGACTCACAATGAGATCGGAGGGTGACAGGGGGCAGGAATAATCCTGGACAGGACCGAGCCAGTGGTGAGTCCAGACGGGCAGTGGTCCTCCGTCGTTGGGGGGAGTCAGGGGTCAAACTCGTGGATGATAATAATAATAATAATGGTTCCAGCTGGTCCTCGATAACAATTCAGGGGAAGGCGGTGGCCGATGCGGGGAGGGGCTGAAGAGCACGGGTAATCGTGCAGAGTGGGAGTATAGGCGACGGAATAGTCGGGAGGTGGAAGGAAGGAGAGAAGAAGAGAAGGGGAGAATAGATAAATAAATCCGACCAGAGGCAACAGGCAATATTACCTATGCGCTGCAGAAGAATACCCCTAGTTGACAGATCAGAGCGGTATCGACGGATCTATCCTTCATCCACGGATCGATCGCTTAGGTGCGGCTCGCTTGACACAAGTTAATATGGCCGGTCTGGTGCGCTTCTTCTCTCCTCTGCCCACCCGCTGTTCCCAGAGACTGCCCTGCTTCCAGAGACGGACAATGGCCACCATCAGCACCATCAACCCGCCGCGGGATCCCAACACTCTCAGCAACTACAACAACTGGCGATCCACCCACATCACCGCCAACCTCGATATCCGCTTCGACCAGAAGCTGCTGGCCGGCAATGTCGTCCACCAGTTCCAGTCCATCACCGACGCCCAGTCGCGCGAAATCATCCTCGACACCAGCCATCTCGACATTGGCGCCGTCAAGGTCGACGGCAAGCCCTCCCAGTGGGAGCTGCTGCCCCAGGTGGAGCCCTACGGCACGCCCTTGAAGATCACCCTCGAACAGGGTGTGAAGCTGAATGGCACCGTCGAGGTCGAGGTAGGTCCTTGAAGTGACGGATCATCTGGATGCAGACTGACCGTGCATGCATAGATTTCCGTGAAGACCACCGCTCGCTGCACGGCGCTCCAATGGCTGACGCCTGCCCAAACCTCCAACAAGAAACATCCCTATATGTGTAGGTGGCTCCGGGCACAGCCTAGAATGCTTCCGGAGAGGCAGGCTGTGGCAGTCATGGCTAACAACCGCTCCAGTCTCGCAATGCCAGGCCATCCACGCGCGGTCCATTTTCCCGTGTCAGGACACCCCGGATGTGAAGAGTACGTTTGACTTCAACATCACCTCGCCACTACCGGTGATTGCCAGTGGTCTGCCAATCCGACAGTCCTCGATGACCCCCCAGTCCGGAAACCAGCTGTACCGATTCCACCAGTCCATTCCGATCCCCAGCTATCTCTTTGCCCTGGCCAGCGGGTAAGGTTCATCCCCTCTGTCTCTCGTGTCAGTGTATTAACGGGAACCCCAATCAAGTGATGTGGCGGAGGCCCCCATTGGCCCTCGCAGTGTCGTAGCCACCAGCCCGGACGAGCTTGCCGGATGCACGTGGGAGCTCGAGAATGACACGGAGAATTTCATCACGACTATCGAGAAAATTGTCTATCCCTATGTCTGGGGCGAGTACAATGTCCTGATCCTGCCTCCGAGTTTCCCGTATGGTGGAATGGAGAATCCCATATTCACTTTCGCCACTCCCAGCATTATTTCAAAGGTATGTTCGGATGGGATTCTGGTTGGTGATGATAACTGACACGGTCTCCAGGACCGGGAAAATATCGATGTCATTGCGCACGAGCTCGCTCACAGCTGGAGTGGCAACCTCGTCACCAATGCCTCGTGGGAGCATTTCTGGCTGAACGAGGGCTGGACCGTGTACTTGGAGAGACGGATTCTGGCCGCCATTCATGGCGAGCCGTACCGTCACTTCTCCGCCATTATCGGGTGGAAAGCGCTGACCGACGCTATGGATCACTTTGGCCACGACCACGAATTCACCAAGCTGGTGGTGGATCTCAAGGGCAAGGATCCGGATGATGCTTTCTCCAGCATTCCCTACGAGAAAGGGTTCAACTTCCTGTTCCATCTCGAGAATCTGGTCGGCAAGCAACAGTGGGACAAGTTCATCCCTCATGTACGTGTAGTTGTCTTTTGCAATGTTGATCATGGCTGACTTCCTCGTTAGTACTTCACCGTCTTCAAGACCAAGTCTCTCGATTCCTATGAGTTCAAGGCGACTGTCCTGGATTTCTTCAAGTCCGATGCCGACGCATCCAAGGCTCTAAACGAGCTGGACTGGGATAAGTGGTTTTACGCTCCCGGCCTGCCTCCCAAGCCGACTTTTGACACCTCGCTTGTAGACGTGGTCTACGAGCTTGCCCAGAAATGGAAATCTCTCCCCGGCTCGTCTTTCAAGCCCCAGGCCAGCGATATCCAGGATCTGACAGCGAACCAGATCGTTGTCTTCCTGGAGCAGGTTCTCCGTTTCGAGCAGCCTCTGCAGCCCGAGCTGTCAAAGTTGATGGGTGAAGTCTACAGACTAGCCAAGAGCGAGAATATTGAGGTGGCCAACCTCTACTTCCAAGTCGGCATGAAGACCGGGGATGAGAGTGTGATTGAACCAACCACGGAGCTGCTGGGCCGGATCGGAAGAATGAAGTTTGTGCGACCATTGTATGTGCCCCCTATCTCGAGTTCTGTGTGAGGTTGCGATATGCTAATCTGATCTGGTCCAGGTACCGCAATCTCCAGAAAATCAACCGCCCCATTGCACTCGCGACATTCGAGAAGTATCGCGACTTCTATCACCCGATTTGCCGTGCCATGGTCGAGAAAGATCTATTCGGCAAGAAAGACCAGTAGACTGTTTGCTAGTTATATTCTCCATTTTAAAAAGAGTGTGGATGAAAAATGGGTGTCATATTATACATGATTTTAGCACCAAGAATTATTTCAATAGTAAAACAGGTATCCAAGAAAGCTTTTTGTCGACATGATCACTGGCTTGACTCGACAAGTTTCCGATCTGCCTCCGAGTATCCAAAGATAGTGCCCTTGTCCTTGCCGCTGAGGGTAAAGACCATATCAGCCTCACTCATTTGCGAGAGTTGCGACAAAACCCGCCGCATATACGCCACCACCAATGCGACCTTAGACCAGTTCAGTTCCTGACCATCGGGTCCCGTCGGACTAGCCTTCCACAAGTTCCGCCAGATAGCAGCACCCAGCACCGCGTCGCCCTTGACCAGACCTTCATCGTAGGCAGCCAGTACACCGCGCCACTGAATAAATAGATCCTTGAGGTATTTGTTCCGGATGGTCCGGCTGCTAATGTCATGGAGCACATCCATCCGGTGCTCTGCGTTATGCGAGAAGTGGTCGATCAGGTGGCGGGAGTAGGTCTGGACGCTGTCGTGGGAGGGAAGCGCGCGGAGCCTGACGGTCAATAGATACATGTGGAGAAAAGTCACTTGTGACCAGGTGGAAAAGGTTGGCAGAAGACCGAGTTCTGTATACACACGCGCTCAAAGATTAGTTTCTACAACAGCCAGGGCGAGGGAGAGGGTTCACCTTTAAACCACCAACTCTCACCCACGCCTAGGTCTTCACCAGCCTCTGTTTTAGGCACCGGAACTCCCTTCTGGGATATCTGCGGAATCTGATAATCGGCCTGGCTGGAGCAGGCCTCGAAGAGTTTCTGGGTCATGCCGTATGCGACGTAGATTTCGGCGGCTCCGCCTAGACGTGGCGCGCCACTTCTCGCCAGGCGCGGTGATTGCGAGTAGAGTCGAAACAGAAGGGTTGAACTTGACGATACGGGCAGAAAAGGCTCAGCCGGTGTATTCGAGGCGTTGCGACTGGTATACCGAACAGGGTGTTGCGCGGCGGTGGAGATCGAGGCGCTCTGGGACTGTGGCTGCAGTTCACGGGTCAGCTTGAGCGGTCACCTGTATGGATATGTATGTGCAGACCTGAAGCCATCGCGACTGGCGAAACCCTCGCACACCTAATGTTAGTGTTCTAGACATTGCTGTGTGTTGGGTGAGTCGGGAAGGAGGATTGTTACGGACGGGGGAAAATCAACCCGTTTGCACTGTTTGTCCTCCAAGTGTTACTCTAATAGATCGGTACTGCGACTATAAACAATTTAGGATCATAACTGTTTCATTCATTATTGATATTCGTCTATGACATTAATTTGCACAATGCTCCTGTTTTCATACAGCTCACGTCGGTATGTTGGTTGCGATGTTCCTGCACCAGCTGCCCAAGACATCGGTTCGGCTCCATGAGCTCACGCTTCTTCAAGCGATGCACGATGGTCTGGTTCGTATGAAATGCGTACTCCGCCATCCTGCTCAAATAGTCTTTCCGATTCGGATGCAATATAGCTTCGTCATTTTCATTGCACGTTCCGTAGGCCAAGAAGAGTGGTGTTTCCAATTCACTTCAGCCATCGAGAGAAACCCTCTCAGAGCGTTTGTCCACGAGAGGCAAAACTTCGGACAACCGGTTGGGGTCTCGCATAAACGCCGGAACATCCTCCCTGGTCGCCGCCAGAGTCTGCAGTTTATTAATCGACTAGGTCATCGTCTGGAGGAGTGTAGTACCGTACCTGTCGAATTTTCTCATATTCACCCTCCTTGGCCTGATATTCCCGGATCACCTCGCGACTCTCAAAGTCCACATAGACTCTGGTGTCTCGAAGTCGAATCAGGACGTTATCAAGGCGCATGAAGTACCGGGACAGCAGAAGAAGTCGACCCGGCATCACGCGGATCTTGCATGAGAGCATTGCAATCCCATTGTCGGCGAGCTCGTCCTCGTAAAGAACAACTTCATCAAAAAATAGGATTGGATCAGGACGTTTGAGGAGTTCAATAGGGATCGGTTTGGTTGTTTCTTCGAATGGGCGGGCATTGGGGTGAAGGGTGCCTTTGTAGTCGGTGCTATAGGACCAGTCGAACGGCTTCACCACTTCTTTAATGCCCTCGTGTGTTTTCTCTCTAGATCGACCTCCGAATTAATGGCATGCCATTGCACGGACAAAGAAACGTACCTGCTTTTCTGCCATTCTCTCGAATAGGCCACCTGGAGCATGGACTGTCCCGTCTTGTCCACCCGGTCTAACGCGTCAAATGCGTTGAATTGAATCCCCCAATCGCCCTTTTCCCGCTCAATGGCCACAAAATTGTCTCCAAAGATCATCTCGGGTGGCGCAATGCCCAGCTTCTTCGTCATCTCCTCGATGGGCTCAGCCTTGAGAATGGGTAGCTTCTGTGTCGAAATGCGGAAGCCCTGGACGGAGACGGACGTGGGATGTTTCGCATCTGGCGACACGGTCGCATGCCCGGGGGCAGCGGAGTGAGGGGAATGGGAGGCCATGACACTGGCTGTGGGATGAAGACGACGCAGGTCAGATAAGGAAAGCGAGATAACCCCGATATGCCGGATTAAATGCCCGGGCCGAGGGGTTGCCGGGGCGACCGAGGCAAGCACGAACAGACAGCCCAAACATGACCGGATCATCAACTCTTCGAAGTTCTCCACGACCACCTCGCTTTTCGCCCACCCACGTTCCCGCTTCTGCCGTGTCCATCACTAGCTATGACCGCCAAAACACTGGAGGCTCGGTTTGAGCATCTCTCTGTCAAGGACGAGAAGGAGAATGGCGGCAGTGATCGGACCTACAAACACAAGGTACTACATACGTGACCTCGTCCACTGTCCCTGGTTTTAATCTAATAAAATTTCTTGCAGGGCTCCTCCCTATCCACAGCCGTCTCATTGTCCGGCCTAGGTGCGGCGGGCCAAGTAAACAACAGCTCAAATCGCGCCCACCTGCTGAAGCTGGCACTTCAGAACACCAATGACAATAAAACCAACACCATGAATTCCCCGGGCAAGGGGTCGCAGAGTAGATCCACGGCCCGGGGTGATGAGGCCGACCAGCGCAACTCTACGGTCCTGTATGACCAGCCCTCGGTACCCAAGCAGCTACACCTGGGAATGTTTGAGATTGGAAAGCCTCTGGGCAAAGGCAAGTTTGGACGAGTCTATCTGGCCAAGGAGCGGTCTTCCGGCTTTGTATGCGCTCTCAAGGTTCTGCACAAGTCCGAGCTGCAGCAAGGCGGCGTCCAGAAGCAGGTTCGTCGTGAGATCGAAATCCAAAGTAATCTGCGTCATCCCAATGTCTTGCGACTCTACGGCCATTTCCATGACAGCAAGCGAATCTTTCTGATTCTAGAATTCGCTGGTCGGGGAGAGCTGTACAAGCATCTCCGGAAAGAACACCGCTTCCCCGAGTGGAAGGCTGCGCAGTATATTGCGCAGATGGCAGCGGCATTGAAGTATCTGCATAAGAAGCATGTGATGCACCGCGACATCAAGCCCGAGAACATCCTCGTTGGCATCCATGGAGAAATCAAAATCAGTGACTTTGGGTGGAGTGTCCACGCGCCTAACAACCGACGCCAGACCATGTGTGGAACGCTAGACTACCTGCCTCCAGAGATGCTCAAGCCCGGCTCGCAAGACAACTTCTATAGTGAAAAAGTGGACTTGTGGAGTCTGGGTGTGTTGACCTATGAATTTCTCGTGGGCGAAGCCCCCTTTGAGGATACGCCCGTCATGACCCAACGGCGGATCGCTCGGGCAGATATGTCCGTGCCGTCATTTATCAGTCCGGAGGCGAAAGATCTGATCAAGCGGGTGAGTTTGGTTATTCTTTTGTTGATAGCCTTGGGTACTGACTAGTAATATAGCTGCTGGTCCTGGATCCCGAGAAGCGGATTCCGCTGGACGAGATCCAGCGGCATCCTTGGATCGTCAAGCACTGTGTCAAAGATGACAGGGTGTTGAAGCGGAGTTCCGGCCAGTCCAAGGACGGCAAAGCGTGATCCATTCTCCATGCATGGCAGATTATCGGTGTTGGAATGTTTCTCTTGCGTCTTGGAGTTTGCGGCGTTGGTTCTTGTTAGCATTTTCGGGTTTTGGGAGTTGCTTTTTCGCTGGGGGTAATCGGGGAGAGATGCGCGATATGGCACCATGTGAAGTTAATCTCGGTCTTCCAATTGCGTCCATAAAATATGATACAGTCAAAGAAACGGTCTAGCTAACACAAGAGAAGAGAGAATCGTGGTCTGCGCTATAAAAACAGGGAGGAGGTATCATCGGAAGATTTCATCAAACGGCCGTGTATCTTTGAAGCAGCTATCCCAGACTTCATTGACCACCCTCTCGGCATGGGCCTCATCCTTGCAGGTTGGCCGAGCCCGGACGGATAGAATGGCTCTTCGTCGTACACATTCTTGATGCTGCTGTGTGAGTTTCCATTGGCCTCTGCGGAAGAACTCGCGCGCCCATCTGCATTCGCCGCTGAGCGAGCTGGCGCGGATCTAGCGAGAGAGATGGTTAGCCAATGAATGAATCATCATTGATTTTGTAGTAGGCGGTAATACCTCTGTGCAAGCGGCATGGCGCAGATTATTCGTCCAGTCTACTTTAAAGCGCAGATGATCGTAGGCATGAACCATCTCATGCGCCATGGTATCCTCCAGATGACCCTGGTCCTTCATCTCGTTCGCGCACACTAGGATCCCGTATTGCGGATCGAATCCGCCGGCCTTTCGGTTCGTGCATCTGCGACAGTAGATATTGTGACTGTGGAGATCGCCGCCCAGTTGTCGGATATTGTCGGTGAGAAAACGGATCACGGGGCCTTCAAATCCCATGTTAGAGTCCAGGGGTTCCAATGTGGCTCAAGCCGCTCACTATATTGAAGAAGATAGTCCCGCTGTTCCTCGCAGCGCTTGCAATCGGCCACTTCGTTTCGGATATCGCGCGCGACGCGGAACTTCTCGATGCCCTCGGCGGACATCTTCCCGGTGAGGATGGAGTAGATGTTGCGGAACTGGGTCCAGGTGTCATCACCGGGGATGTATCCTGAGTCGGGCTTGTCAGCTGGGGGTGCAGCCGCACCGGGCGACTGGGAGTCTGGCATGTCGAGAGGACTCTAGAGATCAATCAATCCATCCATCACGGTCGCAAAGAGAAGAATCTCCGGGAGGCGGTGGGAGATGGCAAAATCGCCGGTAACAGAAAGAGAGTGTACGAGCGGGCAGGCTTGACCTCTCGATTACCAGACACCATGGCTGCCATTGGGACCTACAACATGTCCCCCTCCGGCCTAACCATCGTGATCAAGCTGGGTACGAGAATCCCTCCCTGATCGGCTCCGTCTCGTCCAGAATTATATGACGATACTGACCCCCCACTTTGACGGACAGGAACGAGTTCTATTGTCGACGAAGTTACCCATGAGCCTATCCTCTCGATCCTAACATTAATCGTGGAGACTGTCGCCAAGCTGCGCAGGGATGGCCACAAAGTGGTCTTGGTATCATCAGGCGCCATTGGAGTCGGCCTGCGGAGGATGGATATGGAGAAGAAACCGAAACACTTGCCTCGGATACAGGTGTGTCTTCTGTCAGATCACGTTTGGGCTGGAACTGATGTGAATCATTAGGCTCTAGCGGCCGTGGGTCAATGCCGGCTGATGAGTCTGTGGGACAACCTCTTCTCGCATCTTTGGGTCCCGGTGGCCCAGATTCTCTTAACGCGAAATGACATTGCCGATGTAAGTCTCTTGCTTTTCGCCTGCCTTTTTCTTGTCATCTAACACTCTATCCAGAGATCCCAATATGTCAACGCCCAGAATACCTTCGAACAGCTCTTTGATATGGGCGTGATTCCTATAGTCAACGAGAACGATACCCTGGCTGTTTCCGTAAGGCTCTCTTTCATTGTCTGCTCTTTCGCCCCTGCTCACCTACCATCTTTCTCAAGGAAATTAATTTTGGCGACAATGATACCCTATCAGCCATTGCTGCCGCCATGGTGAAAGCGGACTATCTCTTCCTCATGACTGACGTCGACTGTCTCTATACTGCAAACCCGCGCACCAACCCGGATGCAGAGCCCATTGAAATTGTCACAGACATTGCTTCGCTAGAAGCCGACGTTTCGTCCGCAGGATCGGCATTGGGAACGGGGGGCATGAGCACCAAAATTGTGGCGGCCAAATTGGGGACCAGTGCTGGAGTCACGACCATTATAACGAAAAGCTCAAAGCCAGGGAACATTCATGAGATTGTGAAGTACCTGCAAAGCATTCAAGAGGAGCCCCAAGACGGCGCACAGGAAATACCCAAGGCTCCCCTTCATACCCGATTCCTCCCCTCGGACACTCCGATCAAATCTCGATCATTCTGGCTGCTCCACGGTCTCACTCCACACGGGACCCTGTACATCGATCACGGTGCATACAATGCCCTTCAGAATAAAGCAAATCTCCTTCCCGCCGGAGTTGTTGCTGTGGAAGGACACTTCGGGCACCAGGAATCGGTGCGGTTGGTGGTTGTTGATCGACCTTCCCAGGAGGCTCTAAATGGAGACTTCCCGCTTGAAGGACAGGAGCTCAAGGAAGTCGGTCGCGCGCTGGTCAATTACGGCAGCATCGAAATTGCACATATCAAGGGCCACCGGAGCTCGGAGATCGAGTCGGTGCTTGGCTACTCGGACAGCGACTATGTGGCAGTGCGCGAAAATATCACGTTTCATCCAGACGATTGGCTCAGTCACTCTCCCACCCCACTATTAACGCCGGCCCTGGAGGCATGGAGCATATAGTTCATACTGTGAACTTTACATAATTGGTCTGATCTTTTCAACACTTTACCGAGAGGACGGTTGGTCGTTTTGTTCAACCATAATGGGATGATCAGAGTTCGGTATAGAAGGACCACATGATGATAGAAGCACAGGACATTGATATAAAAAATGTTGCGAACAGGACACGAATAATGACATCTTTGTTTCATCGCCATCACCAATGACCTTAATCCTTCCACCGCTCCAGCCATTGCTGCATTCTCTTGTCCAGCGTTGGAGCCGCCGCGGGGGCAACCTAAATCACGAATTAGACTCCTCGGCGGTATTGGCACCGGGTCAAACATACATTATTCTCAGTGGCTTCCACTGTCGCAGACAGATACTCTGACAGGGTCGTTTGAACCGTCGGTTCACCCAGATAGGTCGTTGCAATAACAAAAGGAAATGGTGGATACTGCGGTGTAGGCGACTTGTCTAGGATAGTACTGCCAGCGCGTTTCGGCATTGGAGCATACTTGGTCGGACCAGGCTGCATCCCAAAGGGCACAGTGTGCATGTCCAGGTCCTGTCGTCTGCGTAGTTCGTTGCCATGGATCGTGTCTTCGGTCGCGGCTGGGAACTGGAGGACGGATTCTGTGTTCCCTATGGAGACTGACTGTTTGAATGTCGGGGTTGGTTTGGAGCCATCTTCGAGGAGATGGTCTTCTTCCACTAGGGGCCAGGGGAGGGCAAGTGCCGGTGTCATGGCTCTGATTGCATTGGAGATTTTGGGGGGAAATGAGCCTTTCATATTGGTCAAAGTAAAGTGGGAGGTGTAACCAGACCAGGAGTCGTTTGGTCCAGTAGAAACAATCTTCAGGAAGCTATTCAAGACTCGGTCAGTATGAGTCTTTTGGGGGTTGGTTGGGACTTTCATACTATGCGTTGGGCTCATTCCCACCCACGCTCTGGTTCACACGGAAAGACACCAAATCCTCCGGTGCAAATGTACCCTTCTGGACAACTTGAGCTAGGCAGTCCTGCATGTGTATATCTCAGTGGTTGGTCATTTCTGGATATGGGTCCCATCCCACTTACATAGGAGTCCGTGGTCTCGTCGCCAGCACACAAATGGAGATCGTATGTCGCTGGCCCATTACTCTCATAGGTCCACAACAGACTCACCACATCGCCAGAATCGAAGGTCAGCCCGTTGGCGGTCATGATCTGGGCGTGAGAGCTCGCGGCCAGGAACAGGGCAACGAACACCGACAATAATGGATTGAGCGCCATGCTGAAGGAATTCGACAGGTCTCCCACAAAAGAAACAGAAGAAGGAAAAGAGCAAAACAGGGAGGTGAGTCGAGGAACCACCCCTACATTCCATACTTCAGTTAGTTAGGGCTTGGATGGGCAGCTGATTGATGGCCCGTGCTATCGATCAGCTCACTCTCTCTGTTCCGCTCGCGCATCCCGTTCTTTCGACCTTCAACTCCACAACCAACCATGGCAACTGAACCAGGCTGGAACTCCGTGGCGGGCGTCGCTACCAAGTTGCTCGACGGCAACCTTGTCGCCATCGCCATCGCAGTGCTCATCACCTTTGGTGTGCCGGTGCTGCTGCACATCATCTTCTACCGCAGCGCAGCCGCTCCGCCTTCGAGCAACTTCCTTCTGCTGGGGCCGAGCGGTGCAGGGAAAACAGCTTTCACATCCCTGGTATGCTATCCTCTCATACAAATTCTTCTCTTGCTAACAAGACCCTGAAAGCTCGAGGCCAAATCTTCTCCCGCCTCCAAAAAGTCCCACCTAACGCACACCTCCCAGTCCTCAACACTGGTGACCGTCGGCCTTCCCCGGATGTTCCCACGGCTTCCAATCGCTATCGATCCGTCAACGATCCTTCTCTCAAAGAAATCTCAAGAAATCCCGTCAGATACCGAGTGCAAGACACCCCCGGCCATGGCAAGCTGCGCGTTTCCCAGGGAATCTCCCAGCTGCAGGCCATGTCCCAGTCCAATGATGCCAAGATAAAATTACGAGGCGTGCTGTTCATGGTCGATACGGCGGCTCTCGTGGATGAAGCAACGCTCCGAGACAGCGCCACCTATTTGCACGATGTGCTCCTGATCCTGCAGAAGCGAGCTCTGAAGAAGGGCAAGTCGTCCGCCAAGGTTGCTGCGGAGGTTCCAGTGCTGGTGGCTGCCAACAAACAGGATCTCTTTACTGCGCTCCCACCCGGTTCGGTGCGGGAGAAGTTGGAGGCGGAGATTGATCGGATCCGCAAGTCGAAGACGAAGGGTCTTTTGGATGCTAGTGCGGGTTCGGGCATGGAGACAGAAGAGGATGAGGTTCTGGGAAATGATGGAGGTCTGGAGGGGTTCAGTTTCAAGCTGTTAGAGGAGGAAGTGGGCGTCAAAGTTGATGTGGTCGGTGGTGCCGTCAAGGGTGACCCGAATGAGGAATTGGGATCGGGCGTGCGTCGGTGGGAAGAGTGGGTTGGACTGTGTCTGTAGATGAATAATGAAAGGGAAGAAGAGTGCATGTACATTAGACTAATCTACGTCCCAGTCGAATCCTAAGGTCTCTGTTGCTTGCGCATCGATCCAGTCCTAATCAGTTAGAATCGATATATATTTCTCAGGGTTGGAGACACCACTTACCCACAAATTCCGCGCCAGCTTCGAATCCTGTGCCGTCGCACTCGGCGCACACCGCGTCGCAATGGGAATAAAGTACTCCCCCCGGTAACTGTTCTGGCGAACCTCTTGACTGGCAGCCAGATACACCGCGGTGGCTGCACCATCTTGTAGATTTTGCCCGAAGAATCCCGCTAACTTGCGCAGGATCCATCCCAAAAACCCGCCAACATACGCACTCCACGCGGTCCACTGGTCCGTCACAATATTCCCGGGGAAATACGAGTTGACATAGATGTGCTGGGCCGCTGGGTCCCGGTCCAGGAGCAGCCGTCGACTCAGCTCATTCGCAAACAGGATATTCCCCAACTTCGAGCGGCCATACCGCCATATGCCATCCCACATGTCCGACCACTTTATAATGCGCGAGGGCGAGGTGAGCAGATCCAGATCCAGATGGCGACAGACTACATGCAGCACTGAGCTGGTGACCACCACCCGGGCATCGCCGTTGTTGGTGTGCGTTACTGCTCGTTTCAGCAAAGGAACCAAGAGCATCGTCAGGACCTGGTGCCCGACGCAGTTGGTTGCGAAGACCCAGTCGATATTCTGTGATGAGCGCTTGTATTGCGGCGGCACGCCCAATGCCGCGTTGCAGACAAGGATGTGAACATATTCTGTGCTCTGCTTAATTTGATCCGCGGCGGCTTTGACTGCGTTGATGTCACCCAAATCGCACGGGACAAACGTGACGCGGGAATTGTCTTCATCGAGTAAGTGGCGCTGCTTCCATGCTTGGAGCGCCTCTTGGTATTTGGTGGCGCTGCGGGCGACGAGGAACACCTTGGCTATGCCGTGCTCCAGGAGCTGAGCGGTGATTTCTACCTGATTCTTAGCGATTACGATGCTTGCGCCGTGTCACTGAGCGCCTGCCTTGACCGATGCCTGCTTGGCCCCCCTGCGATGCGGTTAGGATGATGAACATGCAGTAAAGGGCGGAATAGTGAGTGCTGACACACCGTCACCACGGCTACTCGACCATCCAGGTCAGGAGTGTCTTGCAGCGAGAAATTCCGATAGGTGAAGATGCCGGTCATTTTGCCTGGGAAGAAGAAAAGGAGATGGGGAGAGAAATCTACGAAACTTGGATGGTTGCAGCAGAGCCCCACGTCATCCTGATCAGATCGGTCTAGGTATTCATGTTCTTTCTATTCGACCTGTATTAGTGTAAAGTCACAACGCCGCCCCTTCTGCTTCTATCCCGTTTTTACTCGACTGTGTTGAAAATTGAAGTTGATGAACCCATCACCCTGACAATATAAAAGCAAGCCATTGTTGAAACTCCAGGGAATGTTTCCGAAAATGCACCTTACTGAGATTTGCCGTGATGCAGCATCCAAGTGAGCAGGTCGACCTTGGTCACCACCGCCATCGGCTTCATTGCGCCACTGTCGTCTCGCTCGGTCACCACCGCGGCACTGTTCCATTCAAAGAAGCGGTTGAGCACGCTGAGCGGGGTGTCCATGGTGATTTCCACAAAACGACGGCCCTTGATCTGTGGCCGCAACGTGTCCGTCGTCCCGTTGGCGTGGCCATTTTGCTTCACTCCTAGATCGCGGGGGTCCGTCACGATCTCGGGAATCTTGGAGAAGTCAAACATGACCTCTGACACGGGACTCTCTCCCGTCGCCCGTCCATGAGTTAGTCGGCTGAGGACGTTGCCCAGCGTGATCAGACCCACGAGTTTGCGTCCCGAGGGTGCCAGGACGGGAAGCTGGTCGAAGCCCTTGTCGCGCATGATCTCGATTGCGGCCCCGCATGCAAAGTTCGTCGTCACGGTGGTGACCGGTTTCAACCGCAGGGCGCTGACCTTGGCCCCGGCCAGCGGGTCCTTCGGGGGCTGTGGCTGCTCCTTATGCATGGCCGTGGCGGCTTCACTGGGGACCGTAGGGAGAAGATCGTTGGCAGCCAGCCAGTCATCGTCGGCAAACTGAGAACCATCAGTACGGACTGACATATTAATAAACGGGAAGAATGCCCTACCTTGGTGAGGTAACTGCGGATACTGTCGGGAAGAATCACCACGACCACGTCGTCTTGGGAGAACTTGTGCTCCTCGTTGGCCTTGACCAACGCGGCAATGGCACTACCACTGCTGCCACCAACCAGCAACCCCTCCTCGGCGATCAGTCGCCGTGAGTACTGGAAGGACTCTTTGTCTCCAGTCTTGTACCACTGATCGACGGCCTTTTGATCCAACACCTCGGGGATGAAGTCATACCCAATGCCTTCCACTTTGTAGGGTTCATTGGCATGCGAGTCGTTCAGAGAAGCGGGCAGGGCCAGAATCGATCCCAAGGGGTCGGCCGCAATTACATTCACAGCCGGGTTATGCTTCTTCAGGCCTCGGGCAAGACCGGTGATCGTGCCACCCGTGCCTGCGCCGGCGACAATCGCGTTGATCCGACCTTTGGTCTGTTCCCAGATCTCTTCGGCAGTGCCATACTCGTGGGCCAATGGGTTGTTCTCGTTGCCGTACTGGTCCAAAATGTGGGCATTCGGCAGTTCCTTCTGGAGGCGTTTCGCGACACCGATATGGGACTCGGGGGAATCGTAGGCGGCCTCGTTGGGGGTTCGGATGATGGTTGCATTCAAGGCGCGGAGCACGGCCACTTTTTCCGCGGACATCTTTTCGGGCAGGGTGATGATGGTCTTGTAGCCTGTTTCGCATCGAACGGTAAGAAAGATGATCGTAGTCAGTCCGGACTGTTAACTCACCCTTGACCGCGCCCACCAGCGCCAGTCCAATCCCACTGTGTCCATGGATTAGTGTCTGCATGGTCAGCTCGAAGGGGACGGTACGAACGTATTCCCGCTGGTCGGCTCGATGAGGGTGTCGCCCGGCTTGATGCGACCTGAACGCTCAGCCTCCTCGATCATGCGCAGAGCAATGCGGTCCTTGACGCTGCCACCGGCATTGAAGTACTCCAACTTGGCGTACACGGTGGCCTCGATGCCCAGACTGCGGGGCAGGCGGTTGAGGCGCACCAGCGGCGTGTTGCCGATATGCTGGGTGATGGAGTCCAGCGCCACGGGGGGCATACCCGGACTGGTGATGGAGGCCATTGGGTGAGTGGTGGGAGAGTAGGAAGGGTAGGAAGTGGAAGAGAGAAAGCAGAGTCTGACGGTGTCGCCATCATGAAGTCTAACTTCAGATTGGCCGACGATAGCCGTTCCCGGCCCACTTCATTCCAGAACTATGATCGACTCGAACTGATCGAGACGATAATAGCAACAACAACAACAATAATAATAATCATAATGAAGGATTATCGCATTGGTTCATTTATGCTGACCGAGTATTCAATATGCTCGTATTGCTTGGGGCCTCGACGGGGCAGGTTCCGAATTCAACGCTCGGGGCCGAACGATCTAGTTCGTCGGCGCCGACAAACTCCAAGATCCTCAATAGGAGCATTATAAAGAGTGCCTAACGGACCCAGCTATCACAAGTATTAATTACTCGTTCCTTTCTACTATACAGTTAATGAATCCCACCGGCTCGGTTCTCATCACGGGCTGTAGCGACGGCGGCGTCGGGTCGGGCCTCGCGCTTGTCTTCCAGGCAAGAGGGTATCACGTCTTCGCGACCACTCGAAACCCCGAGAAAATGTCCATTCTCCAGCGTCTCCCCAACGTCACCTTGCTGCCGCTGGATGTCGCCGACTCCAGCCAGATCCATGCCGCGGTAGAGGCTGTGACGGCGATCACCGGTGGAACCCTATCGATCCTGATCAACAATGCAGCGCAGTTCCATCTGATGCCGTTGCTCGACGATGATATTGAAACTGCCAAGCAGGCCTTTGACACGAATGTCTGGGGTCCACTCGCCGTCACCAAGGCGTTTGCACCGCTTTTGATCCAAGCACGGGGAATGCTGGTCAACATCACCACCATCGCTGGACATAATCCTATGCCGTACTCGGGTAGGTTTGTGTGCACCATTCAACCGGAGGGAAATTAATGAGTTGTGAATCTAGGGATCTACGGCGCCTCGAAACGGGCCCAGGAGCATATGTCGGACGTTTTCCGTCTCGAGCTGTCCCCCTTCCGTGTGAAGGTCCTGTCCGTGGTGACTGGTGCTCTCGCGAGTGGCCAGGGCGCCCAGAACGTTGTGCTGCCACCCGACTCGCGGTATAAGGCCATTGAGCACATCATCGCGGCCCGGGGGAGTAATAGCCACTCCCGTATGCCCGTGACGACCTACACCACTCAGGTCGTGGATCAGATTGAGGCGGGGACCACCGGCAAGGTGTGGCTCGGGGATCATGCGGAGGAAGCCAAGCAGGCGACTCTGAATCCGGAGAAGGCTGCGGGATGGGTATGTTTCGTCTGTACTCGATGCGGGTGGTGCTAATGGTTGCCTAGGAAGGGTTTATTTCGAAGAGTATGGGGTTGGATCGTTTGTCGATATAGGTTCTGAGCGAATATGATTGACTCCTAGGACCAGTGGAAGGATAGAACTACTATGGTATTGTTCACTCCTCGGACGTATAGTTAGAACTATGTAACTTAGGGGATACACCGCCAAGCCCAATTGTGGCGGAGCTGCTCCACCTGTTTCGGCCTGATTGTTTACTCCCGTCTACTTCGACGGGATCAACTATTGACTTCCGATCCCTCCATGATAATGTGGCCTGCCCACCCACCAGCTCATGGTCCAGGAGCGGCTGGAACGAATCCGGGCAGTGCGATACTCACCAACGTGCATCGCAATCTCGTCCGTCGAAGATCTTCATCCCGTCAGGCGCCAAGCCCCCCCTGAATCGATGGATTCGCGCGGTGGATTCGGAGTGACTGACCTGCATGAATGGATTGACGTGTGAGGGTCTGCTTGCTTTTTTTCCCTCGCCTCTCTCCCTCCTCCACTGCTGATGGTCCATCCCAACACTCCCTTCATCTCATCCCATTCTTTTTTCTTTTTTTGGTTCTTGTTCTTCTTCTTCTGAGCCCCTGTCTCGATTGTCTGGAGCCAAGATGGGCTCCATCAGATCCTCCGCGTCCCAGACCGCAGTCCATCCGAATACGAGCGGTGAAGGCGTGAAGGTCTCCGAGTCCAACGGAGCCGAACAGCAGCAGTCCATCTTGCCCACTCACAATGAGAAAGCCCGCGTCCATCCACAGAGGCTCTTCCGCGTCGATAGCGCCGGTGAAAGCGGTCGTCGAGGCATCAACCCGCTCCAGATGCTCCTCGTCAGCTTCAAGAGCACCTGTACGCTTTCCATGATCGTCAACATCCTGTGGCCCTTTGTGCCAGCCGCCATTGCCATGCATTTTGCCCGCCCCGATAATCATGTCTGGGTGTTCACCCTCAATTATATTGGTGAGACTCGTCTCGATCGTCATCTCCGAGTGTCTAACGGATATGCCCGATAGCCATGGTCCCGTCAGCGAATCTTTTAGGCTTTGCAGGCGGCGAGTTGGCCAAGAAGCTGCCTAAGATGATCGGCGTCTTGCTGGAAACGACCCTGGGCTCTGTGGTGGAGATCGTCCTGTTCATGGTCTTACTGTGTTCGAAGAAGAACCTCATCCCCGTCATCCAAGCTGCCATCCTCGGCTCCATTCTGGCCAACTTGCTCCTCTGCTTGGGCATGTGCTTCTTTCTTGGGGGTGTGAAACGTCACGAACAGACCTTTCATGAGGCCGTCAGTGAGGTGGGAACAGGACTCTTACTGGTCGCTGGCTTTGGCCTTTTGATCCCCAGCGCGTTTTACGCGGCCCTGAAGGGGAGCACCACCCTGAAAACATACCCTTTGGAAAAGTTGCGAACGGATACCCTGACCATCAGCCGTGGGACGGCCGTGATTCTTCTGGTCGCCTTCTTTGTGTGGGTTCTGTCCTTTCCTTTTCCTTTGCTGACTGTGAGGCTGACTCGTCCCTCTTTAGTTATCTTTTTTTCAACCTGCGCAGCCATAACACGCTCTTTGATGAGATCTTGGAAAAAGATGAAGCGCTCGACGAGGACCGGGACGAGGAGCAGACACGGGCCAAGCTCACCCTGGCAGAATGTCTCCTGGCCATTGCCCTCTCTCTGACCTGTGTCTGCATGTGCGCCGTGTTCCTCGTCCATGAGATCGAGCATATTGTGGAGCGCGGAATCCCGGACCCTTTCATGGGCTTGATCCTGGTGCCCCTGGTCGAAAAGGCCGCGGAGCATCTGACGGCCATGGACGAGGCGTGGGACAACCAGATCAACTTTGCGCTCTTCCACTGCCTGGGGCCGTCGATCCAGACGGCACTGCTGAATGCGCCGCTGGCTGTGATCGTTGGGTGGGGGCTGGGCAAGGATATGAGCCTGAACTTTGAGATTTTCATGATCGTGTTGCTGGTGCTGGCGATCCTGGTGGTGGGCAACTTCCTGCGGGATGGCAAGTCCAACTACCTCGAGGGCAGTCTCTGCGTGTTGGTCTATGTTATTATCGCCCTGACGACGTGGTTCTATCCCAACGCCACGGTCGCGTCGACCAACGGGCTGGTGGAAGAATAAATAAACCGTTGGTATAGAAGGGCGACCCGAAGTATCTACACACTCTACTACTTAGTTCTACCGTAATCCATGCCCCGACCACTCACTCGGCCAGAATATGGCCATCCGACCCCGACCATTCTCGGCTCTGTATATTAATATTCCTCGTGGAGATCCATCCCTGTCTTCCCACAATCCGGCATCGGCTCAGGCCGCCAGTAGCCGTGGCCCGCCGCCGAATAATATCCCCGCAACATTTCTCCTTCTTCCAGTATTGCCGTGATTCTTCTTCCCACACCATAATAATGACCTCGGTAGACAAGATCCTCGCGGCCAAGTACCCGGCCAAGGCTCATGCCCGTCGCGTCGCCGAGTCCCTCAAGGCTCAGAATGGTGCCGCCGGCCTGATCTATCTGGAGGCGCAAAAGACCCGCATGATTGAGGACAGTGACGAGTCCATGCCCTTCCGGTATCCTTTCCCCCCCACCCTGTCGAGCTTGCTGTGGCCTATGACTGATGCACACGCAGGCAACGCCGTCCCTTCTTCTACCTCACCGGCTGTCTTCTGCCAGATTCCTACGTGGCATATGATATCCGCAAGGACGAGCTGACCCTCTTCATTCCACCCGTTGACCCCGAATCCGTCATCTGGTCGGGTCTGCCTCTCTCGCCGGAGGAGGCCGTCAAGCAGTACGATGTTGATCGGGCTCTATATACCACCGACGTCAATGCCACGCTGGCGGCGATCGCGGCAGCCCAGGATGGGAAGACCGTGGCTTTTGCCATTGGCGAGCAGGTCTCGGAGGGCACGAGTTTCCAGGGCTTCGCCGAGACGAATACGGGGGCTCTGAAGAAAGCCATTGAAGATACCCGTGTGCTGAAGGATGCTTACGAGATTGCTCTCCTGCGCAAGGCGAACGAGATATCGGCCAAGGCCCATATTGCCGCCATCCAGGCGGCCAAGACGGCAACCAACGAGCGTGAGATCGAGGCTGCTTTTATTGGGGCGTCCATTGCCAATGGCTGCCGCGAGATGTCGTATCATCCCATCGTCGCGGGTGGTGAGGGTGGCGCCACCCTCCATTACGTCAAGAACGATGAGAGCCTCATTGATCCCATCACCAAGAAACGCAAGAACAATGTTCTCATTGATGCCGGTGGTGAGTATCAGACCTACTGTGCTGATATTACGCGGGTGATCCCCCTGTCGGGCAAGTTCGCGCCCGAGACGCGCCAGATCTATGAGATTGTCCTCCAGATGCAGGACGAGTGTATTGCCATGCTGAAGGATGGCGTGCTGTGGGATGACGTGCACGCGCATGCGCACCGCGTGGCTATTCGTGGCCTGCTGAAGCTAGGTATCCTGCGTGGCTCAGAGGATGAGCTGTTCGACAAACGTGTCAGCGTCGCTTTCTTCCCGCACGGTCTTGGCCACTACTTGGGCATGGATACCCACGACACCGGTGGCAATGCCAACTACGAGGATCAGGACAAGATGTTCCGCTACCTCCGTGTGCGCGGCCATCTGCCTGCGGGCTCGGTGATCACCGTGGAGCCAGGGGTAAGTTTATCGCGGCGTGTTTCCATGACTTGGGCTAACTCCATGTGCACCAGATCTACTTCTGTCGATTCATCATTGACCCCGTCCTCAAGTCCCCGGAGCTGGGCAAGTACATCGACGCTGCCGTCCTGGAGCGATACTGGAGTGTGGGAGGTGTTCGGATAGAGGATAACGTCCACATCACCAAGGACGGTTATGACAATCTGACAACGGCGCCAAAGGAGACTGCCGAGGTGGAGGGTTTGGCTCAGTAGAACGATTTCATGGATCTCACAAAATTCATGTAATGTGCACATATGGTGGTCTCACTAGTAGACTGATGAGATCTTCTTCAAACACGGATCATAGTTCAATGTGCAGAACACGGGACATATTGTCATCAGATGCAGATTGTATCAGGCTCAAATACTACTGTGTAGGCGCTTTCGCGCGCTCCCTTTGGCGCCGGCCTCCACATTACCCTGGTTGTTCTTTTCTGTCTTGTCCAGAACAAGGGTCAGGACGTCAAACCCGAACTCGGGAACCTCAATGCACAGCTTTTTGAAATCATCCTCTACTTCATGCCGCCGGATCGGGCTCCGAGAGGCCCAGAATCTCGCAATGGGCTTTCGAAGCATGACATCGACCGCCGGGGTAGTGGTGTAAACATAGCGGGCATACAAGAGCTCGCCGCGGGGGGTAGAGTTGACCCGGTGGATTTTGGAATGGGCCAAGTTCTTCAGGGCTGGCAAGCCGAGCTTCGCGGCCAGTGTGTAGACCCACGCATGCCGAAGTAGATGGTTCTCCGACTCGTCTGCGCCGGCACCGGGGCCTGGACTCCCGGTTGATGAGACAGAGTAGTCACGAGTGTACTGGAACTGCAGGAAGCAACCGAAGGCTTCGATATTTTCGTTTGGTAGGTGGATGCGCCGCTATATCCAGCCATCACAGTATGTATTAGGACCTTTTGATCTAGACATCGTGCTGAGGCGGAGACTCACCGGGCCGGAAGCTTCAAAATTGGAGACTAACTCCGAGAGGAAGGGTGAGTCGTAGAGAAGGCTTTGGTGAGCGGTCAGAACTGTCTCATTGTCGCCTTGGCCGACCACAATCTCGACGATGGGGGATGTCAGAAAACTAAGAGAGGTGAGCCCAGGATGGGAGGGGAGAGGGTATGTCATTGGGGCGGGAGCAGCTCGACGATTGAGCGGAGTAGGAGGGAGGGAAACACACTCGAGGAATTTGAGGGAAGCTTTTTATCGCAGGAGTCGTGCGTTCCAGGTTGGGTGCATCTGGCAGGCTGTCTTCCTCTTCCGGTTGGGGGTGGTTGGCTGCCGTTCACTGGTGGCGAGGAAACTTCCACTTGGACATTGCCGTTGTTGGTCTCTGCTGGGACTTGCATCTGCGACGCATCATCTACGGTGGTTAAGTAATTGGGATGTTGTTGCAACAGCGTGTTGCAGCAAGGAAGAATGAGACAGAAGGTAAAGAAAGTAAAGAAGCTCGGGCGGGCCAAACCAACCACAACCCAACATGCGAACGGGCAACAGATCATCATCATCATGACTTCCTTCCCTCATACGTAGTTAGTATGTTCATCTTTCTCTCTCTCTCACCAACACCATGACTCGGGATCCAGACAATAATCACTCGCCCTGGCCCTTGGTCCAGGGCCAGCTTTCATCAGAAAACGATGGCCCGCGCAGGCGCGTGCCCGTTAAGCTGCGCGAAACCAACCGCGCCGGCCAGTATCTACTCACTACCGAGGATTCTGAGATGCTCCAGGAAATCCTAGACATCCATTTAGAGAACCCGGGCGTGTCTTGGAAGGGGCGCTTCCGCTTCCGGGACCTGACGTTCACCCGGCAGCTCAGCACCTTCGACCGCCAGAACCCCACGTTTACCTCGTCGCAGTTCCGTGGCTTCTTTGTCCTCTTCTGGCTGGGGGTAGTTCTTTTGTTGGTCAGGGTCGCGGCCAATAACTGGCGGGCCTACGGCACACTCTGGGGCAAGAATGAGATCCTGCGCCTCATGTTCGATAAAGATGTCCTGGTCCTCGGAGTGACCGATTTGGTGCTGTGCTGGTCCCCGGCGCTTTGTCTGGTGCTCCAGTGGGCTGTACTGAAGGGATATCTCCGCTGGAGCGGGACTGGATGGATTATTCAACATGTAGGTCCGACCTTGCGACTGCTTCCGCGGGCTCACGCTGATATAATGCTAGATCTGGCAAGCGTCATACCTGGGTGTTGCAATCTGGTGGACTTATCATCGCGATTGGCCATGGACGCATACCGTTTTCATCGTTCTACACTCGTTGACAATTCTAATGAAACAGCACAGCTATGCTTCCTATAACGGCTACTTGTCGGAGCTATATAAAAAGCGAGAACTGCTCCAATCAAGACTGCATCAGTTGGAAGAGCAGGGCCCGGACAGCTCTGCGTCACAAGGCCAGGCATCCATCATCCAGCAGACCGACCTCCAGAACATCGCAGATCTCGAACGGGAGGACCATAGCCGCCTGTCCAAACCTCCCAACTTGGATCAAGAGCTCGTCTCTCTGGCCAAGACCATGGAGACAGGAACCCCGCTGGATTCACCTCAGGTGCAATCTTTGACCAGGCTGCTCCGATATGAAATTGACCTACTATCGGACGTGCTCCAGGGCAAATGCTCTTTGACCAAGAACTACTACCCGCGCAACCTGACTCTGAAAGACTTTTGCGACTTCAATACGCTGCCTACCTTGGTTTATGAGCTCGAGTACCCGCGCACCGAGCGCATTGACTGGCTCTACGTGGCGGAGAAGACGGCCGCCACGTTTGGCATCATCGTGGTAATGATTGCTGTGTCGCAGGCGTGGATCTACCCCGTGGTCATGTATACCGTGCGCATGAAGGAGGCTGGGATGACGGTCCAGCAGCGGATGCAGGAATTCCCCTGGGTGCTCAGCGACCTGTTGTTCCCTTTCATGATGGAGTACCTCCTGACCTTCTATCTGATCTGGGAGTGTGTGGTAAGTGAGAGAACGGCCCGTTTGCTACCCTGCTAACCACACACCAGCTCAATGCTGTCGCTGAAATCACCCGATTCGCGGACCGCGGGTTCTACGCGGCCTGGTGGAATTCAACATCGTTTGACCAGTTTGCGCGCGACTGGAACCGCCCGGTGCACAGCTTCCTGCTGCGGCATGTCTACCACAGCTCCATCAGCACGTTCCAGCTATCGCGGCTGTCCGCCAGTCTCATGACATTTTTTCTTTCCGCCTGCGTGCACGAGCTGATCATGCTGTGTCTGTTTCGGCGCCTCCGTGGCTACCTGCTTATCCTCCAGATGTGCCAACTGCCCCTCGTAGCTCTGAGCCGCACCCGGCTCCTACGCGGCCAGCACCTGCTTGGAAATGTTATTTTCTGGTTAGGCATCTTCACGGGGCCGAGTCTGCTGTGCAGCCTGTATCTGATTATTTGATAAGCATGAATCTGGCTGGCCCCACCTCTCCAGACATCTGCCCCTCTTAGCCTCGTCACCTCGTATCAACCTACACCTCACTGCTGTTAACCCCAACTCTCCATTCATCATGGCTTCTAACCCTCCCGGAGCCTGCTGCACCGTCGGCGTCAAGCACGAAGGTGAAGCTCAAGGCCAATTCCAACAGATCGCCAATGGTATGGAGTAGATGTTGTTAGTTTCAGTGGTAGACTGCTCACTCGTTCTCCCCAGTCGAGTCTTACATTGCCCGCCCGGCGGATGGCTCAACCAAGCGCGCCATCCTGCTGCTCACCGACGTGATCGGCCACCGCTTCATCAACGCCCAGCTGATCGCCGACCAGCTGGCCGCGAATGGCTTGTTTGTCGTCATGCCCGATCTATTCCACGGTGACCCAGTCCCGCTAAACCGCCCGGCCGGTTTCGATATTATGGCCTGGCTCAATGGCCCCCCGGCCACCTGCCGGACCGCGTCGAGCCCGTGATCAAGGGCGTGCTGAAGGAGATGCGCGACAGCATGGGCTGTGAGCGTGTCGGTGCTATCGGCTACTGCTTTGGAGTTCGTCGATATTCAACCTTATTAATTAGAGGATATTCGCTCATCCACCTGTTCTGACTAGGCTAAATACGCGGTTCGATCGCTGCAGCCAGGCCTGTTTGATGTCGCCTATGTTGCTCACCCCAGCTTCGTTGAGGCCGACGAGCTCAAGGCGATCAAGGGCCCTCTGTCCATTGCCGCTGCTGGTAAGTCTCGGTGTCCTTCGCTATGACTGACCAGCTCTAATTGCGTCAAAATAGAAACCGACTCGATCTTCCCCGCGCCCAAACGCCATGAGTCGGAGGAGATCCTGGCCAAGGTGGGCCAGCCCTACCAGATCAATTTGTTTTCCGGCGTGGAGCATGGTTTCGCCGTTCGCGCGGACATCTCCAAGCCGGAAAACAAGTTTGCCAAGGAGTCTGCCTTTACGCAGGCCGTGACCTGGTTCAACCAGTACCTGTAGGCTGCTTGTCTAGTCATTTGGCGATTATGAACTTGTCCATATACTTTCAAGCCGCGATAACACAGAAGTCACTCATTTTTGCATAAAAGGATAACGGGCGGTTCGAGCCACATCTTTCTCAGAGTATCTGGGGTGATTTGTTTTTCAAGTACAGCGGAGAGAGGATGTACATGCAGTGAAACGTAGAGTAAAACAGAAAGAACCTCCCCGCCAACAAGGTCCGTAGAGCATGACACCACCCTCCGAGGTAGATGCCCGCGAAAGCTCGTGGGGCAAACTGTAAACTGCCAATAAAAGGTACGATCAGACTGTTGAAGATTTGTCTACATCTTCTCGTATGTAGCCATGAGAGAGCCTGTGATACTGGGTCAGCAGATCATCATAAAAATGGGAAACCAAAACACTCACCAATAAAAGTAGTGACCAGGCGAGACCGCACTTGGCAGATATCCTCCGGCACTAGCCAGATGGTGGCTCCCATCTTGCGAGCAATACTGATACTCAGCTTGGCGTTGGCATACGCCTCCTCATCGGTCTTTCCGGGAGTCACCAGGTCATAGTCCACGTAGCTGCTCTTCATGCCATTGAGCACGTCGAGCAGGAACACTCCCGACCCGATGGACGGGTCCTTGAAGCTGCGGACCGCGGATGTGCGGCCACCACTGCGGGACATCTCATTTGCCCACTTGATCATCTCTGCATCGGTGATCTCCCGCTTGCCCAGCCGCTGTGCAAGAGCAGAGAGAGTGTTGGTGATGTCGCGGCGCATCAGCTGCCACACCAGACCCAGCGTGAGGGTCCGCTGGCCGTCGGTGATATCGGCGCCCTGCACCCCAACCAGAGAGAAACCGTTGTGTTTTCCGAGCTCAATGGCATAGTTGGTGTTCTCTACCGCCTTGAACCGCATCATCTCACCACCAGACGCTGGGGGCTTGTTGACATGCCTCCAGTTGACACTTCCGGGAATGACCTTGTCGTACGCTTGTAGCAGGACGCTGCCATCACGCAGGTCATCAAACAACGAGTTCACCGCGGGTTGAACATCCAGAGAGTTCAGCCACAGGGTGAAGACTCGGGCTTCACGCTCACCCTCAGCATCAAAGTCTTCGATCTCCAGCTTGTCTTCTTCGGTAATCGGTTCCAGCCCGGGGTGGTTGTTGAACAGATTGGCAACAAAGGCAAGGTTCAGTTTCGGGTTTCCAGCGACGAGAGAGGTCGGGGTCAAAAATTTGCGGCATTCCAGCTTTTCGGCGTTCGTAAGGACCTGTTCGGCACGTTGCAGCAGGTCTCTGGTCTGGAGAGGGCCGCGGGAGCAGAGATCGGGGGCCAATTGGTTCAGGAGAACAGTGTAGTTCTCGCCATCCTTCACGTCGGTGGAGAAATTCGTCACTCTAACCACGAAAATTAGCAATCTTCCCCCCAGCTACAGCACATCGGGGCTCAAATCAGCCATACCTTCGCTCCCACTTGGCATTCTTGAGGTGGTAATTGAACCAACGGAGCAGAATTTGCTCCGGAGGCAACCGCAGGAACTGCTCTAGGGTCTCATCCTCTTCCAGCAACCGGTACAGCTCGGGGTGGAGCTTGATATCAATCTTGCCGAGAAGACCACGACGGATAACCTGCCAGATCAGGCCCAGGATGAGATGCTCGCGGACCTCAATGATATCGCCACTGCCGATATTGACGACAGAGCAACCGATACCCTTGGCCGAGTTGATGACGATGTTGTTGTTCTCGGTCATGTGGAAAGCGTTCAATGCCTTGATCTTCTTCCCTGCCTTGTTCAAGACGCGCTCATCAATGGTGTCGGGCACGCTGTCGTTGATCAGCTTCGCCAACACCAATCCATCCTTGCACTTGTCGAACATCTCAAAGGTGTCCGTGGGGAAAGGTAGGAGATTGCCGATATCTGGATCGCCGGCGAGAACGGCATTGATGTGTCTTGTAAACTCGGTTCGCTCATCTTCGTTGATCGTATGCGTGACGTTGGCCGAAGAGCCCTGAACATGGATCCGGCCTCCCACGCTGCCCTTGGAAGCGTGGCCGCGAGCGCCCGCACCTGCGCCCGCTGCGGCCCCTTGGATCACCGCGGCGGGACTGGCGGCGGCGGCGGCAGCGGGAGCCGGTGCTGTACGAAGCCTCGATACCAGCTAACTCGGTTTTAGCGCCTGCGTCACCAGCTGGGAGTTATCACCTACATCAATATAGTCCTCGAGCTCCACCCGTCGGGAGCTATCGAGTTCAACATTCTTCAACGCCTGGCGCACGACGTCGTACGGCTGCCGTTCGGATTGCTGGGCGGCCTTGATCACGGCGGATTCGTCCAGATAGCCCCGGTCATCGACATCCAGTCGATTAAAAGCATCCTGCAGAGAGAAGATCTCACCCTGGTCGAGCTGGGGGAACTTCCTACAATGGAGCCACCATGTCACAGTCAGCAGCATCCGGAGGGAACGGGGCAGGGACAACGACGCACTTCTGAAGCTTGAGGACATTCATGGTGGAGGAACAACCTGCCAGTCCAAAAGAGAGACGGGCTCAGTAGGTCTCTCGAGGTGGGTAGAAGTGTAGAGGTGGTAGGGAAGAGACAATGGGAAGGGAAGGAGGTAAGTTGGTGGGCAGTGCAGGGACGGCTAGGTATACTTTGGTGGGGGGGAGAATAATGGAAGGAGCCTGGCAGTCAGCCGTAATGGTATGTATGGCAGTACGGGGTGGGTACTTTAGCGGTACTTTAATACCTACCTCCCAACCCACGGAAAAACAAGTATCCTCCAAGTACCTCTCCGTCCCATGACCATAGTGAGCGTACAATAATGAATGACGTTTGCTCCTTTCTTTCCAGTCTCCCTCATTCTACCACTACTACTACCCGACACATTAGCTGTTTCACCAGTGATTTTACGGGAAATATATATATCTACTCTATAAATCTATCTATCTATCTATCTACCTAATACCCTCCTAGCCAACCACGAAGCCTACCAAACAAAATGACGTCATGCGTCTAGATCGGGTCTGCGGCCAACAGGAACAAATCAGTAGTCTTCTGAATAACACACTATTCATACTCTCTGTTACTTACCTCCGCCATTGCCTTCACGCTGCTTCGCTTCACCCTCTGCCGGGCTCGCCCGATCACCATGGCCGGTGTCGAGCAGAAATCCTTCCTGGGCTCCCTCTCGCCCTGGGGGACCCCGCGTGCGTCGACGCCGCAGTCGGGGCAGCAACATGGGCAAGAAGTCCTCCAACGTTCCCAGGGCGAGGACCACACGGTGACACACCGGCACAAACTGAGTGCGCGTCTCTACCCTCGGGATTGCCCCCCACTGAAGGTGCGATGGTTTTACGCGGTGGACTCACCCAAGCGCAAACCCGCTCTGCTGGGGGAAAAGAATCCCGATCAGAAAGCGCTACCCCTGCCGAAAAAATTCATTCCATTCTCAATCAAAGACTCGCAGTCGATTGAGGCAACCTTTCAGCGACTCGCTGAGGTTGAGGATACCCGCGAGGGAAGCGACACTCCGGGCTCGAATGAAACTGAGGTGTCGACAAAAGTGCCCGTGAATGAGGACTTCCTCTTCGATGTGGACGTGGAACGACGGGAGCTGGCTCCCGCATACTGGGTTGGCCCCGTCTACGAGGTCCGTCGGGGCACATGGTTCTTCCAAGATGGGTCCACGCTGAAGCCATGCGAAGAAAATCTCGCCACGCAACTCGAAGAAGGTTATCTCAAGGTGCGACCATGGAGACCAGACACGACGCAGCCAGGATCGGCAAGGTCGGCCCCCAAGTCAAACGAGCATGATCACTCTAGTGGCACGGTTGGTCATGACACTGCCCAGCCTGCCTCCACAGGAGCTGTTGCCTCCTCCCAGGGTACCGCGGGGACGGGGACCTCCGTTCCTCCCATAGAGCGTCAACAGTATCGACTGTTCGGCGCGTATATGAACAGGATCGTTGCCTATCAAGACTCGTCGACCGCGTGGGTGATCAATGATGACTTCATGTCTCGTGTTAGCACAACCGTATATCAAAAGTTAGGCGGGATCCCGGGTACCAAAGTCATCCGCGGTGATCAAGAGCTCAAACGATCAAAAGAGCCGGTTGAGTCGAAAACTCCGGAGTCAAAGAATTTAGAAAAAGCATCGGCTCCCTCAGCCCCAGAGCCTTCTTCAACCCAGTCTCAACAATTTGAAGCACCGACCTCTTTGAAAGCGCCGGGGACAGAAAAGTCCGAAGGGGATGAAAGCACGATCCATAACCCAAGATCTACATTGGAGCGACAAATGTCGTCTCTAGCCGGTGAACCGCAGAACCCGGCCGAGTTAGAAGAGCAGGCCCGGATGCAAGAAGAGCAGGAAATGGAAGACTCGAGAGAAATCGACGGCGAAGATCGAGAACGAGAAGTCGACCATCTTATTCTGGTCACTCATGGCATCGGTCAACGGCTCGGTTTACGACTGGAGAGCATTAACTTCATCCACGACGTAAACGTCCTTCGCAAAACCTTGAAGGGGGTGTATAAAGCATCGCCTGATCTACAGGCACTGAATGCCGCATTCCCGGACAGCAGTCGGAACTGTCGAGTTCAAGTACTTCCAGTGTGAGTAGCAAAGTACCTGACCCTCCCCAGTCTGTCGCGCTTACATTCATTCAGATGCTGGCGACATCTCCTGGATTTTCCTTATCGAGGGGTTCGACAGAATCGCAAGGAACTGGATCTGGCCGATGCAGACACTCTGGAAGACGACGCGTATCCCGGCCTGAGCGATATCACACTAGAAAGCGTCCCCGCGGTGCGAAACCTGATCTCCGATCTGGCCATGGATGTGCTGCTTTACCAAAGTAGATACTGCGAGCATATCTCCAACATTGTGAAGCAGGAGTGTAACCGAATTTTGGACCTTTACAAACAACGCAACCCGTCTTTCAAGGGTTCGGTCAGCTTGTGCGGTCACTCCTTGGGGAGTGCCATCTTGTTTGATATCCTGTGCCATCAGCCAGATCATCTGCATCCAACCCATGAACATGGGAATCCTTCGATCCATTCCGACGAAGGGAGTCACGCCTTGGACTTTGAATGCGAAGAATTTTTCTGCTTGGGCTCCCCCATTGCCCTGTTCCAGATGTTGAAGGGGAAAACGATTGCTGGATACACTCCACCGGGGAGAAGCCGCACCAGTACGTTGGATGTTGATTTCAATCCTGGGAGTTTGGGGACTCCCCGTGCTTCTAAACGGGACTCCCATATTAGTTCCGCAGCCCAGAGGGTGGACAACTCTACTATCCTCTCCTCGCCGCGGTGTCGCGATCTTTACAACATCTTCCACCCCTCGGATCCAGTGAGCTACCGTCTCGAGCCACTCATCTCTCCTGCCATGGCCGCGCTCAAGCCGCAGCCCTTACCCTCGGTCAAGAAGAGTCTCTGGACGGCCTCGGGCCAAAGCCTTTCCGTGCTCGGTTCTCGTATGGGCCAGAGCATGGGATCTCTATGGACCAACTTCACCACGGGAGTGGCCAGCAGTTTGCTGAATCGCAGCCTGGGACTGACTGCCGACGAGGCCAATGCCGGGAAATTGGTTGGCCATCCCGCTGGCCATAAGCGGACTCAGTCGGGCGTCCCCCAGGAAGGAGAATCCGAGAATCATTTCCAGACCCTGATCGAATCCGACCTGGAGACGCTGTACGATGGTTTCCAAAAGAACCGACATAACCAGAAGACAACCGACCCGGCGGATCCCGACACCGACCTGAAGGCCGAAGATCAAGAGCGCAAGCTGCGACTGGAAGATGCCAAAGTGCGCGCCTTGAACGCCAACGGCCGGGTCGACTACAGTGTGCAAGAGTACGTCTTCGTTTCCATTCCATGGCCGTCCTGGCTAACCAACTCACTCTTTCCGCAGGGGCGCCTTCGACATCTCGTTGATTGCTAGCATTGCCAGCCACCTCACTTACTGGGGTGACGAGGATGTCAACCACTTCATGCTGTCGCAGATGCTGTCACGGAGGTGTCGACATCGGCGTCCAGCCCCGTAGCTTGTTCAAGTGTATAGTAGTAGTGGATCCGCCCAAGCGGGCTAGACTCGGTTGTGTTCGCACCCAAACCCAGTTTTCCTTTTTTTCCTCTCTCTTCTCCTTTTCTCTTCCCTCCCACGCACCACTCCTTCTCCCCTTCACTCACCATGAGCGCCGAACTCCAGCAGGTCCTCAAAGTCTGGAATCGGACGCGCACCAACAGCCCCATCTACGAGTTCCTTCTCGACGCCATTGATGTGTATGACGCCGAGAAGGGCGTTGTCCGCGCCCGTCTCCAGGTCGGACCGCGCCACCTGAACTCCAAGGGCACGCTGCATGGGGCCTTCTCGGCAACTGTGACGGACTGGGCGGGTGGTCTCTCCATTGCGTCGTGTGGATTGGATGCTACGGGGGTCAGCACCGACATCCACGTCAACTACCTGTCCACAGCGACGACGGGCGACTGGCTCGAGATCGAGGGCCGGGCAAACAAAGTCGGCCAATCGCTGGCCTTCACGACGGTGTCCATCTCCAAGAAGTCCGAGTCTGGGCTGTCCCTGGTGGCGCAGGGATCGCACACCAAGTATGTGAGGGCGCGATCCTAGAATAATAGATAGATAGATCGATAGATACCGCCATCTTCTTTACCTCCAGCGTGACACTCATGTGCTTTGAATGCTGGATTCACTCGGATGGCGGAGAGCAAGAACCACTCCATTCGGTGTGCTTTAGATGCGTGGTGCTCCTTGATGGGCGCGGCGCAATTCAGAATGGGAACATTTAAGTAATCAGTCAATCATCCATCCATCCCCTGTCGGAGCATTCTTTCTTTCTTCAATCTTCCACCTCCCAACCTCAACACACTGCGGCAGCTTCTGCAACCCTGGTGCCGAATGGAGCCCTATCCCCCCTGTATCCTTCTGCTTTGATTCCCTTCCCCGTTGCCTGCCTTCCAGAATCGCCCTGCCCACCCGGCTTGTCAAGGGGTCGTGATGGATCCGTCCGATAAGAATAATAATAATGCCCCCAAGCCCACGCCATCCCAGGATCCACCGGTCAAGGGAGCGCCCAGTAATGGCGACCCTCCTTCAGCCCAATTCTCCATCGCCGGCGTCGCAGTACCCCAGGAAGTCATCGATTACTCTCTCCACTTCCTCTCCACGTCCAGCAACGAGAGCCTCCTCGGTGTTTTCATCGCCCTGGCCTTGGCCACCTACATCATACTCGGTAGAATCGGGCTGCTCCTGATCGGAGTCGCCGTAGGGGTCATCCTACATGCCTCCTGGGAGGGGCCCTGCCAGGATGCGGACGGCGAAGAGTCGCGTGCACGAAAATCCAGCAAGCGCAAAGAGCTTGCGCTGGAGTTGTCCAACAGGTTGCTCGACTGGCAGGCTCGGAACGCCCCTGCAGGGGCTGAACATGAAGAGAGCGCGCCGTTGAATGCGCAGGAGGATTTGTCGAGCCTAGACTTGGAATACTCGACCTTCCAGCCCGCGACGGGTGCTGCGTTGAAGGCGCTCACCGACGCAGTTATCAAAGACTATGTGAAGTAAGGCCCTTTCTCAGCAGCTCAAGGAATGTAAACTCAAACCAAAGCTTAGATACTGGTACGAGCCGATTCTACCCTCCGAATCGACGTTCCCACTATCCTGCCGACGCATCTTGACTCATTTCATCACGTCCATGTCCTCCCACGTCTCGCGCAAGCGAACCGAGGACACCTTCCTCCAATTCCTGACCAACTCCTCATCCATCATCATCGTGTTCCTGAATGAACTCGCTGCGGCGTTTGCCGCTGTCCCTTCTCCGTCCATGGAAGCCGAGAAGGTTGTGGAGCACTACCTTATGCAATCCCCAGATAGCAGTTTGGCAAATATTCTGTCCGGGCAACAGCAGCGCAAGAAGCTGAACATGATTGCGGATGATATCCTGTCCAGCTACCTCGAGTCCAAATCGTACAGTTGCTCCTCTGTCCGAGACTTTTGTCGTGAGGTGTTCGCAGGTGTTGTCCTCGAGTCTACTGTCATTAGCATGGCTCGCCCCGAATTCATCAATGGGTGGATCATCTATCTTCTTGAAGACGGGGAGTCTGAAATCATGCATGCGATCGATGCTGGTGTCGAAGGTGCACGAAACCAGGGCGTCAGTGCCTCTCTGAGCAGCCCAACTTTGGACTCGACGCCCAAACCAACCGAAAATCGGCGGAGCCAGGTGAATAAGGACACGGAAGAAGCCATGTTCGAGGCAAAGCGGTTGAGCGCACTAATGGCATCTCAAGATACGCAGATTTTGGACCCTGAACGACAGCCTGAAGTTGATCAGCCCCTCGAGATCTCTACTCTCGGTGCCAACAAACCACAGGAGTCGGTTGCAAATACAGTGAAGAGTGACGGAGACGTTAACACCAGTCAACCAACTTCTCCCTCCATGCCACACTTGACCCTGCACGGCGCACTTGTATTGGTGGATTATAATTCTACAGCTAATGACAAAGGAACCATCAAGTCGCGACCGTCGGGGGATTATATGCTACAGGTTGAACCTGCATCTAGCGGATCCACTGGGTGGATGGTATTCCGAAAATACTCGGATTTTCAGTCTCTTCATGAAATGCTCGAGACCGTTTCACGGCTGAACCGAATTCAAGCTTTTTCTGAGCGGTACCCTATCCTGCCCCACTGGAAAGGGAAAACAAGGCAAGGGCTGGCTCGGGAGTTGGAGAAATATCTGCAAGATGCCCTGAAGCACGAATCCCTTGCCGAAACCGACCGCATGCGACGATTCTTGGAGAGAGATGGCGGCTCCAGCAGCGAAGCGCCCAGTGCTGCCAAGCCCGGGTTTTCTTTCCCCAACCAAACCGCCTTTGAGAACATGGGAAAGGGTGTCCTGGGCGCGCTCACCAATGCTCCCAAGGGCGTGGCGGGGGGTGGCAAAGCCGTCTTCGATGGAGTGACCGGGGTATTCGGGGGCGTCGCTGGAAACACTCGAAAGCCTACTAGTACCACTGCGCGTCCATCATCCCATCGGCCGAGTCCGTCGAGAACTGATAGTGAAGCCCTCTCCGTCACTGGAAGCACCAGCGGCGTAAGCCGTGCAGCTTCATATGAAGTAGACCGCCAGTCTAGTGACCGCCCTACGTCTATGCTATTTAGTGAACCGGGAGGGTCTCCTGCGCTGGTCCCCTCTCCGAGTGATTCTTCCTTTGAATTTACCAAGGCTGAACCTTCGAAGGATCCATCGGCCGTTGAAATCACCGACGGCGCAAATCAGACGACAAGTACAGGCGATGTTCGGGCCTCTGTGTCCACGCTCGCACATTCAGACGGCCGCATTTCGCTGGAGTCTACTAGCCGTTCCTCGGGGCTAGATCCGAAAGAGAGTACCGAGGCCTCCTCGCCCGTGAGCGGGCCAGATCTTGAGCATAGCGAGCCTGCTGCTAAACCTATAACTACTACTACTACTCAAGGAACCCGCAAGCAGGGTAGCCCTATCACAGCCGACGAGACTCAGATCGCAGTGGAGCTGATCTTTGCTGTTATCAACGAGCTCTATACCCTGTCCTCTGCATGGAACATCCGCCGGACGCTGCTGAACGCGGCGAAGACATATATTCTGCGTCCTGGAAGCCCGACCTTGGAGACGATCCGCACTCTGCTGCAGGACTCGATGATCGAGGCCCATACGTCGGACGAGGCGCTGGGGGAGTATCTCACCAAACTTCGGGAGAACGCGCTCCCCACAGAGGAAGAACTAGGTGCTTGGCCCCCGCCACCCAGCGAAGAGGAGAAGGCCGGGCTACGGGAGAAGGCGCGGAAGCTGTTCGTGCAGAGAGGGATCCCTCAGGCGCTGACGAGTGTTATGGGTGCGGCTGCCAGCCGGGAAGCGCTGGAGAAGATCTTCGACAGTCTCCAGGTGGACACGGTGGCCCGGGGATTTGTGTTCTCGGTCATGCTGCAGGGCCTGCGGGTGCTCGCCCTCTGAAGACGAACTCGGTGCCTGTCTGTGTGTCTGTATATAGGATTAGTAATGTAGATAATACCTCGTTATCACCGCGTGACCACTGTCGCGCGCCTTTGACGCGCATCTCTCGATCTCTCCGTCTTTCTTTCTCTTCCCCCCAATCCATCAACCACCATGACATCCCGAAAACGCTCATCGGGGGATGACCCCGTCGAGGACAACTCTCACAAAAAAGCCAAAGTCAGCCTTCGTGATACGAGCAAGGTGGACTCCAATGGAGATCGATACTGGGAGATCTCGAAGATGCGCCGTGTCACCGTCTCTTCGTTCCGAGGAAAGACACTGGTGAACGTTCGAGAATACTACGAGAAGGACGGTCAAGAACTTCCAGGGAAGAAGGTAGGTGGTCCACGCTCTTCTCGCTGATCTGACTGACTGGGGTGGATTCGTTCCTGCAGGGCATTTCCATGCCAGTGGACCAATTCGCGGCGCTCGTGACGTTACTTCCGGAGATTGAGCAGTCTCTCACACAGCAGGGCCAGTGTCTGCCACGCCCGAATTACTCTGGTGACAACGACCGGGGCGATTCGGAGGATATGGAAAAAGGTGGTTTGAAGCCTGACAAGCAGAACATTGAGGCCACGAGTGATGAGGAGAGTGAGGCCTGATTTCCTAAGTATGCTGCTTAGGAGGAACTCAGGCCAATATCCAGGGTTAGCAGCTGCGTCCTGTCACGATCTAATGAATTTTCCATTTGTTTCGAGATGTACTTTTCTCTCTTGTTTAATCGGGTCAACACCAGTCGGCTCCAGAGTATGGTAGGCTTGAACTTGTCCATAGTATAATAATGCCAGTGTATTACAACCGGAAGGGATCATAACGATCCCTATAAGCATATACCTATCGATATACTACTGGGCACGTACGCCTAGGTGACTTGATCTACGACAGCCGGAGGCCGAAGAATCTCACCCAACTTCAAGATGTTCATCACGTCATAATTGAATTGGATAGCAGCCTTAGTGCAAATCGCCCATGATATCCTCGTCCATATCCAATCCAGCCTGCTCGCTCGCGTTGATCTCGCCGGACCCGGCCCACAACTGATTCTTCTGCGCATTGTCGATATATTCATCACTCAATCCCAGCTGGTGGTTGCTCTGTTCGAGATTGTCCATCAACGTCTTCAATGATCGGCCCTCGTTCCTCAGTTGAACCTGCATCTCCATCTCGTGCGACAGTCGGGGGAAATGTGACACGGTTGAAAGACGGAGCATCGTCGAGCTAGTCCGTTTCTGGGAATGGAGTAATCGCGCGCCTAAATCACCCGACATAACCAAGGACGCAATGATTGACTCGGCGTCCTCTTCGGTGGTAGGCCAAGGGAGTGCCTGCTCCGCAAGATCGGCCATGGTCAAGGCAGCAAAGGTCTTTCCCAGTCTGATTACTGTGTGCTTATAAAAGGCATTCAACACCTGCGCGACAAGGCCCGTGTTGTTGTCCTGTGGGGATACATCAGTAAGATTGAAACATCCAAAATCAAGATAGGTCGGCCATAGCTTACCATGCTCCAGACATGCTCAGCAGCATTCACCTCGGCCTTCAATTTTCCGACATCATCACGCTCAAAAGACTGGGCAAGTGTGATGTACGGCCGAGCTAGGGACTGATACATCTTCGCCGCATGTGGACTCGTCAAACTCGGAGGGGAGCATAGCTGGGCCATCTATTATCAGCAACTCGCAGCTCACAAGAGGAATCCCATCTCGTCACCTACCTTTCCCTTCTCAAGCAAACCCACTAGAATCCATTTCTTGTAGGCCTCCACCATGATCATGCTCAAGGAGCCGGCAATAGGCATTGAGACGACAATCCCGAGAAAGTGCAATGCCTTGCGCCATTGTTTCAAGGCCATGTATATCATGCCCCCATAAAGGAAGTATTGCAGGCAATCCTTGGATGACAGTTTGGATGACAAGCCCGAGGCGTCACCCATGAAAGCGAGGCTGGACTCGTGCTCTGAACAGAGCAGAGGTTGGGTAGCTTTGGAATCTGTTCGACCGACTAGGGCAGGGAAATAACAAATGTGTCTATCCAAGACTGGAAGGGCGCAAGAGTACGTCCGAGCGCGCAGGCAGAGTCGAACGAGGAGCAAATGGGTCGAGGTGAAGACAGCACAGGAAGGGTCGAGGCGGAGCATAGCATCCCTGACCAAGCGTGCACCTAGCAAGGGCTATAGATGGTCAGAAACGAGTCGAGTGGATCTAACCGCGAGATAAGCTTGCCTGTGAAGCTGCCTGTGCAGCTTTCCCCGCGAGTTCGACAAGCTGGCGCCATTCCTGGCCCACATATCTGGCCTGGACGCGATCGAAGTTCTTAAGAAATTGTACGGCCCTTTTCCACAGCTTTCCCGTAGGCCACACGTCCCCCGGGAGTGTTTCGTTCGTCCTTTCCTTGGCGTTCTGGATCTGTAACCGCAGGATGAACAAAAAGGCGACTGAATCGGCGGATGGATCGAAATTCTATCCAAGGGATTAGCTTCCGAGCAACAAATTGGCTAAACCCGAACATGCCACGTACGTCGAGGACAGAATCGTCGCGGGCGAAGGTGCTGAGAGCGTCGGTGGAGAGCAGATGGCGAAAGTAGGCCACGAGGTCGCGTATGCGGTCGTCATAGAGCTCATCGGATAGGTCTGTGTAGTTGTGTAGGCGTGCAGAGGCCGAGGTGAGCTCTGCGAGGGAGACGGTCATGTTGGCCTAGGGAAGTGGTTGAATGTGTAGAAGGGAAAGAGTGAAGGACAGAAGAAAGTAACTAGTAGGATGACGGAAGGAAGGCTAGTTGACCAGGACCACTCAACTCAGGTGATCTTTTCTCTTCTGCTTCTTCTTCTTTCACCCAACACTATTCTAATTACTACAAGGTACATAGTTATTACTACCGACTATTACATTGATTGTATCTCCCGGGACTGACTCACGCCAACCCTCCCCCCACTTCAACTTCAACTTCTTTTCGCCGCCTCGCCCCGAACATTCTCCCTCACACTCTCCCTCAACCACAAACCACCCACACCATGTCGTTAACCGACTCAGCTGCCGCAGATGTGGCTGGAAGCGCGTCCCTCGCCTCTCGTCGCCTGGCGACACTATCAAATCCCGCCCGGAATGAAGCCCTCACGGCACTCCACCTCGCCCTCGACCAGAACCGGGATACTATTCTCGCCGCTAATGCTAGGGATGTCGAGGCTGCGACGCGCGCGGCTGAAAGTGGCAATCTGAACCACAGTGTGCTCAAACGACTTGATCTTTCACGGCCGGGCAAGTACGATGACATGTTGGAGGGCATCTTGAGCGTGCGGGATTTGGCCGATCCAGGTGAGTGCGGCAATGCGTCTTCAATTGGATTAGACTGACACGAAAGTCGAAAAGTGGGCAAAGTAACCCTGCGGACCCTTCTCGATGATGGCCTTACGTTGGAAAGAGTCAGCTGTCCTATCGGTGTCCTGTTAATCATCTTCGAGGCTCGCCCGGAGGTCATCGCGAACATTGCTGCGCTAGCCATCAAGTCGGGCAATGCCGCTATCCTCAAAGGTATGTGTTTCTTTTGTAAATATATGGAATGTCTCATCAATCTGACATGTATGTAGGTGGTAAGGAATCCATGGAATCATTCGTGGCTATTGCAAACGTCGTGTCCGAAGCCCTCGCATGCTCTCAGGTGCCAGAAGGATCCATTCAGCTGGTGAAGACCCGCGATGCCGTGTCGTCCCTATTGGCCCAGGATTCACTGATTGACCTTGTCATCCCGCGTGGCTCAAATGACTTGGTTCGCTTCGTCAAGGACAATACCAAGATCCCGGTGCTGGGGCATGCTGACGGTCTTTGTTCTGCCTACGTACACTCGGACGCAAATGTTGATACCGCTGTCAAGGTGATCGTGGATTCGAAGACCGACTACCCGGCAGCTTGCAATTCGCTGGAGTCTCTACTTGTCCACCAGGATGTTCTCGAATCAGTCTTTCCCGCCATTGGCAAGGCGCTGCTGGATAAAGGAGTCTCTCTTCGGTGTGATGAAGCGTCACGAAGTGCCTTGACGAAAATGCTACCTGAAGACCAGGCAGCACTCGTACAGGCTGCCGTAGACTCTGACTACAACACCGAATTCCTAGACCTTGTCTTGGCCGTGAAAACAGTGCCCTCAACCAATCCGCCGAGCTCGGCTGTGGAGGCGGCCGTTGCACATATCAATGCGCATTCGTCCAAACACACGGATATCATTCTGACCGAGTCCAAAGAAGTCGCTGACTTGTTCATGAGCGGTATTGATAGCGCCGGAGTTTTCTGGAATGCGTCGACGAGGTTCGCGGATGGGATGCGTTTTGGGTTTGGCACCGAAGTCGGCATCAGCACCAACAAGATTCATTCTCGGGGGCCGGTCGGGCTGGAGGGCCTGACAATCTACAAGTACTTGATCCGAGGCAATGGGCATCGGGCGGGAGATTACCACGATGGGGACGGTGGGCGCAAATATATCCATACGAGTCTGCCCACCAGCGAGAGATAGGAGGCATAGAATAAAAAATAGAACAAATCTTGAACATTCCGCAATCATAAAAGAGATCAGGACCAAGCCTGGTGTATTTTTCTTCTGGCCTCCCCCTTCATCCGTAATCCGATCTCTCAGCCTCACCACTGACGTTCTGCCACTTTAGGTACAAAAACCGTAGGTTTCTCGGGGAATTCGAGAAAGAAGTTCCAGTAGCGAGTGCGTCGGGGCGACCATGTGCCCATCACGAGAGACGCTTTCACTCGGCCAGCCAGAGGCCCACACCACCGTTCTCATCAGGTCCTTTAGACCTTGAAGCCGCGAGACCTTCTGCGGCCACGAGCCCGCTCAAACTTCCGACCCTTGCTGGCCACGTACGGCTTCTGTTCAACTGTTAGCATGCCAAGTCCCGTATTATTCCCCGGCAGAATATCCTATCATCAGGGATCCAAAGGACACGTACCTTGTCGGTGTGAGGACCGAAACCGAAGTGCTTCACAGCCTCGCGAGCGTTCTTGGGGCCACGGAGGAGGAGCGTGTTGGCTCCGGTGGGAGCGCGCAGAGCAAGCTGGTCCAGGGTCAGGGTCTCACCACCGGCCTTCTCGATGCGAGCGCGAGCAGTGGCGGTGAAGCGGAGAGCAGCGATGGACAGCTTGGGAATGGTCAGAAGGCGGTTGTCGTCCGTGACGGTACCGATGACCACGACGGTCTTGCCCTTCTGCGACTCGTTGATGTTCGAGGCGACCCGCGAGAGGGAAACCGGGGGGCGGTTGATCCGCGACATAAAGAGGCGACGCAGAACGGCCTTGTTGAAGTTGGACTCGGTCCGACCTGTTCAAATGTCCACAATCAGCGGGCGGCTCTCAACCGTAGAAAATTTTGTCTGTGTCTGCCGTGCAGCAGACGAGGATCGAAGGGGTGAATCATACGGGCAAGGAAGCGGTACAGCTTCACCAGGACCTGGAGATAGACGTTCTCGCTCTTAGGCGCCTTGCGGTGGCTGTTGCGCACATGGTGACGGTCCAAGTCGATACCTGTAATGGCACACACACGATCAGTCAGTCATTCAAACAGTCCGATAAGACGGGATTGTCGTCGAAGGAGAAGAAAAGAGAAGTTGAGGTAGACACATACCCATGGCTGCTGGTATTGATTGAACTGGGAGGTTGGCTTGTCGGTCGGGGCACCCGGGATGGAAGTGAAGGAGTTTTTGGGACGGGCGACATTTCTGTGTGCGGGTTGAGCCCTACGCTAGGCCCGATCGGGTAGATAGGTCATGTGATATTAATGCCTGAGGCGAATGGATAGTCTTTCCTTTGATTACGTGACTCCGAAACCCGGAATGAACCAAAAAGGCTTGCGGTCTAAGTATATGCTTCCTCTTCTCGACCCCCCAGACTCACGAAGAAATCACGTGTCAGCTCAAAGCTGAGCCAACTGCTGGCCATACTGGGCGCCACTTTTAGCAGGTTGGGCCCGATCCCCTTGAACAGGCCGCGCATCCCTTCCTCCGTCACAATCACACGGACTGCATCCCAGATGGACTTGTATTTGTAGCCCATTCCGGACATGGTGTTGATCTGGAAACGCCGGCGCAACACGTCACTACACTCCGGTTAGTGGTTGTCTTTGGTTTTTCCCCTCAGAGAGAGATGCAACATACAATGGATAGGTGCAAGTTTGTGCCACGGCCCCCGAGATGGCCCCGGCTAGGAGCTTTCGATAAGGACTAGGGTTCTTGTCCCCTTCGGGCGTCAGATATTGGCGCACCGATTCGTAGGTCATAAAATTCAGCCCGACCTGGAACGCGGGGGGGTTAGTCGCCACGGGGACAATTCGGGCACGGAACTCACGTAAGGAGCAACGCCGGCGACGGTAGGGACGATGCCTCGATAGAGGGCAATCATGCCACCCTCATTTCTGTAGATCAATACCAGGGTGGTGAACATTCCCGGCAATTTGCCCTGGTCGTGCTTGCCAAGGTCCGCAAACGAAGCCGATTGTATAGAGAGCCGGGTTCGAACGATATCCAGGGGGTAGGTGACCGTCACGGAAGTGATGCCGGCGAGTCCTCCGCACACGAGACGGCGGAGTGGGGTGATGTCGCCGTCCGGGGTCGTTTCTGCGAACTTGAGGAAACCATTAGCCCTGTCTCTGGCAACATCAGAAGCAGATTCCGCCCACCTTCTTGTAGAAATTGTAGCTTCCAAACTGCACTGCAGAATAGGGAATAATGCGAATACAATTCGTCCCATTCCCTCGCATGAAGCCCCGCCAGCCTTCCTCTCGTTTCATTTTCCCAAGGGCTTTCCAGATCGACAGCTTATATTCTTCCCTACCAACACTTTGGATTTGAAGGAGGATCTTCAGTCGTTCGAGGGGTGACACGAGTGTCCGGGAAACTGCGCCCGCAACACCGCCGGCTAGGAATGCAGCCGTGACGGGTTCTGCTAGTTTTATTCTGGCTATATCGTAGGCAGAAAGGGTCCGGCGATCCATGGTCTCCTAATGCGCAGTCAGCACCCTCGCTCTATGAAACCGATCGGGGTCCAACCCACCTTGGCCGATGGAGATGATGATAATTGGGGCAGGCTCTGTAATTTGGGATTTGCGGGACTTCCCAACTCCTCTTTCTGAGTAGCATCGTGGCGATTTAAGCTCATTTTGGCTGGATCACCATCGGTGTTGGGAGAACCAGGTTCTAAAGAAGCACCCCCAAACACGTGAAGCCTTGGGATGGGCCCCTCTTCCGACGGGCTTGTGGTGGTTCCCGCTGCGTGGTGGGCGGCTGAAGATCGGAAGGGCAGCGTTTAGACAAAGTGAGACGTAACAAAGAGAGCACAGGGGATCTGTGTTGCTAGCAACGAGCTGGCCATGAAGGTAGAATAGCGTGAGGCACCCGGTGATCTACAGGAGCATCAATGGGACGGATGGAGCTGCCAGGTCTGTGTGGGTGGGCATGAAATCGACCTCCAAAGGGACCTGGGGAGGACTGGGTGAGAGAGTGTCTGGTGGGATTCCGCGCGGATGAGACCAATGCGCGGGAGGAGGTGCAGCAGATAAAGGGGGATGGTCTACCGAAGGAGCGACCGAGAGGACGTGCCAGGAACGAGAGGCGAAAGCAGATGAGCTGATAGAGAGGGAGAGAGAGCGTGCGAGAGGAGAAAGAGAGAGAGAGACAAGAGATAGTCCCGACGGACTGCCGAGATTGACGGTCTCGCCCGACCGGTAACTTATGTAGCTCGTTGCAGGCCTCAGTCCTATATAATTGAATCAAGAATGTTTCTAACATTTCATTTGTGACCATCAATGACTATAATCATAATAATTACTACTATTACTGTTCAATTGTTGTTGTTAGTTACTACTACTGCATATATGTTAGACCATTCTGCGCGATCGGGCCCTCTGCCCGGCCGGAGTCGCGGCCCTTTGTTCTCCTCGCCCAACCCTCCCTTCTGATTCTTCATCACTTCCATCTCCCTTCCTCACCTTCCCCAATCTTCCGTCGATCCAAACGCCATCATGTCTCGTTCAGGAACCACTCTCTATGTCAGTGGCTTTGGCCATGGCACCCGCGCCCGCGATCTTGCCTACGAGTTCGAACGGTATGTGCCGCCGCTTTCGTGTCCTTGGAGCCGCGACCTTCGATTTCCATCTGCCCCGCCGCCCCCCTCAATCAAGCTCAGCTGCTTGCCATCGATCTCCTGAAACGGTGGAGCCCGGGTTGGTTTGGGTGGAAAGCTTCCAAAACGTGTGGCCCTGTTTCTCGGGGCGCAGCGTCGATATATATTGCTATTGGTCCTTCATGGCCGCTTTGCTTCGTTTGCGATGATGGTTGCAAAATACTGACAGTTGCGCTAGCTACGGACGTCTCGTTCGTTGTGATATTCCGGCACCGCGTACCCCATCGAGCCGCCTGTAAGTTGAGCATTGATGTTGAGATCCCTTGATTCTGGTCTGACGGCAGGATTTAGGTTCGCTTTCGTTGAGTACGAGAGCCGCCGTGATGCCGACGATGCCTATCATGAGATGCACAACAAGCGAATTGGGCGCGATGATCTTCTCAAGATCGAGGTAGGCGATTCTTGCTCCCTTGAGTGGTTCATTTGGGATCTAACTGGTCGCTAGTGGGCCCGTACGCCGCCTTCGGCGTCCTGGAGATTCGACTCCGGCCGGGACCGGGACCGCCGTCGGGACCGCACCCCCCTCGCCGTGGCCGTTCCCCATCGCCTCGCCGCAGCCGTGGTGACTATTCCCCTCGTCGGGATGACCGGTACGAACGAGACCATGACCGCCATGATCGGGACTCTGACCGCCGGGACCGTGACTACGATCGTCGGGATCGCGACTCTGATCGCCGAGACCGTGAGCGCTCCCGGGACCGCTCCCGCAGCCCGGAGGACAAGGAACGTGACGCCAAGGACGACAGAGACCGACGCGAGGAGGACCGAGAGCGGCGCGACGAAGAGCGTGAAAATGGACCGAACGGCGAAGAGAGGAAAGGTATGTCTATTTGAAACACCCTTCGACGGGCGGATGGCTGACGTTGCGTAGTACCCCTGGACCCTATGCCTACCGCTCATGATGAGCTTGATACTGCTGAGTAGGTCGACTCAGTGCCTCGCCGTTTCGACATCTCCAGCGATTGAGCGGCACCTGTCTCTCCCCACAGCCATTCCGGCCTGTCCGTGATGGCACTTGGGGGCCCCTCGAGGAAAGGAAAGGCAAGAAAGGTTACTACACCCCAAGGCCAAGGCCCCCTGCGTCTTGTGGCATCTCTCCCCTTTTCTCGAATCTCTGTTTGTTGCAATTCCGTCGGTAGCTGGGAGTCCAGTGAATGGTTGACCCGTGTTTGATATTTTGTGTTTGTGCGTGTGCGTTTCCCTGGTGTTGGTAATTCATCTTGGTCAGCAGCTCGGATACCACCGAAACGAACGTCGAGCGATTACTTGAAGCCCTCGCCCGTCGATCGTCGTTCATGAATACCGTCCGCCATCGTCTTACTCGCACATTTAATATGAACGCTCTTCCCCCCACCCTCCGTCTCCATTGCCCGCGATGTGCGACCGTCCAGACCTCCGCAGACCCCTTCGAGAACCACCGTAGCGCTCGCCAGGAGTAAACGTATGATTTGGAGGGCCTTTTGCTGTAGCGAGCTCAATCAAGCCTTAATTAGCCCATCCGTAATGAGATTGTTTGAACTGGTAACTAACTCGGATGACGTATTGGGCTTCAATCCCCGAACTTCCCCTCTTCAACCTCCATCATCATCATCACCACCCCCGTACTGTATATCATGGATCAGCCCAAGGGAATCAGAATCGCCATTGATGTATGTATGATCTCGCCCTTTCACCTTCTGCCCCCCACTCGCTAACGTGGTGGTCCAGCGAGGCGGGACTTTTACAGATTGCGTGGGCAACCCGGGAACGGGGCGCTTGGAAGATGACATTGTTATCAAGCTACTATCCGAAGATCCCTCCAACTACCAGGATGCACCGTTGGAAGGCATTCGGCGCATCCTTTCCCGGTTTACGGGCCGTGAAATTCCTCGCGGCGAGCCTATCGACACATCCCTGATCCAAAGCATTCGCATGGGCACTACCGTGGCCACGAATGCTTTGTTGGAGCGGAAAGGCGAGAGAATTGCGCTGGTGGTCAGTAAAGGCTTCAAGGACTGCCTTCAGATTGGCAATCAGTCCCGGCCCAAGATCTTTGACTTGGCGATCAAACGGCCCGAGGTGCTCTATGAAGAGGTCGTCGAGATAGATGAGCGCGTGACTCTGGAGGATTATGCAGAAGATCCCGAACGTAACGTCACAGCGACAGTCCCTCGGGAACAGATGGCCCCAGGAGCCGACATTGTGCGAGGCTTGTCCTCGGAAGCAGTCCGCATCTTGAAACGGCCATCGGAGAGCACGGTGAGATCTCAGCTGCAGCGAATATATGACCATGGAATCCGCAGTATCGCCGTGTGTCTCATGCATGGATACACTTTTCCTGACCACGAGGCGCTGGTGGGGAGAATTGCTACCGAGATAGGCTTCCAACATGTCAGCCTGAGCCACCAGCTTATGCCAATGATCAAACTGATCCCGCGAACAACTTCAGCATGTGCCGATGCATATCTGACTCCAACGATCAGGAAATATATTGCCGGATTCCAGGCGGGCTTTGAGGGCGGACTGGGAACCGAGAGTGTGAAGCGACAAGAAGGTGCTCGAGGTGCACGCTGCGAGTTCATGCAGTCGGACGGTGGTTTAGTAGACGTGGACCAGTTTTCCGGCCTGCGAGCCATCCTGTCCGGCCCAGCAGGCGGCGTGGTTGGATATGCATTGACTTCATATGATCCGGTGTCCAAGATCCCAGTTATTGGTTTTGATATGGGTGGTACCAGTACAGATGTTAGCAGATACGGATCTGGTCGATACGAACATGTGTTTGAAACAACCACTGCCGGAGTGACCATACAATCCCCCCAGCTCGATATCAACACTGTGGCTGCAGGAGGCGGCTCTAGGCTCTTTTACCGCAATGGTCTCTTTGTAGTGGGCCCAGAATCAGCAGGCGCGCATCCAGGACCAGCGTGTTATCGCAAAGGTGGACCGCTGACGGTGACGGATGCGAATCTCTTCCTTGGTCGACTGGTCCCTGATTTCTTTCCCAAGATTTTTGGCCGCAATGAAAACCAGGGGTTGGACGAGCACGCGAGTCGGGATTTATTCGAGCAACTGACAAAAGAAATCAATGCTGAATTATCCAAAGGAGGCCAGGATAGAGAAATGAGCCCCGATGAGGTTGCCTTTGGCTTCGTCAAAGTCGCCAATGAGACAATGACTCGCCCGATTCGGTCTCTGACAGAAGCAAAAGGACATGATACTTCGAAGCACCGACTAGCTACGTTTGGAGGTGCTGGTGGCCAACACGCAGTGGCTATTGCCGAGAGTCTGGGGATTCGACAAATCCTAATTCACCGATATTCGTCCGTACTTTCTGCGTACGGAATGGCTTTGGCCGATGTGGTTGATGAGAACCAAGAGCCAGAGTCTAAAACATGGGTTGAGGATGACGAGGCGGTTCGGCAAGAGCTCAGGCGAAAGATGGAAGATTTGAAGCAAAGATCCAAACAAAGGCTACATGACCAAGGATTTGACGATGAATCCATAGTATTCGAAGAATATCTCAACATGAGATACCGCGGAACAGAATCTTCGCTCATGATAGTCAACCCCAGCAAAGAAGAAGCAGGGCTTCACGGTGGTGCCGATGACTGGGCTTTTGGGAAAGCCTTTATCGAGCATCATGAGCAAGAGTTTGGCTTTACCCTCCCTGATCGAGACATCATCGTGGATGATGTACGGGTTAGGGGAATCGGGAAGAGCTTCCAAATGTCTGAGAAGACCGTGGATCAGCAGCTCCAAGAGTCTCGACCCAAGGACGTAGTGGATGGAGCATATCGCATGTCTCGGGTGTTCTTCGAAAACGGCCGCCATGAAACCCCAATTTACAAGCTGGATGGTTTGAATATCGATGATCGGGTGACGGGACCAGCAATTCTGGCTGATGATACGCAAACAATCGTCGTGCCACCAGGTGCCACGGCACTCTTGACAAAGACCCATGTTGTCATCAACATAGGGGAGGCCGACGGCAAAAGCACCAGAATAGATACAGCCACCGTGGACCCTATTATGCTCAGTGTATTCTCCCATCGTTTTATGGCCATTGCCGAACAAATGGGTCGTGCATTGCAGAAGACAAGCGTGAGTACGAATGTCAAAGAACGACTTGACTACTCGTGTGCCTTGTTCGACGCCGACGGCGGGCTCGTTGCAAATGCACCACATCTGCCAGTCCACCTTGGCAGCATGTCCACTTGTGTCCGCACTCAGGCCCGCATTTGGCAGGGCAAGTTGAAGCCCGGCGATGTTATTGTGTCCAACCACCCCGAATTTGGTGGAACACATCTTCCCGATATCACCGTCCTCCAGCCCGCTTTCAGCCAGGGGAAAATTATATTCTATGTAGCATCTCGAGCGCATCATGGTAAGAGCCTCACCTCCGATGAGAAAAAGAGATTTCGCTTCCTCTAACTTCTTCTAGCCGATATTGGGGGCATTCTTCCCGGCTCCATGCCACCTCATTCCAAGGAATTGTACCAGGAGGGTGCGGCAATCAAAAGCGAGAAACTGGTGTCAGAGGGCCGGTTCAACGAAAAACGGATCACCGAGCTTCTTTACGATGAACCGGCTAAATACCCCGACTGCAGTGGTACTCGCTGCTTGCCGGATAATCTGAACGACCTCAAGGCCCAAATTGCTGCAAACAAGAAAGGTATCAACTTGATCAGTGCTTTGATCGAGGAATACGGCGAAGAGGTTGTCTCGTTCTACATGCGACACATTCAAGACAATGCAGAGCTTAGTGTGCGCAATCTGTTAAAAGAAGTCAGCAAGAAGTTCTCCGGTCAAGACCTCCGAGCCATTGACTATATGGACGACGGAAGCCCTATCCAACTGAAGATCTCCGTCAATGAGGAGAGTGGCGAGGCTGTTTTTGATTTTGATGGAACAGGGCCCGAGGTGTACGGTAAGTACCCGCCGGATAAACCAAGGTAGTGAGTTCTACAAGAAGAGGATTGACTTATTATGCCAGGCAATATCAACGCCCCTGAGGCTGTTACTTACTCCGCTATCATATATTGCCTGCGATGTCTGATATCTGCGGACATTCCTCTAAATCAGGGCTGTTTGAAGCCAATCAACGTTCGAATTCCTCCAAATTGTCTTTTGTCACCATCCGAATCAGCCGCAGTAGTAGGCGGCAATGTTCTCACGGTAGGGCAACCCTTCATTGAAAATCGGTGAAGGCGCAAGGCTCACTCTTTCTCCAACGTTTAGAGTCAACGCGTAACAGATGTTATTTTGAAATGCTTCCACGCCTGTGCAGCTTCGCAGGGTGATACAAATAACCTGACCTTCGGATTTGGCGGCAATATGCTTGGGAAAACAGAGACCAAAGGGTTTGGATACTATGAAACGATCGCTGGAGGCAGCGGGGCCGGGCCAAACTGGGAAGGCACCTCAGGCGTTCACACGCATATGACCAACACACGAATAACCGATGCTGAAGTGTTCGAGAGGAGGTACCCCGTCTTGCTTCGGGAGTTCAGCCTACGGCCCAACTCAGGGGGGAGCGGCCAGCATCGTGGCGGTGATGGAGTGGTTCGGGATATCGAGTTCCGGATCCCTGTGCAGGTATCGATACTTTCTGAGCGAAGGGTTTACCACCCCTATGGGCTGGCAGGTGGCGAGGACGCTCAGTGTGGCCAGAATATCTGGGTCCGCAGAATACCTAAACCTGATGGAGGCTGGGAGGAAAGACACATCAATATGGGAGCGAAGAACTCGGCTCAGATGCAGCCAGGGGAACGGATCATCGTCCGCACCCCGGGGGGTGGCGGTTGGGGTCGGCCAGGAGATCAGAGCGACCTTCGTAATGAGCGAGATGCATGTCATGCTTGGCATGGTGGCTCCATTGCAAACCGCACAGCGACTCAAGAGGCCAGCATGTGAATCAACTGAGCTCAGTATTATTGTAGTGAAGATACGTTTGAATTTAGTGTTAAGGTAGAGAATAGGGCATGGTAGGAAGAATAAGACAGTATAACGCTTGCCCTTAGTCACTCTATGTTCGAGACACAGGTAGAATTCATCGGGTAGTTAAAACAGGAGCCTAGGCACCCTACAATGGAGGTACCAACATCTAGGTGCTAGTTTGCCATGCCCAGCGGAACACGTCAAGCATCATGTTGCCTAACCAGAACCTTCTGTCCAATGCGAACCAGGTCGTCATTGCTCAGTGTGTTCTTTTCGAACCCATTCATGGCCTGGTCTAACAGAGCTGCTGCAATTCTGGCCAGGTCGATGTGTGGGAGGCCAGGGATCTCCCGCGTCTCCCTCCCAGGGGCGTCGATGAGCCCAGGCTTGGCGACACAGGACTGGACGGCACCTTCAGATTTCTCCCCGTATGTAAGAATTAACGTCTCAGCTTCACCCTGGAGCGGCTCGGGTTAGCATTTCCATTGCCATATGAGATCGGGGAAGGGGGCAGGGAAAATAAACTCTGGGAACAATGGCTGTATTCCGTCTCTCATCTAGACATACCCGTAATAGGCCGTAGTTGATGAGGCCGTGGTCTTGCAGTTCTTTCGGTACCTCAGCCGGGCTGCGGGGGGCAAAATGGCCGCTCATGTAGAGAAAGCGTAGCGGTCTAGCTTGCTTGTGGCGGAGGACATCGAGTGCTTGAATGGCCGCGGTAGCGTAGTCGCGGGAAATCTTACACGTCTCCTCAAACGGGATGGTCTTGAGCTTCATCGGTGTCACTGCAATGGTCCTATTTTGGAGTCAGTGATGCTGTTCTCCGGTGTGTTCGGACTGCTGGACTGGTTGATCCCATCGTCACCAGACCGTGAAATGGAAACGTTGAGGAGTGTTTAAAATGTCAAGGAGACTAAGCATACCAGATACAGCCATCCGCATTCTCCAGCTCCTTTTTAACGCTGTCGGGATAGCTCTCAAAGTTGTCGCAGACGACAAACTTCAGCTTAGGGTTCACTAGCCGTGCGGGGTTCTCACGACGGCCAAGGGCGACGATAGATGTTATAGCCGGGTTCTCGATACCTTGGCGGATCAGCTCTGTGGCGACAAAGCCTGTCGAGCCACCGATCACAAGCTTCATAATGATATAGCCGCGGCGACAGTGAAAGGCGAAATATGTTAAATCAAATGACTTGCGGCTCTGGGATGGGTGAGATCAATCCGGAGTCCCTATTTATGTAAATTGGGTGGCGTGGGACGCCTTAACCAGCTCCGGCTCGTCAGTTTCTGTGTAGGACTTAATATTTATGCCTAAGTGAGGAATAAAATACACTATAAGAGATCTCACGCTTAGGAAACGAAGAGGAACATGAGGTTAATGCTATACCCTACTACTGAGAACGGAGCGTTAAAGCCTAGGATGTAGATGAGATTCTTTTGACTATAGGGAAATTTATTGTAAAACAAATAATTAGGAACTCCCTTCCTATTAGTTTGAAAGGTATAACTGACTAAAATAGGGGGATAAATGACTACTATAGCCATTAAGGACTAGGAATCATAGCGATAAATTACTTTTCTGCTCATTTAAGCTTTAATTTAATCTATAATCTAGCTATTATCGTTATTTTCGATTCTCTAATCGTTAGATAGGTCACTATACTCAACTTCGTAGTAGTAGGCTCTCTCTTTTAGAGATAATAATCGGAGAAAGTATAAATCCTGTGGAGGGCTGAGTCGAGTTGATATGCCGACTGGAGAGGCCAATGGCAATTTTCTAAAAGCGTAGAGAGAAGAGCTATCTAGGTGCGCGAAGTTGATAAACAATGGGCGTGGGTCGCGTGCCTGCACGTGATTAGACAGCGGCCCTGGCCCGTTACATTATTACGCTATTCTTAGAGCAGCAACTCGCGTTGGCAGTCCAGGACAGACTCTCCTAGCACTCTGTCGTGCAAGCCTTATTAGGGCAATACCCGTGATTGCAGCAGAAGCTACACAATCCCTTATACCCAAGGTCCTCTCCGCGGAGTGGGCAACCTACCTGGCCCGTAGCCGGTGGAGGTGACACGGGATCGCCGTGCTTCGTACATACGCAAGGACCGGGAGGACAATAGCCGTAGTGGCACGCGAAGCTGCACAGACCCAAGAAATTGCCAGTTTGACCAGCGGCTACGGTGCCAGCGATGCAGGTGTCTATTGTGGTTTAAAATGTGTTAACGTCAGATTCATTCGGACCCATATACACCAGTATTCAGAGAATTTGAGAGTATGGGAAGTAAGCCACCACTTACCACTAGAAGTTGACGTTGATGATGTAGTAGACGTAGAGGTTGTCGCTCCGTGCTCCGTTGCTACATCCGTTGAGGTCTCAGAGGACAATAGAAATGTGGTCGTAGAATCTGTGGTCGTATGTGAATCTGTGGTGGTAGGTGAATCTATGGTTGTAGGCGAATCTGTGGTCGTAGGTGAATCTATGGTCGTAGGTGAATCTATGGTCGTAGTTGAATCTATGGTCGTAATTGAAGATGGGGACTGTGTGAATGCTGTCGACTTCGTAGACGCGCTTAAAGCTGTGGACGCCCCTAGGGCGACGGATATTGTGGATGATGCGGGGGATACCCTGTGATGTATTAGCTGGCGTTTTTGAAGAACCAGAGAAGAGACCAGAAAGCGCAATGGTGAACGAGCTGGTATGCGTGGTAATTGCTGGCCGGCAGATAAGACCAAGACAGCGCATCAACAACGGAAACCACAAAAGAGGCTCTCTAGCAACTCGCTCTGTCAACCACAATGCAAACAACTGTCTCCACTCATCTATCCCACCATACTCCGGCGTACCTAGCAGAACGGGATTTGTTTTGAAAAACGATCCCGAGAGGGACGCCAAGGGCGATGGCCAGAACAACCGAGATGGCTACCGCTAGAATGATCCAGAAGTACCGTCGCTTGCAGCCACAGATCCGGTTGGAATCTATCTGTTCGCTAGCCGATGGCAGTTCGTGCAGTTCGTACTCATGTCGCCCGGGAATCTGCGGGCCTTCATCGAGATACGGACCGGTAGCGGCAGCTTTCTCATCCAGCAACTCGTCATGTGAAGGTGCGACATTCGTTTGTCTGTAGCTGCAAGTCTTCCTCCACTTGGCGGAGTCTTTCTGGCCAGGCACTACCTCGAGCCCACTATCCAGCACGACTTCCAGACCATCATCAGGTTCAACTTGGGCGTACTTAACGACGGGCTCGAAATGGGAGGAGTCTTGAACGTGTGAGGCCAAGCCAACGGGCTGGGCACCAAACAGCGCCGTTTTCTCCGGGTTCGACATGGTGTTGTGTCTCCGCTCTGCCTTCCCCAAGTGTTTCGTATATTCTGGCTTTGAGAGGAAAAGGTGAAATTGAGAGAGGTAGAAGTATTCCCGATAATCAGAAACGGTTGCGACTGATAAAATTGTCACCCGGATAATAAGCCCAGGGACTTGGCGAACCCACCAAATTCACCAACAGCCCCTGAAGGGGACTTCATAGGGACACCATAGCTTTTGTTATGGACCACAAATTATGTATCAGTATAATGGCCCCCAAGTAATATATCCAACTGCCGCATCCTGACGCTGACTCACCTGGCATTCTCCCAACCTAGCAGGAAATTGTGCCCCTATGTGGACAGATTTCACCTGTATGCAGAGTTTTTTCCGCTTCTCTACTACTGTATAAATGTGGACATGACAGCTAGACCTGAATATCATCGTTGTCAATCATTGTCACATGACATACACTAGTAAATTTACTAGTGGATACGCAAATTCCAGATTCCAACATTATGTTATCTCTGAAATCATAATTAAAAAAATGTCATATGATTGTATCTGGATTTCAGTCTCTGCTTTCTTTACATGACCTTCGTGTATGTCCAACGTTCCTACATGTACTACATTTGATGGTACCTTCTTCCTCTTCTGTATAGGCTCTCCCTCATTAATATGCCCTACCTCGTCCTGCTTCCTTGGCATGGGAATCAGGGGCTCTAGAATTGGAAGAAATCCTGATTCACTCTCACTAAGGCCAATTCGCCAAAATGGGTGGATATAGGCCTTGGCATTACCCACGGGACTAAAAAATCTTAGTCCCGTTGCTAGGTCCCGTTAGTCCCATAGGAATTCCTACGAGACTTCTACGGAACTATGGCTTATTTTAACTGAATAGTATTGGTCTGTTTAGTTCCTGTAGAGTAACTGGGATAGCAAAATTGGTATAGATGAGTTGAGATAAAATTCATTCATCCTCCTTGCTTGCCTGGATGGAATTTATACAACGTAGGAAAAAAAGAGTAATCGCCCCCAAAAGTCGGACTTCCAACGCTGCGCGGTTGTGGGTCCTCCCCAATCCAATGATAATTCTTCTTTTACCCACCAACTTTTGAACCTATTGCAGCCGGACTGGCGCTCGGCATAGGTGCAGTGACCTGTGATCTGCTCGGCAGCTACGTGATATATTTAGGCCTTACAGACAGGGCATCAACATGGTTGGAGAGCGGAGCTCCTGTATCGAGGGTCCTCTCAGCTACATGCCCTCCTGTATCCTAGATCCCATTATCATACACACACTCAGTATACAGAAGAGAATACGACGTTCGATTGCTTCATTTTCTATTCGGTCGACGTACTCGGCTTCGTGCTGGTCGAATTTCCCCCGGTTCTCCTGCCGGTCTGTCGGCTCTGACCTGACATGCCATTGTGCGCCCTACTCTCCCGCTCCACTATTTACAACGCCATCCCCTGTCTGTTTATAGTATAAAGTGGCTGGCCGTCATCTCTTTTGACCCATTCAAGCTCCTCCGCTCTTTTCTGATTTTCCTGGTCGTTAATTTCCGCCTGGCGGCTGATTTCACCCCACTTCTGTTTAGCCTCTCTTTCCCACTTCCGTCTTTCTCTGCCTCTACAATATCCCTTGACTGTATAGGGGCATTTGAGTCTCTAACAGAAAGAATGTCCCCTTTACATGCCCAACGCCTAGATTTAGGGGAGTTAGCCGCTTCCTGGTTGGCTAGAATACGTGATATATCTGCGGAGGCCTAGGCAGCCAAGTCCGCTTTGGTAATGCTCCCCTCATAAATTGCCTCTAAATGGCGCTGGATTTTCGCTAAATCAGGATAGGATTAGCTGAAAAGCTCTTCTCAATATTATAAATATTTTTTCATAGTTTTGTGACTATTATCGGTGGAGAATTGATAGTTGAACTTGACGCTGGTGGTGGTGGAGTGTATAGTTAGGATGCATCTGAAGCATTCCCCTTATCACTATCCCCTCTATCGTAGTCTCTAAGCTCGTATTCTATCCCTCTATCGTAGACTCTTAGATTTAGCCGTCTATCATCTCTACGAAAATAACCAACCTCTACATCGAATGGCTAAATCCTATAGATTTTGAACGTGTGCTAGACAGCTAACATTGAAGATCTATACCCGGATTTCATAGATAGAGCGGAAAAAGTCTACTTCCTCTATAAGTTACCAAAGCGCCCTATTCATTTGAATAGCTATTATGCTTGCGATAATAGTTCTTGTATGCGAGGAATGTATGTGAATCGAGTAGTTGAAGTCGATATGTGAGCTTTGATAAAAAGTAGAGTAGAAAAATCCTATTCTACTCGTAAAAATTGATGAAATCACGCGACTTAAGAGGATGTATAGCTGCTAAAAATGAGAAGAGACTATACTGTGTGGAAGTCGTGATTTAGTTTATTTATCAAATTTTTGAAGTTATCCGTAGGCGCGGACCTTGCGTCTTACTAGGTATCTTTAATTTTAAGGTTTTTAGTTAATAACGTAATAAGATCTTACTACTTATTAACTTATAGTACTTCGCGTAAGAGTTAATAGCGTCTCGCTAGTATTTCTTAAGCTCCTTGTAGATAATTTTTCAAATTTTTAATATATACTTTAGTAACGTCAGAGACCTCTTTATACGGATCGACCGTATTTTATAGCTAAAACTCTAGTAAAAAAGCTATAAGGGACTATAAAGGGATTCTTACCTATTGTAACGCTAACTTTATTCATTATTATAAGTATATTTTGCTAATCAGGGTAATTTTAGCTAGGCTAAGTATTCTATACTAATAAAGTAGTAGAGTTAACATTCTAACGTCTAATTAGTGGGCTCTATTTAGCTATTAGTTTAAGTATCAAAATACTGGTAGTGCTATATATATAGGAACCATAGTAGAGTTTAAACTAGAAAAGAATTTTCATATAAATAATATTAAGCTAATTTAGGGATAATAACCCTTAACGTATAGGCTCTATATTTTAAGTTAACCTTAATAGAATAGTTTAGTAAGGCTAGTAATGGTGATTATAGATAAAATAGAGAATAAAAAGGACTATCTCGTATACCTATTAATGATAACCATATTTACGTCTATATATTCACTCTTTTAGATAATAAGTAGGTTGTAACCCTATGTAAACTCTATACTTAACCTAGTAAAGGGTTAGGTAGAAATTAGTAGCAATTTAAGCTTACTATAGGGTTAATATCTTAGTACTACTATACCTTAGTAGATAAGGTAGTACATATATTCTATAATAGTATACTTTGAATAGACCTAATAAATTTAATTTAAAACGTGGTAGATCTTCTATATAATCACGTATAAATCATCTTACTAAAGGATTATTATAGTATGAACTAACTAGGGTTCATATGGATTCTCTATTAAAGGGATATAATAATAGTCATAATATTATGTATACCTAAAGCGATTAACTATCGAGCGTACAAAATCCCTTGGATTTAGCCTAAATAGCCTCTTTTCGCCTTTATCTCTCTAAGTCTTTTTTTATAGTCGCTAAAGAGTCTCTAATAGACCTACTCGTAAATTATTGGAGAATAGTCTTTCTTCGATATGTACTTATTTTGATACTATACCGGGGACGAACCGATTTTAATATAGCTCTACTACATAGACTACTTGTCTAGTTCTATACCTAACCCCTTAAGGTTCAACGCTATATAGGTCCTGGGCTTAGGGCTTTCTTATAAAGATATCTCGTTAGGCTAAAACTAGGATTGCTAAATATATGCCTTTAATAGATAATACTAAGATGGTAGCGAGCTACTACCAAAATAGCTCTAAAATTTCTATGGCTAGAGAGTCATTCTAGTAAGAGCTTATTTTCTATAAAGGGGCTATTAGTAGGGGTATTTTTCCTATTACGATACCTAATTAGAAAGATGAAAGGTATAAGGTATACTAAATAATTGGCATAATGCCTATTTAACTTATGTTGGTATATAAAAATTAGAGATTAGAGTAATCTAGTAGTATATCGACGGTGAATTAGAAGCCTCCTATATACTACCTCTAAAGCTTAAGAGGAATAAATAATTATAAAGAGCTCTTGGAAGTTCTATAACGTAATCCACATACGAGCCGTCCACACAAGCGACCCGTCCACTTTCGCGTCAACTTTATTGAATCATCTTCAACGCGTCATTTTTCTACCACCACCATACAAAATGCCTCTTTCTCAAGAAAGTCGAATGTAAATGGCTATTATGGCTTATAAAGAAGAAATTTCGATCCATATCAAGGGCTGCTGCAGTATTCGCGGTGCCTAAATCCGCACTTGTTGATCGACTCAAAGGAATCAATCCACGGTCGGAAACACGCGCCAATGGCCATAAATTAACAGCTCTTGAGGAGGAAGTCCTTACCAAGCAACTGCTGGATGCAGATAAACGAGGTTTTTCAATTCGACCTGAGTTTCTACATGGAATGGCGCAAATATTACTTCGTGAGCGAACAAAGGATTCTACTGCGACCATTGGGATTAATTGGGCATCCAACTTTATCAAACGCCGCCCAACGCTACGTACACAATACAACCGACGTATATTATATCAACGTGCAAAACGGGAAGATCCAAAGGTTATAAAGCCTTGGTTTGAGACTGTACGCGAAGCTATTCTTGAACATGACATCCATAAAGATGATATCTAGAATTTTGATGAAACTGGCTTCGCAATGGGGCTCTGTTCGACCTCTAAGGTTATAACCACGGTCGAGCGTAGTGAAAGACCTCGTAGGGTTATTCAGGGGAACCGCGAATGGGTCACAATCATTGAATGTGTGAGCTCAAAGGGGATATCTATACCCATATGGATCATCAAGGGCAGGATCTCAACATGCTACTTGGTATCAAGAGCCTGCTCTTTTTAATAAGGGCTATGCTATCGCAAGTAGACCGCGGCAGGACCCGCGGGTTACCCAGAAACCCGTTCTTGGCGGGTTTTGGTCTGAGCCCAGAACCCGCGACGGGTTT